ACTTATGACGATGTGAACATCAGGGTACATTATCTCGCACAGAAAGAGGAAAAAAGAACGAGAAATCCTGTCAGGATTAAAATAAATGTTGCAACTTTATTGGAATATTAATAAACTACGAGACATGTGAAAGAGAATCCATCATTGAAGGGATTGAAGGTATCTTTTCTTTAAGAGTTCACTTCTGTTTGGAATCTCGGCAGAATTTTAAGATCACTCTGGCTGGTTTTCGGGAAGAATAAGGAAAACTTTGGCATTGCGGATGAAGAGAAAAAGAGAAATATTTCGTAAGAATACGCTATTCTTCTTCTTGCCTCACTTCTTTTCCATCTCACTCTTCTTTGCTTTCCTCGTAGTACTCTGAGGCAATCTTCAGAGGCGTTAAGCTACTAAATACCGAGTATTTAGGATTACAGGATCGGTAAAATATATCCAATTATTGGAGGAATTATAATATTTACACAATCATCGCTAATCATTATTAAATACAACTTCCATGAATCCTCCAACTGCTACTTTCATGCCCCTTGGAAGTCTATTTCGCTCTCTGCCACCCATCATCACAAGCCCCTAAAGCATACAAAGACTGTGGAGGGTTTATGTGTACATAAATGTAAGTATACATAATCAAATAAAAGAATTCTTGTCAGGATTAAAAGGGATACGTGACATGAACGCAAATACTCGTGACATGTGAGATTATTCTCTCTTCTTATGATTATATATGACTGCCAAAAAATGGATATTTCATACCTATTTGCATCTTCCAACCAAGACATGGGAATGAATTTATGCAAGTCTATTTTCTTGGGGACAACAACTCTCGGCTTCTCCCATCTAGAATGTCTTACTTTCGGGGAGTGCAGAGGGAAGTTAAAAGTAAGGGACTCCCGAGGAAAAACATCCATTTTCAAGTTTCTTAAATGGGAAAGCTCTCTGCTCATTGTACTTTAGCTGTGAAGAAGAAAAGGGGAGATATTTTCAATATTGATTTTGCACACTTTTTTAACTGTTGTGACGGAATTGTTCAGGCGAGAAGATTTATCGTTGTGTTTACCAAACACACTGAGACTTCGAGACACTTTCCAGACATTCTTCTCGTCGTCAACATAGTCCAGGATATGCCAAGAAGGTATTCTCACCGTCTGCCGCAGCTTCTTTCCTTGAAGCTCATTCGGAATTTATGCAAGCTTGCATTGTTTTATTTTTTACAAAAATAATCTTACCACCATTGTTGAGAGGGCAAGTTCATGCTTTCTTGACTCACTATGAATCTAATTAATATTCTTTGTTATTAAATGCCAAATGATAAAGCTGCTGCACTTGGAATTCTCCAAAAATTCCCGGAATCAGTGCAACTTCATGAATAAATTTTCTCTCGTGCACTAGTCACGAATTTTATTCGTCTATTTGGATACCTAAATACATGGTGAGAGTTTTCTGATCTTCCCTAGCCAAACACAGTTGCAGACGAATTTGAATCATTCAGACGATTCAGAGATGAAACGTGATGAAATGTCCGAAGAAATGTGTGTAAAAGCACGAAATACCCACTATTTTTGCTTGAAAATTTAAATATCCACTTGAGAATATCATTCATATTGTGTGTAATGAATATCAAAGAACTTCTGGTGAATTCACGCACTGAAACTGTGCTTCTTATGGAGTGCAGACAATGTAATAAAATTCTATCAATATTTATTGGGTAAATATTATGTAGTCACTAAAAGAGGTGGTCATAAATCTGGCTGGGGGAAGCTGAAGGAAAAGACAACCTTTGCCAGTATTTTATACGTTTAATTCACAATTTCCAAAGAGAGATCATATTATAAATTTGAGTTCAGTCAAAGAAGTTCGTACTTTGCAATGACACTCCCCTGAGAATAGCTATGAATCTCTCCCAGAACTGGCGTTTGATGTTGAAAGATTCCATCACCAAAGTGGTGGTAGGCAAATAAGCAGAAAAAAACTGAGGGTGGGAAAACCTCAAAGAAATTTGTAGAAGAATTTCCAACTTTATCGAAGTGCAACACAAATTCCCTTCAAATACCATTCAATGCAACTTTTTATCGATTCCTTTTCATGCAGAAATTTTCTCTCAATATATATTTTTTGCATGCATGAATTTGGTAAGAAATTGACGCAATTCTTCGGTAATTGGAAAATTTTCATGGCTTCACCAGCTCGTTAAAGCCACTACATTCCCATTCTCCGAGCCCCATGACAAACCGTTGTACTCCAAGTTGGGGGAAATGTGCAAGAAACATATGTAATTCAGATTCAATTTCAACCAATTTCCATTTTCACGCTCATTTTGCGTCTGACTTCTCCGCTTCACATCAGGATTGCTGATGGGGATGAGATGCTCTAATTGAGTATCGTAATTCCTCTGACGATGGTCTCCCCAGAGGAGAAAGAGTGGATGATGGAGGAGCGAAATAAAAGAAACACCGTATTCATCTCCAGAGAACCGCAAGACACTAATAGAATTAGACAATTTGAAAGTGAGTACATTCTGTTGACATGCCATCTTCTCGACAATTTTATTCAACACCCAAATTCTCCAATTTGCCCATCCTTCTCTCCACTGAAGAGGCTTTTCCATCAGACTTACTCCACACACATACACACTGATACATTTTACGCCCAAAAACGAAATGAATTGAAAATTTGCGAGCAATTTACTGAGAATGCTTTCCACGAATTAAATTAAATTAAATTATTCGTTTCGAATGAATGTAGTGGATTTGTTTTGTGAACCATTAAATTTGCTGCGGATGTTGGGGCGTAAATCGATGCCTTTTTCACTCCCACAGCCACGAAGAGATAAAATTATCACTTCAATTATTGCACACAGATTATTTCAAATACAACAATTGTGATATAACAGAAATTATACCAAATTGACTCTGAGTCTTTCGATTTTCGATTAATTTGATCCTCTCTGATGCGTTTCGAATGTCTTAAAGCACCTGTTTTAATCGCATTTGACTCAATATATGTATGTCTTACTCGACTCATTGAATGACTTTCTATGAAGTAAATTATGGAGAATTCTCGGTATAGATGTGCATTCATGGGCAAAATTGCCAGAGTGTGTCATTATTTGTTTAGTGAATTGAAATGTGCTGTGAGTAAATGCAACCAATCAACCCCGATATATTTCCATCCACAAGGGATAATGTATCCAATTTAATGCACCACACCACCGCTTCAGGCTATTACAATTTTACAATGAACATAATTTGTAGTTCAGATTATGGCTAATGTGCTAAGAAGCTACATAACGTCGATTCTGCCCACAACCATCCTCCCGAGGAGATCAAAGTGTGGGGCCAGAGAAGCTCTCTCTCTCCCGATGGAATTGCAAAGGGCATGACGAGTGCGACGTAGTTTGAAATTAACTCTGGTGAGGATCAATATTTGAGGGAAAAATCCTGGGAAAATAAGAAAATTCACTCAGAGACCCGATTTGAATTATTGAGTATGCTTCCAGCAGCCGCAATTCTGGAAATGGCAAAGAACGAGAGACCCAGAAAGGCTCTCAAGTGCATGAAGGAAGTTCGTTAGAGTGAACTTGTGCGCTATGTCTACTAATTGTGTACACTACAGTGACTATTCAGAGATTCAGAGATGAAGGGAGACTTGGTTTGTAAGTGTTTTACCCGGGAAATAAAATGGTAAATAAGAGTCACTCTCTGGAGAGGCCAGAACCCTTTTTTGCCACGCAGTTGTAAAATAAATAAATTATATGGCAAATGAAAGAAAAATCATCGCATTTCATCATGTGAATTATATATTATCTCTCTGAGGCTCTCTCTACCTTTTAGATAGAATTTCATGGAAATTTTCACAACATTATTAAGTAAATAATTGTTAACTTTTTTATACCATTTTCCAACTTCTCAATTTCCACAAAGTGGCACACAAAGGCAAAATTGTACTGCGAGAACTCTCCCAGTATCAGCCGCAATGTGAAAACTCTCGTATTCTGGAATTTGCACTTAATTCACGGGGCAAATTCATCGACCGCAAATGTCTAGGGAAATTATTGTTATGAAAGCGGAATGTCAACAAAACAGAGCCCCGGCTATTGACGCACTTCGGGAAATACCCAACGAGGCGGTAAGTCAATGAGGGTGTTAAACGACTTCACCACTCTTTTGGCAAACTCCCGCATCCAATATTCCGGTGGCAGAAAATGAAAAGGATCTCTCGCCGAGGGAGGAAAGCCATAGAAGAGCATTTTTATTATTTCATTTTCAATTTTACGGGCAAATATTGTTACTTCTTGTGTTTGTAAATTGAATTTTAACTGTTTTCTGGGAGCGCCTTTGCACAAGCATATTCTATTAATAAACGGCAATGTAATAAGCCAAGGTTTCTTAATTTTCTAATGTCCTCTCTTCTTGTATAGACAAATATGTTGGTTTTATTAATTCCCTTTGATATTTTAGACCAATTTGTACCAATGTTTGAATACATATGCTATGACACTCTGATATACGTCATTTGTATAACTATTATACAAATTATATATTGAAAGAGCTCCTCCGTTCATCTCTATTTCAAACCCTCAGCAAATGCCTTCAGGGCGGATAAATTGCACGTGATCATTTGCAGACTTTTCGTGAAAATAAAAGTGTCAGTTAATTGAAAAGAGCCATAAAATATGGACAAGCCAAGATAGTGGAGGTGTTTTATCGTCGCTGGGTTCAAACTGTTAATTGGCACAGCGAGAAAAATCAGCAGCTAATCCCCAGCCCGGCGTGCGATGGATGGAAGTGGCTGGGAGATAATTCGGAGTGCACAGAGCATCTCAGGAGGGAAGCTGAGTGGTGATGGAAGCGAAAAAGTAGGGATTCTCTCTATAAATTTATTAGCACAAGGTGGAGAAAATCAGTTCATCGTGGAAATTTAGCACCGACCAGTGGAATTTCTAGAGTGACTTCGATTTCGTGTGATTCTGTGATCGTTGTGATAGTGCCTGATTGGTGACAATGATAACACTCGGCGGGAATTATCTGCAAGTTTTGGATTATGAGTCAATTTTCAATTCACTCCTAGCCAAAGGTAAATGATGTCTTCTGACGCACAGAAAAAAAAGAGAACTCAGAGCGAAGTTTGATTGAGTGCAAATCATTGTGCAAACTTGCACGATAAATAGGAATTCTGCACAAAAAAGAATGCCAGACTTTTTCTTCCTCCCAGGAAATAATCAGCCCAGAAATCCATTTCTTTTGAAAATGAAATACTGCTTTCCATTGCATAAGCATCTTTCTCAATGCGAATCTCTGTCTCGCGAAACCCGCTTCCATTCATTGGCCTCGGCATGGGAAAAACTTTCTCCAAAGAGAAGCCGACGAGCAATTGCATATCTTGTCTCTATTGCACTTGCACTTTGTCCATTACATAATGAGTAGCTGCGCTCATGTGGTCTCAATGGCGGTGAGATGCAAAATGCCAGTTCGACGGAGATGAAAATCGCAATAAAGGCATTCAAGAAGCAATCTCGACGGCATTCGTAGAGATACGTGAGATGTTTGCGGTTCCGCAAACTTTAGCAGGAAGTTGCCCAAAATGAAGAGGTGCATCAAACTTTTATGCATCGCCCGTACCAACGAGGAATACTTTATAATGTGTAAAGAAGAGAGAGAGATGCAATGGAGAGTCTTTGAAAACATCAATAAAATAACAGGGAAGAAAGTCAGACAGCCTCACAGAGGAATCATTATTCGAGCATAAACTTTCATTTCATATAATATGTTTCACGAAAAACAGGTCTATAAAATATTTTGCACTATATTCCTGACACCTGATTTGTTTCTCTTCCTCTCTCAAGTGTGGAGTCTTCCTGGACTGCTCTTCTTTCTCACTGCCGCTCTCTTCCTCATTCTGGATTGTCGGAAGCCTCGTGACTTCCCTCACGGTCCCTTTTGGTATCCTATCATCGGCAGCGCTCTGTCCCTGCACCGTGAGAGAGAGCGGCGCGGAATGCTTTGGAAGGCCATTGAGTCCATTGCTCAGCGCTATGACAAGCAGCGCAGAGGAATTGTGGGCTTCAAAGTGGGCAAGGACAGAGTGGCTTTCGTCTACACGAGCGCTGCCATCAAGGACATGATGAGCAGGGAAGAGATCGACGGTAGGCCCACGGGTCCATTCTATGAAACGAGAACTTGGAACATGCGAAGAGGAGTTCTGCTGACGGACGAGGACTTCTGGATGGAACAGAGGCGCTTTGTGGTGCGTCATCTCAAAGAGTTTGGCTTCGCCAGGCGAGGAATGGTGGAATTGATCCAGCAAGAGGCGGAATTTCTCTATGAAGACGTGAAGAAGATGGTAGACAGCGGAGGAGGATCAATCCTGATTGAGATGCAGAACCTTCTCAACATATACATTCTCAATACTCTGTGGACTATGATGGCCGGGAAGCGCTACTCCAGAGACAATCAGAAGCTGAAGAATCTGCAGAGAATTCTACACGAGCTCTTCGCCAGCATCGACATGATGGGCGCTCAGTTCAGCCACTTTCCCTTCCTGAGGTACATCGCTCCCGAGATGTCCGGATACAAGCAGTTCGTGGAGTGCCACAAGTCCATGCATGAGTTCGTCCAGGAGGAAGTGGAGCACCACAAACTCAACATGAAGATGGACGATGAGCCCAACGATCTCATGGACGTTTACCTTCGCGCCCTAAACTCACCCAACAAGAGCGACAGTTTCTCGGAGAAGCAATTACTCGCCATCTGCCTGGACATGTTCATTGCCGGATCTGAGACCACTAGCAAGACTCTGGGCTTCTCCATTCTCAACCTCGTCCGAGATCAGAGAGTGCAGAAGAAGATGCAGGAAGAAATCGACACTGTCGTCGGCAGAGAGAGACTCCCAAAACTCGAGGATCGAGTCAAGTGAGTAATGCTGCGTATCACATTAAATGATTACACGATTACCCTTATCTCAATTCCGCCCTGAGCTTCAATTGTTAATCCCGAGCGAGAAGAGCACCCTGAGCGGTAATTCAGTGGGCGCATAATCATAACTAGTGCACGATATTGCTCAAGTTTACAAAGAGAATAATAATAATATTCATAAATTTTGCTCTTCGTGGCATCTTCATCTCATTGAGCAGAGACTGCGAGAGGGCATCGGTATTATCGCATGCATAAACTCTGAATGTGGGGAAAATTAATCACAGTTTCTATTGCATAAATCATCGAAATATAACCCAACTCATATTCCTTTTCCCTTTTCTCGAAGCATGCCGTACTGCGAAGCAGTCGTCCTCGAGGGACTGCGCTTCTTCATGTCCAACACCTTCGGAATCCCTCATCGTGCGCTGCGAGACACCACTCTGTGTGGCTACACCATCCCCAAGGACACCATGGTCGTGGCCGCATTCTTCGGGATGTGCCGCGACGGTGACACTTATGCGGATCCTGCCAAATTCGAGCCGGAACACTTCCTCCAGAACGGCAAGGTGACCATCCCAGACCAATACGCGCCCTTCGGCGTGGGCAAGAGGCGCTGCATGGGCGAGATGATGGCGCGCAGCAACTTGTTTCTCTTTCTCACGACGCTCTTCCAGAACTTCCGCATCTACGTGCCGGATGGACTGCCACCGCCACCAGAGGACCCCATGGACGGTGCGACGCCCAGCGTAAGGCAATATAAAGCCGTGATCACGTACCGATAAGGCTCTAGCAGCCGAGACACCTGACGTCTTCTCGCAGGTGGCGCTGCTGGCGATGCGGAGAATCCCCACCCCGGCCCCATGCAGATGACAGCTGTGTAGAGAGTTTAGTTTGAGGAGAGGTGAATCTCATTTCGCATGAATCGCTTAAGTTAGGGAGTCTGAAGTGTAATTAAAAGTGATTTACCAAATAAAACAAGTACCGTGCAACACCTGGAGCTCTGCGGGAGTGTCTCAGTGCGAATCTGCGGGCAAAACAGTGACCAAATAGCCCACGAAAATGCACCAATTCGACATCAAGTGAGTGCCTTCATCTGGATGGATTTGTTGTTACGTAAAAATGTTTGAGGGAAAATGTTCATGGAAAGAGTGTTGGTCTTTTGTCATCGAACGACGAGAGTGGGTGGGAAAAGTCAAATATCGGAGTTACAGTGTGAAAATGGGCACTTTGACACACATTCCCTCGGATTGGCCATGGGGGTGTGTGCTCAGCCGCCCTGATGGAGGCCTGGGAACCTTCACGAAGCATCAATTTGTCATTTAGAGTAATAACAGAAATTGCCTGTTTATAGACGCACTATTCAGTCAACTCTGAAGTGTGATAAATTACTTGACTCCGCGAGCGCGTTAGGAAAAGCCTTCGGCATTATCCGCGCAATTGTTGGGTCTCCGGGCAGGGCTTAAGCGGAAGCTCAACGGTCCCCTTCGGCCGACCGTGAGGCTCAGGACTAAAAATACACTCGCGCTGCACCTATAAATTCAATGACGGGCTAAAGGGCGACAAATCTGATAAGCATTCGACTCAACAGGGAATAAAAGAGGAAATTTGTCCGCAATCCTCGGCTTATTGCTGATTTTTCACTGTTGAAAGCTGGGCAAAGCATTGAAAAGTTCAGGTACGGTTTAGGAATTCATGACAGCATTCTACAATTGAATTGATTAAAAATTAACAGAATTGAATGGTAAAAAATCAATAAACTGAGACGACTGAGACAAATGCTTTATAAACACGCCATGAGGAATATGCTAATTTTTCACTATTTATTCCTCTAATGATTCTAAGAAGAACAACGTTAATATACTCCATATCCAAGCGAAGAAGTGTCTTGTTTCAAGAACAGCGTCTAATATGATCAACATATTTTAGCGACATGAAATATTTCTTGATGTTTCATTTCATGATAAATACTTCTTCAGTCTGACAAGCAAAAAGTATAACAGAATACAGAATTCTTTGTTAACATTCGTTTAGTATGTCGTAAAATTTTCTTCCATAAGTTGTTTTGAGCGCTTTTTATTGTGTATCTCACGAATATCTTGCGATTCTCTCATCCAATGCTAATGAATTGCTATAAAATGCCCACAGTTTTATGATTTGCAAATTTATCACTTTTTGCATATCGCACAGATTTTCCCAGTGGTATTTTTCTTCCCTAATTGATGAGCCCTTTGTCAGCTTTTTTCTCATTTCAGTCGCTGGAGACATACTTTTATATTCGCTCTCTGGCCTTGCCAACAAATTTTTCACAAAGCCATTGACTTCCTCTTTTATATCCTGTGCAGAAAATGCACGATATTTGCCATGAGAATTTATTTTTCCACAAGAAGAAAACCGTGACTCTGTTGGGAAGCAATAAAAAAAAGTCGAGACACTTGTAATTTTTCCTCTCGGAATATAATAGTTCCCTCAGGCAAATCGATGTTGAATTCGACTTCTCTACTGCGAGGGGAGAGTTAAAATATATCTTGTGGAGATTCTAATTGATTTTATTAATAAAACACCAATTACAGTCAATAAGTGCACTGGAAAAAATAGTGGCGCCGTTGGGAAGCATTAAAAAAGCTGCGACACACAATTATTGACTTTTCTGACTCGGAGTATGTCTGTAGTGCTTTGCAAGATGATGGAGAAATTATCGTTTATTAAGATGTTTGTGTGAAATTGTGACTTTGAGGCCGATATTCTGGTGAATCTGCCAAAAGCTCATCAAATCAGTGTCTTTGCTTTGAACTCCGTGGAGGTTTTCCACGCATAATTGCGTGCCTTTAACTATCCTGGCAATCACGGTCTGAGAAAATTGTCTCTGCACTTGCTGTGTCTGCGCCTTGCGAGCCTTTTTATTGGTGGTCGATTATTCTCTATTTTCCGCTCGTCTCTTCGTTCCCGATGAAACACAAACACAGAGTCGGCAGAAGCCTTAAAAAGTTGAATGGCAAGAGGCGTAATTTTATATTCCATGCACTCTGAACGGAGTTCACGAGGCAGACAGAAACTCATTTTCGCAAAATCCGTGCAATTTATCTCACCATTTATTGATTGCTCATGTTGTGAAGTGCACAGGCTTATCAAGTGCAGAAGTTGTGCAAATTCCCTCCGCAATTGCTTAATCTTTCAGTGCGTTTTGCAACTCTGTTATCAGCGGTCTGCATTTTGCAGTGCAGCGCTGAGTGTAAATCGAAAGTGAATATTATTTATTGCACACTGGGAAAGTAAAGTCTAATAGTGTAATTCGCTGAAAGGCGAGATAAATCATTAAAAAAGTGATTTTAATTCTCTGAGTGGGTCAATTAAATGCAACATTTGGAAGCTGTTGGAAGGAAAACCATAAGCGCGATTAATTACAATTACGAGTGAAGTCATGTTTAAGGTTTCATTCAGGCTTCTAAATGCTAATTAAGTGATATTGAACAATATTTCGAGCAGATTCTATTGTTATGATTGTGTCTGTATATGAAATTTCCATTGAATAAAAAAAAATGTATGAGATTCCATGCATAGGTTTAAACTTTTCCTGGGGATTTTGCCATTTGACTTGCATATAAAAGAAATTATTTATCTAGCAATTAAAGGAATTCAGTTAATAGCTTATGAGTTTTTTTCTTCACACGTTTCAAATTGAATTAAAAGAAAAATTACGTCAATGGAAATCTGTGGCTTGAATCAATTAAATAATTCCAAGCTTAATGCATTTTCAAGTGGTCATTTCCCTCGATTCTTTTTTTTCTGCCTGACCCAAAGTAAATGGCCTAAATTCACAGTTGAATACTTTAAAATGAGCATGAAACGGCAAAGAGGATAGAATGTAAATATTTTAGTAGAACTTTCAAGTTGTGAAAATGCTTCTGTCTTTTACATTCCAATATAATTAATGGGTATAAATTACATTTCCTGCTGAAGCTTTCGGGGAATAAGAACGATTGGTATAAAATTACATTTCGATGTAATTAGGACACAATTTCTTTAATGTAGCGAAAAATTGTTGTTTTAATTCAATTATTTTCCATCCACTGGCAATTAAGAGGCAAGGTGTTTCAGCGATACACGTATTCGCAATTAAATAAGCTGTACGCTGATGGTGTAGCATCAATCTTTCTTTCTTCCGTGCAGACGAAGATAAAGAGAAGGAAGATGGGACTGGCAGGACCTCCTCTGAGGCGACGTGGCTACTATTTCCTCTTCGTCATCGTCGTCCTAGTGCCGCTGACAATACTGTTTCTCATCATTGGACCAGGTGAGAGATCATGCTCTTGTCGTGCTTCTTTTCATGAATGGAAAGGCACATTCAATGACCTTTACCATTGCGAAGTATCGATGCATTTTAATGAAGTGAGGGCATTCGAGTGTTGTATGCAAATCATTGGCATGACTTTGGCTTCAATTGGGTGTTAATTGCATTGGAGGTGTTTTGCAAGCATATTATTTTCAACTCTCTTGGCAGATCTCTCGGCGGAACAGACGCTGTCTCAGCGCGTGGCGGAGTTCCAGATTCGACTGCAGTACCTGGAGTCGATGTACAGGGCGAGGCAGGAGGATGTGGCGATCCTGTCTCAGTATCTGGGCATGTCCAATGCCGCGAGTGGAGTTGGCGGAAGTGGAGGAGTGTCTGACAATGCAAATATCACTCTCAACGGTGCCATTCTGGATGCGCTGAGCCCAGAGGCGAGGGCTATTCTAAGGAATATGACTTCTGCCTCGAGATTTCCATCGACTCTCCGAATGCCAACAGCTTTCCACTTCCTGCCACACCTTCTGGACGATCCAACATCACTGAGGCCGGCTTTCCTCATGTCCAAGGGTCGCCAGAGTGTCTCTGTGGTGTTGGGCATTCCCACCGTGAAGCGAGAGAAGCAATCCTATCTCCTTGGTACACTCCACAATCTCATAACCAATATGAACGAGGAGGAGCGCAACGATACGATGATTCTCGTATTCATCGGCGAGACTGACATTGATTATGTGCAGTTGGTGGCGAAGCAGATCGAAGTGAGGTTCGGGAGCCATGTCGAAAGTGGCCTAATCGAAGTGTTCTCCCCGCCGGCGGCCTATTATCCCAATCTGGATACTCTCAGGCAGACTCTCAACGATCCTCCAGAGCGAGTGAAGTGGCGTTCGAAGCAGAATCTCGACTTTGGCTTTCTCATGACGTACGCTCAGCTCAAGGGAACATTTTATGTACAGCTGGAGGATGATATTCTGGCCAAGCGTGGCTTCATCACGACCATGAAGAATTTTGCATTGGAGAAAAGTGTACGGAAGGATCCGTGGTTTGTGCTTGATTTTTGTCAACTCGGCTTCATTGGGAAACTCTTCAAATCTGCTGAATTGCCATGGGTTATCACCTTCATCCAGATGTTCTACAATGATAAGCCCGTGGATTGGCTGTTGGAGCACTTAATTTACACAAAGATTTGCAACTGGGAGAAAGATATGGTATGTCGAAGATGATAAAACTTATCTTTATATGGCTTTATATGCTGGGATTTCTTGTGTGTTTATACAAATAGCGTAGAATTGTTTCTAATCCCTTGATAACAGTTTATTTCTCTCATTTCTTTTCCAGAAACACTGCAAACAAGAGAAGGCCAAGCTTTGGATTCACTACAAACCGTCGCTGTTCCAGCACATCGGCACCACATCGTCGCTGAAAGGAAAAGTGCAGAAGCTGAAGGACAAGCAGTTCGGGAAGATTCCAACTTTCTATTCGCACACCAATCCAAAGGCTCAAGTCAGAAGTGCCATAGTTGCATACAAGACCCACACGCTTCAGCGGGCTTACGATGGCGAGACCTTCTTCTGGGGCTTGCTGCCACAGCCCGGCGACTTGGTGGAGTTTATCTTCCCTCGGCCAGTTGCGCTACGAAAGTGAGTATGAGTTGGATATCAGCTGAAGCCCACACTCTCCTTCCTTACTCCATTTTGCATGCAGATATCTCTTCCGGAGCGGAAACACGGAGCATCCGTCGGATAAGTTCTACAACACCACGATTGAAATATTGCCTGCCGGACTGGACGAGGCGTCGCCCATTTGGAGTACGTACAACACTACCACGGATGGATTCCTGATTGTGGGGAGTTTCAGCAGTTTCGGCATCGCTGAGGGCATTCTCGAGCCCAAGATTGGGAGAGTGAAGGAGATTCGACTCCACGTTCACAGCGACAGTGAAAATTGGGCCATCCTCAGTGAGGTGAGTGCGCGTGTGTTTATTTTACCAACAGTTTTCCCTGTTTGCTGATACATTTTCCTAGGAGTTTCACGTTACACGGGTGTATTTTCACTATCAATGCGATTGGAGGTCTATTTGAGTTGGTAATTGGAAAATTGGGTGTGCTAATTGTGTGTTAATTTGTGAAGTTAACTTTATGAATGAGCTTGACTGACTTCTTGTTTGCCTGCGGAAGCACTTATTTTTCCATTTTATGGAGATGATTCATACGGAAAAAGATGAGCAATTGTGACAAAAGGTGTGCTAACGAATTAATTTTTGGTTCATGTGTTTCTTGTTCATGTTTTCATATGCAATGAACGCATGAATTAGAAATGAGTAGTACTTTTGTATCGCATTCGCAGCTATAAATAAAATAAATCCGAATGTAATTATCCTAGTTTTATCCTATAAATACACATGTAATGACACTCTTCGCGTTGGCGCTAATTTGGACAAATTGCTGGATTAAGTGTAGAATGAAATGTGAATGAAACAAAATGTATTTTTCCATCGCTTTTCGATTCATGACTATCCACTCAATTAATTGTTTGCATTAATTGACATGAAGTGCTTGAAATTCCAACCTTAATCAATTCGCTCCTCTCAGGAGTGCATTTTTTCCATTATTTCTCAAATGTGCATAACTGGGTCAATTGTTCGGTCAGCATTTAAAGTCTCTCACTCTTGTTCGTCCGTGCTGTGCATAATGCGATTATGCGGATTATGCTTAAATCTGTGAAATGTAACACTCCGTGTTTTTTATAAAGTAAATACTATAATGTAAAATTGCCTCATGGCTTTTTGCATGCGCATCGAAGGCTGGGTGTCACATTTCTGTGCAATTGAGATGATTAAAGTTGTGTGTTTTGTTATTGTCTTGCAGATTCATCTCGAGGAGAGCAGTTCAAGATGACCTAAAATCAAAAGTGCGAATTTATGGCAAACATTGCAGAAGAATTTTTCTCTGCATAAGGTTACGAACCCTTAAGATTTTCCCAAAATGAAAGGCTTCTTAGTGGCATTATTGATTTTAGTAAGAGAGAGAGAGAAAGGAAGAAGAAAAGGAAATAATAATACTATATGAAAAATAACCTATGATTGCAACTGTGATAACAAATATATTTACGATGTAATAATCGATAGAAAAAACCCTCTAATTAACCTAGTCTCATGTGTAGGAGGAAATTCAATGAATATGTTGTATTATTTTTGGCTCCATGCACACAAAAGTGTCACGTGGAAATCTCAATTCAGGATCATGTATTTATGATATTAGCATTTTACTTGTGTAACGATATTATCTGTATAATGAACATTTCTTAGCAGCAAGGAAATTGATGTCCATTCGTAAAATTATATGAACAACGTTGTAAAAGTCTTGTTCACTGATAAAAGGATAGATCAACGACCACTATATAGAACGAATATTGGTCACAATTGCATTAGTGTGAGAAGGAATATTTACTAAATGTTTTAAATAGATATTTTTGCAACAGCAATAAAAAGCTAATTGTGTAGTTATATCGAGCATTTTATCAATGCATTAAGAAACATTGTGTAATGTACTAAACAAAAAAAATGCTTAACGGAGAGTCTCAGATGTGAATTTCCCCTTATGAAGTATTGAGAAAGTAAGGAAATTGCAGAATTCAATGCATTACAGTCAAAGTCAAGTATTTTGTAATTAATTATATACAAAAGAAAAACCAAACAGCTACATATTTAATGTGTCAAGTAATTTCTGTAGTGATATTGTTTAGATGTATTTCAGTGAGTGCGAAACGGGATGATGTAAGAATGATTGTGATTTGTCCAAACACAACCAAAAGGCAGATTTGAAGGAATGAATTAAATTGAGAAATTGTAAAAGTGAAAGACGTGTTTTTCTCTAATATTTATTTCTTTATTTCTCTCATGTAAAAGAAAATGCAACAACAGTGTTGGAGATTCTGACCAGCGATTCTCTCACATTTTTACCTAATCCTTAATTTTATCCCTTCTCTCTGGTATTTTCTACAGTGTCGTGCTGAGAAATTTATTGTGAGAAATTTGTGAAAAGAACAAGATAAGACACAGCAAATGAGTTTGTTTAAAGCATCCATCCTCAGTTTACATCTTTTGACCTTTCCTTGCAATTTTTTTTTACACGAGGTATCACAAAATATGTTACTCCATTTGTTTTTCATCTTACAAACGCTCCTAAATAACCTCTCTGCGTATTTCCTATTAACTTTATTCACTCGATTGTTCCACAGACATTTTCAATTGGCTTGCCATTTAGTCGATTTTTCCTCTTCTTTGTTATTGTCATCAAATTGATCACAAATTCAGGAAATAATTGAGTCAATTCACTGGTAAAGAGGCGCTTGGAAATTCGATTGAAAAAGCTGCTAAATTCTTAGGTCGATACAGTTGCTTTTTCCACTGTGCAATTTCCAAGTACAAACAATTCACATTGATGAAGCAATAAATGCGCCAAACCGAGGAGCGAAAATTATCATCTAACATTCAATAAGGACATGGTCGAACCTTCAAAGGGTTTTCTCACAATCACAACAACATTTGTGATTACTACAACTACTCCTTGGACATCTCTGGACATTTGGGTCCAAGAGGAAACTCTTTGGGAAATCTCTACGGTTGTTAAATACTTTAGTTTTCACACTGAGGTACTCTTGAGAAGTGACTTGGAACATTATTTTCTCTCTCTGAGCCTTGGGATTTCGTCTGTCCCGTGAGCAAAGCTCAGCTTTTACCTGTACATCCATTCTGAAACAATGTTTTGGCCTAAGACCAAGTTTAAATCATATATCACTTCGAAGACAGATTTCACAGGAGGTGAAAAAAAATGAAAGAGGAAAAATGTGAATGGATAAATTAAATGAAGACAATTTTATTCGAGAAATTTACAATTCAATTGCTTAGGGAAAGTCAATTTGAAGGTCCATCAAATCTGTTTTCGAAGTCGCATGGGCTTGTGAAGCTCACGCATTGCTGAAGCTTTCTATCTGCCGTTATAAACTCAAAAGTTCCTCAAAAGATTCCTAAGTTTGGTGGCTAAATTCGAAGTTGCAATTAAAAGGTGTTGCCAAGCACAATATTCTATACAATTGACTAAAACGGAGAGGACACACGGAAAAAAGAATAGTGAAAAAACATAAATTAAATTACTTTGTATTATGTATAACATCAATGGGCTTCTAACTTTGTATCTAAAAGATTCCAGAATTACACTAGCAGTTTATCGCTCTTCATTTCCTCCCACGCAATAAATTCAATCCTCTCGCAGGTTCATTTGTCTTAGCTAGCTTTCTTGTTCTTCATGAGAGAGGACTAAAATACTATAGAGTTGGTAACAAATTAAATGAATTGATCAACACACATTTACACAAGGCTACACTTTAAACTGTTGTTCTGTCTTGCCCTCAGTACGGCCCGAAGATGTCAGAGCTGTGCTGGGAGTCGGCCGTGGGCGGTCCGATGGCCTCCTGGCCCTCACCGTAGTCGTGGCCGATGGTGGTGAGGAAGAAGAAGGCGATAAGTAGGAGACTAGAGCCAAGCAAATCACCGAGAGCTGTCAAGTAGGGAATGGCCGAGTTGTCTGGGTCAATCTTCCACTTCCACATGGCGTGGATGATGATGTGGGCGATGTACAGCAGGGACATTATCTGCAATTCAAAGTACAGAGTTTTCAGAAACGGGTTAATTGATATCAAGCAAAATTTAAGAATGATTTCCATTAATACTTGGATACTCACTTGAATCAAACTGACTGTCAGGTAAGAGGCTACAAACGGAACTCCTATGGTTGACGACGACATGTGAATGTAGTCAGCAACAAAAATGAATAGCACTTGTCCAGGAATTGACATCAGGATGAGAATTCTCGCTGATTTGGCATAAGGAACTGCAAGAGAAAAATTAAGAATCAAAAGAGTTGCACAACGTTAGGACATTCCGAAGCTCACCTCCATTGAATAGTGCCCTCCAGGGTAGCTCGAAGATGTTCGCATGTGGCGGAATGATGCCGAGAATGGAGCTCTGGTGAAGCATCGTTGATATCTTTGAGGCTTGCACCGATACAAGGTTGCCACCAATTCCATTTATAATGGGCTGGAACACGACGAAACCATCGTAAACACCGACAGCGGCATCGAGGACCAGACCGCCGAGTCTGTGGGGCGAGAAAAGAGGCATTGTGTGAATTGCTTCGAGTGGCAAACAGGGAATGAAACTATGCTATGATACTGACCCACTGATAAAGAGGGCTGATAGGACAGGCACCCAGCCAGTTGACAGCACAGGTCTCGTATACTTGTTGCGAAATACAAGATAAATCCAGAAAGGCAGCAGGATAAAGTATCCGGCCACCACGACGAAAGTCACCCAAATGTGAGTTTCTGCCAGAAAGAAATAATTATTCAGCGAAAGTCATAGCGTTAAACTCAGTGATCCTTACCTAAGTTCTCAAAAAGCAAAGATGCAATAAAAGATAATAGACTGATTGAGACTACATCTCCAATGGACGCCGCCAGCGGAGTGGCCAAATTGTCCGGATTCATTCTAAATCTACTAGATAGTAATATCACAGCCACTAATACGAAGTCTGCAAAGAGAAAAACAAAATATTCTTGCATTAAATTGTAATTTTTTCGCCCCTTCTTGCGTCACAGTCACAATTTCCATGTTCCTCAGTGGAAATGTTATTATATCTATTCTCGCGAGCCCAATTGCCAACCGTAAAATTGATCTCCGCAGAGGGTATTTCAACTTACTTAAGCACGGCGAATGTGATTGCTCAAACACACAAGTGATTTTATTCGCACTTTTTGCGAAATCCCTTCCAGAGAGACACATTCTTGAAATATCACAAAACCTCTCTGGCACATGCAAAGTTCCTGAGAATGATGTAAATCACATGAGACATATTGCGAAATGGACTTCCCACGAATCTCGCAGCTTTTCATCACTGCCAAAGCTCACGCACAAGGAGCGATCTCACTCGAAGGCATTGAAATTGATGTTATTTATGCATCAATGACTATGTCAATAGGCATAAGATAAGAAACATATCAAATCATAAAGTCGCACTCTTGCCTGGAGTGGCTTTTCTGTGTCGATGTGACGGTTTTTCCGACCGTGACTATTGTCTATTTCCACGTCACAGCAATTCAATAATAAAAGAGCGTGGAGTTTTTTGATACATTGCAATTAAGCCACATGATGCCTCCAAGGGTGTAATCAGTGCACGGAATCGGTCATTTTCCACTTCCTAATAGCAATCTCATGTGCAAATGATAAGAAAGGTACTCCACGACGCTGTGTACCCGCAAATGGCAATTCCCTGTCCACATATGGCGCGCACTTTGAGCGTCGATTTTTCCCACTTTCTGATAATATAGCCATTATGATTACTCCTTATTCGCTCTGTTGCATCTGTTTGCAAACCCTCAATATTCTCTCATGCCTCTGTCTAGTGTGAATCCTTGAAGCTCTCAACACAATACAAGATAAAGATTCAATTGAGCTCCAGACAAAATATTCACCGAGTCATTGAGGTTGTCTATTCACACGGAAACAGGGAAGAATCAATTGAGTTGCGATAATGTGAAAATTTACCTAAAACAAAGCACGATGATGTCGCTGTAAACATACTGGAGGCAATCAGGAGCATAGCGTGATCAAATTCGAAGTTCCCATTCATAGCAGCACCCACGATGATGGCAAAAACTGCCACAATGAAGGCCGCCACTGTCGCTTGCACCTGAACCAGAGCGATATTCCCAATCACCATTTGTACAATCTCTCGTGCGGAGTTCATATTGCCAAGATTTGCTTGTGTCGACAGCCGAGAAGCCAGGCACATGTCTAGATTTCCCTTGAGGCCAAGCAGAGCCGGTACCAGGATGAACAACTCCGAAATGTGGATGAAGACCTTCCAATGCTGCATTTTTAAATAGAACAGAAACATACATGTATTACCATAACATAAAACATAACATTGCAAAACAGAAAATCGCCACGACGGTCAATGTACCGCTAAGCGGCAATGGGCGATTCATTTCAATATAGATAAATTTTATCAGGTGAATATTCAAAAGCCTGCTCAAATGCCTCTAATTGTAATTCCGTACACGATAAGGGCTTTGTTCCGTCAAAACAAAAAGCTCATGTACGATTAAAGTGTGGAGCTCAACATTTTCATTTATGCTACCAAAAAGCTTTCTATGAGCTTTATGAAATCAACCTTCAAGGGTATTGATTTCAAGGGGAATCATTATGAAAAAATGCTGTAATGTTGCAACAAATTGAACAAAAATTTGAGCACCTTCTGACTACTATGGAGTTGTACTCGAAAAGAAAAAGCTCTAATTGTATTACAAAGTTGAAAACCACCTCAATTTAACAGTTTTGTATCTAGAAATAAAACATGCATCTAGATCAAGATGTAGATTCAAATAGTCACACTTAAATCATCAATTATTATTCCAAGAAACATTACATATACTGGAATTTGACCCAGTATTTCAAGAAAATTGAATGTTGTGAGATGGTTTGTTAGGTATTTCATAAACTAGCTAAACTAGAGTATCAATTTATCTACATATAGAGCAATATCTCAATATCTTAAAATATTCCTACACAACATCTTGATTGTGAACACATTCTAACATATGTTTGACGTAGCTTTCATGCTCGTCATTTCATTTATTCCAAGCGTGAGACTTTTTACACTATATATATATACATATGTATGCATAATAGGCCTAATATGGACTGAGATTTTCAACAATCACCATATTTTATTGATACCATCACAAGAATTCCAATCATTCACGCACAAATGCCTGACGATATGTGACCTTAATCTCCCAAGCACTTTAAAATTCTTCACTGTCGACGTGCGTGGTCAATTGACGGAAAATGTCTATATTTGAAGTGCCCACTGTTTTACGATCTCCTTGAATATATACTTCTGGGAAGTGCTCAAAGAGACTTTCATTCATGGGCAGAGTGGCAGAGTGTCTAAGAAATTAATAAATCGCGTCACATGATTTTTTTTTGTCTTATGAACTCAAATTCTGGGATGAATTGTGATCAAAATTCTCATGGAGGAAGTAATTTTTGCCATTGATAAGACCCCAAACAATGAATGTGGTTATTTCGCAATTATTTCAGACAGCAAGATGGTGATTATCGATGTGAGTTGACAATATTATGGTTCATGAAGCAGACATGATAAAAAGTTTTCACCGAAAAACACTCCGTTATTATGGATAACACGCTTTTTACCCCCTCATTTTCACCGTCATCTCTTTGTTGTGCCAAAAAAATGTCTCAATTTGTTAAACAAGCTATCAAATGGGAGGTCAAAAAGTGTTTTGTATAGTTTCTGGTATAGAGAGGCATCACATTTCTATGGAAGACACTTCTTGTTGTGTGCATTCAAATAGCGTCACGCCAGGGGTTATTGGCGTTTTTCGAGGCAATTTATAATGAAATTATCTCAATTTATCTCTCAATTTGGCTGATAACAATGTAAAGTGAATTTGTAGAGTTCTCACCTCAACACGTCCCAAAATGATTCCAGCACCAATCGTCCCAATCCCGGCAATCAGGAAGGGGATGGACACTTGCAGAGTCGTTTGCCACCATTCCTCCGTTCTGTAGGGCAGATCGTCCTTCCTCGTTAGCTTCTCATCGCCATCGCCACCGCCGCCGCCCGGCTCTAGTCCTCGATCCGGCTCCGAAGATGCCACGGACGTCGTGGTGATTGAGCTTAGGGAGCCTGTCGTGGAAGCTGGCAGCACCGACAGTCTGTCATTATCATTTTCTGCAAGAGCAACGCCATTTCCCAAGGAAAGACACACCATGTGAAAAACGGAGGGAAATTATTAATAAAGCTGCTGAATCACGCTTCCTTCAGTCTCGCAAACGCCAAATACAGCCTCAAAACTCTAATAAAGCCAGTCAAAACATTTCATGAATGATTTACTGAATATAGACGTATTTGATTTAAAGAGAGACGCATGAAATTGCAGTGCTCATGCATAGCAATAACATCAATTAATTCAAGTGTTATTGCATGTAATTTAAATAATTCAATGAAGTTGAGTATTGTATATTTTAATATCCATATCAACATTGCACTATTTATTGGAATATGGGAAGCAAAGATTCAGTCAATCAGCCAAAATATCCGGGTCATGATATACATTTTTTTGGGGGGTCCTGAGACAAATAAATCCAGACGTCTTGCTGAGTGATTAGAGAAGCTGAATTTCTGAATGGAGATCAATAAATTTTCCACCCGTGCAGCATTTAACACACATACAATCACCAAGTTGTACATTTTCATGGTCAAGTTTATTTGTGAAATGATTGTAATGTTGCTCTCAAATCTTATATTGAGCAAAAACTAGCTTTTCAGCATTACGCATGATCAGAGGCAAAGTGATTTCCTTTAAAAATGACATCGTATGATGGCACAGTGATGACCACATAAATGATATGCACACAGAATAATTTTCTTCCCATGAAACGTCGAGAAGCAGTAAAGAAATTAAACGATGCAATTGCAGGCAATTAATTATGAAACAATGTGACGAGTGTTTGTGATAATTGTGCTCGTCAAAATTGGCTAAATTGGAGAAAAACGACGGGACAAATTGATAAAACACTTTTCCCTCATGAGAGAAAAACCACTAAAGAGAGAATTCAGATCTCCACTATTTTATATCTTTAAAAGTGAAATTGTATACATTTTTTTTTGAGAAACAGTGAAAGAGAACAGAAAAGAAAATATTCACAAAGAAAATCAAGGTATTTTATCATTGTTTGCGATGTTTTCACTACACTGGCAACCGAAAGACTCACCATGTCCAAAAATTGTAAATGGTCTGTAATTATCAGCTGGAGTGTAGTGGCCATTAATTCCTTTACGATCAAACAGAGCATCGCTGAACAGATCAGCGATCTCTCTGCTGCCGTTCTTCTTTGCAATATCATTATTATTCTCCGGCGAATTGGACATTTTCCCTCCTTATTTTTAGCCGTGTTGTGTGTATTACAAAAATTATTGTTATTAATCATTAAATTATTTACATGCACTCTAACAATTTTTGGCTTTTAAAAAATCTTTTCAATTTATTTATATATTAATATTTTATGCTCTTATCTATTTAGGGTATATTTTAATAAACTATGCGCGATGCTTTTTTTTAATCGAGTGCACTCGATCACATTAAAAGTATTTCCTCCACTTCAGCCCATTGAGGATTCAGTATATTTGATACTACGAACACAGAAACAATGAGCTTTTCCACTTTGGCTCTCCTTCCAATGCTTTTTTGCGCTTGTTTTTCTTGTCAGCTGCTCAATTACATATTCGCGATTTTAATCTATGTTGGAGTGAATTCTCTTCCCTGCCAGAGAGAAAATTGAAACCATTTCAGTGTCTTTGCCACAAAAGTCTTCTTTCCGCAAAAACACACACACTATAGATTTTCTTTTCCTCTTTATCTTTTCCAAAAACTGTATTAATCACTGTTTTTCTTTCACCAACTTCTTTGCCAACCAGTAAATTAATTATAACTCTTGAATGCAGTCACGACACTTGAACGCCTTTTTTCGTGGATACACACAGTAATTTAAAAAAAATGAAACTGTAATGTGCTATTTCCCATTCATCAAAGTGAAAGTGTTTGTGTGTTGTACAGAAACTGCTTAAAAGCCCAGTGAGGGTCAACTTTTTATACAGTATAGCCACCAACAGTACCTAATACTACAATGTTGGTTAATTGTACTTTGAAATTCACATATTTCGTGCGATCAATGAAGATTACGACGCGGTTTTCACATAGTATTACAATTTTTTCGCTAAAGGATATTGCTTCAATGCTTTTGATCAGTTTTCACCAACTTCTGACTTCGATATCACTGATTTGTTCAAGGCCTGGAGAAGCACTAGCAATTTTCACTGGGATTCGAAGAATGGTTAAAGTATTTGACCAACAGGAGCACAAACGCACCATTCAAACTTAAACGACCAGGAGAAGCGGCATGACACAACACCTTCCCTCGGAATCAGACAAGCGACTGAACGTCTCAACTCCTTCGCGAATCACCATAAAATGCATAGACCGGTGATCACGCTGCCACTAATGAATGAACACTGAGACGCTTGAATTTCAGTCTGTGGTGTTTATGCCGCCGATACACATTGTTTATTGTTGGGCTACCTTCGTGTGTCTCTCCAAGCTGTATAGTTATGTGTGGGCTCCGCTCAAAAGCGTATTGAAGCGGCCAGGTATCTCTCCATTTCCCCCCGAAGCCCAGAGAGCGAGAGCGTAAAGAGCCGCCCAGATACTACTAAAGGTGATAAGAACAGTCTTGTGCCCGACTCGTGATTCTGCCAATAAACTATATCAAAGGATTTACCAATTTCAGATTCATCCCGCCCAAAATCATTTCCTCGTCTCGACGATCATGCCTGAAAACACCGTTCAATTTTTTTTGGATAATGTGATTTTATATAATGAAGTGAATTGTGTAATTTTTATGCATTAAATTATTTCGTCAAAATCATTAACATTATGCAAGGTCTCGTGGTGAATAACATCGGAATATTTAGCAAAAGGGCCAAAGGTTTCACTTGACCAAGAGATATCTCAAGAAAAATCCAGTTCAAGTCAGAGCTAAGAGGTTCTGAGCAAACAAAGAACATCTTCTTCAGATGAATAAATTGGCAAAGAGGTAGAATTAATGCTGTGGGAAAGCTTATATGTTTACGACCTCTGTTCAATTTAAGCCCCGTCAGAATTATCAGCAAATCTTGAGACTTTAGAGAGCTGACATACTTTAAAGTATTTACCCGAAAGACTTCCAAACTTGCCTTCCCTTATCCTTTCAATCTGTTCCTGACATTGTGCAAAGACGTTTGAATCATGGTATACTGACTTTCTCAATGTCATATGGGGAAAACAGCTCGTAAAAATTCAATAAGCCATTGGGATATTCCTTGTTATAGGAAGACAAATGCATCTATCATAACAGGGTAATATAAAGTGCAAAGTATAATATGCAATCTATACAATAATTGTTACGGGGAATTTTAGACAGTAAAAACATGATAATGTCAAACGTACTCATTGAAATGCAAATGTACAAGATGCTTCTGTTAACCACAAAAACCCTGTCACAATTTATAAATATCTTTTAATTGTCTGTTCAAAGAATACAATTAAGACAATCAGGCAAATCAAATAATTTCATACCTATTTCCATACTTTCTTTCTGAAAAATTCCCCTTTTGCATCCAATGACGTAGTTTATCTTCACATGGTATCAAAGAATAGACAATACGTAGCAATTGAAGATGATAGAAATCCCCTTTTCATGGGACTTTTTGAAAAATCACCGTGCTAATCCTGCACGTGACTGTTATTGCAGAGTAAGAATTAGATTGAACAGATGATTTGAACAGGTGTCTTTCGATTATTATAGTTTTATTGCCGTGCCACAACAAGATACACTTTTTTCTGCCAATGCACCAGTTTTATTTACATTCGAACCAGAGAAATTCCATCATGTCACCCAATAACAGCTAATTGTGTCATCAGACATGATGAATTAACTTTAAACATTGCATTATTCCGTCCTGATGATTCTGCACGGACAATTACTCAGTACAAATATGTTCAAATGCCATCAATATCGGAAGCGTACACAGTTATAGTGCTCTTGTGCTTCTCACAAATTCTCATTAATAATGCATGAGAGCTTATAATTTGGAAGCAACTATTTGAAATTAGATGGAATGGGCTGTTTTGGCGGTTCAAATGAAGGCACAGCTTGTGGAAATCAGCTGATTGACAGAAACATGAGGTTTTTATTAGACGAATACAGAAATTGTTGCTCGATTTTAAAGGTCACTTCCACTTAATCTTATCTACACCCAGCATAGCAATGTATTAGCATTAGATATTCCCTTAAAAGTCGAAGGCTGTTCAGTGAGATAAAAAAGCAATGTGGGAATGTAAATTCCATTTCTATGCTCAAGAGACGAGCAGAGAGACATGGCAAAAAAGACGCTTTTATGTTAGAGTGTCTGATACGATGAATTCCTTGAGGTTAGTTGCTAATGCCCCATGCCAAGAGTGACCCATAATTAAAAGCATCGTGAATTTCTATGGGAATTTATGGTAGACAAGAGAGAAATCACCTCATAGATTAGTTAAATATAAAATGCGGTGATGGAGATAAAAGGTCTTACGTTTCTTCTTTCCTCGTCTGCTTCTCTTTGTTATCTGTGACATACTAACTAAGAGTATGTACTAAAGAGTTTTTGTAGGAGAACAAGAATTAACACTCAATCCAGTGACAAGAGACTACAGAAATTCCGTGCAATCAATTAAACTTTCACACATTACTACTGAACAACACAACTCATCAATTCCTCAACTTATCAACCAAGTTCTGCAGCAACTGAAAATTTATCTCACTACACTTTTTTTGTTGTCCCACCGCGATATCGAGCACGATTGCAAATCTATTTTGAGTTCGTGTGTATCTCATCTCATTCAGGCGCGCTGCCTCGCGACCGTCACAGCAGAACATGAGACAAATTCAAACAAATTCGAATCTAATTGTACATTCGTCGCGTCGAATATAAGATATGCATGTCGCAGAGGTGATATTTCATCCCAAGACAACGGTTCATGTTTTCGCGTTGGCAAATGAAATTAAAAAGGCAAAACATACTTTTGCAGGCAGACGCGGTGGCCTAATTCAAAGAGAAAAATCCCCGTGAAGAGATCCATTTTCGCCTAATATAAATTCCATGAAATTTACCACATCATCTTACTTTATCACAACGGAAAAACAAACGTACCATCAATATGACCTATTTTGTTTTATTGAGCGTTTCACTTGAAATTTCATGAGATTTTGGGGAAATCACCATGACTGATAAATCGCCATAATCCTTAAGGAAGCCCATAAACTTATCCTGCTCAATTTCTTCCACCGTCTTTGCGAACACAAATCTTTTTTCGGACAATTTTTATATTGACCTTCACATGAGAAGACACAGAGTGTATTATATGTGAAAATTATTAATTTAGGTGAAGGCAATTGATGTTTCTTCACCTACAGCAAATTAAACTTATATTGTTGTTGTTTCGTGTGTGATTTTAATTCGGACAAAACTCAGGTGAAATTCATGTTTTCCCATGTTCTAGCAACAACTACATCGATTCATTATCGTGATTAGAGAAATTTCTCAATACAAATACACAAATATTGGCATCATATGAGTGAATTCTGAAGCGTGCACATCTTTCTTCGCAGATGCCATCGATTGGAAGCATGAGATATTTGTAGGAGTTGAGAAATATGACGATCTCGATGACGAAACATTGTCGATCTTGTTGCCACGTAAAAGTGCTAGATTGTGAGCAATCAAAGAGAATAATTCGCAGGTATAATTGATTATGTACAGAAATTCACTCATGATATTCTATTATCGCGCGAAGCTAAATCAACGTCTTTCTGCCAACACACAGCGAAATGTCTTCGCACACGACGCTAAACAAACACACAAGCACATAAAACAGGTAAAAAGTAACATTTGGAAGGGGAATGAATCCCAGAGAGTTTCAACTTATGCTCGACATTCTTGTGATTCTCAGTAATATGTGAAAATGTAATTGATTCCACCACCGAATTCATGATAAAAGTATAGAAATTCTAGTAATCTCTTGTCACTTTTCGAAGGAATACAGATTAAGGGGAAAAAAGATGAAAGAGAAACTTTGTGGTCGACAACAAAGCAAAAGACTGAATCACACGCGGAACATTTGTCCACAAATTCAAAAGCAAGACTGAACCAGCGACTTCCACCTTAGCCAAACGACCGATCCCGAGAGACCCTGTTTGGGAAGAACAATTGTGTGCATTTCTCCGTCTCGGCCTGTATATTTTGTAATACATATAGACAGGGTCTTGTGTGGATGCTTGGCAAAAGAAAATATACAATGTCTCCGGGAGTCAGACTGCCATAAAATGGACTGTCTTATCTTATCTCGCTCCGCTTTACACTCAAATAATTATAATCCATATTTTGATATATACAGAAATATAGAGAGACTTTGTCAAATATGTAAGCTGAGAAAGTGTTCTTGTATAATGTCTTTCCCACTGTTTGGTAAATTCTCTTATCACTGGCATTCAAACTATGGTGAACTTGCTTCAGTACCTTCAGAACTTCGACGGACAATGCCAAGGATCAAAGGTATTTTAGGCTGCTTTTCCGACCTACAGACTTTATAATATTTACCAAATTCACTCCAGCAAAACACAAAACACGTGTTAGTTTGCAGACCATTTTATGACGACATTCCACAGAATGCAAATTAATTTGTGTCAGCTATTCTCCAAATTCGAAAAATTTATATGACTCATGCCAAGAGACATCGCGGTTGTTGACGTCACTTGAATTTTCTGCGCTCTTTTGGACTTCCCAGTAATACGAAAGGAATTCATAAATAATCACAAAGGTACCAAAGTTAAAGAACAAGTTTACAGAAGCAACCTTGACAATCATCCATCTCTGAAAGACATTTTGATATGATTTACACTTTATAAAACGCCTAATGACGATCTCATTTGGGTTTTAATGCAATTAAAATTGTAAGCATGATTCAAAGGTTTAAAAATAGAGCTAAATTAAAACATTGTAAACGTATTTCGTACCAAATTACATAATGAGAAAACATTAAGGGATTCCCAATGAGAAAAGCATAACACAAATTCAAGGAATTAAAGAGCTCCCTAACCGGGAACGACTCTGAGCCTATTCAATTCAAGGCACATAATCGAAAATCAAACGAATAGATCTGTCCCACTTTGCTCTACCCAAAAACGCACCAGATGCAATATGATAAAATCATACAAAATGTCACCCGCAAAAATTACATGATAATTGACAGAGCCAACAAGAAAAGAGTGAGATAATGAAATGGGCCTTGCTGTGTAGAAATGCTGGGGTATCTTTCCACTTGCTGAACCTTAATTAACTTTACACCAAATCAATGTATCCCACTTCAATGTCCACTGCTCATCGCGATTCTTTGATCGTGACTAAAGGTCTCTGTTGACAGCATTTGAAGGAATTTCCGACTCTTTATCATTTGCCTTTGTTATCACGCCGGCCCGAAATAGTTTTGCTGTTGTCAAAACAAGTTATTGGGTTTTCACTCCAGTAAATATTGATCTATTCAAATATTAGAGCTCTTCTTGCGTGGCCTGATGAGATGAAGTTGTGAACTTGATCAATTGCGTCTCTAATCAGTTCGAGCAATAACTTGCGTTGGTTTCTCATTGAAATTCCTGAGACGTGGGAGTTTCTATGATAATGAGTGATTAATTGAGGTGAAGACATCCACCTCAAGTGTATAGAATTATGTCCATGGCCAACCTTCGTCAGCTGTGATAAGGCACGAAGACTTTCTGCATGTGATTCCCGGACGGAACCCTCCCATGAACTCACGTGGCGGACCATGAAAATGCCCTCTTGTCAGATGTTCTTGCATGGGAAGTGGCTCAATGAGGACTTGCGTCATCAGCTCATAAGGAATAAAAGTGCATTAGTTGCAAACTACGGCTATTTTTAGGAGACGCGCGCACTAGAAGAAATTACTCTAATGAGTTCCACGACGTGCCAACTGACCACAATTTATACTTATATTTGAAATTTGCATGAGCAACACATCGCAAAACTGGGCAAAATGCAATTTCCCGCTACGCGAGAATCCCAATGTTTTCCCTAGTTCTTCACCGGTTTTTTTTCCTCATCAGTCCGCCTTTAATGCAATTGAATTTTCGAGCTTAATAGATTTTTTCAGCACAAACAGCGTCGCAAACATACAAAAACAATTAATTGCATGTGCAACAAAAGATATATTGTATTCGCGGGGAAAAAAACACGAGTGATCAGTCACAATGCAAAAAGCATAGTTTTCAATAAGGAAAAATCACCTCAACAATTTATGGACTCTAAATGCAAAAGCACTAAATGGCCGGTAAGTGCTTTTTTCCGAATGGTCATATAACACTTTTTTATGACGCTTCTTTGATGGTTTCTTTCTAATACACGAATAAATTTTCCACTTATCCAGCCAGAAATTAACGACCGGATCGTGTTGTGGCTGAGAAATCGCCACCGTCGAGGGAAATCCATCGCTTTGACAGTGAAAAGCTGCACTGATAGGTTCAAGAAGGTACATATGGTATTTCTATACTATATTGCAATCGATTGTGGACAGAAATAATGAGCATGAAAAATACAAATGGAATTTGCAAATCAATTGGAAATGTCATAATATGCAGTTTGTGCAATTTACCACAACTAATTGCGTGAAATCAGACCATTTATTGATAAAAGTAATTGCTATAATTTCCTCGGAAGGAATTTCCCGACTTCTAGCATCATAACTTTCGGTAGACCAACATTAAATTTTAATATGTTGAGCTTTTTATATCTACTATCTACATGTATTAGTGAAAACTTCTTCACTTCTATCTGGGTCTTTCGTGATGATCTAGAATGCCTAAATTAACCTATTGCATGTTTGGTGGAAAAACGCGAATTTTCTCTTATGTACAGAACTGCACTCCTGGCACGAGCAACTATGTGTGTGTGTGCTTGTCCCTGACCTTGGCCACTGTATTGGAATTGAGCCACGAAATCACCCACTTTTCCCACCCACTCCCGGGTTTTTTCCGCCTAGGCGGCAAAAAGCTCTTCGTCGCAACACTCGCGATGTTACGCAATAGAAGACAATTTTTTCAGGGCATTTTAGAGAGCTTTTGGGAATGACATGGGTCACGAATTGCATTGATTTCTGTGAGCTCCACTTACGCAGTCAACGTGCATTGTGCAATGCCAAGTGCAATACCACATTCACGTTTCAATTATGCACAATTTAAATGAATGTCTGCACATATAGTTACATAAAGTGTACTAATCGTCAAAACAGCGAGTTATTCAGCGAATCAGGGAGTGCATGAGAGAATTCAGTAACACTGCACTTTCTTTAAGTCAGGGAAATGTATTTTTCAGCATTCTCGTCATGTCTCTAGAGGATATACTCAAATGCATTAAACAGATATTAAACACCAACAATTACAGCTAATGTAGACACAAAGGATGCTTCAGAATGATTGTCTTTTCAGGGGTGAGTTTGTGCAAACCTGGGACAGAGAGTCTTGTGAAATTCACTTGGTAGAGACGGATCAATAGTGGCTGTCCTTATGCACAGCGTCTGCTTTGGACGTGTTGCACACGAACTACCCGAGTTCCAATCGAGACACCCCCAAGTCTGGGACTTTCCCACTGATAGTCGGGAGACGAGTGACGACAGTGTTTTTCCCACGGCTTCTCCTATGAGTCTGCGTGGGCGTTCTGCCCTCTTCAGACAACGCGAGAGCCACACCACGCGGACTTTCCTGGCGGTCGAACAATGGAGGGACGCTGCAACCCCAACCCCAGCGGCCCCAGCTATTATAGCGGATTGTGAAATACTCCCTTGGCACATGGAGAGCGCGCAGGTCTCGCATAGTGTCACGGCAATCGATCTGAGCATCTTCACTATGACTGCATTCAAGAAATGTCACTAAAATCTATTTTCTGCTTCTCTCGCACACGAATGCATGTGAAGCGTTATGGTGAAAAAAGAAGAAGCCTCTTCAGAGACTCTCCATCGCGTTTTCATGCGTCAATTCATTCCCACTCGCAGGAAATGCGGTTTCATCCTCTTCCACAGAGAGTGTGTGTGTTTGCAGAGAAATTTGTGGCAAAGATCAACTGAAAAATCCGTATCGATTTTATGCGTTTCGAAACAGCCTATCCCCCGCAAAATCTATACCTCACACTTCATCACAACAAGATCACTATTTGTGTCACGAGCACACCCACTCGACATCCTTCTTCGCCAGCTCGTCTCACCGTGGCAACTGAACTCGCAATGTGACCAGTGGCAACGTCACAGCGACTCAGGAGGGATTTTCTGCCTGTCGTGCACAAAAAACGAGACATTTTGAGAACACGCATGTCTGTTCCAGTGTGGATGTCTCAAATCTCAACAGAAACTCGTTCCGAAAACGGGTTTGCTTTCGCAACATGCCATTTCCCCTCAAAAAAGCCAGACGCGGCATGACAAATCCCTAAAATTCCCTGCGCCGCACCTAGAGAAGTCATTCACTCGTCAGATGATTCGTCTGCGACAGAGAATTCCCGCCTTTTTCAACCTCCGCATGGAATTTTATTCCGCAGAAAAGCATACACAAAAATGCAAAAAAAATATATTGATCGGTGTCAACTAGTCAACTAGTCAATCAAATAAGGGCTATCGAGAGCGCCCAGTCCAGCTGCAACGCCCCCTTCATCGGCTGTAGACAGCTTCGTCCTCAGCATATGACCAACCTGACGATTGTACACAATCTTATCCTTGTCCCTGTTTGTAAAATACATCTGTTAATAAATCCCTTCAATAGCTTAGCACACGTAAACTATTCTAATATGCGAAACATCAAAACATTTTGCACATTCATTAATTTCCCAACGAAAAAAATAACATCACGCACGCAATGACACAATACATTTGCTCTATGATTGATAATGTGATAAATTATGAAATGGACAAAACATGCACTTCTTATTCACTTCGCAATGAGAGACAATTTGATAGAATTGTCACTACATATGCTTGGAATCTGAAAAGGGCGGAGCATTCGAGTGGGTGGCTTCAACTTGAGGAATCTCCCGACACAAATTATTTCTTGATTATTATTGGTTGTGCGATCCAACCAACTTTCTTGATGATAAGATCAAGGTTTAACCAGTTTAGCCTTCATTCTACAATTTCTTCAGCTATAATGACTTGTAAGCGAAACGATGCACGAAAGAATAAAATTGCCTGAAATTCATTAACTCTCACAATCGCAAAGAATTAAGCATTTATCTGCATGATTTTTCGACAAATCTTGATAAAGCTTCACCTAGACGCTATAAACTCCAAAAAATTGTCGTCAATTGATAATCACGTTTTGGAAGTCTAAAATTAACTCAGCTTATCAAGAATCCACTTTCATTTTGATTTTCAATTAGCCGTTTTCGCATCAATTCATTATCTAAAATACTGTTAATACCATATAATTACAGAGTGCTTCTATTGCTGTTACTCTGCACATAATTACTCTGCTTATCGCAAAGTTCGCAAAGCAATTTATCAGCCTCATAAAAATTCGATAAGAGATTGATTTTTAGAAATTAACCTCCCAATAAATGCTCAACATGAAAATGTTAATGCAATACTCACCCAATTATGGCTCCAAAGATGCCCAGCTCGGAAACCAAGTCAGAGATTTTGGGGAGACCAACTTCACCAGGTCGAATGATGTACCCTTTAGAAACTGGCGGAAAAATCCGCTCCATCAGGATCCAGGCTGACCGCTCAGTGGCGTTCATTTTCTACAAAATATCACAACATTATAAGAAAAGATATTTCTACATGACAAGTGAATCGCCTCACCTTTAAGGCATCGGGAATGTCTTGACCGTAAACATTGTTACCGCCGCCCTCTCTCTGGGGCTTCAAAACGTACTTTTCAGGATTCTTGAGAGCCATCTTGACAGCTTCTTCGCCCTGCTCGCTGACATCCAAGGAGTACAATCCAGTGAAAATCTCCTTCACAGCTTCAATCTTTTCATCGCTGTCCAGGAAACGCTTCAAAATGCCCGGCTTGGCCAGAGCTTGTTGCACTTTCTTCGTTCCCGCCAAGTGATAGTGAATAGAAGGACACTTAATGGCCAGCGAGCGCTCCATAATGAGCCTGGCGTCCCACTCTTTTTGCGTGGGATAGTGGGTAGGTTCGTAACCAGCCCTAAAGTAGATGACACTCACTTCGATCTCACCCACAAGCAGCTCATTGTTTGGTCCCAGTTTAGCCTCACTGTGGATTTCAGTGAGGGTCTTCCGAATGACCCTGATTGATGGGTTGGTCTTGCGAATCTCAAATTCGTGGAAACGTTGATCGCAAATGTTGTAAGTAACATTCTCAACGATAAACAGAATTGCAGCTTGAGGCTTCCCAATAATCTTCCATGCTTCAATCATGCCTTGGCAGAGTCCTGAAAGTGCAGGATTCTCCGGTAACTGGAAAAGGACAATGTTGAGTAAGTCTTATAGTGTTGAAAGCAATTGTATTTTTACTCACATCCGACACTTTATCGCCGTGATTGAGTTCGTGAAGAATATAGCTGTGGATCATTAAAGAACAACGTTAGCAATGACTCTTCAAAAGAATATCAAGTGCGTTAGGACAAACAAACATTGAAAAACAAAACTCAAAAGCTCAAGGAGTGAGGATGTGACTGTTAATCCGGATGTTAAGAAGCTTCGGGTACCTATGCATAGGAGTCATGTGGCTGGAGATTCCACCAAAGCTGGATGCAATAGTATTCAGTTCCACTTGTTTAGCACAACACGCGTCTAAGCAATGAGCCAAATAATCTGAACGGAGAAGGCCTAAAGAGATGATGGCCTGTAACGACAATATAAGGAATTTTTGGCTTTTTATCTATTTGAATCCGATGAAATATTTTTTTTTATGTATGCGATGAATATGAAATTTTATCAAAGATATACTCCAGCCACACAAACATCCAGTTCCTCATGTGAATTCATGTTAACTCTCCCTTAATTTCATGCCAAACCAGACAATGCGATAAGAATTGCTCACTTGAGGCCTGTTACCAGACTAAGACAGATAACACTTTGCCAAAAGGGGTCAAATTGAGACTCAAATGAGCACTTCTCATTCCTTGACACCCGTCTTGTTAATGACTCCCAGAAGCGTCCCAAAGAATGATTAGAGGATCAATGAAGCAGATACCAAACGCTCTTCTCTCTTTTCCTAAGAAATCTACTGATCAAGCACCTTTGCAGTCCCCTAGAAATAGGCCCCAAGTGCCCAAAGCCACTCGCAATCGTGTTAATTTCCACTTGCGGCAGCAATAAGCTGCCGGACCCGATGCCTTATCGAAACAACACGACTCCAGCATCACGTCGGAGCGGAAGAGTCCTAGCGAGAGGTGCTTTTCAGGAAACACAACAAACCATTAATCAGAAGCTCAGAATCCGTCATTCAGAGATGAGTCAGATGGACATGCACAACGCTCAGGAGTCTTACTTGATTCGAGCAGTTTCTTAGAATGTCCTCGTAAATCCGGAACAGATTCCCGGTGAATTCATCCACTTTGATCGTGTTGGCCAACGTGGTGCGCAGAAAGTCCGTGTCATGAGCCACTCGGTGCATCAATTCATTGAGGATCGTCTGCAGCTGCACGGCCTTCTCGAACTCCTTCCTGGGAAACGAGCTGGGCACCAGCACGAAGGGAGCGAACTGCAAGAGAAATTGCCGTGCTATATCTTCACGTGATTTCACCCAGGAAATTCGTGTCACCTGCATAGCATCCGGATTGAAGTTGGACTTTGAGCGCATCCCGGCTCCGTGCATGATGGCCCAATCCTTGGCCTTGTCAATCACATCCATCAGCTGCTCATCCGGAATGGGGATGGGAATGCAGGGCTTCAGGACGGGCAGCTCCACGGCTGAGCAGCAGTTCTCACTTGAGTCGCACGCACGATCGCACATTTTGAGACTTTGTTTCGGACTGTGACACTGAACTGTGATAACTGATGAAATACTACGCAAAGATTCGTCTGGAATCTTCTCTTTTCGGGTTGATTTATCAGAATGATTAGACTGTTTGCTTTTTATTTCACCACACTGACGACATCAGCTGACTGGAGAATTCAACTGGCCGTTTCTACACTGTAAATTGCTGTCGTAACTTTCCGCCCTATGCATCTTTGTGAACCTCGTGTGAGTAAACAGTTTGCTGTTTGGATTCTTCTTTCGGCACTGTGGTAAATCCAGAAGACACCCAAATCCTTGAGCATTAGAGTCACATCTAGATGGGCCACGAATTAATTTTTTGTTGAAACTTTTGAGAGAAATTTCAGTGAGGTAAGAGAGCCAACACAATTGCTCTTGCTTGACTTCTGCTAAATTCACGCACACATCAACGGATGATTTCTTTTGTTTACAAACAGTGACGTTTGAGTCAGTGATCTTGGAATTGCTCATGTGATACGGAAAAACAGATATTTTGGAGTGTTCCAGTGCGAATCTCAATCTAAGAATCTCAACAGATACCAAAGAAGCGTGAGAGGATCTAATGGGACAGACAAAGAGTCAGTTTTCAGAAGAGGAACTTCAAGATTACGAGGTATTTCAGTCTGGACACACCCCGGAAGTGATATACTCAAAGAGTTCTATCATGTCTTGTCTCTCCCGCAGGATCTCACGTTCTTCACGAAGAAAGAGATATTGTGGTAATGCTGCACGTTTGTTCCTCATCGTGATGCATTGTTTGCAAATGTTATGCTTCCTCTTGCAGTGCTCATAAGAAGTTCAAAGCTCTGGCCCCGGAGAAAGTGGGTCATAACAAGAATGCGAAGCTGTCGATGCACAAGATTCTGCAGTACCCAGAATTACGGGTGAATCCGTTCGGGGATCGGATCTGCAAGGTTTTTAGCTCCAGCAGTGACGGCGATTGCACGTTCGAGGACTTCCTGGACATGATGTCAGTGTTCAGCGACGCAGCTCCGAAGACTGTGAAGGCGGAGCACGCCTTCCGAATCTTTGACTTCGACGGGGACGATATGCTGGGCATCAGTGATTTGCGACAAGTCGTGGAGAGGCTAATTGGCGAGGGAAACACTCTCACGGACAACGATGTGAAGCTGCTGATCCAGACGATTCTCGATGAGGCCGATCTGGATGACGATGGGGCGCTCTCCTTCGCCGAATTCGAGCACATCATCGACAAATCATCAGACTTCTCCAAGTAATATCCGTCCCATCATCATAATTGCCTTTATTAGACTATCTAATGGTGATCTTATCTATTTACAGCTCCTTCCGCATTCGTCTGTAGTCTAGCCAGACGCTCCGAATCTAGTGATTTTTTTTTACAATATTTATTACAACAAGTAACATCTCGAATATCTTCCACACAATGTTCCCACTTTTTGTCATAGGATTAAACATTATCCAGTAGAAGAGTGCATTCTTCTTTAGTTTCTGCTTTTTGGGAATAGGTAATTGACTTATTAACATCTATGCTATCAATACAGTGCTGTGATTTGCTATAGATCACATGTCATCGGCCGGATGGCCAAATTCTCGAGCAGTGTCATCAGAGGTGAGTCTATGTCTAGTCTTGGAAAGGTTTTCACTTTGCAATTCCACTAAGTTCTAAGTGTTTTAAGTATTGAAATGAACAGGAAATCATCGAGAAAGGAGGAAAAATGGATTTTCAATTCCAAATAAAGGTAAGAATAGTGTTTTTTTCATTTCTAAATCTAAAATTCAGCAATATTAAACAAGGTCTCCTATAAGGGACACTACTGGGATTAATTGAGCATAACATCCCCCCCTAAATTCGATGTAAAACCAAGACTAGCAACTCACCCAGATCGAGGCTGAGATTTGGCAATGTCTAAATCCCACGCTGAGTCGTCTTTAGGCGTCCCGTTCAGTAAAAGTCTCCACATGTGGAGGAATGCTATTGAATCACATCAGCCGATCCGAACAGTGTGAACACAATCCAGCCGAAGAAGTTGATGACGATGCAAGTGGTAAAGACCACCGTCCAGCTCTGCGTCAGCTCCAGTATGTAGCCGGCCAGGTAGACTCCCAAGAAACCCGGCACAGCGCCCATGGTATTCATAAGGCCAAACACGCTGCCTGAGTACGTTGGCGAGAGGTCTTGCGGGTTCACGGTGACGCCATTGTTGTGGAAGCCCGATCCGCCGATGATGATCGTCATGCAAATGATGTGAACGCTGAAGTCTGTGGCGTGGCACATGAGCAGCAGGGCGAGATTCTGACTGGCGAAGCACACGCTCTGGACAATCTTCCGGACGGCAGTGAGGGACCAGTTGCGTGCCACCAGGGCGTCCGTGAGCACCTTGCCCAGAACAGTGCAGGGCGGCAGCGCGAACCAAATCATATTCACCAGCCACCCTTTGGCCGTGGGAAAGGAGTCGTGAAAGTAGGTGGGCAGCCAGGAAAGTATCACGAAGAAGCAGTTCATCTCGCACGCGTGGGCGATCACGCAGGCCCAGAGGGAGGAGCGCCTCAGGAAACGCAACCATGGCACAGCAGACTCGTGATGGGCTAACTTAGGACACTGGACGTTCACCACGCGACTTCGGTCCGATGACATTGTGTAGTAGCGCAGGAATAGTGTCCACACGAGTCCCAGGAAGCCGATTACACGGAAAACTGAAGGCCACCCGAAGTAGTCAAGAATTACGGAGCCTAGAATGCCCGTGAGAAGAGTCCCGAAGGCCGATCCGCACGTCAGCATGCTGAAGAAGCTGGCGCGCTCACTCGAGCAGAGGTTCTGCACAGGAGACAAGGATGAAAGAGAGAATGCCAAAAGCCTTCTGGCAAAGTTACCTGACTAGTGATGCTGATCATGCTGGGGAAATGAACTCCCTGGCATGCTCCATTGATGATTCGCACAACCACAATAAAGGGAATGCCCCATGAGATGGATTTCGGCGCCATCAGGATGATATTTGGCATCCAGAAGGTGATCAGAGACCAGCCAATCGCCGCCGCCAGCATCACTCTCTGTCCCCCAATGCGGTCGCTGAAGTATCCGCCCAGAACCTGAGTCAGCGTGTAGCCCCAAAAGAAGGAGCTCAGGATTGTGCCGGAGTCTGTCTTGTTCCACTTCCTCTCACTAGCCACCGCCGGCACCAGCAGTGGCATCGTTGTTCGTGTGGAGTAGAGCGTCGTGGTGCCCAGGATCAGCGTGCAAAACCACAGCCTCTTCTCCTGCCTGCAGAGAGGGAGGAAAGTGAAGCAAAGCATTGGGATTGTTGGGAATTTGGGAAGACTCACCTGGACCAGACATTTTGATTGTCAGTTGCATCCCGCAACAGGGAATACTTGAGTCTCTCCTCCATGCTCTAGACACCAGGCATTATTGTGGAGTTTCGATAGAAAATATTGAGAAAACCCCACGTCACAAATGTCTTGTGGACGCACACACGGTTTTCAATAGCAAACTCACAGCGTGTCTCAGTGTCTCGGCTAAACTTTCAAAACAACACACTGTCAGTTGGCATTAGGATTTCTCTATGCATGGAATTGGAGAATTCTGAGCTTAATTCTGGGTGTGAAACTAATCACGCTCGAGATTCTATGAAATTCACAGTTTTTATTCAATGGAAAATTCACAAAATTACACTCTTTCATAATATTCACATCTTCCATCAGAAAAAATGTTAACTGCGCGTCTTTTTGCAAATTATACTTCAAAGATATTTGTAAAAAATAAACAGTTTCTCAAGAGATAAAGCTTTTTAGAGAGACTTGAAACAAAAAATATATATACTTTGCGTATTGTACTGAAGGGAATATCGAATATGCTTGAACTTAGACGGATGTGATGATTGGGAACTTTGTGTTGTGTGCCAGGTTGTCGCGCTGGATGTATTGCTGAACAACGGGGAAAGGACTGTTGTGGAGGTTTCCGACGAACCAGAGGAGCTCCTTCGTGACCTCTTCCTGTCCTGTCGACTCGATTAGCTCACTGATCACGGTCGAGAGGAGTTTTCCTTCCTCATTGAATTGCTGAATGAATATCTGGGCAGCCTCTTCCTGCACAGAAGAGAAGTTAGCCAGAATTCTAATCGAGTAGATGACAAACCCAAGCGCTATGTCTTTTGTTGGTGCTTTGCGTGGATATTTTGTCAAATAATGTGTGCAGAAAGCGATTATCTTGGCCAGGTCGGTGTGATCTGTTAGCTGGAAGTCCTTCCTTATGAGATATCTGTCCAAGAGCTGGATTCCGCCGAGGGTTTCTGGGTTCTTCTCCTCTGTGACAGCATTTACGATGATTTTGTTGTCAGCATCACTGAAATTGCGCATGATTTAGCTCGATTTTGAAAACCAAAATCATTGATTATTACCTCAGGACTTCCTCCTCTCTGGACACAATCAATTGCAAGCAGTTGAGGGACTCATTCTTGATGTTCTCGTCGTAATCATTCTGCACCACGGAGATTAACTCCCGGACAATTTCCTGCGACATGAGGATCTTCAAAGGTTTCCCACCGCCGCACACGAGATTGCAAAGCACCCAGAGACAGAGCCTGGCCAGGTGCTTGTTGGAACTCTTCACGTAACTCAGCAGATACGTGCCGGCCATCAGGGCGAGCTTCTCGCAGCAGAAGTCATCTCCCAGGGAAAGATTGCAGAGGCACTCCGTGGCCCACAGCCTCAAGTCCGCGTCCTGACCCGTGAACTCTTTGATCACCACATTTATCGCACCTGGAATCCGCATGAACGTCGAGATGTTCTCGGAGTCGCGCATGAAGGCCTTGCTGAGACGGATGAGGTCATTGGAAGTGGCTCGCTTTCGCCTCTTAATCCTCGCCGCGAGGCCCTGCACGTCTTTCTGCGTGATGTTATTGGACATCACGTCCACAATCTCCCCAAGGCCACATCGCACCGTGTCCAGGTCGCTGTGGCGACTGTTGGCTCTGAAGTCCTGGATATCCCGGCGAATGTAATCCCGGATGCGAGAGTCAATGGGCGAAGGATCCGCAGACATAACCTCACTCAGGTGCTAATAATCCTTTGGAAACACCACAAACACCCCTTGATTCCCGAGGAAAGTACTAACAGTGCTCAGTTGAGTGCCCCCCGCGGACAACTGCACACGGGTGAGGTGCTAAAAAAAGCGATTGCAGGTGTAAAAGTGCAAAAATAGCCAGAGACAATTCGTCACCATCAATGAGAAAAACAAACTGAAAACTGCGTCGCGTCAAGGTCGCATCCGTCGACGAGTCATGATGGCGCCAAAAATTCGACCACCCGGCGATATTGTCGATATATCGTATGAATATTGTCCGTTACAAGCAACTTTTATTATAAGAGATACAAAATATCTTAGAAAAATTCTGTCACTGGACGGCTTAGTGCTATTCAAAAAATACAACTCTTCCTGGAAGATTTCTGAACGCTGTAGCGTGTGAGATTGGAGCGCAGGAACAATTTCGAGAGTTCAGTCAGTTTTTGAGCGATGAATGCAGTTCAAATGTCGTCGTCCAGACTTAGCAGGGAATTGCGAGCGGGATCTGAGCTCTTTTTCGCCATGGAGCTGCCGTTTTTGAGGCAGCTGGCGGGCGCTGTAGAGTAGACAGTCGCCTGGGTGATGTAGTAAGGACGAGACTCTACGTTGTGATTCTCCTGACTGGACGCCAGAAGTGTATGATACCATTCGAGTGGGTTGAAAGGCGGTCCTTCTCCGCCCAGTTCCGTGACCAACACGTCACGGGCGATGCTCTCGTGCAGCGTGGACAGATTGCTGTGGAGTTTAATTCGCGAGCGCGTCTTCTCCTTGAGGAACTGTCGGATCACAGCCATTGCCGCCTCCAAGTACCACGTCTGCCCGATGAAGTGAATGGCTTTGAACTGGACTGGAAAGCAGTCCTGCGGAAAGAAGTAATATATCAGAGATCACTCATGTCAGCTACAAATAAAAAAAAACCTTGAGACAATGTGGGAAAATGTCGTAAAACAATAATTAGCAGAAAATTTATCACGAGTCGAGTCGTTAAGTTTTTGCAAAAGGATGTTTAACTGCTTATGGCCGTACGGGACAGTTGTGTTCCATAAAAAGCATTATTAATAGCTCTTATTTCTCCTTTCTCAATGCTTTTGAACCCAATTGAAGAATAAGGACAAGAATGAGTTGATATTTTGTGGTTTGCGTTTTTCAGGCTGCCAAACTTCGTGCTCACCTGAAGACCCTCGATCATCAGCTTGAGTATCTTTGGGTTGAGGTGGGAAGACTTCTGGAGAGTGAGGTTGCTCCAGTCGACGATGGCCACAAAGCCGTTCGCCTGATTCTGCTTGTCCTCGAGGAGCTTCTCCAGCGACAGCAGCATGGCGCGGTAGATGGTGAGCAGGGAATAGAGCGCTGGATCCCAATTGGCCGTGAAGAACACCAGCACTTTCCTGCCTCGGCGGTCCCTCTCCGGCAGCACGCCCGGGAAGCCGTCGCGGAGCGCCAGCTGCACGCTCTCGTCGAAGACGGACAATCTTTGGAAAATAGCCTGATTCTTCTGCATGTAAGTGAAGTAGTTGATGATGAGTCTGAACGCCTCGTCCACGTCGAATTTGCGCGCGAAGAGGAAGCGCAGCAGGAAGTCATTGTCATGGTAGCAGGACTTGTCTTTGAGCGCGTAGTCCATGCTGGCGCCGATGAGCTCCTTGATCTGGAAGAGCGCTTGGTTCCACTCTGTGGGCTCGTTGTACACATTGTAGTACTTCTTGTTGCCCATCCGCACGTCGCCGATCTTCGAGCGCATGTCCCATTGGAATTCAAAGTACTCCGACATTGTGAGTTGCCGATTAGATCACGAATGTCTCAGTTGAAATGTTCTGGAAAGAGACAGCAAAAGAGAATTAAAATCACAATCAGTAATTGATAAAACACTGAAGAAGTTCTCAAGCCTAATCAATTTACTCAATTACATATTCTTACACAATTAATTAGTAATATTTCAACCCCTCAATTTTCTTCAAGAACACCAATAAGAGAATACTTATTAAAGTGCTAATTTCTTGCAAATTATCTATGAATCTTCCCAAGAAATCTCATTTTCTCTATCATTAGTCAAAATTGTAATTGCAATATCGAATTGCAAATAAACATCAAATCAATTTCTTCAATACAAACGAACAAGGTGAAAATGCTGTTTAATTTTATATTAACAAATTTCAATTTGCATACATTTTCACCAAGTAATGCACGCATTTATTGCAACCAATTACAAAACTTGAATGTGGTTATTGGTTATCAGGTTTACAGGTGCTTGAGACTGTTTGGCTTCCCTGTCGGCAAACACCTGCCCGTGAATTTAGTCACTTTGTCGATTTTCATGCAAAATTTACACACATAAGCAGCAGATTCACCTCTTTACTTATGGCAATTTCCCAGAGAATTATTTACTGACAAAATCGTGTGATTAGAGACTGTTAATTGCACACGAAACTGTGGCAGAGGGAATTTCAGATGAAATTCCATGCCAGGGTAATTTCGTGGATTGCAATTCTGCCTTCGGGTCAAACTTATTATGTTATAAATTGACGGTGAGTCAGCGTTCAGCACGAGAAGTCAATCTTGGCCAGTTGTTTAGAGTCACACTTTGTCTTGAAAAGGGAAATTTCCGTGTTTTGCAACACTTGGTCAGACTGTTTACAACTTTCACTATTATTTATCTCATGAAAATATTGATGGTGCGCTTTGTGGAGAAAACCTATCAGAACTAATCGATTTCCAGCCTACACTTGAGGCATAATCTATCGTCACTTTCTAAACAAATAACACACTTCATTTATCACCAGCGAAAGGGAATATAAAAAAAAATCGCGATAACTACATCAAATATGTACATGAGATTTTAAGGTCGCGTGTGGCTTCTATTCCCAACTGATAAGAAACACTTCACGTGAGATTTTCAATAGAATTTTGAAAGTGATCATTGAAACTCATGATATGATCAATCTGATCGGAAAAGGTTTCTTATTTGGCCAAATTTCCTCGTCTTTTCAGGTGTGGAGTGTGAGTCACTATAGAAGGAATGCAAATTAGCTTTTTTTTGCTATCAGCGAATATGAAATGAGATTTATGAGGTCATTAAGCCTGATTTTTTGCACAACTTGAGGCGGACTTTCGTAGAAATGTGCACTAAAATTTCAGAAGTGAACAAAAACAATATTACCGTTCTAACAGAACATCCACGCACCAAATTTCCAAGAGATTAAGATCTTTCCTCGTGCCGAACACCTTGCATTCTAATAACATTTACACCAGTGAGCAGCAAATAGACAACTTTCGATACAATATACTCAAAACAACACAAACACACTTGTGGTAGTCGACTCGAATCCGGATGGAGGAAATTAACACACACCCCAATTGATTGGGTGCTTTGCGCCCACGAGAGTCACAAATCTCTCGTTATGTTTCTGCGTGGTGCGCAATTGAAATTCACAATTAAATAGGCGTTTTGCAGTTCTGAATGGCGCCACTCCGTCGTCACTATATAAGAAGAGTAGATTCACACACGCGCCCAGCAAGAATTGTAGTCACTTCGGCGGAACTGTTGGAGGTACACTGAGAGAAGTGTCGAACTGAAACTCTTCGGCAGCGCGGCTTCAATTTCAAAGGCGAGGGGTTCATTGCAGTGAGTCATACTAAGATCGCCAATATATAAAGATGGCATGTGATATGTATTCTAAGCCTCTGATGGGGTATTGGCTTTAGTTTCCCAGATTACCAGTACTTTCAACTCCACAAGAGGGAACTTGTCGAGTTGGCATTGGATTGTTGACCCCTCGACTTCCCTGCACAAAGCATGAACATACGTAAGCGTACGTCGCGAGCATGCATTTGATATTGTGGCTCACCTGGAACACGGCAGCGAAGTGGTGGGAAAGGGTGTCAGTGTTGTACTGGGAATTCTATTACATATCATTTTTCGTAAAATTCTTCTCCAAGCAGCTCATCATTAAATCCAATCCTGACCTCCATCGACTTCATGAACACATCATTTTCAAGCAAGTTCTCTGAACACATTCTCATTGCTCGCACACCACTCGCACTGTATGTAATTATTTATTTATGCCGATACCACCGATTTTATCCACTAACACAGCGCCCGTGGCGATATAGAATATCATGGGGAGAGCACATATTGAGGTGCAAAAAAAGTATGAAGAAAATTTCTCGCTTCTGAGACTAGTTTGCAGTGTCACGTGAAAAAAATGCGAATTCAAATGCAGACTATCTTGTCGTTCAGTAGAGAGTATTTTGGTCGGCAAAAAAAATAAAACACACACTGAAGAGAGACAGAAATAGATGTGATTTGCAACTTTATTCCATCGTGAGTCATTTCAATTTTTTCTCCATCGCGAAAACTCTTAATTCTCTGTAGCGTGACCTTCTTCGTGTTTCGCGCCGCAGAAGAGAGGTCTTTTATTTTAAAGAAACTCAAAAAGCACCCCGAAGGCCACAATATTTTCATCGTGAACCTCATTTGAAAATTTTGTCACAATTACTCTTTTGGAATTGTTCTGGAATGGTTTTTTTTGCTCATTACATTTAGAGGTGACTTTTCGGGCCAATTATGTGTAATTTTCATTTTGTCCATAGCAAATTGTATAGGTTTTTTCCCATTCCCGCACTCTGAATTGTCGATTATGCTTCGGATGCCGAAATATTCTCACTAACTTTTGTGGACTTTGTGTAATATTCCGTGCGATAAGACATTATGAAATGTTGCACAATTTCCCTGTATTTTTTTTCTTATCATTCCTAATTTGTATTTCGTGCAATTTGCGAGCGTTGTCAGTGAATGTGCCATTTCTGCTGTGCCTATTTTCATTATCGGCTTATCGACTCGAAAACAAACATTACACATTTTTAGTGAATATATTTCATTGCTAACATGTTAAATATTATACGCTTAACCGCTTCTTTTGTCAACCAAACATATGTTTGAAGTGAATTTTGACCCTTTCGAACTTCCTAGAAAGTCACTCTTCCATGAGGGTGGATTCAGGATATTATTGAGTTACATTTTTCAGCCATTCCACGAGAAATTGCACAAAGAGGGGAATTTTTTCAATGAAGAGTGGCAAAGAGATATGAGTGAAAATAGTAAATTGCGTGAGAGTTAAATGATTGAAGAGTAGAATTCAATATAATTTCAATTTTATATTCCAACAAAAGTCATGAGAAAACACTCAAGTCTCTCAATATTCACGTTGCGATGATATTTATTCATTTTATTACTCCGTTTAGAGCTCTCACTATAATTGTTTTTACAGAGCAAAATTTGCCTGGGAAGAATAACAGCTTCAGCCTTTGCCAAATATTTGGAATTGCTCATGGATTTGTGGTAATCAAGTCTATTGATAACAGCCGGAGAAATCGTGTCATGAAAGATAGTGCAGCATATCAAATTTCGCTTGAAAATATGGCATTCATTCATGGTCCAAAATTTATTACGCAAGAAGATAGAGCGGAAAACTTTCCTGTGTTTTAATTACCAAAATTTAATTGCTTGAATAACACTTCCACTGAAGAAGACACGCAGAAAGAATTATATTTTTAGCGGAATGTCTTACAAGATCATCGACGATCTGCACTCGAGTAATCGGCAATGTTATCAGTGATTAACGCTGATTTATGCTCTTCGCGAGTCCCAGAATTATCTCAATGTCTTCACTGTACTTTTGTGATATATTTAGAGTTGAATTTTCGACTTTTGGACACCATCGTCAAAATTTCGTCAGATTTCGTCATAATTAGCCTCCCTGTTGTCATTTTAGTCGATTTTGCGACATTTGATTTTTGCGCGATTACAGATAGAACCAGGTTTCGCCCAGCTCAATTGTACCATAAATACAATGAATGATTATCCACAAAAATACTGTCATCTCGCAGTACCTCTTTCTCCACTTTTGTGAGAAGGTCATGGCCTGGTGAAGACCTCCAGTCTGAAATTCGAATAACCAGCGTCTTGGTTTTTCGTCGCGCGTGCCTAAATATGGCTCTACAATTAACATTCTACAAAGTTAAGTTCATTGTTCCATTCTTTGGCTTCCTCTTCTCTTTCTCTCTGCCATTCTACTGGTGCTTACTCGATAAACAAACCAGGAGCGACCGCAGAAGCTCTGCTCATACCAATTAATGGTGCTGCGAAATTATGATTCATATCGCTTCCTAATTATCAATTTTTTCCATCATGTACACATACACATTATTGTCGAGAGGGAGTGCTCTGCAATGATCATAAATCGTCCGCAGAATAAGCCATAAATCCGTAAAGCGTGAAGCTCACGAAACACAAGGTCTTTTCTGCGTACTCTGCGAAGAATTGCATCAAAGGAGGGTCACTCGCGAGACTTTTCCTGTGGTTGCGTAAGTTTTTCTTTTAATTCTGCAAACACACTTTCTTCTTTTACATCGCATTCCCGCACTCACTTCCTACCGGTCTTTCTTGTGCTTCCGCTTCTTCTTCTTGCTGGACTTTCTGTAATCCTGTGAGTCGCTCGAGGAGCTGTCATCTGAGCTCGTGCGCGATTTCTTGGACTTCTTGGTCTTGTTCCTCTTCTGTTTCTTGCGCTTCTGCTCTTTCTCCCTCTCGCTGCTCGACGATTCCACACGTTCAGTGCGTCTCTTGTCTCGACCGTTGGAGTGTGACACCCTCCGATGGTGATCAGCGCTGCGCGACCGCCGTGATCTGTGCGATGAATGGGCAATTGGAGATCGCGAGCGTCTCAATCGACCTCTCTCAGCACTTCGGGATCTCCTTCTCGCGGCTGATCTATAGTGATCTCTGTCGCGATGGTACCTGAGGAATAAACACCGTCCGTGAGACAACTTCAGCAAAATATCGCTTAGAAAATTACCTTGATGATTCAGACATTCGCGGTGCTGGAGAATAATCTCTTCTCCTTTCACGACTCCTGCGGCGATCATCTCTGCGATTTCTCTCCTCAGGATACTCTCTTTCTCTTCTATTCTCACCAGATTTCCCATTCCTCTTCTCATCCTTCTCGTGATAAACTCCTCTGCCTTTGCCTCGCCACTTCACTTTCGACACTGACTGCGAAAAGTCTACATGAATCCTCCTGTCATCGATCAGGACGTTGTTCATCTTGAAGTATGCATCCTCGCAAGACTTCTGCTCCTCGAATTCCACAAAAGCATACTGCAGAGAGGCTCCAGTCGAGCTGTCCCTGATCACCTCGCAGCCCTTCACCTTCCCGAAGCGACTGAAGATGAGCTCCAGATCGTCATCAGTTGTTACAGGATTCAGTTTGCAGACGAACAAAACATTCTCAGGCGGGGCGATGTCAGCATCTGGGAGATCGCCCACAATCTCCAGGATCGTAGCTCTCGCCTTTGCCTCTTGACTCTGCAACATTTCGGAGATTTCCTCCTCAGTCTTCCCTTGAGTGTCGTCAATCTCCTCATCGGCGGCAATTCTGCCACCTTGCAGTCTCTGTACTGACGGCGATGGTGACCTGGAGGGCTCACGGAATCCACGAGGATCATCAAATGGATCCTCGAGCACAACAGTGTGAGTAATTCGCACATCCTTGTAGGGACGATATTTCTCGTCACAAATCGTCTCACTGAGCTGTCTCAGGACATCATGGCCCTCCACAACTTCACCAATGACACAGTGAATGCCATCCAGAGACGTCAAGTCCTGGCCAAGAGTGAAGAAGAACTGGGAACCAATCATGTTGCCTCCAGAGCTCACCATCGACAAAAGTCCCATTTCTGTGTGGCGAATCTTGGGCAGTGTTTCGCCTTCGAAGTAGCGCTTGTGCGGGCCTTCGATGACACCCCAGATTGAATTCCCACTGTGTCCGGAACCCGTTGGATCGCCCGTCTGTGCGATGAATCCATGCTGGATGGAGTGAAAGAGGTTATAGTTGTAAAACTTGAGTTTGCAGAGCTTCAGGAAGTTCAGGCACGTCAGTGGTCGCTCGTGGACGAACAGATCCACTGTCAGGTCACCCAGTGTGGTCTCAATAACCACAGACATGCTGGAAAGTCTGGAAAATATGCAAAACGATTAGTGTCACACTCCTTCCGGAAAAAAGAACTCAAAACACATACTTGCTATGCTTTCTCTGTCAAATCTATGCCACTGAATTCTTCTAAAACATCAATAAATATAATATTAAGTTCGCCAACAGAGATATTTACAATAAATATAGAGGAAAACAGAGGAAAAACTTTGATATTGACGCTTTGTTGTTCGCTTTGGGAAAACAACATGAGAACACAAGGAGTATGTATTTTTGTTGTTTGTTGGGGTTCTCGTACAGGAGGCGACAAGCCAAGGAGTATGTATTTTTGTTGTTTGTTGGGGTTCTCGTACAGGAGGCGACATCGTCTATTTGAGGTTAGGTTTTAGCGAAAAATTCGGCCGTTATTTTGATCATACTATTTTTCATCGCGACTTTCTTTTCGCGCGAAGTCACAATAAACCAACTGTTCATTCATTTCGCACGTTCTAATTGTCAATTTTCTGTGCAAAAGTTGAAGAAAAATGAATTGCAGTGCAATTGGCTGTGAGAATATCCAGGGATGTAATCCCCACGTCTCCTTCCACCAACTCCCACACCACGAGAGTGAGAAGGTGGTGAGGAAGTGGAGGAAAATCTTGAAGAAGTCGTCAGGTATTGAGAAGAAGATCATCAGAGTGTGCTCTGACCACTTCCTGCCTGACGATTTCCACCCCACTTCCCGAGCTCTGCAGGGAGAGTGGAAGTGCAGAAGGAGATTGAAGAAGGGAGGTAATGATTTATATACAATGCAGGTTGTTCTTTTTTATTATTTCATCTATAATAATTTTCAGTTTTCCCGACGAAAGTTGGGACATCTCCAGAGCTGAGCCGGGCTCATCCAGAGGCGAGTCTGGACCTCATCCAATCTCTCAACCCAGAGATTGCAATTCTATGTAAGTTTCAGAATAGAAATATGTGTAAATTGATTGACTTAAATGTGCTCTCGTATTTCACAGGGATCATTCCTACGCAAAGATCATGCCCTGCGGTAATGGAGATGAGTTTGAGGAGAGAACTGCAGTCTTGAGAGACGAGGATGAAGAGCTGAATGATGTGATCCGCGATGAAGCCGGAAGTGACAAAGAATCGGAAGTAGACATGCTCTTCGACAACACAATCGAAATTATTTCGGATTATGAGGAGACAGTGGAAGATCAATCGATTGATAAGTTATTTTTTTTTATAATATTCAATAACTCTATATGGATTTCATTAATTTTTGCGAGAAAGTTGAATTTTACTTCCAAGATTCCACGATTTTCATCTCACTTTTAAAGTGAAAAAAAAAATGTTCTAAAAGACACGTGTGAATTTATTAATGAAAATGTGGACTGCAGCAGATATTCAAAAGATGTCTTAAATACTTATGTGAAGCAGAGAATTAGAAACAAAATAATTTACCAAAATAATCACTTAATTGAGAAGGAGAGAAGGGCGAATATGTATAGGAAAAAAGGGTGGGCGGCTTCACAGGAGCAAAAGAAAATACAAACATTCACAACTTGAATAAAATAATGAAAATCCGTGAAAAAAGAATTGTTTAAATTTAAATTCCCGCGAATTCACTTCACCGCGAAACACAAATTTAACTATACATCTTCTTCTTCTTAAAATGGTCGCTTGTCGCCTCCTGTACGAGAACCCCAACAAACAACAAAAATACATACTCCTTGATGAGAACAGTCGCCAGCTGTTCTCGGCAACACACTGTAAAAAACGCACACATTTTTTCTTGCATAATGTGTACCAACGGAAAGTTTAAAATCTAGGTTCTTTTGTCATTGACAGTGCGAAGGAAAACATTGCTGATAATTGTAATTTTCCTTCATTTCTTTAATTTATCGGCATATATTTGCTTGATTTCAACTGTAATTGAGTTAAATTACACCAGTGCGAAATGGCCTGGCGATCTGTGGGGAAAGACAATGCGGATTTGGTGCGGAAATTGAGAGGTAAATAATTCGCAGAATGGCACTCCGGGAAGTTTTCTAATTGTGCTCTTTGTTCGCTTTAGAGTTCAATATAATCAGCAAGGATGCAGTGGAGAACGCAATGAAAGACACAGACAGGAAATTCTACTGTCCCAACAATTCCTACATGGATGCGTAAGAAAATGTGAAATTGACGGATTGAATTGCATGATAATTGAGGCTGTTTTCAGGCCACAAACCATCGGATGTGGAGTGACTATTTCTGCTCCTCACATGCATGCCTATGCCTTGGAACTCCTGAGCAATCATGTGCGTCCTGGTAGTAGAGTCCTGGATGTGGGATCTGGATCCGGCTACTTAACTGCGTGCTTTGCGCGCTATTTGAAGGCTCAGGCTGACTTGGGAAGCGGTCTGGTGGTTGGGATTGAGCACCAGCCGAAATTGGTGGAGCTTTCGCTGAAGAACATCCGCAGTGATGATGCTAGTCTGCTGGAATCGGGCGTTATTAAGATTGTGGAGGGCGATGGACGCCTTGGATGTCCGGAACACGCTCCCTACGATGCCATTCATGTGGGTGCGGCAGCCCCGGAGACGCCCACTGAATTGATAACGCAACTGAACAACGGTGGGCGATTGGTGGTGCCCGTGGGACCCGCGCTGGGTAGTCAATATTTGGAGCAATACGACAAGGACGCCAGCGGAACGGTGACCAAGACGAGGCTGATGGGCGTGATGTACGTGCCTCTGACTGACCTGAAGACTCCCTGACTGTTCTGCGTTCTCAAGCTGATTGTTGTCTTTGCTCTGACGTCCTTTATTGTCTACAAGATCTATCGAGTGCTGTAGAAATTGCGCCAGTTATTTATTTCAATCCTTGCCTATCAAGATTTCACCAAATCCTTAAGTTCTTTCATTTCTTTCGCGCACTCTGACGTGAGGATCTCGATTGTGGAAGATGGAGTGACTACGCAGTCATCTTCTATGCGAATTCCCAATCCTCTGAACTCTGGAGGCACGTCCTGGCGATTCTCTGAGATGTAGATTCCTGGCTCTACTGTGAACACCATCCCTGGGATGAGATTGACTGTTCGTGAAACTGTTGGTGTGTCGTGCACATCCATCCCCAGGTAGTGAGAAACGTGATGGGGACAGAAAGAGTAAGCAGCTCGGGCTAGACTCACTCCGGACAGGTTTTTGCTGATCAGTCCAACTTCCTGGAGGTACATTCCCAGCTTCACACACATTGTGTCGAAGAGGTCATCCAAGCAAGTTCCTCCTGAATTCAGCAGTGTCGCCAGCAGGTCTTTCTGCAGTGTCAGGATCACGTCATAGAGGATTTTCTGGGGTTCTGTGAAGCACCCACTGATGGGCCAGGTCCTCGTGATATCACTAGTGTATCCCCCGTACTCACAGCCAGCGTCCATCAGCACTAGTTTGCCGTCCTCGATCACTTGGCTATTCTCAATGTAGTGGATTATTGTGGCATTATTCCCAGACGCCACGACGGGCGGATAGGCCAGGAAGTCTGCATTGCTCATGCGACAGTGATAGTCTACTCTGGCAAAGAGATGATGCTCAGAATCTCCTGGTCGAGATTCTGTGATGGTCCGATTGATGGCTTTCGAAGCAATTTGGCATGTTCTCCTCATCAGTTCAACTTCTGCAGAGGATTTTATCAGTCTCAGCCTGTGTATGAGCGAAGTCACAGGCTCCAGGGGCTTCTCAATCTGTTCGCTGAGCATGGAGACACTGTTCAAGACTTCTGGTTGCTCCTGGAGAGCACTGCGATCTCCCCAAAGCACACAAGATCGGTTCTCCTTGGAAAATTTCGTTAAGTAGTCCATCAAGTGCTTTGTATCATGTGATTCGTCCACTCCAAAGACTTCCACTCCCATCTCTGGTCCAGTTCGCGTGCCATTCCACATTTCTGCGTGTTTGTCCTTCGGCCTTAGGAAGAGGACACTTTTGTCTCTTCCGCTGCTGTCCAGCAGTAACAGCAGCACACTGTCCTGCTCCAGGCATCCTGACAAGTATCTAAAGTCAGAATTCTGACGAAAGACATAAGGAATCTTGTCGCTAATGTACTTCTTCCCGGCTGATGGGATAACTACAATGTGTTCCTGGGATTGTGTGGAGCTCCTGGCGATGCTCTCCAGCAATTTCAGTCGCCGCAATCTCAGCTCCTCTTTTGTGACACCCACAACGACTTCCGACGTTTTCAGGAGGTGAGGATGACTGTAACCTGTTGGCTGGCCAATCTTCACAGGCAAGTCCTGAGAATTCTTCTCAAACTCATGCTTTATCGACGAGGAAAATGCCCTCGCATAACCTGAAAAAATAATATTCGGACGTATCAAACCTGTATTTAGGCAATAACGTGTTGTCCTTTTATCTATCTTACTTGGAGAATAGCTGGCAATGGTTTTCCAGTGCCTCCAGACCAGGAAATTCATGATAATCACTGGAGAATGTCACAAAATATTCCACTCTTTGCAAGAAAACTGTTTTCAAAACAATCATTGACGACACTGCCTCTAGGTTCTGCTAAATTGATTTAGCGCGATGTCATGACGTAATCAGCACGTCAGAAATCAAATGTGCTGTGCTTCAAAACCACACGAAAGAATCACACATTTAGTCGTCATTCTCATCTTCGCACGCGCTGAAGTATTACGGAATTTGGCAAATTCGGTCAATTCATTGAATAAATGGTGGCAATCGTGAAGGATTACAAATTACATAAATAAATTGCGTGATGACAGACTACAGTGAAATTGTGAAATTTATTATGATATCGTGACCTTCTCGTGGGATAAGAATCAAGTACAACTTATTACAAATAATCTCCAAGGATGAGTGCTTTTAGAAAATTGAAACTCGTGACGTCACAGTATCCCGTTCTGCGAGGGATGATTGCGTACAGCGTCATCTGGCCGACAGGTTCACTAATTCAGCAGGCAATAGCGGGAAAGCGATGGGGTGAGTTGAGTCTTGTTGTCTTGCGCAAATATTCACCTACGCCACTGTGTGTCAATGCCAAGTCTATATCCATCTCTCTCGGTTTCTTTCAATGAATGCGAAAAAATACGATGAGTGTATCTTTTGAATGAGTGCCAAGTGATGCAATGTGCCTCTGGAACACTTCAAATGTTTCAAGTGAAGACGCTACTCAAACCCCATACACACGCCAATAGACTTTCTATAGGAGAGTTTCAAATCAGTGGAAAATTGAAAGAATGTCGTCTGCCGAATCGAACAAATTTATATTCTTTAAAAGAATAATTTTTTACCAAGTTGATTATTCATTTATCCATTTCCTTCTCCTCCTTCAATGCGTACAATTGTATGGTAATGGTGCGAGAACAGCTTCTAATAACTGCATAATTGCAATAATGTTTGGCGGGATAAAGATGAGAACTTTTTGGATCAAAAATATCTCAACGTTTGATTTGTTTTACAGAAACATTTGACTTCAAGAAATGTCTTCACTTCTCGCTGTACGGATCTCTATTTGTGGCTCCAACGCTGTACATGTGGGTGCGCTTCTCATCTCGTCTGTGGCCAGCGACGAATCTGCGTGCAGGCATAAAGAAGGCATTGATTGAGCAGGTCACTTACGGTCCCATGGCCATGACCAGCTTCTTCCTCTTCATGCCACTGCTCGAGGGCCGAACGCTGCAGCAGGCGATAGAAGAAGTGCGCGTGAAAGTGCCTCAAACGTGGAAAGTTGCCATTTGCTTCTGGCCAATTTTCCAAACCATCAACTTTTCCTATATTCCTGAGCGCAATCGCGTGCCATTTGTCGCCACCGGAAGTCTGCTGTGGACCATCTTTCTCGCCTACATGAATCAATGCGAAATGGAGAAGCTGAAAGCGAAGAAACTGGCCAAAGAGAAACTCACCGCCAAAACACAAGAGAATCTTTCGAATTAGAAAAATATTGGATGCTGTATAAATTATTGTGTGGATGTTTAGGTGAAATTTAATGAAATCTGTAGTATATCTTATTATACAATCGGGTGAATAAGAACACATTGTGATTACCAAGATTAGACAGAAAAGTCTTATTTTTGACAAGATAAACAGAGGATTTCCTTACATAAGCATTGTGATATCTTTATTATGAACTTGCCATCATATCAATGAGATCATAAACGGGCGGAACTATAGCCATTATTACTAAATAAGTCGAATTCTTCAGGGGAAGAATCTTGATTTTACGATTCTATTTATTCTATGAACATTTGAATGGTTTTACGTGGATCTTGATTTTTTTGTGCAACTATAAAATAATACTGAATCAAATACTACAAATTTTATAACGAACATTCTACGTGAAATCTGCATCTATTTTATTATTTACAGTCCAATTTGCATAAACAACCATTTTCCGAAAATATACAAAAATTGATATTACACAAAGAAACAAAAAGTTCTTAGAGATGCTCGATAAGACTACTCTAGAATTTATCTAACTCCAATTCGTAGAATGCATAACAATCTTTAGGATCAGGACAGAGTCAGCCACTACTTTCTGCTTTTCCCACATTTCCGCTTGATATAAAATTTAAGTGTGTGTCGTGTTTAAGGAAGAATAGCATTTTAATTGTGATCGCCAAGGGAAATTGTAAACTGCATGTTGTTCTCGATGGCCTGAGAAGCGTCCTGGGGCATCATGATGTGATTATTGTTGGCATTTGGCACAGCGTACTCGTGAGAGTGGAAGGAAGCGCGCGAATACTGCGCGGGTGTGATATCATAGTAAGCTGTTGATTCCTGCAATCCTCTGTCCAACGATACAGCTTGTGGCTGTGCGTAGAGATCCAATCTCTCTGTGATGTCCTCATTGCGCCTTCTCATGCGATATCCATTGCCAATGTCCATGCCATTCGGCATCTCATATCCGCTCATTGAGTAGAAGTTCTCAGATTTCGCGAATCGCCCGTCCTCGAGTTGATTGCCAAACATCTGCGGCTCATTGTGACTCGAGACGTCGCAGAAGTACCCAGAGTGGCTCTGGTTGTTGTTGTTGTGAAAATGTCCCTGCGTGAAGATAGCAGGCTCGTAGTGGTGAGGACTAGATTCGTTGTTTCGACTCGATGAGCTATTATTAGTGCTCTCTTCGTCTGGGAAAATTCCCTTCTGCTGCTGAATTGTTCCGCTGCCCAAGTCGAGCAATGTGGGCGGCGATGCGGAGTTTGTCACACCTCCCGGCGGCTTCAGTGGCTGATCCAGCTGAAATATCTCCTCTGGCTGGAAAAGATCCCCCGAGAGGGGCGAAAACTGATACAAATCCGATTGACTCGCCATTTCCAGCCCCATTTGATTGTTCGCGCTCATTTCCACTGAACAGTCGCTGTATGCTAGATAAGGTTTGCCGCTCTCGGGAAACTGCAGGCCCGAGAATTGCGTCTGCGAGTGACTCCAGTAGTTGGATGGCTGCTGTGGCGGCTGCTGAGGACTCATGATGGACACACCGAATGACTCCGGGTAGCCAAAGTGCGTGGGCGTCTGAGTGAAGTTCTGCGTTGGAGCTTGAGGGTGAATGTTGCTCATCAGGCGACAGGTACAGTTGAGCGATGGACACAGGCATGATGAAGAGTCTCCTTTAAGCGGAAAAGACAGTGATAAGCCAAATTACCCCACTTTTTCATTTTATTGTTTCATATTTTTATTAGATCCGGTAAGGAGGGAAGTTACTCTCAAAATACAATTTGAGTATTTTCAGATTAAAGCGATCAATCGAAGTTCATGTTCCGTTGTATATGAATAATATCATGGCGCGCTTCGATTATTAAACATCAATTGAAGCTGACTTCACAATACTAATACAATAAAAATGGTGCATCACAAGTATTGCAAGTACTCCTCTGAATTTTTCTGATTTTCCGCTGATAACTCTACACTGGTGAGTATGAAAACATTATGATTACCTGCATTTGAGTCCGGGATAAGAGGTGGAGGTCCCGTCATGTCTGTGCTGGGTAATTTGGGCGCTTTCTTGGACTGTCGCAAGGAAAGCAGCTTTTGGGGAGGAATTCACACAATTAGGACTTCTCTCGATTGTGCAGTTGAGCTTTCACTTACCTTATTCCCAAGAGCTGCGTCTCTGGCCAGAAGTACTGCCAATCCGCGGACTCTTCGGCCGCTACCGAGGCTCCTGCGGGTTTCGCTGGAGCTCTTTGGCTCGGGACGCGGATGGTCGTGAACGCCCTTGGCTTGGAAGAAGATGGCATTCTCGGTGTGTCGCCAAAAGTGGGTCACTGGGTAGCCACAGTGCCCGCGGCACGGCAGAATCTCCAGTCTTCCTGCCTTGCAGGCGCGATTGGGACAGGGCTTTCCCTGCTGCTTCTTGCGCGCCTTGTCGCAAATGGCTGGGCGCAGGTGCACCCGCCCGCCATGGGGCAAAATACAACCCGCTGAGCAAATGAGGACGCCGAGGCAGCTCTTCTTGAGGATGTTCACATTGTGATTGTTCGTATTCCGCATCGCCCATCCGGATGTGTGCTTCTTGGCGTCCTCATTCGTGGCAGGATAGACGAGTCGCACATGACCATCCGCCCACTCGCAAAAGTCATCGTAATCCGAGTCACTGATAATGGGAACATTCGTGTCATTGATGTCCCAATCCTTGATAATGCGCTCTTTGCTGATCATTACTGGATTCCCGGTGAAAAAAGACGACATTTGAGCATGAAAGTAAGGGTGGTTTTGTCTGCAAATAGAGCGTTGTAAATATTTAACCTTTCTTCTCTCAATATCGCCGCATTCTTCTCTACACCTAAATATATTCTCAACTTTCCTATAATCTGATTCTCAATTTGAAATTCAAATTAATTTGTGAATCTTCCTAACAATATCACTTTATATAGATCTTTATCGATAAATGACCAATAATTTAGAAAATCACATTTCACGCCTTATTTCGTCCACGAGCATCTTCTTGTGTGGACAACACGGAGAAATAAGAAATCACATCAAATTTAGTGTTATCGATGTCCAACACGACTGAGATGGAGATTCTCATCGAGTCTGTCTATTCTTCATGCTACATAAATATCAAACAGGTGTGTGGTCTATTTTTCACTTGAAATATTGCCCAAGACCTAAACTGTGAATCATAGATTCTTTTTACCGAATTTCCATTCCACCATCAAGAATAACTGTTTTAAAATCGAAAATTGAACGAATTTCACCAAATTACACCACAAATTGTTCGATTTTCCGGCGATAAGGGGAATTTCCACTCTCCAAATGATGTTCAATTTAATGGGGTGAGACCCGAAATGGAATGGAATATTCGAGTCTTTTGTAAACATTTATGGATGATGAGATGTAAGAAAATGTTCCCATAGGATCTGATCGTGTAGGTGTAGAAGAAACAAGTCGAACAATTTGTTGAAAGAAAAAGGCTTGACTGATCAATAAACTTCCAAAACCATTATGTGGCTTTGTTACATATTACACCACACAGGAATGAATCTAAGGGGAACAAATTGTCGGATTTTCTTTCTTCCTAATCTCACTGATTATCTAAGAGTCAAAAGATTTTTTTGCCCTGTTAAAATGATTCAATAGAGTTAAATCTCAATCAGATTTATAGTGGTTTTACAGGTTGAAAAATTATCGCAATGCTGAATCTCATCCGACTACCTCTTTTAGTATCAACCACAGTTGATATTTACTTATGGTTTATTGATATGTTTTCAGTTTTGACTCTATTAATGATTAATAAATGCTTGTGTGGTTTTATGTTTAGACGCTCAGGCTTTTTTCTACACGCACATCTTTTACAAATTATGTGGAAAGAGGAATAGAGAAGTCGTTTAGAATTCAAATCATGTTTTTCAAGGAATAGAAAAAATTGGACACTTACAAAATGACCATATTTTGTGGTATTAATCCGCTTGTTAAATTATTACTAGTCGTCGATGTCACAATTTTCAAGACGAAATGAATTACACATGAAAAAAAAACACTTAAATTCACTCAATTTATCACAGAAGGTATTGTATATCTTTAGGAATTCTTTCTAAGACAAATCAGTTCTTTTGATTTCTTCTACATTTTACCACACACACGCACAAAGAGATGATCCAGCTTAATTTAATGATGAAAAACACCACACGCACATTGAATTAATCACTGACCATAGTATAAGCAATGTCGTGAACATCGCAAACTTGGAAGCAATCCTTTAAATTTAGCATCGATTCGACAATATGAGATCATTTTTGTAAGTAGGTTCTTTCGCAGCAGCAGAAATAAAGGGAATAGTTAATACTTTTGTCACTTAAGTACTCTGAATTCACGAACAACAGATTCACACTCTTCTCATTTTGCAAGTCCGTCCAGTCACTCTGAGGGTTGATGACAAACTACGGAGAAATTCTAGTTAGAATGCGAATATTGTGTGCCCTGAAGTGCATTACTACTGTCGCCGTTCCCATACTTTATGTATAACAATACACCATGGGAGAGGAAGAAGGAAAAAAGAGGGGAAAATACGAAACACCACCAAATTCAATACACTCGAGAACATTCACTGTCTGTCAGTAGGATGGAAGAGGCTTAAACTACTTGTATGAGAACTGTAAATGTTGTACTGGGAAATAGTACAAAACTCCTCCCAATGTGCGAAGAAGCAAAAGAGAACACCAATAGTAGGAGGTTCATTTACGCAAGCGTTATTGGTCGGATAAGTGGATAAAATTATTTCCCCTCACTTTAATAATAGAATAATTTTCCAACAGTCACGCATATGGCATGGAAAATGGAAAAATCTTTTTGCACAATGATTTTGTTGGCTTTTAGGATCAATGTCCATAGTTGTAGGTGGATATTTTTCTTTGAAATTAACACACACACACAGAAAGTTGAGACAATCGTGGAGGATGATATTGATCTTTTTATTGGTTTTATTAGATTAATTTTGCATATTGTACTTTCTTTCCAATCAATCTATGAGATTTCTTTCAATTATACAAACTCTTGGACAAGAAATCAAATTCCCTTGTCAGTCTTAATTTTTCTTAAAACCCGTTTGGTTTAAAGCTGTGGATAAGCAAGAAAAATGTTCCCCAAAATTGCTAAAATCTACCCCACTCTTTCCGGGGCTTCTAGACATGCTGAAATGTATAGGAAGTGGGTATAGAATGAATCGGGGATATATACAAATGACAACGGAAAGAGAGTAGAGCGGCAGAGCATACCACTGCAAATATTGCCATATTTGATTATATTCTTTGTTGTCTATATTGACAAAAGTTCATTGGGTGTGATGGGAAATATCCCATCGGCACTATGTGTATCCAATGGCGCCTCACACGCGGATGATGAGAAAATCGTCATCAAACAACAAAGGACAAATTAAATTCGCTCGAATTGTTTCTATCGGAAACGTAATACACACGAGCTGTTTACGATTCTTGTGCAAACAGACAAGTTTTGGAAGTTGACAATCAACGAGTGATTATTTCTCCCGAGTGGAAAATTGGAGCTTGGATCCTTGTTTCCAATTCCTACCTGCATCATGATCATGTGGTGTTGTGTGCAATTGAGTATGTGTGGTTAAAAAACATCTCCACTCGTCGGCTGTGCTTTCCACAGTGTGTCGCACAGGAAAAGGTGTATGTATGTATCCAATCAATTGCCTCGCGTGCCACAAAAAGGTCTCTTCAGGTGTTGCAAAAAGAATATCGACGGCTGTGAAGCTCAATCTAGACGACAGACTGGCTAACTAAATATGGAAAGATACAAAAGGAAAATATGAAGCAAAAATCTGCACGTCGTGAACGGGAGCAGCATAAAAGACATACTCTGCATGTGAGACAGCCGGAAGAGTATGAAAAATCGCAATGATGATGGATCACACGAGACAATTTCAATCACATTACCATTCCTCAATTGATGGGCCATTGATAATTTCCAGATTGTTGTGATTTTTCTACATCCAACTGATGGTCACACAGTAGTGAGAAAGCCCGAAGTAATCCGTCAAATATTGGGAGTGTGCCAAAACTGCATCGGACCTTCCGACTGTTGTGTGGGAAAACTGAAAGAGGAAAGGAAATTTATATATATTCTGACTTCAGTGTAGGTAATACAATTTTCATGGTCATCTCTTCTATGGAATTACATATTATTATATGAATTCTGTCTATGAGCACTTCCCAATCCACAACAACCCTAACGATATAGTGAAGGAGATGCACTTCAAAGAATATACCCTGATGTATATCAATTAAGCAAGTATAAGGGCAACTCGGCTGAATATTAGTTGCACTATTATGTGGTTTCCTTCTTTCTTAATGTGATATTTGAAGAAGTGGGAAAAATAGCAGTTGAACACGTGTGAAAATTACTCAACTCTTCAATGATGTCTTTCTTCCCCCTTTGAAATACTCATACATAAAATGTCTTACACATTATTGGGTAGATAAGATTATGAGGCAAACTCGAGGATTTCAATTTATATTAATAATAAATCAAGTAGGAATCTAGCGACATGATCTCAAGAGAGTGTAAGAGTGAGAAACAATAGAGAGAAAGATAGTCTTGACATCGTCAATAAAGAGACGAGTAATAAATATGTAAAATTGATATTGTGTAAATGCACAAAGTAAGATTGAACACTTTTCTGGGCACGCTGAAAATTCTGAGAAGAGCCGAAGATCACAATTTGAATGTTGAAATCTTTGCAGAAGAAGGAAAGCAGGTTCAAAAAGAAAATAATATTGCTTATTTCTAAGGAATAATTGATTTTCTTTTTACTAAAAACTGATTTGGACACGCTAATCACAATGAACGAGAATACTTTTAAAAAGTGATAAAATATGAGTACGAACAGCAGGTTTTTTTATCGATTTTAAATGATTCCGTGCTTCTTCTTGGCATCACACAGAAGCAAACGCCATTTATTTAAAAGATATTAACGAGATTATAAAATGGGGGTTTTCAGCGTTTCGTGGCGCAATAAAAAAAGAGTTCGAGAATGAAAAAGCAATTTGAGAAGACCATTGTCAATTTGGTGGAATTTCTTTTTGATTCTCAAAATCGCTCCTTCCTCATTTTCCATGTCTGTTTGTTGTCTTAATCTTACGGCATTCCACCTCTTGATTCTCTTTTGTCACTTAACTTGCCACTAAAGAGCATTCAATGTGTGAAATTTATGTGAATTAAATTGCGTTTGCTAATTCTTTAATTCATATCCGTTGCGTTGTTTTCGTTCTCTCCTTGCCTCATTTTTTCGTCACGTTATATATGTGAATTCTTGTGTTTTAATTAGTGTCAAGCTTTGAGATTTAATAATTGACATTGAGATTGATTCAGATTGAGTGGCAATAATGAAGCAGGAAAAACTGATGTATAGAAATAATCCAACAAATCGTGGGAAGATGATTCACACCCAAAAAAACTCGAAATATGCTGGTGGTCGGTCCTATACAATATATTTGGTCCCTTTGGTGTGAATTGACGACGGAGTTGTTTATATTGTGCATTATATTTGTCACATAGAATAAAATTCAGTAGTCAATAAACTTCAATCAAATGCACCCAACACAATTGAGAATTGGGTGGCACAGGCAGCCTCATTCTGTGCCCATGAGAATATCTCTAGCGCTGTTGGAGGGTAACCGATATACCAGATCAATGAGTAATGGGGCTTCTATTAAAATGTAAATAATCAAAAGGCGACACGTAGTATGTGCTCGTATAGGAGAATTTCCAGCCCGTATGATTTGATGTGTGATTTCAGACTCACGCATAGGGTAAAGGGAAATGGCAATTAAGAGTATACAAAATCCATAGTATTTATAGATGAAAGTGATTCAATTGAGAATTCTCTCGATTACCTCAAATTAGTGTAATAGACACCAATTAGGGAAATCCATTGTGGAAAATTTCTCAGCCACAGAAAGACTCTTAATATCGTGTGATCGTTGAACATTTTCCAGTGATCACGATTTTTACCCAGCCAAAAATCCATCTATATAAGATCTTTGATGAGATGAAGTCATGCGTAATTGATTAAAATTGATTGTTTGTCGGCAAACACTTTGTAATCTTCTTTCTGGCCTCAGATGTTCACTTAGTTTATTTCATTTTTAACATTTCTTTCATCAAATGTTAAAATAGAGAAGATTGCATAAAATTAATTGGTGTGTAGAGCATATTTATACAAATTTCTGGCGAAACACGTGCAAACATTACTTCTTTAACGGTCCCCTGAAACGTTTCTCTTCTGCTTCCTGCGCTTAAAGTTAAAAATCGTTTGAGACTTTTTCCCAACAGATGCGACACTTCGAGTGTGCCAAAGAATTTTCACCTGAACTTTTCATTTATGTAAATATTCAACCCGCATCTCAGTTGAGGGCATAGGAAAAAAATGTGAAAATAAATGAAGCTATAATATAAATTTCCAGCAAAAATATTTGAGGTGAATCCGTTATAGCTACAACTGTGGCAATTACAACTCTTCTACTTTGTCTTCCACCCCCACGAGCCACGGGCAAATGGAACACTTCAGATAAGACACCTTTAATGCATGTATAGCACTGTACATATCAAGTGATTCTAAACCGTTTTTAGCATTCAAGTCTCACAACATCAATCATCTAGAGCCTATCAAAAGGTGACACTATTTGCGGTGCTTGCCTACAAAATCTTAATTATTCCCGTGCAGGTGATGTTTTATGTGCGAGCTGGCATGGTAATCTCTTGAGCGCACATGCTGAATAAAATTAATTCAACGTTCTTCAATGAGGCGTTGGGGGTAATTGTGTGTATTTTCTTGTGTGCATATAGATTTTTTCTTGGAAACTTATTTTAGAAGGATCAAAAGTCAATATGAGGTAAATTTGTCTCTACATATGCACAATATGTGTATTTTTTTATAGTAATTGCGACTATTTAGTATGTAAATTTAACCCGCATGATTTGATAAAATGAACTATATTTATTGCGAAGGTCTGTCTCGCTTGACGAACTGACTTGTAATCCTATACATTATTGTCTGTTAAAATTCATTATCGTTATCTTAATTTTCAATTTCAGTTGCGAGTCACGAAGACCATCAAATATGTCCTTTTCCGCTGAAGATGAGAAGCTCTTGAAAAATATTATAAATGGCCGAGATTTTTCCATGTTCGCCAGTGACGATTCATCATTAAGAGACGAGTCAACGGATGCCTTTGAGCTCAATATTGATTCTCTTGCCTTTATTCGGGCTGAAGAGGCTGATGTTTCACTCTGCAATGATTTGGGCTTGGATTCAATGATCAGCGCAACGCATCACGACAAATCATATTGTGATAGGACAACGAAAGACTTTTGCATTTTCGAAGAAGTTCAGCGCTTTGATGAGAAAGAGAAGGAAAAGCTGAGGCACAAGATTCAACACCGGGAAGAGAAATTTAACGAAATATTCAGACCCATGGCAAGTTCGACTCCAATTCCATTTGATTCGTCAATGTCAAAGATCGAGATGGCAGAAATCGACGAAATCTGTGGAGATTACACGATTAACGCTGAAACTGTTGAAATAAAGAACACAAGGATTATCACAAAGGACTGCACAAAGGCCCATGAGAAAAAGTCCACCACAGAACAAAGTGTGGATTTGCTAACGAGCGCTAATTGGGACGCTTATGGGGCGCCATCCATTGCTCCATTTGAGAATACAAGACGCACTCTGGAGACACCAACTTTCTGTGCAGATGCTCTCGTAATTGCAAACGAGTATTCACCAAGCAATTCTACCGTTGGTAAGCACATTTTCTTCAGCCAGAGAGAAGCTGAATCACCGCGAAATGGTGATATTATTGGGAAAATTGAGCAAATTGTGGAGTCACTGATTGAAGATTTGAGCACAGGAAACACCCTCAGTTTGCAGATAAAGCGTATTCATTCGTGCAATATGGAGTTGATTGACGAAGTGTAAGTATAAGGAATTAAAACAATCTACATGCAAATTTTTCAGCTTTCTCTTACTTTTTCAGATTGAAGATCAAACCAAGCGAGAAATCTAAACTGAAGACAGTTAGTTTTCACAGAAAGACGCACAACCAGAGATTTTGCCTGATTGTTATGCTGTTGGGAGAAGCATACAAATTCTTGAAGACCAACACTGGCTGCAATAAGCGCGAGATCCTCTACCGCCACTTGAGTATGGTGAGAGACATGAGAAATCTGGAGGTTGGCATCGCAGACATGTGCGCCATGCTCGAGATTGCTCCATGGGAAGTGGGCATTGTGGCCACTTCCAAGGGCCTGGTGTCTGGTCCCCTCCGGATAATCATGGACACAAGTGACGTGATTGATTGCGGCACAGCTTTTGAGGGAACTGCTCTCCCACACAATTTCACTGCAATGCAGGAATTTCGGACCACCGCCAAGTTTGTGTTGGTGGTTGAGAAAGACACCGTCTTCGAGAGACTTCTGAAGGATGATATTTTCAACAGGATCGGCAAGCATTTCATTCTGGTTACTGGCAAAGGCGAGCCAGATACGTGTACACGGTTCTTCTTGAATAAGATGTGGACAGAGCTGAGCATTCCAATTTACATTCTAGTTGATGCCGATCCTTATGGAGTTGAAATAATGCTCACATACAAACATGGATCTCAGGCAATGAGCCAGCAAGCTGATTCGCTCGCTGTTCCTCATATTAAATGGATTGGAGTTCATCCGTCTGATTTGGTCACACTCAACATACCGAAGCAGCGACTGACTTCGGAAGATCGCAAGAAAATTCGAGATATCATGAAGAGATTTTATTTGACAGCATCAGTTAAAGAGGAACTGAAGATACTGGATGAAAATGGTCTTAAAGCTGAGATTGAAGGGCTTTACGAGTTTTCCAATAACTACATAATCGATGAATATATCACGAACAAAATTAAGAATAACCTTAATATGTAAATTATTTAGTATTTTTTACATGAAATAATATTCTCTGAAATACACATATGAAAATCTTCACCGTGTTAAGCATCGCAATAATGAAAGGGCCGAAATTAATCGTGTGTGATTACGTGGAACATTTCGATGGTATTTTTCCTAATGTCTCAGAATAATTCACCCAAAGTAGGTCATTAAGCTGTAATCAAATCTCAAGATCAGCAAATTATAATGCATCCCCTCGATATGTGATAGACTTGGCCGGGGATGGATTAATTGGCAATTTAGGGGGGCGAATTATCGGTTGATTCCGTCGATTCTCATCTTATTTGCGAAATAAGCCCTCTTTGTGTACGCTTTGGACAGGTTTTGCGCCTCAATGCACTGATAAATTTCACACAGAAGATATCTGACCAAACAATGTTGAGACAATGAGAGGATACTCACTTGATAAGGGCATACTTCTTGAGTGACTAACTTTCAATATAATTTTCCCATATTTGTGGATGACCACACTAATGTCTTCGGCACACTTCAAGCAGAACAATAGAGAGTTTACCTGCCCGTAAGGGTAGGCACTATCTCTTGGCCTTTCTGTCACATATCAAAAGGATTCTTCTCCACCTCACTTTATCTCACCGTATCAAGTCAAACGCCAGAGATTTATTATTTTACAGACTTTACAATTTGTACCATAAATATCTTCGAGAATCGCCAATCTTCGCATTATATCAATGTTAATATCACGTCAAGCGCATGCATGGAGGTATACCGGGAAAACACAAACTCGCAGTCCTTTCAGCAGATGTTAAAAATGATCTTTTCTTTTACTCCCATATGCAATCTAACCGGTAATCAACATATTGCTGTCTCTCTGATGGTGTACACCTTTTGTGGCTGCGTTTTGTGTCTTGCACATAGTGAGCATTTTTTATACGATAAATCATCTCATTTGTCTTTCAAGCGCTCTTTCATGAAAACCATCACAGATAGTAAATAATAAAAAAGGAATTTCCAGACGTCGCGCGTCGAACAATTGTCTCGTGATGTTGTCCTGACGAATATTGCTTGCGTTCAAGAGGCATCAGTGGCACACTTTGGGATTTGTCTTCTTATTGTTCGCCGTTCTTCTTTTATTCAATGTGGTTCATTTTATCTCATAATTTACATCACACCTTCTGGGGATTCTTTTATCTCTTTGACGGAGAGAGTGTTGAATCAAATTTATTACACCTAATTACTGACATATTACAACAATATGATGTCGGTAGATATTTATCTATGTTTATCTTGGTGTCTTTTCCTAAAATTTCGAACCTCATTACATGTGAAAAAGACTCCCAGCGAAGAGTCCAGAAATTAGTGGATTAAATTTTTTTTCCCACAGTGATGAAATTTTTAGCATCAATCTTGCGTGATTGAGCACAATCGATCTCGAGGGCAGATCACGAATATCGGGCATTTTTACGCATTTCACAATACATGTAAAACAATCTCTTTTGAAGATCTCACCGTAGATTGTGGTGTAGACTATATATACAATAGGTCAAGAGGGGTACTTTCGCTTCTTGCGCCAAGAGAAGCACACACGACTAGAATGGTCATATTTTCACTATGCCAAAGGTGTTACGATATGGAATCTCCCTCTCTATCGTGGTTGCGACCGTAAAAGTCACATTTTTATGGGATTCATTAGTTTCGTGTTACTATTCGTGGGAAAATATTTAACCCCTAAAATTACAGTCTTCATCAATTAACCATTTTCACAGGGTATGAGTTCGATTCTCCAAAAATCCAAGGGTTTTGGCTTATTTTAACAGTTTCTCTTTAACCGCCCACGAAGTCGCTGTCGATATGTCACATTTACTTCGATAAAGAATCAGAAGAATGTCCCACCATGAATTTCGTTTATATGGAAAGCGATGTGAAGAATGTTTTAAGTAAATGATGGCAAGAATGATGGTCTTCAAGCTAAATTGACACAAATGCCACGTCATCAAATCGCAATCATACACAATTCCTACATATATGCATACTCCAAATTGATTAACAATGAGCGGATCGGAGATAGAGGAAAAATCACTGCATTCTTTTCATATAAAAATCCTTCAATTCTGTTTGACATTGAGCATGTGTCACTGCAATATGCCCGTATAATTAAGTGAGACACTCAAAAAATGTGTCGATTATTCTATTTACTGGTCAAATTGTCCCCCAATAAACAGGCATATTCTCCAGAAATTGCTGGTAAAAGTATGGAATTCTCGTGTGATATATATACATATTTGGACACGACTGGGAAGAGTCCTTCTCGCATGTTGTGGAATTGAAAAGGTTATCAAATTGTTCTGGGTCAGTACCAAGAATGCATATGAAGGCGGCGCACATGGAATATAGATGGAGACATGTGGATAGAAAAAAGGGAAGCAAATAACAGTCGTCCCATTTCTATATGTTCACAAACTATTGGCATAAAATGCATACAATCTAGATCTGTGGCTTATGGGGTCGCATAGCAACATACAAGACCTCAGAATGACATATTTATTGAGTGCCATTCTTTGTGTTCACACTGAGCACTCATATCACATTTTTCGATGCTGCACTGGAGGAGCTCCATGTGAACTTCAATTTATAATTTATATGCAATTTATCCTGTTTGCACTTCTTCTGGCCACGAGCAAAGAGAGAAGGAGTCTCGCTGTCAGATAGTCATCAGTCAATTTACACACCTTCGTACGCGCACGCGTGTGTGCAAAGGTTCACCGCCAAAGAGTCCAACAATGCAATCTGCAATGCACCGACACGAAGTCTTCCACAAAAAGTCTACACGGGTCTCCGGCAATTTCATATTAAAAGTCGTATACAACTACGATGACCATGAGGTGAAGGTGGAATGTGGCAAACAATGTGATTTTGTGTGGAATTTAATGATAGGAGAAATGTGATTTATTGAGAGCATCTTTGAGACAAGCTGTTCGCTCTCGATAGCCAATTCGAGTGCTAAAATTGTGAATATCCGCCGAGCTATAAATTCATGAATTGTAGTTCTAATATGCGCATTTTAATTAAATCCAATAGACCTCCTAAAAAAGGGACCAGAGGTCAAATTTGTCAAGTTCCTCACATTCTACAAGCCTTTATCCCTCTTTTTCTCATATTTCTGCTGCTACTTCATCAACAACCACATTATTGATAGTTTTATTGTCTGACATATTCACAGTATGTTACCAGTATTGTTTTCTACGATTTTCATGGTTTTTATTTTGTTAATGTACAAAGAAAGAATTGTCAAACTTTTTCATCAATCATCTTTATTATAACATCATCATGAAACAAGATTAATATCATTTTTAAAATGAAATCTACTAAATTCTCATTGTTTCGCGAAGAGAGGGAAACCTGTTTATTGAGACATATTTTTGTTTCAGACTAAAAACAAATAAATTTGCTTGAAATTCGCCTCATTCTGTACTAATAAAAAAAAGGTTGATGCATGGAAGAAAAGACGATAAAAGATGCAATCTCAATTGCTACCGCTTTTATTTGACGATAAAATAGGGGCCAAAATTCACACTGACTCTCTTTTATCGCCCACTTAAGCATATGTAATGTACATATGTATATTTGAATAGCAATTAAAAACATTTTGTATATGAAATTTACAACCAGATGACGGATGAATTAATGATTTGATCCTTCACGCCGAATATGCGATCTGATATTTGCATTCTCCTCTAAATCGGTTTATTGGGAATGGGGAAGCGAGTGTGCCTTTAATGAGGGGAATGACTAATATTTGAGTCATCATTGCCAGTCAACCTAAAATGAGCAATATGGTGTTGTGAATTTACATAAAGTCAAAGTGCATCAAAATGCAAATTGACACAATTAATGTTGCATAGCATTTTAGGAAATTCTGTCATTTGCTTTTGCATGATTTTTATTTACCAATTTCACCTAATCAAGGTCTCTTGTTGGGATTCCACTTGAGGGATGGCATGACCAAATGTCCTGTTGTCCTGTCCACGTGAAAAAGTGTACAATTTCCCGACCCTTATGGTGAATAAAAATTGCGATACAATTCTATAAATACATTATCTGTCCAATTCGTTCCACTCTGCGTCCATAAGTGTGGTCGAAGGGTGCATGAATTTTCAGTCGATTCTCCGATGCGGCATATTTATGCATAGTGCTGGAAGGCAGCGACATTAGCCTCATATCAATGGTGGTATGCAACCAGCACGAGCCGACCAACTGACGATGATATTGCGCACGTGGTTTACTGTTTGCCAGGTGATTATTTTCAATTGTGGGGCTTTTCCCATATTTCAAACCTATCACTTTGTTACGTGAATTAGATATGAAGTGCGTGGGTTGTTCATAAAAATTCCCGCGATTAGCATAGAAGAGTAGGCAAAATCGCGCTCTCGCGAATACTTGGAATATTCAATAATTCTAGTGATTATAGTTTAATGGAGTATTTAGCACAATTAGTTGGGCGCTGAATGCCGCAAGTGAGCCCAAAAAAGGGGATTCCGTGAAGTGAGAAGCATGACTAAATGAATTATGCATAAAAAAGCGAGTAAGGGAGTGAGATAGAAAGAGTGGCGCTCTGCAGTTAATAATAATGCTTAACGCTACGCATATGTATAATACATGTGTGATTTTCAGCAGAGATAGCATGAGCGTTTTGTACAAATTGACGTTTTCTCTCCCGCCTAGCAATTTTTATGTATGATTCTTATCAATTTGCAAGTTTGTGTGGTGTGACAGAATTGCACTTTCGAATATTTCACATTCTTAAGGAGCAAAGTGGAGAAAATTGCTACTTTCCGTAATTGAGATGATTGCCCGAGGAGTGTAGAGCCGAAGGAGGAAAGAGGACGGGTCTCTTTTTGAAAGAACAAATATCCAGAGGCAAGAATCATTGGGTAAAATTATGCTTCTTGTCTCCAATGGCAAATTGGTGTGAATGTTCTCAGCATTTCATCTTCAAGTTTTTTCTCCCCTTTGCTTCTCCGAAAACCTTTTGTACATAATTGAGTATGAAATTTTTCACCTTATTCACGCCATGTGTCGCCGCAAGGAACTTTTATCACTTCTGAAAGACCTCTTGTGTAAACACTGACCAATTGTAATTTACATAAAACAGCGATTAAATCAAAATTATCAAGTGGCAGAGACCTTCGCGATAAAAGATATTACGAATGGCTGCATCAACCACAAATTAGTGATCCGACACACAAACGAAAAAACCTGCACGTGGAGGAAAGGAATTAAAGTGAGAAGAGACTAGCTACTGAAAAAAACCAACTGAAATCAATCTGCATTCTTGCATGGTATTCAGAATGTTCTTGCAAGTTGACTGACCTCGCATTTAATTGGTGAATTTTTTCGTCATAAGAAATATTCATTATCTCCATAGGTCATAAATTATTGTGCAAGTTTATATATACACTCACATGCCACATTTCTTTGGAATCTTATCGTGACCGCTTAACTTAATCGAAGGCAATAGTGCACTCTTTACACCTTGCCGCTGATTCAAATTTAATGCATTGCCGATTAAAATGTGTCTCACAAGCTATCGTCTTATTTAAGACCTATTTTTGATAAGGCATTTAATGAACACTGACCATTAACGTACAATAAAGTATAATACAAATTTTCCCCAAGAATATTGATGAAAAATATTGGCAAAAATGGGATAAAGCGAAAACTCACACAAGACAAAAATGAGAAGGTCAACAAGATTGCGATTATAAGCCGATAGATTTATATTATACATAAAACTTACAACAAAATGGGTTTTTCCTGATTACTTCAGTCAGCAATCTTTCGTTGTGGTGATTTGTGAACAGTAGAACTGATTGTCTTAGAGTTGTGAATAGAATTTTTGCGTTTGTGTGTTCGGTTATAAAAGTCACAGAGAAATTTGTGCCATGCAGCATTCAGTACAATGCGGTCAATCGCGGGAGTGCCGCTCATAGTTGCGATTCTTGTGCTATTTTCGCCCCCGGAGAAAGTCAGTGCAAAGAGTGAGGATGGAAATATCGTGGTGAAGACATCTTTGGGAGATATCCGCGGTGTGACGCTAAAAAGCCGCCTTGGGGAGTCATTTAGTGCCTTCCGGGGTATTCGATATGCCAATCCGCCAACTGGTCAATTAAGATTTCAACCGCCTGAGCCCGTTAATCCTTGGAGTGGCGTTTATGACGCGACCAAGGATGGACCTCAGTGTCCTCAGCCTAAAATTAATAATGAAATTGTAGAGTCTGAAGACTGTCTCAGGCTGAATATTTATTCTCGACAAGTCACCAAGAATGACAACCTGAAGCCAGTTCTCTTCTTCATCCATCCTGGAGGATTTTACGCATTCTCGGGGTTGAGCGCCATGTTTGGACCTGAATATTTAATGGATCATGATGTTGTCTTGGTCACGATTAACTACCGACTTGGATCTTTGGGATATCTCAGCACAGGAACTGCAGATAGTCCAGGAAATGCTGGATTTAAGGATCAGGTGGTGGCACTAAAATTCATCCGTGATCACATTTCTGCATTTGGTGGTGATCCCAATTCCGTCACAGCATTTGGGTACAGCGCTGGAGCGCTGAGTATAACACTGCACATGGTGTCACCGATGTCGCGTGGACTCTTTCACAAAGCCATAGTGATGAGTGCCTCAGCAATTGGGCAATGGTCACCACCTGAACATCAACTGGAGTTAGCGCAGAAGCAAGCACGTCTATTCAATTGTACAACAGAGACACCAAAGGCATTGGTGGACTGCTTACGGAAAGCTGATGCAATTGATATGGGTAATAAGCTCAGTGAAATGTTTGAATTGGGCTCACAGAACCCCTTAATGCCTGTATTGCTCTGGAAGCCTGTCATAGAGCCAGATTTTGGACAAGAACGCTTCCTTGTTGAGGATCCGACGATTTCATACCTGGAAGGCAGATATATGAAAATTCCCGTAATAGCTGGAATTACTAAGGACGAATTTGTACAGTTTGCACATGGTGAGTTGTTTATTTCGAATACTTCTTCTATTCATACTTTTCCTTTGCTTTGTAGGTATTTTAACCAACGATAATCTTAAATACGAATTCGATGCAAGATTTAATGAACTTGCACCGATTGCCTTCTTGTATGAAAGAAATTCGGAAAGATCCAAGAAAATAAGCCAAACTTTGAGGAAATACTATGTAAATTTCCCACTGATAAGTGAATCTCGAATACCACAACTAGGGGAGGTATGTAATTGGTTTGAAGCTTTCTTTTCATTTCTCAAAAAAAATACACTTCTCTTTGGCAGCTGTTTTCCGACAGCTCGATAGGATTCAGTGTCCATCGATTCACTCAATTAGCCTCCCGCCACACGAAGGTCTTTTACTACAAGAACACGTTCCATGGTCGCTACAGCTTCTTCTATTACCCCGAAGGTAAACCCTATGGTAAGTGAGAAACCGCAGAAGAGCTGCTGTAAGAGACTCTTTATGTGATATCTTTATTTACAACGTGACTATGTATAATCCATTTACCATGTGAATGTAATGGAGAAAATTTGCATAAATCTTCATCAGGTGTGGTACACCACGATGACTTGTTATACTTGTTTGGGGTTCCTTTACTGGCTCCGACGTTTGCTCAAAACGACCCTGAAAATCTCAATGTGGAGCGTATGACCAGACTGTGGACAACTTTTGCCGGCAAAGGGTAATATTATAATATTTACATATTCACACGACTGAATTGTAAAAAAAAACCTCTGATTTACATATATTCACAGGAATCCAAACAACCCAAATGATGAGTATTTGAGTAGTGCACAGTGGACACCTTATTCTTCTCTTTTGGATAACTATTTGGAGATTGGCAATGGAGACAATTTCACGATGAGAGAAGGCTTGTATAGTGACAGATTTCGCGTTTGGGACGAGCTTTTCCCTCTTCCTTTGACGAATAAAACCTCTCATCTTTAATAACCACAATACCTTTTGCAAGAATGTGTTTCACACAGAAATAAACATTGTGCGCGTATTTGGTTATGTTATTCCCCAAATTTTTATTAGCACGATCGAATTCGGAATTATGACACAGAAAATTCGCACGTCATATGGATGAAAACATGAAAAATAACATCTGCTGCAATGATGAAGGGAGTGAACGACACGCGGTCGAATGGTACCAATTTCTGCATGTAATCGAATTTTATTGAGTCACGGCTACACATAATATCTAATGCTATAGATTTGTCGGTATTCTAAACAAAACAACACTGTTTTACTAGTTACATTGCAAAGATTTTGAGGGGTGAATGATATATCACTCAATAAATTTAATATTTCCTGTGTAAAATCAGAAATGTTAACTTGAAGTGTGCTCAGAGTTGAAATTTTTGCACTTCAATTGCATGAAAAATCAATGTACGAGCGCCTAAAGCTGTAAATGTTTCCGGCATCCGGAAAAATGTTTTCACTGCGCGATATTCCCCATATTACAGTGCAATGAGAGATGCAAATTCGTATCAAATTCCAAACATCACACCAGAAAAACATCCAATTTCATTGTGAGACCGGGTAAAAGGCACCAACGTTTTCAATTTCTCATAGCGGCGTGATCCCTACGGCTGAAACCAAAAATGATTTATTGACAGACACTGTGACAATATTTTGGAGATCTACACAGTGAATATAATAGAATATTCCCCTCAACAATGCAGTAATAAACAGGACTTCGAGCAGCCTCTCGAGATTGTGAAAAAAAGTAGGTTGACTCTGCAAATCGATGGGGTGGAATTATAACAAAGATAGGGTGAAAATGGAGTACAATTCCTGATCACATTATACAAATCAGGAATTTGAGAACAAAATCAACCCCGTTCCTCCCCCATTAAATTATTATTGTGCGAAGCAAATCTCATAGTGTTGAGCATTGCATTATAATTGCGTATGATTCAGGAATGAGCATCAACAACGAAATGAACATACGTTTCCAATCCACAGAAGGGAAGTAGAGGAAATTTGCAATTTGTTCAGAGTTTTGAGTAATTTTCCGATAGATAAAGGTGTGTAGCTATGAGCGTGGGAATTTTGCAATATATTAATCCTTTCGCCACTTCTTAAGTCCACTGAATAATGCCAAAAGTGGCACTTAAGTAGCCATTTAGAACGCAGCACTGAGAGTTCACATAAAATAAATCATATAGACACATTTACATTCATTTTGAGACATTCAACATCCGGAACACACGCTTGAATCTCTCTCATTCTTTTTCACTTCTCGTCATTGTGCGGCATTTTAAACCCCTTACGCCAGAAGGGATGTGAGTGCAAGAAAAAAGGAGAGCAATACAGCGAGAGCAATGCTTGAGTGTCATTAAGGGTGACCTAATCCAAGTCGCAACTATTAGAAATTTATTATTGAAGCATTATTTTAAATACATAGTGATTTCAATGGAAATAATGTAAATTAAGACCCCTTTTTTCACTTCAGAATTGTAACTGATTTTGAAGTGGATTCCATTTCATTGTTCCTCTGGCAGTATTTCATGCTCTGCGGTAACCTCAGCATAGGCACAGGAGTAGGTCTCACCACAATTGCAGAAAATAGGGAAGCGCATGCAATTGAAACATGAGTATTTTTGCCATGCGCTTCCTGGGGATTTTAACTATGTACCTATTCTCTCAAAATAACATTCATGCAAACGTTCATGTTAGTAATAATATTTTAAAATGTACGCACTCTTCACATATTCACATAATTCTACTAACAACAATACATTTGCGGTGAAACTCTGACCAAATATCTATTTTCTGGATACAATTTGAAATAGCATTATCGTAAATTTAATTATCCTTTCACCATTAGAATTCATTTCACATTGAAATTCAATTTTCAGGAGAATTTATGATGTCATAACTTTCGCACAACAATGAGAAGTTTAGATTTCCCACAACGCATTAATGGAATTTGACTATGCATTGTCACTAAATAGAACAAATTATCGGGAAAATTGCATCTTGAGAAAAATTGTAAACAAACATGAAACTCAAGACCGAACGGTAAAATAGCATCCACACATTTTTTAATTCAATTTTTATTAAATGTTCTTTTTATGTTCTCATGTTTTCACATTGAGGTCCGACAACAATGAGCAAGAGAGATGAATTTGCACACGCCGCACACGTACTTGAACAAGAGGCATTGTCAGTGCCTTTGATGAGGTTGTCTTCGCCCTTTTCTTTCATAAAATAGACAACAAGGGAAATATCGAATTTCACTCTACTTGTTTTCATTTCTGTAAAACCACACAGAGTTCACACAATCAACATACCAACAAATTGTACATTGATGATGATGACGCTATGGAAGCCCTCTTTCTGTTCAATTGAATATTCGCGTGGTACTTTTCTCCCATCCCTTATTATGATCATTTGCAGTGTGATAACAAATTCCGAGTAATTTTAATTGCAAATGTCAATTTCACACATTTCCAAAATTATACTCTAATCTGCCATCCTATTTGCACGACATTGCCAACAGATTTATTCATCGCTGAGCACACAAATATCCATTCATTCTAGTATATTTACATGAAAGTGGTTTGATGTGAACAAACCACTCCACTAACTCTTATCTCAACTTCATGTATGACCAACAAATTTGCCACTGCCATGGAGCAATCCTCGCTCTCTCGCTCTGCTATTCCGCACAACAGTACGATTCTCGAGCACAGACTAAACCACTCAACGATAAAATCTCTAATTAGTAGATTTTATATGTGAAGCGAGTGAGTTGTGTATGTGAATTGCCAGAGACACAAAAACCTACTCAAAAACATATAAACGGGGAGCAAATTTTCTCTGATACATCAACTCGCGAAAACAGCACAAAGTGGATGTGAATTAATTACATTTCAAATGACATCAAAAGTTTTCTCACAAAAAGGAATAAACAATGCCCTAAATTACAAACGGCACTCACACACAAATGTGATGTCCACATTTCTCAAAGTACATACATAGTTAATTAGATTAGTCATAAGCGAAAAGGAGGCACGTTTTTGAGTTTCTTCTCTTCCTCAAGCAAAATTTGCAACAATGAGATTTTTAAGGGTTTTTTTTTAATACTAAATATAATTCATATTTCTCACAAAGCGTATGAAGAAATCGTCCGTTACTTTTATCATCCCTAATATCTCCTTAACCGAACTTCTCCAAAGAGTCCGAGTCTGACAGTTTCATACACTTATCACAGATACGAATCTGTGACTCTCAACCCCTGAATTAAAGATTTCAATAGAAACATCACACTTTTTTTCACGTACGCTCAGCTCCTTAACTTCGACCTCTTTGTAAAGCGAATAAAGAAGCTCAAATGCAATTATATCGCAATGATTCTTATCAATTTTTGTTTGTGTGTTAAACAACCATGTCGTCCAAATTTTTTTGGCACACATTCGTGACAAAAAAGGGTGTGAGCACGATGAATGAGTGTGATGATGAATAATAACATGAATTAAAGAGGTGTATAGACTTGAATTTTATACACCATTTTCATCCTCACGTGAGAAAATAAAAGAACATACAGGGTAGATGGTTAGAAAGATATTCGAGGTGAAAACGGGAAAAAATTGAGGATTGAGAGAAAGGAAATTGTAATAAATGAAAATATTATTGAATTTTATTATTGATTTCGCTTTGACTTCGAAGACACTTTTTCTCACGATCAATCTGCGGGTGGAGTATAATAAAGAGGGACAATATGTTCCTTAATTCACTCTCAATCACCCATGGAAAGTCCCCTTGACTGGTTTTTATCCTGACTCACAAAATGGAGTGTTCACCCCCTCTTGATGGCACTTAAGCCAGAAAGTCAAAATGATGATAGTGAAAATTGGTTTTAAATCAACTCCTCGCATTTGCCACACCATTTTTGCAAACTCTCCTCTCTCTGTCTCGTACATCTTCGGATGATTCCTGATGATCCCACAGAGAGAGGAAATTTTGACTGAGTACCCCTGAGAAGTTCATAAAGCAACCAGATTTTAATGCGGGCAAAACAAGTTGAAAACACTGCATGTGGTTGGGAAATTGTTTCCGACCAATTTTCAGCAATTTCCCATGGAGAGCATGTCAATTCATAGATTTTATCTCTGATAAGCTGAAAGGACTGAAAGATTTTAGGTTTCTTTATGAGGAATTCACATATCAGAAGAATCGTCTATGTTACTCAGATACACTTCGACACTCACCCTAAAAGAAGAGAACATGCCATTTATTCTCTGTATAAAACTACCATTAATTGGTTTGACGCCTCATCAAAATAGTTTCCGCCATGAAGTCAATTAAAACCACATTTTTTATAGTTGCCCATCCCCATTGCGAGGGAGTCTGCGATACATGTGAGATATTATTATGCACATTGCGTGTATTTAACTTTCACTCACTTCGAAAATAGGGAAAATATTCACCGCCACTGATCAAGATAGCGCCGCGTGTGTTTCATGTCGAATTTTTAATTGCGAAATATACGAAAAAATCCTCTTCATCAACACACAATTCCCCCTTTTGGATGGTCAGCAAAAATACCAGACGAGATGATGCCACTCATTGATGAAATGATTGCATGAATTGACACGAACTCGTTTATTCGTGAAACACAGACCGATCTGCCATCACATAGTGGAAGATCGTGGTACAAGGAAGATGCCACTTCGACAAAATGATATAATTGCTCTATGAGGATACCATATGGTAAAATGGGGTAAAAGTACGTAATTACATTGTCCACCGACAAGAATTTCAAAGTTATTTTCATTCTGTCTGATTTTGACTTCAAGGGTCAAAAAATGTGTAGACACCCCAATAAATTCACAGAATACTAATAACCCCTTCCCAATGCCGAGGTTATCTGTTGTTTTCTTCATCCTTTAAAAGTAGATTTTCTCGGCCAAAAGTGAAAGAGGATTCTCAGGAATAAACTTGAAAATCATTTCTCAAAAATTCATTTTTTTCATATTTCAGCGATTTTTACGCAGATTAATTTATTGCCACGTTTGTATTTACACCAAAAACTGTGCATTTTAAGTTTGCCAGGCGAAGCGAATGAAATGGTGTGATGGCGTGACCATTTCCATTTAATTCCAACAAAATAGCGGTCACGTGTCCGCCACTTAAATTGATCATTGAAGTCTATGAAGTGTGGTGGATGAGGAAGATCTCCCCTTCAAAATTCCTTCCTCATTTCGTAAATTCATATACAGTAGAATACTTGAGATCGTGATCTCCATGTTCAGAGCTACTTTTCAAAATTCGGTGTTTTACACCAACCACAGGCTTCAGGGTTTCACTGTTGGCAACTTATTTGCACAATAAGCTGAATAGTGCTTGGTAATGAGCAGATTAGTTTTAGTTTTTAGAAATATTAGGTAATATGCGCAATAAGTTGTAATGAGCTGACCATTGGCGAAGTCATGAATTCTTTCAGTTATTGTGCATGTTGAAAATTCGGAATGATTGTCTCGAATGAGACTCTGTTTTGTCAGAGAGATGATTAGAGGCCCTTGTGTTTGGCCCACCAGCAAATGATGATGTATGAAATGGGACAGAAAGCAGACTAGAAGTGTACAATTGCTGGTTTTAGGTGTTGAATTCGCCCTTGGGCATGGTAAAGGCATGCTTGGGGTGATGCATTGATGAAATGACTATCAATCATACAATTAATGACACACACTTACAGCACGGGATGAAAGCAGATGTCCTTAGGACACTTTTGTAAACATGAAAGATTCTCTGAAACGAACTAAAATTGTCTCATAGAAACAAAGTTTAACACATTAGTGAATAGAATGGTAAATGTACATTTAATTGAGAATTATGAAGGGGTTCTTCACCACTAATTAAATTTAATTGACGAAGAATGCCGACACACACCCTCCATGAGCGTCGTTGATTTTGAATAAAGGAACCTTCAACAAGATATACAATAAAATCTCTCGGAAATTATCAACGAAAATTGAAAGAAGTAAGGAAACATTTTTGTCCTATCCTTTGTGCCACTCAAATTGAGTCAATTAAGGGCAAAAAGGGAGTTTAATTTCAATCAAATGCGCGTAATATTGTAGAAAAATTACTTTGTAAAGCTGAATGGAAAATGTTAACGCAGAACCGATACGGAATTATTATATCCACACAGATGTTGATGTTATAGAGGTGTTCTTTGAAACACCTGCCCTAATTTCTTGTTGAACGTTTTATCCTACACTTCACACGCCTGTATTTAGCATTCAACACTCAAGAGGTAAATATTCTTCATGCAACAAGACAAATTCTCAAGAACGCGACAAACGTGAATATTAATTACTTGATTGCCTTCCTCAAAGCGATTGCGCACGGGCAAAGTCACATCGCTTCGTGGTGACTTTATGCATTTCTGAAATATTCTTATTCTCATTCTTCCTCGTCCTTTCCTGGATTGGAACTCCCCTTCTTTATACATATAGTGCAAAAGAACAGCATTTAACGACTGCAGAGAACGAAACCGTTGCGTGTGAATGTTGCATATCTGCGGTATATTTGGTCACATCTCTCACACAATTTCGCACAGAGAAAGATTTCAAGGGGGGTTCAATATCAAGGAAGGCCAGAGATCACTATCACTGGATTTCCTAACGGGTCTCAGCGGGGGATTTGACAGAGCTAATGAGAGGATTTTTGAGAAAGGCTGACTTTTCCCAACACATTAAACAATACAGAAAATTGAGGAAGGGGAATATTATAATCTGCCTAGTTGATCAAAGACAAGAGCATCCATTTAAGCGACTAATATTCATGGTGAAATTTAACGTTTCGAGGGAAGAGAAGAGAAGGTCTGAAGAGAGTCTAGCAGAAAAACGCAGGTGTTCCAAATGTCTTCAGCAATTAAAGGCAAATTGAATGACGGTCAATCGAGTCTTGGGAAAATACTTTCGATATGAGATACTAATTGAATGTGTGAATGTAAAAAGTGAGATAAAAAGTTTAACATTCGTGGGAAGGCAGAAAATGTTTCCTTTCGAAAAATTTCTAAATTAAACCGCAGTACAGTAAGAATTTCAAACATTTCAACATCCATTCCTCAAAGACATCAATGAAATATTGTTTTCTCTATGGCTCAGTTCTGGGAGTCATTGGGTCATCTTCTGGTCACCCCAGAGATCAATGATACACCAAACCGATATCGCGGCGTTCGCAGACACTATAAAGAGGAGATGCTCACAATCAAATTTATTTATTTATTCCTGCTGTTCCTCAGCATGATTTTGTCAGTTCTCTCATTCAAGTTTGATTTAACTGATTGATTAATGATTATAGCATATCTCTCCTAATTTGTGTGCCAACGATTTCGCTGCCTCTACCATTATTGTTGTCTGTGCTTCTGGCTTTGTTCTTACCACTGGGAAAATGCTATTGCAAAAGCGCAATGCAGTGGGGAAAATCTCACAAAGGAATCTGTCCTGCCATGGATGAAAATCCTATGGTGCTAGACAATAATATGTAGAGTAATGCCAAGTTCAAAACACCCGCATCGTTTCTGCTGTAATTCTTAAATATGTTCGCTTTTTTCTTACACCAGTGAGAAAATTCACAGAACATAAAAGACACATTTGTGCACTTCCGGACTGACTAATTCTCGAATTTCCTTTACAGAAGCGCAGATCATAGGCAAACTGAGAATTCTTGTGAACATTTATGTACCTAAGTATCTCACTACATATGTACAAATTATGTATGTTTTCTGGCGTTTTGTTTCTTTGGAAAACCCATCCTTCATCTGCTCTGGCAATTGAAGATAGTCACGGCGGAATAATAAGAGAAATGAAAAGCAGAAGAAGCTTTACTCACGGAAAATTCTCCCTTGCTGCTTTCCATGCCGATGACTCGATTCCAAAGTTATCCGACCAATAATGCCGTGGCTGGATAAAGACATCTCATTGGTGCACAGCAATTTCCCCATTTTAACTCTATTCCGAGCGAGCTCGTGGAAAGTTGAGAAAACGGGGCGGAGTCTCTCCTATGCTGCAATAGCATAAGACCGAAGAGTGAGCATCTAGAAGCACATTAGACTGGTGGCTCCTCTGCTGTTGTTCGTGTCTCAATCCACGGAGTCCGACACATTTCAGTTTTCTATTCGCACTCACACCGTCCGGACGTGTGTCTCCTGCTCGTGATTCAAAGCATTTGTGACTGAAGCGCGGCGATTGCCCGAGTGTTTTGTTGTGCTCATCGTCACAGTTGAAATTCCTGATTTTGAAACGGAAAGAGCAACACACCAAGTCAAATGGAGAAATAAAGTTGCTTTCGCGATCTGAAGTTTTTTTTGCGGAAAGTTCAATATTCAACTTAATTCAAGTCAATTGGATAACGAATTCACGACACGATGGTTATTATGTAAGCATATTTGTTAAGTACATTGATCGATTGGTGAAAATTTTACCTCATGCACCAGACGTGGTGCATAATTGCGGGGCATCTTCACCGGATATTCTCCTGTTGTGCGCGATTTTCTCGACGGAGAGCGTGTGTGCAAAAAGGCACCACACATTGTGATATTGAAATGAGTCACAGACGAGAGAGATTGTGAAGATGGTCCAAGATTCGCAAGAACCAGTTCGTGATTGCTTGAGATTCCCAAAATTTGACACATTCAATTGCAAAGTACCCCTAAAAAATGGTCTCCAAAAAACATATGAGCGATAAATAATTCATATACTGTGAAGTCTCTCGTGGTGAGCAAGTCGCGGTGATTGAAAAAAGAGAATCCTCATCGGCGTTCTTATTCAATTTCCAGAGTGCCAATTTAAAATGTTAAACACGCCTGACTCACGAAATCCCTCACGTTTAAATTGCTCATTTCTCTTGCCTACCGCGGCGAAGGAAATTAGCTAATTAACTCATCAACATTTCAGCCGACCGGACTCGCCACCGCTGAAAATCAGGAGCAAAGTTACCACCGATTGGGACATCAACGACACTATCGTGCCAAGAATATCGGACACGGAATTTGATGAATTTTGCGAATGGGCCGATGGACACTGTCGTCTTGTGTACCCCGTGATAATTGACGATGCTCGACGACATTCCTCCGGCTGGGCGATGCGTAACACCAACAATCATAATGTCAACATCCTCAAAAAGAGTTGCCTTGGTGTTCTGCTCTGTTCGGCCCGATGCCGCCTCCCCAACGGGGATCGCATCCACCTCAGACCGGCGATCTGCGACAAGGCTCGCAGGAAGCAACAAGGAAAGCCCTGCCCTAACCGGTGAGTTCAGTGCTTGAAATCAGTTTGATGTTCCAATGCTGAAGATTTGCGATGGTTTAGTGCGTGCAACGGACGTCTGGAAATTCTTCCTTGTCGAGGACACTGTGGTTATCCGGTGACCCATTTTTGGCGCCATACGGAATACGCAATCTTCTTCCAAGCGAAGGGTGTTCATGACCATCCCAAACCTGAGGCGAAGGGCTGCAGTGAGACAAGACGGAGTCTCGGTGTTGGCAGAAGAATCCGAGGATTGGCTTCACTACTAGCTCAAGAAGCAGCTCTGAATTCAAAGGTAAGACACTATAGGAATTAAGGTAGATTGATAGATTTAACCGCAGCGTGCCTTTGTCAAATTATAAAGTTAATATCCAAACTAGGTGAATTTACGGCTGCTAATACTAACCCAGCTGACATAGATTTCCATGGATAATACAGTATCGCTTTCTATATGTAGCTCACAACTCTGCGAAGACCCAAAGGCATGGGCAAGAACTTACAGTCCCAGAGAAAAAAGTGCAACTTCTGCATGGAATTCACATGCCGATGCTCACAGGTTAGTCATAATTCGCTTGTCCCCACCTCAACTGCCCACGTTCCATTCGCCAACCTCCCAATGAGCGTCAATTACGCCATGGCCTCTCACGAGAGCTATCACACTCTGGAGCACTCTTCGGCGTATGGCATCTCAGCCGCCAATTACATGCCATCGGCCAGCGATCAGCAGCTCACCAAGTCCACAACTCTGCTGGATATGGAAAGTGGAACAATCGCGGCTCTTGACAATTGGCAGAACGGTGATGATGCAATTAGTCTCACGAGCAGCAATGGCACGACTTCGACCACCTTTGATTCGACATCTTGCGCTCAATTTGTCGATTCCAACATGTATTCGTATCCAATGTACGATGACCGCAACACCATCACGTCCATTTCACCCTCAGCCAACAGTGATAATTGCAGTATGAACACATTCTTCGATCAGTACAACTACGCAAACAACAATTTTCACCACCAGAACTCATATCAAAACTGCTCGTACGACTATCAGAATGCCAGTGAAAATGTGTACGCAAGTTATGGATCTGCAGAAGTTTACGATGGGAATCACTGGGAAGACTCACCTTATCAATACTGCGACATAGCACAAAATCAACCGCAGCAGGAAGCCTTTCAGTGTTACGAACAGTGAACAATAAATCTAGCCGTGGTGGCAAAGAGAAGAGTAATGAGTGAAGAGATACAAAGCAGCTTCTGAGCATTCAGAAGAAGACGAAGATACAAGCATTAGCATAAAATGTTCATAAATTAAAAATACTTTAGAGCTGATGAGCTCCAGCTCGACTGACAAGGAGTTCGCGATGTAACATTTTAATTTTATTGAGATAATTTGATCAATATTGTCGCATCTTTCAACCTTTATTCACTGTGACGCAGTTCGCGCAAGATTAAATATGCAAGCCTTGTCACGCCAGTCAAATTACTGTCCCATCAAATACCTATTAATTACTTCATTTAAGAACCTCGCCTCAGTAATTAAGTGGCTGAATTTGCAATCTTTTTTTCTCACTTTGATCATAAAAATTAAATTACAAACACAGAGACAGAAAGATATGCCAGAGACACTATATAGAAGAATCAATACTCTATCGATAGCAATCTTGAATTTTCCACATTTGCTGCTTTGTATCATCAAAAGTATTTTTGTAATTTGTTGAAGACTGTTTCCCATTTCGTACTCTTGTTATGATCAAGTGGGAATTTTTAAAATATTCTAGTCAATCAATTCCCACTTAATTGTTTATTTTACATATTAAACAAAGTTAAGAAAGATAGAAAATTTCTATATTACAATTGTAAGATGAGTAGTAAAAGTTTTCTTGTAGTTTTTAGAATTATTCATCAGGATTTTTCTTTTTTTTCCACCCTTGTGACTCTCTTCTGTAGGAATTGGCAGAATGAATAAATGTGAAATTGCACTATACGCGTTGTGTTTTCTTCCCTACGTAAAACTGCACTTCTAACACTCTTCCGTCAGTAAAGCGCATTTTAGCAAATTACTATCTCTCGAAAAAATCAAACAGCCATTGTCAATTTATGGGCTTCTCCAGCCGCAAACTAATAGCGGAATAAACTGACTTTGTTTGCCTTTTGTCACATGCAATTTTCCCCCGGTTTGTGGCTAAGGGCAATTTTTCGGATACTCTCTTTCCATGCCTCTGCAGATGGGGTGACCAAGCTGAAGAGCCCGGCACCTATTAATAGTTTTACATGGCATATAATACCCACTCGAATGTTTTAGCCCATTGTTGTGAATTGGGTATGAAGTGAAGTCACTCTCTGTGTCTGAAGAATCTCATTTAACCAATGAAGGGAACTATTTCTGCATGGAGATTTGTGTGTCCTCCACTTGAGAAAAATCGTTACAGTTCAATAAATTTTCCCTACAATTTCAAAGAAAAAATCTTTTATTAAAAAAAAAATCTCATGTCGTTCCCTAGACAATTTTTACGTCCAACAGGGACAAAAGAACATTTTACAAACCATTAAATTGATGTCAGATTTTCATCAATCATAATTACTGGTGATAAAAAAGCAAGACACATAATTTTTCAGAGCCACCAATTGACAATTTACAGCAACACTTTGACAGGATTAAATACCCGATAAATTCGAAGGGATGCACAAGAAAGGGGTGAAGCACTAATGAGTGCATTCACTGAACTCTACACATCATTTCTTAGGACTTCCATTATCATTTTCCCTACAATTGGAGAGTGCTTGATAAGAGCAGCATGCGAGAAGTTACAACAGCGTCAGCCCAACACTATATTGTTCACCCTTTTCCCCAGGACTTTCGTCAATGCCGTCGATTCAGTGACTGCAGCCCATTCATAATTTGCACTGCGTTGTTTCCGTGTCACTTTTCGGGACAACACTCTCACAATAGTGTCTATTTTTAATAGAAAGCGGAAGCAGAATCCAGATTAGTGTCATTTATCATTCACTCGAGGCTCTAAATGATGTTTTGTCGTGCGCCACACTGGAGAATGGGAAAATGCGCATGAATTATTAATCATTTGCATATTATTTAAGAGGCGATACCGGGGAGGTTTTTTTGTATGCAAATACAGTAATGCCGTACTGTTGATGATCTCGGGGATCCGATTAGCTCTTATTGATTCCCAATTCTACTGAATAGGGCTGCGAGAGGACAACAGATTACAGATGTAAGATCGATTTGTAGAGTGTTAATTTCGGGTGTTAAATTGTATTGTGAGGGGTTCGCGAAGGATGTAAGTCAATATTTGGAGGAAGTGTTGCGAGGATGTGAACACTTATTAGGGGCCAATGTAAGGTCATCAAACAAATTCAAATCGCGGGAGTGCTGCAGTTGTCCAAATAGAAGTGTCGGCTTTCGCTGAGAAACAGAAGTATTGACGCGATAATATTGACGGATTATTACTAAGGGATGTGAGATGGCGAAGGGAGAGATCTTTTTGCCTATTGTCTAAATTAACTAATCCAATAAATAACACCACGGTGAATTGTCTGCGTGCTCACTTTTTCTCCTCATTTTCCGATTTTGTCGGGGAGATCGAGAAGTGTTCACTCTCCCTGTCGTTTTGAGGGGTGATGATAATTTCTCCGCTCCCTCTTCATTTAGCTCTTCTTTAGGTCATTCAATTGATGACTATGAAATGGTGAGGGAATGCTTCACAAAAAGGGAATCATCAAAGAGGAAGTAGTACTTGATTGTTGGATTAAAAATATTTTTTCACACATCGAAAGCACGAGAAACATGCACTAATCGACCGTTGAGAAGACATTTCAAAACTATCATGCCAGCTGACAGCGCCATCTATATTGAAGTAGCACTAAAGAAAAAAATGAACGTTTAACGGTTTCCCAATTTCATCCTTACAACATAGGAATTACTGAAAATCACTACAATGCATATTTCACCATTCAACTTTATTCCGGACATTATTTGCTATCACAAAGAAAAATCAAAAGTATTATTTTGTGTTCTTACTCTGTCTTACACTGTGTAACAACAAGGCAATATTTGATTTATGACATTATCCTTCTATTTCATATTAATTTTAGTATTTCTTCTTTACTATTTTCTTAGCAGTTGAGTAAATTCCTGTGTAAATAATTGAAGTTCAATGCTTCATTATTATTTTATATGTATGTATAAACCTATTCCAGACTATTGCGGCCCATAGAAGAAGATGGGTTGCGTTTCTATGATGATGTATCAGATCATCCCTATATTCTTGCCTAAAATTGCTCATAGAGTAATTATATTGTATTTTAAATAATTATGTGAGGAACTATTGCAATATCTCACTTAAGAAAATAATCATGTTTCAGTAAAACCTAGGCCTTTGGTAGAGAAGACAACAAATTGTAACAAATCGTTGAGTATTTTCACAATTGTTTATCACTGAATTTGTACACTATTACTCTATTGCTGTGGCAGAGAAATGAGTATTTGATATTTCTAATAGATTCCATCTTTACCTATGAATATTCTCTAAGTATATGTTATAAATTAGAATATCGAGAGATGTAGGACAAATGGCCAATTTCAAGAACGCTGAATTGCCTTGGTGACTAAATTATATTCTCTACAATACATCTTATATGCATAATTAATACACAATTTCCAATATTTTTTTCATAAATACAAATATTGTTAATTTTCTTCGGAAGCAATGGATTTTATTATTGCCTATAATTTCAAACTGATAAAGATTTTCCTTTTACTACGAAAGTCTTTGAGGGGGAACGAATATGAAAAAAATTACAGTAATCTCGTGTCTCAATATGTTCAATGTATTATACGTACTTAAGCTTAATAATTCATTTCATTATTCTATAACATAATTTCAACTTTACACTTTTTGACTATATTCACAACCATACTTTAATTAATTTCATTTTTTTTTAATGTTCTTTACACCTTTTTGTCATCTCCAAAATAGGGATATTTTCTGTGAATAGAATTTATATACTTGTCAACGAGAATTTTCGAAACGAATAAACATAAATTCTCCTACTGCTCGAAAAGCATATCTTCTGATGTTTTCGTTCGATTCACAAAATCAATTAATTTCATATACTATCTAATTATATTCACTTCATTTTATAAAAATTCAACAGAATGCTAAATTAATTGACAATTACATGGTTTAGTTAGTTGCTATAATATTCACTCTTGTCTTCGTTATCTATACAACATTGTATTGCTACATAGCAATAAAAATTATTTGGCGTCTACCGTATGGCTAAAAGAATTACATACATATTCTACGCTCTCTAGTAATCCTAATACCATATCTTGAATGGAGAATCAGGAAAAAAAATCTGGAAGTTTCACCATAACTTTATAGTTCGATATTTTTATAAGTACGTGTGACTGTTTAAAGCACTTTAATTGTTAACATTTTAAACATATTTCACTTTCAATATCTTTTTCGTGCCTCTCAATGTACTTATATTATTTCTCTATGTCACTGCCAGTGTTTATATTTAGCACTACCATCTGTCGCCTTCGACCATGGAAGGACGTATGTATGAGTACCGATTGTAGAGTACAGCTTGTATAGTATACTCAATCTCTGAAGCTTTAAGGCTTGCCTGGATTATTACTATTTTACATTTTGACGCTATGAATGTTGCATTTTGATATACAATTTTCAGTATTTTGATTTCAAGTTGATTATTTTCGCATTCTCATTTCCATCGTATCAACTTTTCATGTCAATCACTCGTTAGTCTTCTTCGGCTTCGAATCGTCCGGATCCAGGATCAGACAGTCTCTCAGGTATTCCTCCATGGAACGGTAGACATGCTCAGCAACTCCTGTCAATTCGTGTCCCTCGTCCGCGTAACTCTGCAAAGGAACAGGTCAGTGTAGAGAGTGTTATGCATTGCCGTTGGTGTTGGCAAGCGCACAAAATGTGCACATGACGTCAGAAATATATATATATATAATTTGAAAATTCGAGCATACAAATAACATTTTATTATGATTGATTGCGCTTCGGTGCTATTTTATCACGACCCTATTTTGTAAATATGTACTATCGCCAGAGCTTTAACTACTTTGTGCATGGTTTTATTGACCAAAACAAAACTGACAATGCACCGAATAAAAGTGAGAGTATTTCTTTGCTATCGATACACAAAATTACTGTAGCTTAAAGTTCACACTGCAGACAAAAAATTATTCTCCACTCACTTGATATCGGAAGAGAACCCCAGCTTCCGTTAGTGCTCTAGCCAGCTGAACCCCATGCAAGTACGGTGCCGTGTTATCGGCCAAACCGTGTAGAAGGAAGAACGAGTAAGATGGAATATGGCGAGCTCTCTGAGTAGCATCCGCTTCCACGTAGTTCTTGTAATTTTCCGCCGGCGGCCCGAGAATCTTTTCCGTAAATGCAGAATCTATATAAGATGGTGAATAGATAAGAGAGAAGTATGTCAACACTCAATGAGCCTTCAATTATTAATTGAAATGGAGGTAGTCTCACTGTAATAGAGCCAATCGGTGATGGGAGAAACCGCTATTCCGCATTTAAACACATTCTGCTGCGACCCCATCAGCATCGACGTCACATATCCGCCATAGCCCCATCCCCAAACTCCCACGCGAGTCTCATCGAGGAATTTCAGCGTTCCCAGCAAATATCTGCAAATCGCATGATTTGTTAGACGCAATTAAATGTGAGATGCTCATATTTCTCATATTTTCAATGACACTTGTTGATCAAGATGGATTTTTGTGAAAAATGAGCTTCCAGTGAGTGAAAAATTCACATACTTGAGAACAGACAGTTGATCCTGCACTTCAACGCCGCCCAATCGCCGAAACAGGGCTGATTTGCTCTGGCCCTTGGAGCCGCGCACATCCAATCGAATGTACACTACATCGTTGCGGCTGGACATGTAAGTGCCCCAATCAATTCTAAACTTATCAGATACAGTGAGTGAGCCAGGCCGTCCATTACTTCACGTCACAAACGAACAGGAGAGAATGGAAAGAATGCATGAGAATTACGTAATTATTTCGCCCATCTTGGGGAGCAGAAACGAGCAGAGTGAATAGCAATCACTTACACTTCAACGAGCACAGGAAATGCTGCATCCCGGAGCTCCTCTCGCCAACTGGGCGGTAGGAGGATTTGCACCTGTGCCCGCGTACCGTGCAACAGGGGTATTTCATAGGAACGACTGGTGGGAAGAGCGAGCTGTTGCAGTCTCTCTGTGTGATAAGGTCGAGTATCATATAGAATGCGAACAAGACGATGAGTCTCCGCTGAATGGACTCCTGCATAACAATAAGAGATGGTGAGCAAATTGTGTCACGTCTAGTTGAAAATGTGTGCTATAATAGCTCACAAGTTCAAAGAAATTCTTCAATGATTTTGAATTTATATATTTATTTTGAGACCAATGTGTTTATATGTGATGTTATTTATATTGCTTCTTTAATAGCTTTTCACACACAGAAACAGAAGCATTTTGTCAATGCACATGTAGTACTTCTCTCTGTCATATTAGCTCTCTTTCTCGGATCAATATCAAGAGACATGAACAATTTGGATAAACCACCAGGAAAAGCCTTTGTACCTGATGACAGACATACACAATGTTATCTCATGGGTTTCGCTTAAATTTGACTTTCTCAACGATTTTTGCGTATATGATGAATCAATCATTCCCCATCCACGACGCGATGATAGAGTGAAAAATGCGTGACTATTGAAAATGATTGGAAAAATTCAGCTAGGTCATTAATCTACTATACATATGCTACTGACGTGACTCTTTTAGAAGTTTTATTTATCAATGACATATAATCGTAGAAAAGACCCAAATTGATGTTTTCCTCAACTGATTTCGGAGTGTTAGAAACTCCTGCAGCTGATTGACTAAAGTATGTACATGCATTTCGCTGATTTGGCAATTCAATTTCAAATTCTGTTATTCCGTTCGAGTTTCTGGCATTTTCCCCTTCTTAAAATTCATTGCAAATGATGAAAAAATGCATTCACCTGATAGCGGAAGTCCTGGACCGAGGCACTCCAAGATATAATATTCAATTCCTACATCTGATGAAATGGAAGTAGTTGGGCTCATATGAACTTCAAAGTGGGTACAATTACTATAATAGTATCGACTACTCCACAGCACTTCTCCCAGGTCGCAAGTGATACAATGTGGTTCGGATCTGGAAATAACAATACAATTACATGCAGCAAATGTATACAATTGAAGAGAAGAATGAAATTGTACGTTAAAGCATATTCTCCCAGTCAAAACCCAGAGCGATATATTTTTAATGTATTTTAGGTGATATTATTTATGTGCACCCCGGAAATGTTTATCTGGCACCGAGGGAAACTTCAATTTCCGCCAGTGAATTACATACAATAAATATTGTCATACATATTGAATACATAAGTAAGTACATGTTGTTTTTGTTTAGCCTAATGCCGACAACAAATAGTCTCTTTTCTTACCTCCGAACATCCTCATTCACTGGATCCTTCACCACATAGAGGTGCTTCTGACCAGGCTTCTTATCCTGTGTACCTAAATAGTAAACCAAGTGATTCACCATGTCCCATGCCAAGATTCTGAGGACCTGAAAAGTGGAGAAAGTGCGGACATTATTGCGATATTGGCTAATCGCTCTCAATATATCATTGGCATAGTTTGGCAAAGTGTGTTGTCATTAGTATTTGTACAATATTTCTAGAAGCATTATTGTTTCTTATTCTTCCACCCAAAACTCAATCTGCGGATCAAGATACTTATAATGATGTGATATGAAACCTCTTCCGGACAGTCGCATATAGCAGTTGTTATTTTGTGTTATATATGGCAAAACTTTGAACAGAGATAAGCATGGCACAAGAAGCACTTCGGTTAATTAATTAATACACAAGCCAAATATTTGTTCCATCTGCAGAAAGAGACTCAATGATAAAGGAAATAATTTGTGACGGAATGTATTTAAATATTCCAAATCGTACAAAAATACTTGTTATCATTTGATTATATATGATCACGGAAAATGCTATATATACTTCTTCAATTAAAAATTGTACAATTGACGTGATATGACGCATTTATAGATTGCAAATAATATAAAATGAAATATCGTATATTTTTGGCATTTTACATGATATGCAATATTTCAGGGATTGACGAGGCCATTAAATATGTATCATTTATTGCACAGGGCGCACGATACATAGTTTTCAATAACTTTGTCGTCCATCAAATTTTATTTTTTATGCCACCGGCAGTAATGTTTCGTGTATGCTGAAAAGCTCTTTTCATCTCATTGAGCAGTCTTCAATCGATAGAACATACATCCGCATGTACATACATATGTATATGCCAAACCAACACCCTTTAAGAGAATTACAAAAAGTTTAACCTTTGAGCAAGTATAAATTTCATTGTGAAGGAGTATTTCCTAGATTGTGTGAAGGTACTTTTGAAATAAGATAGAGAATAGGCGAAATGTGGGTGAAAAACACATCAAAACTCCCAGAAAGTAGGTCAATTGATTATACTCTCTCGGTGTGTGTCCCTCTCAATGTTTTCTTCTTAAACATTTCCCATTCATAAGGAATCATGATCCGCACTTAAGACAAACCGACAAATCGTTTGCATACCCAATGTTTTGCAATAAATAACAATATATCAAAATTCAAGCCATTGAAGCGATTCCTTGAAATTCCCCATTAGGCTGCTCATTTGCACCAATTGGTGCGATTCTAATCAATTCACAAAGGTGGAAATTGTCCTTATCCAAACTTTGGTTCCCTGTGGTAAAGTGTTGATGTCTATAATTCACTATTATTAGTTCACTCTCCCATGAGGTGTCTGCTTGACTAAAAGGCGCAAAGTGTTCTGATGTTCGTGTCTCATGTGGAATCAATTAAATTGACACTCAATTAAATGCCAATAGCGGAAGGAATCCCTTGTCTGTCTCTGCACGCAATTATTATTACAAAAACCGCGCGTTTTATGTGCTCAAGCAAAACCTCACGACAAGTCTTATTATTTGTAAAAATAGAATATTTACTTTGTATGTACAGAAGCAATTAGTGAAACAGAACGGTTTTTAGTTACACTCAGTGTGAGTTGGCTTCATCGTCCTTTCTACTATATGGTTATTAGGAATGCAAATATAGCAAAATATGTACATATGTGACCCTATTGTCGCAGGTTTCCACAAGCATGAATTAACCCTCACCTGATGGTGATGTTTACCATGCGTTATCACAGCTACTTGCTACATGAAAAATTGAGAGAAGTGGATTAAAAGAAGAAGACAGTGTACTTTATTCCACATTGACAAAACTTATAATCGAATAATCTCAGATCTTCTGCGCTTTTTCCTTGAGTTATAGACTGAAGCTGTTGCTTTGCTTATAGTTTGCTTCCCATTATTTTTCTCTTTATTCAGAGCAAACAACACCGATAGACTTCTTTATACAACTCAAATGTTGTGCAGAGAATGTAAATACATAGAGAGGACATATTAGACGTGATTTTCCGGCGGAAAGGTGCGCTCCGCCATGCATTTATCCCTCGACATTCACGACTTGTGATACATTTGCATATTTTTTAAACTCACCTCATATCTTCCATGTGAAATCACAGAAAGGCGCTGTTGAGTTATTGTAACGTGCTTGATATGAGTAAAATGTTCCGTGCCTGTTTCCTGAATTCCCGCCAACATGAGAAAACTATCCCCATCGAGTGAGAATACTGGATGAGGCAGAATATCTAACCACTCATTTTCCGGCGCATTTTCAGAGTGTGTCTGTAAAATAATAATTTAGATTGATGTACGTTTCATTGTGTTACTATGAATGCAAATCAAAGTGGAGTAATAATGTGAGAAAATGCAGGAAATGAGGATGGAAATGGAAAATCATTACCTCAATGCATGTCCAATTTGGTGCAATGCAAACGGAAACAATACTAAGATTTTGTGCACGTGTTATCCATACAACAGATACTTGATGATTGGGTGCAACCCAATCTGCAGATGTTAAGTAGTATTCCCTGAAAAGTTATGCAACACATTGTTAACCATAAAACATTTGTGTCATTTGTAGTTTCATCAAAAACTGTTTATGCACACTTACTGTCCTTCCAATGCTGCCGGTGGTTTCACACGATTTCGCTGAATCTCCGTAATATTGGTCACATCGAGAATCCATAGCTGAATTTCGGGATTTTGAGTGCCGGGCGTTGGATACCGAATAGTGCGAGTCTCAGGAAAAATGCCTCCACTCGTGACACCGCTTGAAGCAATTATTGGACCCGCAGAAAACCACGGATATGACATGGCATTGACATTGGAATCGTTGAATGACATGTACATGATATGAGTTCCATCAGATGACCCCCAAATAGCTTCAGGCGAGGAAAATATTTCCTCTGTTGAAATAAATTTATTATTTATGTTAGTCATTTGAAAAGAATGTACCAATGAAATTTATGGACATTTGTTTGGTTATTGCCAAAAGAAAAACTGTAAAAACAGTATTAAATAAAAAGGACGAATGAACACGAATTCTTATGAAATACAGTTTGGAAAAAATCTCTCATATTCTAGGCCTAAGATATTTTCACAAAAAAAGTGTGAGAGAAGCACTTATGCTCTATCCTTGGCACAATCCCAAAGTATAATTGAGCACCCTGTCATAGAGAAAAAGGACAACTTACAATTAAGGTAATTACAACCAGAAACATCGTTAATAACAGATATGAACACGATTACATGAAACACAACATATTACCATATTACATATTAATTATATAATTTCCTGAGAACAGATGAATACCCGGGATCTTAAGGAAGTTTCTTTTCTTTGTAATATATTTTATAGAGAAACTCCATCACACAAAGTCTGAGATCTTAGATGCGAAAATCTATAAAATTAATAGAAAGCGATGGATTGTAATGTGGCCGCTCCTTGCGAAGTGTGAGGGCGTGCCGAAGTCATAAAATCAGCAATATCACGAAGTTCAACTGGTCATACAGTTGAAAAGTACATCATGTCTCATGTCGACCAGTGCGTCAACAATGTTGGGAGTTAAATAATTTAATTTTATGGCGTGTAAATAAATAGATGAAAGAGACTTTATTTCGGAAATTGTAGAGATACAAATCCTTACTATTGTGAGTAGAAATTATATTGGCAGACGTCCAGACTCTTCGAGTTCATTTCCAAATCCCCCAACCCTTTAGCAAGTAAATATTATAAATACAGATTCATATAACATGTATAAATACTCATGTACTGCACATATAGAGACCGAGCAAGAAAGATTAATGCCCGGTCTCCTCAGCCCAACCACCCTGCAATTTCCTTTATATTTTTCATCAACCACTCCTTATAAATATAGTGTCTCGCCGTAAATTGAGTCTGACATGAGAAAAATCAATATCATATCTTGTTTGCAAAAAAAATCTTAATAATTGCTGACACAATCTGACTAACAAATGGGTTGTAGTCTGCAAAGCAGTAATTAGTGTACGCCCGAAAAATGATCTTGAATATGTTTGTTTACCTTGATATAGCCAATCAGGAACACCGTTGTAAATAGTGTCCGTCTGGCCAGTGTTCGTCAAGCGAATATCCTCCTCATCGGAGGGTGATTGTCGAAGGTAAATATCGTTGTCAGCGACAATTACCAAGGCGGTTGTGTTCCCCAGCCACGTTGCAAACTGGAGACGAGTGCGTTGTACTTTCGGTGAATCTTTCAACGTAACTGGCATGTGATGACTTTAAGCAAATAAGATACGAAATATGTATTAATTATGCTAATATTTCTGCAAACACTCCAACACATGAAAACACATAACGTGACTAATGTGATTGTTACGCAAAATTTCACCCCCTCAACTTTCCCCATCCGCTATGGCGGAGTGGGTATGCTGAAGTGTACACACACTACACGTAAGAATTCATTGCGAGAACGCTGATAAAATGAAACTTACTCATTCGTTACGTCATAAACGGTATAAAAAGCTGTGAATGAACTTCGAAACACCTGCAATAGTAAGAATTTATTCATGTCATAATCTAAATGGATTTCTAATAAAACTAAATCAATGCATAAACAATGGTATTCTGTGGATTTTTATGTAATATTATGCTTTCTACCTGGCCTAGATTTTACATTTGGATCTAATTTATTTTTCGACACATGTATTTTGTTATTTAAAAAAGGTTCGCGTCTCGTTGCTTTAGGTCTATTCTAAAATATGTAAATCTATGTATAAAAGACAGAGTAGCACTCCGCCTCTAAAGCAATTTTATATAACAATTCATGATGCATTCGCGTGCATTTCGCTAATATATTCCCTTACAATGTTGCATTCTCGCGACTCTATCCTTGAATTCCTCCAACTAAAGTGTGACGAAATATTGCACAGGCTTTCAACGTTTATTACACTCTATAATAAACTGTGTTGCATAAAACTTCTAACTCCATTTCAAAGTGTAGTCAAGAGTACAAAATCTAGAATACCATTTCTGGTAGTTAAATATCCACATACCTGTTTCACATTATGTTTAAACAAAACATATCGGAGATCTGAAGTACATTGATAACCCTTAACATTTAATTGCCTCTGTAAATAACAAAATGTTGGCTTTTAGTCATTGGTCAAAACATGCGTAGGCATATTTCACGAATTACCAGCGTATGATTTGTAACTAGTGTTGTAACTGAATCATTGGCAGTGTCCAGAACAGCAAGGCCCCCATCATCAGATTGAAAAACGAACTTACTACGAGTCACCCAAGTGGGTGTCAATCGATTTGGCGCCAAGTCGCCCTGTATATATTCATCTAATATCATACGTCTCCCCGACCAGTACAGCAATTCGTCTACGTATCTGCAATAAGAAGCAATTTTCCTCAATATTGAAGATATATAGTTGGCATCTATCTTGCATTCACTCTTGCCATTTTATCATAGTTTGCATTTTCTGCAAATTCAATTGTTCAAATAGAAAAATAGCCAGTTGTAGAGTTCATTAAAAAGTTTTAATGCCTATATACAGAGCCAATTTGACTTACCCTAAAAGGTAAATTGCTGTTATAATGCCTGTTATTACGAATCCAATTACAAGAAGTGAAAATATTATGCTTCTCCAGTTGTGACCCTCTTGAGTGTATGCCAGATCCTATGGAATACAATGAAGTATGCTTATAACTTAATATATTCAAATTGAAGAAATCTTGCAGTCATATGGGAAATTTAAGAAGACCCAGTTATGGCCAATTTTCTTCACACCCATTCCCCATTCACACGTCCAATTTATTGAAACCATTCAAAATATGCATATCTGTATTTTCTTCCCATACACATGTACATGACTATCAGATTTGCTTCCCCGGGCGATTACACCATCTGTGCATTTTTGTCAAAAATAACGGCTTCGAACTTTTCTATATTTCGTTGCTCATACATAAATCAATTTCGCTGCAGTAAACCTGTTGATATTTAACGTATATCGCGATGAAAATTTTACACCCAAAACTCTCGTAGAGTGAGAAGAAAAATTTGAGGAATAAAACGTGAATGTTTTTCCATAGCGTTAGTAATGTACTGTGAGAAAGACTGCAATGAAACTCTTGAAGATATATTCGTAGTTTTATGCTTATATAATTCATGTATTCATAAATATGTATGCTACTTTATGTATAACTCCGTTTCTTACATATTTTAAACAATAATGGCATGTATAATCGAGTCAAGTACCTCTTCTTTGGACTTGGGATCCTGAACTTGCAGAGTTTCGTCGGGAGGTAAACGCCATGATCCGCCACCGCCACCCCCGCCCCGGTCTGTTGTTGTGCTGGCGTGCATGGCACAGGCCCCAGGAGCCTAGACGCAAAATCTGCTGGCCCGCCACGCTTGCCTTCAATGTATTAACTACTGACCACACAGCAAGCACCTGTAAGAGTGGTAATTTAACACTTTGCAGCATCCGTTTCTTGGGATTCCACAAGAAAATAGGAGAATAATTTCATTTTGAGCTCAAGTTGTGCAAAATACTTTTGAAAACAGTTTACAGCTATGCCATATAAGCAGTGAGATTACAGCATAATACGTATATAGCTAACACTCAGTGGAAACTATATATGTGGGTGTGAGGCGGAGCAATTAAAGGGTGAATAACAAATTGTCCTTTCGTACAATTTCTTCATTAATCGTCTGTTACTATCGATCTGGAAATTCCTTGAATTTCACTAAATTGCGTCACAGTGTGACACTTAAATTGAGGGCTTCATTAAATTGACGAGATTTTGCGTGTTCTAGTGGCTCTCACCTTCGAAATGAGGGGCTGAAAGTGTTGGAACGAATAAGTATGTAAGAGGAAATACATTCTAGACAAGGAAAATAGCTATTTATAGTGTTGTATTGTAGACGTTCTGTGTATCGCCAGTTGAATCTCACCACTTTTTACCATAGATTAAAGGGAAAAGTTATTATCACTATCCTTGACTATATCACCACAGTATGGCATGTGGTAACTTCTCATTTGTACCCATAACTTCGGTGCTGGGTGAATGTTTCTGGGGTTTCGCTAAATCGACGGATTATTTTATACTTATTGCTCCCATAGAACGAATAAAGTGTATATCGACTGATGCAAGCCAAGCAATATTTCACAATATAGACCACACACAAATGTTCATTAATGCTTAGAGCGCTTCACATAGTTTAATGAAATATGATCAGGAACATAAATTGTGCTTTCGAAGGATGCAGCCTGCAGTCTGAAAGTGTTTAAAATGAAATTAATCAATTGAATTGTGAAAATTTATACTCATTCACTGAACAGGACAAGAACTCAATTCATTGATTAAATTTTTGGCAACTAAACTTCATGCTGCTCAGCACTTTCATAAAATTATCATTTGTCGATGGCAAGGACATAATTTGTGTATATATCAACACTGTGCACACATATGTAACTCTTATATGAGCATAGCGAATATTCAAAGAGCGAAGCACCTCGCAGACTGCTCAACTCCCCAATTTGTGTATTGAGACTTTGCTCCTTTGTTCTTCCGTACTTCTGGCTGTATCAACCAGGAATTATAGTAGCTAACTCCCACCAAAGTCAAACCCTAAATTTGAATGACGAAAACTACCCTATTTTTCTCTACTTGAACGATGTGTTAGACTATAAAGTACGATAATATGTAGTGATTTTATTTTTCAACCCTACAAGCAATAAATATTGACTGTATTCCGCCCTGTCCTTGGGTATCCATTGAGAAATACTATGAGAAGCTCAGTGAGTAGCATGGTAAATCATTTATTCATGAAGACAAGAGCCCATGTACCAGAAGTGATTGGAGACTCTGTTCCCAGAGGGTAACCTACTTATGTATATGCCATCGTTACTACATCTGAACCATCTCAACTATGTTCACCTTATCTCATGAAACCCTGCATTCTGTGCTCAAAAGCCGATTAGGAGTATCCTCAGAAAATCTAAAAGAAGTGTATGACATACATAATAATATATGCAGATTAGCTACTTAAATTTCATTAATTTTCTCTGCGCTGCTTTAATCTTAATTGATCAGAAAACCGTTACGTGTTGCGACCACAAAAATTCTATTTCTCATAGTTAATAAATACTTCTAAATTGGGCTTCCTTTGAAGGTTGATGCGAGGAAAACCGAATGGTCACACATATCTTCCGCATAGAGGTTGTTCCGCTTTATGGATTCGGTGGTAGTTTTCCCAGTTGCGTGTCGTTTAATATAGTGTGCAGGATATGTGTACAGCATAGATGTATAAGTCATATGGCCATCTATTTATTATGTTGGCACATATTTCTTAACCATGCAAAGGCATGACATGAAAGAAATTCTTTAAAATTCCTGGCATATCAAATAAATTTCATATTAACTCATTGTTCATTTATCACAATAATTTTTGAAACTGTGCAGTGTACAAGAAACTATATGACTAATCTAAGAATTTTCCCATATTCCGAGGTAAGCAAGTAGACGAAACATTGATAATGACATACACCTCGTGTGACTGGCATTCGGAAAGAAAAAGAAACCATTTTAAAACCACAAACTTGTCGAAAATAGAATGGCTACGAATCGCGAATCTGAAAATAGTCAACCTTGCCCAGAATCCATTCCCTGGGTCGTCAGTTTTGATCGCGGCGTCTGTTTCAATTGCCCAACTGAAAAATTACCAAATGACATTTTCTAAAAATAACCCCGATGCATAACGACTTGGAGATGGAGGAATACATTTTCCATATCGATATGTATACAATCAAGCTGCTTGTGATGAGCGTTATTGGCAAAATAGAATGAATATGATTACCATGTAATTTTACTCTCAAAGTATAGTGGGGTGCTTTTATTGCACTTTCTGTATTTCCGATTTTCAGTTTCAATAAGGAAACTTTAACGAATTAAATTTTCTATTGTATAGCTTTAATACTACACAAAAAAACTTGAATGCTTGTGCATCACCTAAATTTTCTGTACATGAAGAAACAATTAGGAAAAAATCACTGACAATACACATAAGACAACAGCATGCTATTCATATAGACCATGGGAAAAAATGGGGAAAACGCGATTGTGCCACCTTTTGCGCATGTGGCATAAAATTGAGATACATTTTGAAGATGTTATCTGTCGCGTAATGAAACACAATAGGCGTGTGCTCTCCAAATCAAAGTACCGAAATTAGAGACAAAGATAAAGATTAAAAATGAATATTTCTTGGTTGAGAAATGCATTTTTGCCCTTACCTCTCAGTAAATTTATTTATGTAAATTTGCCAGAGAGATTATTATTCCCAACGTTACAGATTGTTATAATATGCATATAGACACCACCACAAGCATTCCGTACAGTCCTGTTGCTGTATCATTCTACAATAATTAAATTTTCATTAATTTTCACACCTCTCAAGTGGAGTTAATGGCAAAAGTTTCTGGAGAAATATTGCAAATATTCCTCAAACACAACATTTATAACTTTTGTACTTTTCTGTATTCACACCACTAGTTTTTCCAAGCTCGTCTCTTCATTACCAAGAGTCCGGAAGATTAATTTTTATCGTAATTTGTCACATACAGAGTCAATACACGGGAAGTTTTAAATTTTCAACACCACTTTTGCACCTTCCATTTGGATATTTCCATGAAGTGAGTGCGGGGAAGTATATTTTTTCAAGTCAAATACCAACAACTGCAATTTAATACACATGAAAATCTCTACTCAGTGAAAGTGCTTTCTACAGAAACGATAGCCGGGTCGCACCCCAGCAACAGACAATCTGGGACTGAGAGCTAAACAACGATTTAGCGACCCGGCCACCCATCTCTATTACTCCTCTTTGCAGCGCGAATTCACAGAGTGCGCAACTCCGCATGAGGTCGAAAGGAAAAGCGCCCGAAAACCTTTCTCTGCATATTATCACATGGAAAATATTGCATATATTGCTGATGACAATCTTTGAGAGATAGCAGTACAGATGCATAAATGTAATAATCTGATTTGATCGTAAAACCCATAAAGTGTATGTTGAAGAATTCCACGCAGGAAAAGTTTCAGAAACACAGTGAAAGTACCAGTAAATTTAAACGCATGCGTGTGTGCGTATATGACCAAATTTTTCTTCTACTGTGAGAATTTAGAAACACATAGGCAGGCATTTTATGCAGATGCTATATTAGGGGATGTGAATTTTAATCTCTCACAATTCCACTCTTTAAACGTTAAGTTACCCTTCATCTCGGATCCACTAAGGGTGGCAATTAGAGCCCCTAATTCGCAAAGAGATGAAAAATTTTCACACAGAGAAAATGCTTAAAGTAATATTCGTAACTCCTTTGTGCATACATATGTACATAAAGCAAGAATACAAAAGGAAGTTATGCTATTTAACATGTGGGAGATAAGATTCTAATGTGAGCATCGTCGATTTGAAAGTGTGAATCACACTGTGTGCTTATCACCTTCCTAAACAATTTGTGTTATTCCTTTACTTTATATACCATGACTTTTTCGTGTTTATTGTAATGCGATTATCAAGGATGATTTTGTATCAATTTGTAAACAATTATGTCTTTAATTATTTATTAGTGGCAATCGAGTGATGCTACTTCACAAGAAGATAACAAGGTATAGAGATAAAGTGGATTATATAAAAGCCCATTGAGTCTGAAATTTCCTTAGTCTATCTTCATCGTGCCTTCGATAACATGCATTTAAAATCCGGATTAGTGGCAGTGCTGCTTCTGGCTCTGGTGAATGCTGAGCCATTTAAGTTCGACAATTACCGAGTGTACACAATTGCTGTGCAGAATGATGATCAGTTGAATGCACTAAAAGGACTCAAAACTGGACCTCGATTTTACGAATTCATCGATGAACCCAAGAAAAGTGGACAAGAAATTGACATTATTGTTCCACCTGAATTGCACAATGAATTCGAATCTTTGGTAAAAGAGCAAGAACTCAAGATTGAGTTGTCAATTCCGGACCTTCAGAAGCTCATTGACCGCGAAAGACCCAACAAATTCGCATCCAAAGCCGCTGAGGATTTCGGCTGGGAAGATTATCACAGTGTTGAAACCATTCACGAGTGGTTGTATTCTCTGGAGGAGCAATACGAAGAAGTCACTGTGATCAAAGGCGGAACCACTTTCGAGGGCCGTGAAATCCTGGGTGTCAACATCAATAGAAATCCTGGACAAAATCCGGGAATTTTCATTGAGGCAAACATCCACGCTCGTGAATGGATCACTCATGCTTCAACGACTTGGATCATTAACAAATTGCTCACAGCCACAGCTGATGAGCCCGGAATTTTTGATATTGCTAACAACGTCAACTGGTACATCTTCCCACTGGTCAACGTTGATGGATACCAGTACACTCGAGATCACTATAGGCTCTGGAGAAAGACCAGGTCTACCCAAGGTTTAATTTGCCAGGGTGTGGATCCTAACAGGAACTGGGGCGGATACTGGGAGAAGGGAGGAATCGGTTCATCCGACAGTATGTGCAGTGATACGTTTGCTGGATCTGAGGAATTCTCGGAAGTTGAGACTCGCACTCTATCTGAATACGTTCTGAGTGTCAGGGATAACTTGAACATCTATTTGGCATTCCACTCTGCTGCGCAAATGATCCTGATGCCTTGGGGACACACCACGGACTTCATTGAAGACCACAACAACCAAGTCAGAAGAATCACTGGAAATGTTTTGTTTTTATCTAATTTGGATTTTGACGATATTATTTCAGATAGAACTACTGGAATACACCGTGAATGCCCTCACTGCACGCCACGGAACCGAATATACATATGGACCCACATATACTACCATTTATCCCACAACTGGAACGTCTTCTGATTGGGCTTTCTACGCTCTGGGAGTCCCTGGCTTCACGTATGAATTCCGTGGCAGAAACACCGAAACTGGCGAGAGATACTCATTTGTCGCACCACCTGATCAGATTCAACCGAATGCCGAAGAGGTATATTGTGCAAAATCAAATGCTTGATAACTTTCGAAACTCAAAATACAAACGTTTTGCAGGTGCTGGATTCATTGGTTGCCCTGGTGCAGAAATCACGCGAATTGGGCTATATGTAGACTAATCATGAGATGGTGAAAATTTATGACTTCCTTACATAACACATCGAAAAGAGATAAATATCTGTTGAGTAAAAATTTATGATAACCCAATCATGCTATTTTCAAGTGTATTCCCAAAGAACCAACCCCTTATGGCCCTCTCGCACACAAACAACTTGTCAAGCCGGCACTGCAATTGTTTAAACTAATCTTGATACTGATATTGACCATGAAAAGAAAAATTATGACATACAATCGAAATGAGATACAATCGACAGAGAGAGATAGTAGTTGAGAATAAAGTATAAAAGAGTATGACTTAGTCACATAATTCAGTTTGTAGGTGAAAAGACGAAGGCAAAATGGGTAAATTTGCTCTCGTGCTGGCTCTTGTTGTTTGCATCGCGACGCTTTCTCGTGGTGAGAAAGCTCGCTTTGACCACTACAAAGTGATCACAGTGGCCATCGAGAATGAGGAACAACTGCAAGTGATGCGAGACTTGGAAAACACATCTTCGTCAAGTTATGACTTCTGGATCGGCCCTACAAAGATTGGACGTCCTGTGGATATCATGGTGCCTCCCCACAAAGTATCTGAGTTTGAAGAGATCATGTCGACTTATCATTTCAAAACCAACTTGAAGGTTGCAAACGTCCAAGAGTAAGGTAATAATTTCATTGATATTGCAATGCGCTAAATCACTTTTCATTCCAATCAGACTCATTGACAACGAACAGCCGAAATTTCGCCCAAAAGCTGATGGTTTTGGTTGGGAACAATACCACACTCTGGATGAAATTTACACATGGCTAGATGAACAGGTTGCACAGTATCCAAATATCTTAACAGCAATTGACGCAGGGACTAGTTACGAAGGACGGCTAATCAAGGGCGTAAAGTTATCTTATAACGTAAGATTATTGCTTATTCTTATATTTAATCAGATCTTGACCGGAGTGAACTTTTGTGTACACTATAGGTAGGCAATCCAGCAATTTTTATTGAATCCAACACTCATGCCAGAGAATGGATAACTTCCGCAACTGCCACGTATGTTCTTAACGAGTTCCTGACTTCTTCAGATCCGGATATTCGACGAATTGCTGAAAATTACGATTGGTACATTTTCACAAATGTTAATCCCGATGGCTTCTATTATTCCCATGTGACAAATCGCATGTGGAGAAAAACGCGGTCAAATCAGGGACTGATCTGCAAAGGTGTAGATCCGAATAGGAACTGGGCTCATCAGTGGCAAGGTGATGACAATAATTTTGTGCAGATTCTGTGAATTATTTCACTAGTGTGATCTTCCTTAGATGGACGCAATCCTGGAGCAAGTAATGACATCTGTTCTGAAACTTTTGCTGGCCCTGAGCCATTTTCCGAACCTGAGACTAAGCAATTGGCAGACTTTGTACTTGAACACTTGCAAAACATCAAGGTCTATCTGTAGGTCGATGAAAATCCAATGTTATTATCAAATTCTAGTTCACATTCTCTTCCGCAGATCCTTCCATTCGTACAGTCAACTTCTCCTCTACCCGTGGTCCTACACTCAGGATCCAGCTGACAACTATGATGATCTTCGCCAGATAGGCGATGTGACGGGAGATAGATTGAGAGAGCTCTTCGGCACTGTGTACACCGTGCAGAGCTCCTGGGACCTCTACGTATCGACTGGCACCAGCGTTGACTGGGCTTATGGTGATGCTGGCATCAAAATTGGCTACACCTACGAATTCCGCGACAGAGGCACTTATGGATTCATCCTGCCAGCAGAGCAGATCATCCCCAATGCGATCGAAGTTCTAGAATCCATGATCGCTATGTTGGATGAATGCGAAAGATTGGGCTACATGGCGTGAAGTAATATGTGATGTAGCATACAAATACATATAATAAATTTTTTGAAAGAGCATTGAATGTATTATCTAATCTTCATTATAAGCTAGGAAGAAATAAACAATGCGCTGAAGTACTACTGACAGTATTGATAACTGCTATAAATTCTTCACTTGCCGTGTGATAGCATACGACAAGTCAGGGTAAATATAAAGTGTGGTATTTGCTCAATCATCTCATTCGGATAGGGTGTGTTGTGAAATAAAGAAGATGAAGTTGGTTGTTTTAAGCATTCTCTTAGCACTTGCAGCTGCTGATCGCGCGCGATTTGACAATTATCGCGTGTACAGTGTATCGATTGAGAACCAGGAACATCTTAGAACGCTTAAGAGTGTCAATAAAGGTCTCAATGGATATGATTTTCTCACCGAACCTAGGATAGTCGGATCAGTAGCGGACATAATAGTTGCTCCGCATCTGCAAGAAGACTTTGAATCCCTAACGAAGGATAATGGACTAAAAGTTGAATTGGTTACGGCAGATCTACAGAAGATGATCGACAGAGAAAGGCCAGCGGAAAATATTAACAGAGCATCTGAAGATTTTGACGTGAATGCCTATCACAGTACTGAAGAAATCAACGAATGGCTGTATTATCTTGCCGAGGAATATCCGGAGGTGCAGGTGATTAGAGGAGGATCAACATACGAAGGACGCGATATCATTGGAATTAATATCAATCGAGGCGGCGATGAAAATCCAGGTATATTCATTGAGGCAAATATTCATGCTCGTGAATGGATTACATCAGGTTCAACAGTCTGGATGATAAAGAAGCTTTTAACCGCGACTGACGAAGAGCCTGGATACAAAGACTTGGCCGATAACATCAACTGGTACATCTTCCCAGTGGTAAATGTGGATGGATATGAGTACTCGCGAAATGTGTACCGAATGTGGCGCAAAACGCGATCACGACAGGGCTTCATTTGCCACGGAGTGGATCCTAACAGGAACTGGGACTCCTCGTGGCAGGCAGGTGGAGTCGGAGCCTCAGACAATATGTGTGACCTAGATTTTGGTGGTCCAAATGCCTTCTCAGAAATAGAAACACGCACTCTTTCGGAATATATCTTGAGCATTCAAGATAAGCTCAACCTCTACATTTCCTTCCACTCTGCTGCTGAGTTACTCCTCTTCCCATGGGGACACACAGCTGATCCCGTGCAAGGATATGACGATTTCGTGAGTATATTTGATAATAATGGAATAATGGGAAATGCTGATTTATCTTATTTTTAGTTCGAAGTGGCACAAACTACCGTAACTGCATTGGAGGCAACTCATGGAACTGTATACCAATTTGGATCCATAAACCAAGCGATCTATCCAGCCACTGGCGGATCCATCGACTGGACATTCTTGAGAATGGGAATACTCTCATACTGCTATGAGTTCCGATCGAGAAATACAGCCACTGGTGAAAGATACGGCTTCCTCGCCCCACCGGAAGAGATTCAGCCCAATTCAGAGGAAGTGTTGGACTCTCTTGTTGCAATGGTAGCAAAAACTAGAGAACTCGGCCATATGTAAAAGTGACATTTTCACCTGATTAGATTAGACAATAAACGGGGAAGAAATGAGTCATTAAATATTATCTTATCATCAGGTCCTTGAAACGTCAATCAAACGTGCTGAAAAATACCTGATTGTCCGGCGAAGGTATAAATTGCTGGACGAAAGAAGTTGAATCACATTTCACGAGAAAGCTTTTCCCAAGCAAAATGAAAATACGCGAGTTTTTCTTAACATTTTTGGCCATTCTGGCGGTCGTCGCGGGTGAACCACATCGATTCGATAATTATCAAGTGTTCAGACTAACAGTTGAAGTGGAGAGTCAATTGAAGGCTCTTAAAAGTGTTTCAACTGGCCCGAATAGTTATGAATTCTTAGCTGAACCTACACGAATTGGGCGAGACGTTGAAATATTGGTTCCACCAAGTCTCCAATCGGATTTTGACTCCCTCATTGCGAAGAACAAAATAAATAAGAAGTTGTTGGTCAGCAATTTCCAAGATCTGGTGGACAAGGAAAGACCCAACAAATTCGCATCCAAAGCCGCTGAGGATTTCGGCTGGGAAGATTATCACAGTGTTGAAACCATTCACGAGTGGTTGTATTCTCTGGAGGAGCAATACGAAGAAGTCACTGTGATCAAAGGCGGAACCACTTTCGAGGGACGCGAAATCCTGGGTGTCAACATCAATAGAAATCCTGGACAAAATCCGGGAATTTTCATTGAATCTAACATTCATTCCAATGAATGGATTACTCACTCTTCAACGACTTGGATCATTAACAAATTGCTCACAGCCACTGCTGATGAGCCGGGAATTAAAGGTTTGGCCGACAATATAAACTGGTACATATTTCCACTGGTGAATGCTGATGGTTACGAATACACGAGAAATGTTTATCGCATGTGGAGGAAAACCAGATCACCACAAGGATTAATCTGCAATGGCGTGGATCCGAACAGGAACTGGGATGTGTATTGGGAGAAGGGTGGAATTGGTTCTTCTGATAATATGTGTGATGGAAGCTTTGCAGGACCATCAGCCTTTTCCGAGATTGAAGCGAGAACACTCTCAGAGTATATCTTGAGTATTCGAGACAATCTAAATTTCTACATTGGCTTTCATTCAGCGGCAAATATGCTACTGCTCCCTTGGGGACACACGATTGATCCACCGCCACAACATTCTCAGTTTGTAAGTAAATTACATGAACAAAATTACCTAAACTGATACTAACATGTCTAAAATAATTTAACTTTGATTAGATGGAAATCGCTGAAGCTACTGTGGATGCGCTATATGCTCGCCATGGAACCGTTTACACATTTGGATCAATTTACACCACAATCTATCCAGCAACCGGAAGCTCTGCTGATTGGGTGTATTACACATTAGACATCCCAGCTTTTACCTACGAATTTCGGTACATGGATACAGAAACTGGAGAATATTATGGTGCTCTTGCACCTCCTGAGCAGATTCAACCAAATGCAGAAGAAGTTTTAGATTCACTGGTTGTACTCGTTGACAAAGCCACTGAATTAGGATATATGAATAATAATATAGGCAATTCCAAAAAATAAGTAAATGCACTTAAAATATTTTTGCTACGTTTTATGCACATTGTTATAGAATTCAGCTAATCCCTATTTGCCTTAATTAAAATCATTTTGAAAAATACGTGTTTTCGAGCTAATCTTCTCTATCAGTTCACGAAGGCTATATTTAAACTTGTTCAATTGAACAGAAAACAGAAAATAACTTGATCATGTAAGATAACAAGCGTAATTCATCATGGTATTCTGAAAAATAAAGATATATTGTTGTCACATAAAAGATTATATGAATACGGAAGGGTCAATAAATTCCTTCACAAATCTTATCATTAGGTTAAAGATTAGGTGTTAAAACATCAAAAAATCGCATTCAGATTGTCCGGCGAAGGTATAAATTGCTGGACGAGAGAAGATAAATACCATTTCACGAGAAAGCTTTTCCCAAGAAAAATGAAAATACGCGAGTTTTCCTTAACATTTTTGGCCATTCTGGCGGTCGTCGCGGGTGAACCACATCGATTCGATAATTATCAAGTGTTCAGACTAACAGTTGAAGTGGAGAGTCAATTGAAGGCTCTTAAAAGTGTTTCAACTGGCCCGAATAGTTATGAATTCTTAGCTGAACCTACACGAATTGGGCGAGACGTGGAAATATTGGTTCCACCAAGTCTCCAATCGGATTTTGACTCCCTCGTTGCGAAGAACAAAATAAGTAAGAAGTTGTTGGTCAGCAATTTCCAAGATCTGGTGGACAAGGAAAGACCCAACAAATTCGCATCCAAAGCCGCTGAGGATTTCGGCTGGGAAGATTATCACAGTGTTGAAACCATTCACGAGTGGTTGTATTCTCTGGAGGAGCAATACGAAGAAGTCACTGTGATCAAAGGCGGAACCACTTTCGAGGGACGCGAAATCCTGGGTGTCAACATCAATAGAAATCCTGGACAAAACCCGGGAATTTTCATTGAGGCAAATATTCACGCTCGTGAATGGATTACTAGTGCTTCAGCTACATGGATTATCAATAAATTGTTAACAGCTACAGTTGATGAGCCGGGAATAAAAGGTTTGGCCGACAATATAAACTGGTATATCTTCCCACTCATCAACATTGATGGATATCAGTACTCGCGAGATCACTATAGGCTCTGGAGAAAGACTAGGTCTACCTAAGGTTACATTTGCCAAGGTGTGGATCCCAACAGGAACTGGGATGTGTATTGGGAGAAGGGTGGAATTGGTTCTTCTGATAACATGTGTGAGGAGAGCTTTGCAGGACCATCAGCATTTTCTGAGATCGAAACAAGAACACTCTCAGAATATATTTTGAGTATTCGAGACAATCTAAATTTCTACATCAGCTTTCATTGTGCCAGAAATATGCTGTTGCTTCCTTGGGGACACACCATTGATCCTCCTTCGCAATATTCTCAGTTCGTAAGTAACTTCATGTTAAGTATTTAAGCTGTAAAACATATGAAGTTTTCAATCATTTGATTTCAAATGTTGTTAGATGGAAATCGCTGAAGCTACTGTGAATGCGCTATATGCTCGCCATGGAACCGTTTACACATTTGGATCAATTTACACCACAATCTATCCAGCAACCGGAAGCTCTGCTGATTGGGTGTATTACACATTAGACATCCCAGCTTTTACCTACGAATTTCGGTACATGGATACAGAAACTGGAGAAATTTTTGGGTATGTGGCGCCGCCTGATCAGATTCTACCCAATGCTGAAGAAGTTATGGATTCTCTGGTTGTACTCGTAGACAAAGCCACAGAATTGGGATATATGAACAATAATATGCGAGACTCCAAAACATAAGTCTATCATAATCACTTAGACATCTGTTTCTGTGGTTTTTGTTTTCCTTTATAAAAGTAGACAATATAGTGTAAAGAAAAACAAAAAAATATTTAAACTCATTCAATTTGTGTCAAATATAAAATAACTTAGGTACATATCAGCACGTAGATAAAATGTATCATGCAAGACTAACTTAAGAAAGAAATACGATTTATACGCTGACATATGCAAGATTATGAGGAAGGGTCAATAAATCCATTATCAAATCTTATCACATGTTTGAAAACGTCTATTAATCGCATTAAATGATCATAAGATAGTCGGGCGAAGGTATAAATTGCTGGACGAAAGAAGTTGAATCACATTTCACGAGAAAGCTTTTCCCAAGCAAAATGAAAATACGCGAGTTTTTCTTAACATCTTTGGCCATTCTGGCGGTCGTCGCGGGTGAACCACATCGATTCGATAATTATCAAGTGTTCAGACTAACAGTTGAAGTGGAGAGTCAATTGAAGGCTCTTAAAAGTGTTTCAACTGGCCCGAATAGTTATGAATTCTTAGCTGAACCTACACGAATTGGGCGAGACGTTGAAATATTGGTTCCACCAAGTCTCCAATCGGATTTTGACTCCCTCGTTGCGAAGAACAAAATAAGTAAGAAGTTGTTGGTCAGCAATTTCCAAGATCTGGTGGACAAGGAAAGACCCAACAAATTCGCATCCAAAGCCGCTGAGGATTTCGGCTGGGAAGATTATCACAGTGTTGAAACCATTCACGAGTGGTTGTATTCTCTGGAGGAGCAATACGAAGAAGTCACTGTGATCAAAGGCGGAACCACTTTCGAGGGCCGCGAAATCCTGGGTGTCAACATCAATAGAAATCCTGGACAAAATCCGGGAATTTTCATTGAATCCAATATTCATTCCAATGAATGGATTACTCACTCTTCAACGACTTGGATCATTAACAAATTGCTCACAGCCACTGCTGATGAGCCGGGAATTAAAGGTTTGGCCGACAATATAAACTGGTACATATTTCCACTGGTGAATGCTGATGGTTACGAATACACGAGAAATGTTTATCGCATGTGGAGGAAAACCAGATCACCACAAGGATTAATCTGCAATGGCGTGGATCCAAACAGGAACTGGGATGTGTATTGGGAGAAGGGTGGAATTGGTTCTTCTGATAACATGTGTGATGGAACGTTTGCAGGACCATCAGCATTTTCTGAGATCGAAACAAGAACACTCTCAGAATATATTTTGAGTATTCGAGACAATCTCAATTTCTACATTGGCTTTCATTCTGCGGCAAACATGCTTCTATTTCCTTGGGGTCACACTCCTGATCCTCCATCGCAATATTCTCAGTTTGTAAGTAATTTTATTTAATTGCTTATATGTAGATAAGAAGTTTAAATATATTCAATACAATTTATTTCAAATGTTTTTAGATGGAAATCGCTGAAGCTACTGTGAATGCTTTATATGCTCGCCATGGCACAGTCTACACTTATGGACCAGTTTATTTTACAATCTATCCAACCACAGGGATATCTGCAGATTGGGTACATTACACCTTGGGAATTCCAGGTTTCACATATGAATTCCGAAACATGAATACGGAAACTGGAGAATATTATGGACAACTCGCACCTCCTGAGCAAATTCAACCTAATGCAGAGGAGGTTTTAGATTCACTGGTTGTACTTGTAGATAAAGCCACTGAATTAGGATACATGGATATTACAATGAAGAGAAATTAATAAAAATTTGGCTTACCTCAGCTTAAAGACCAAAAGAAGGACAGAAATCAGACATGTCTTTTGATTCTCCTCCGCTTTCTCAGCTTCGTGTATTATGGGTATGCCGCTAGTTGGCTCTGCAGTCGCTAAGAGGACTTCACTATTGATGGAGTGTGCTTGGTAAGTTTTTCTGTGAAAAATGAGTGATTTTTCGTCGGTTGCACCGCCACAATCACAACAGAACTTCAGTCAATCATCTGCATTTGCCGCCGCGTTACAGAGAGCTAAACAGGTGAGTGGGATTTTGCTGTAAATCCACGATAAAATTGAGCACGAGACTGGCGATGGTAAAAATGTGAAAAATGGTGGATTGGCTGTCAAAATTTCCATAAAATTACCTTTTCTCGTTGCTCGTGGCCAACATTTCTCAATTACCCCATCGTCATTTCGTTCGCTATTGTTCCTTTTGCACTTTGCGGCACTTGTGTGTGAGGTAGCAATGCGAAGGAAAGTGATAAATGCTGAGATCTGCAAGTAATTTATGCACATTGCGGAAAGTATTTCTGTCTCGCTCTCTTGGCTTGGCTTGGCTTCATAGAATGCCTCGTTTTCCGCACCTCAAGACCCGGAAGAGCCTCAGAACATCTTTGTAAATGACTCGGAGAGCTTTTCTGCTTGAGAATTAGCCGGCAAACTGATGAGAAGTCTCCTTTCAATGGTAGAATGCCGCCTCTGTCAACGCTCACGTGAAGCCGGGTGGGCAATCAAGAAAATGCCTGAGTAACCTTGCAAACGACACGAATTCCGAGAACCAAAATGCCTTTTATCAGAAGTAGAGGTTAACTGAATCGTTTTCCGCAATGGTCCTTTCAGATCGCCGCGAAGATCCATCCTGGTAGCACACAGGGTACAAAGAGGTCATTGGAAGAAGGTCCAGGTAAGTGATCAAGAAATTCCGAAATAGTAGTTGACCCCATTTAACGTGTATTTGCGAAGACAACATGTATTTAGAGCCGGAGAATAAGAAGTTCAGCGCCGGCGGAGACTTCGGCAATGCCCAGGGTCCCGGAATGACCCCGGCAGCAATGCAAGCCGCAGCTCAGGCGGCCGCTGTAGCGGCCAGACTCTCGGTGGCAAACCCGAATGCGACCATAAATGAGGAGATAAAGATCCCAGATAAGATGGTGGGACTCATTATTGGACGAGGTGGCGAGCAAATTACAAGACTTCAGGCAGATTCGGGGTGCAAGATACAAATGGCAGCCGACTCGGGCGGCAGTCCAGGTAAGTGCAGAGAAAATGTGGCACTACTCTGTGCGGAATGGCAATCAGTGCTTATCTGTGTTCCCTGCAGAACGAATGTGCTCTCTCAGTGGCCCTCGTGAAGCGGTGAATCGTGCCAGAGAGATGATTCAGAAGATTGTGTCGCAGCACGGCAGTGGATCCATCGAAGTTGTGAGCCACACGACTCTTCCATCCCTTGGGGGTGCGAATTCTAGCTTCGGCGCAGGCGGAGACAGACCCGGAGGCGGTGGAGGGTCAGGTGGTGGTTATCCAGCCTACCAAGAGATGATGATTCCGGGCTCAAAGGTGGGTCTGGTCATTGGCAAAGGTGGCGAAACCATCAAGATGCTTCAGGAGAAGACGGGAGCCAAAATGATTGTTATTCAAGATGGACCCGGACAAGAATTGGTGAGCATTTTTTTTTTTATCTTTTTGCGAATTTTCGAGTGAGTAATGTGCAATTTCCTCTTTCAGGAGAAACCATTGAGAATATCTGGAGATCCGCAGAAAGTGGAGCATGCTAAGCAATTGGTTTATGAACTCATTCAGGAGAAAGAAGCATTCCAGAACCGAGGAGGATTCAATCATGGAGGACCTGGTGGCGGAAGTAATGCCGGAGGAATGATGAATCCAGGGAATAATGAGCAGCTGGAGGTATAAAAGTCATTCATTCGTCAATGTTTCGCCCAGAGGCATTCACAAATTGCTTTGCACTTAGGTATTTGTGCCCAAAGTTGCTGTTGGTGTGGTCATTGGCAAAGGTGGAGACATGATAAAGAAGATTCAGGGTGAAACTGGATGCAAGCTGCAATTTGTTCAGGGACGCGGAGACTCTCCGGGAGATCGTCGATGCTTTATTCAAGGATCGAAGCAACAGGTTGAGGATGCGAAGAGAATGATTGACGAATTGATTGAGAACGTAATGAGGCGTGAGAATGGCGAGCGTGGCATGAGTCGCAATGGTGGCGGAGGTGGCAACTTCGGTGAATATGGCAAGCCAATGAGGGATGAGGTGTCATTTGTGGTGCCGGCGTCGAAGTGTGGCATCATCATTGGTCGTGGTGGTGACACAATAAAGCAAATCAATCAGCAGTCTGGGGCGCACTGCGAGATGGACAGGAAGGCGCAAAACAATAACAACGAGAAGACATTCATAATTCGCGGAAATCCTGATCAGATTGAGCATGCTCGCAGTATAATTTCTGAGAAGATTGGCTTGGTGAGGACCGAAGTGCAGACAGAATTAGTGAATGGAAGAGGATGAGGGATTTGTCGTCTTTGCAGGATATCTCATTGATCGGCGGCAGCTCTGGCGGAGTAGGCGGACAGAATTATCAGGGCATGCAAGGATCTGCTGCGAACACGGGCTACCCACAACAGTGGGGCTACACGCCGCAGTCGTGGGATCAGCAGCAACAGCAGCAGCAGCCACAGCAGCCCCAAGTACAAATAAATCCGAGCACAGGACAGCCAGACTACTCGCAGCAGTGGATTGAGTACTATCGCTCAATGGGTCTCCATCGCGAGGCGGACATCATTGAGCAGCAGCAGAAGGCGAAGCAGCAAGCTGTCCAGGCGCAGACTCTCGTGGCTGGTGCTGCGGCTCAAAATGGCGCTCAGGTGCAGGCGCAATCAGCTCTGGCCTCTGTGCAGACACAGCAGATGCAGCAGGCGGCTGGCGGACAGCCTGACTACAGTGCCCAGTGGGCCGAATACTACAGGAGCATCGGGAAGATCGATGAGGCGGAAGCTATTGAGAATCAGATCAAGGCAGCCAAGGTGAATTTTTGCTCTTTCTAATCCTAATTCACTCATTCTGCTGACATCTATACATTCACTGTATTTTCTTATGAGTTCAATTTTTCTAAGATCAATAAATCTGGCGACATGCAAAAGTTTTCCATAAATCTCCGCACAGTTTACACATGAAACTAATCGGACTGAATTTTGCTGTTTAGGCGGGAATGCCATCGTCCACGGCGTCTTCTGCAACACTGCCGGGATACAATTTGCCGAGCGGTGGGGCCAATCCTGGGACACAGAACATTGTCGCAGCAGCTGGAGGTTTTGCCCCCAATAGCACTCAGTATCCACAATTTTATGGTGGAGCTAATCCTGCCCAACCCACAGCTTATCCGCAAGGATACCCCGCTGGTCCGTACACAGCGTACACGGGAGCTGCGGCGGCGGCTGTGGCTGCTGCTGCTCGCGGCGGTGCTGGTCCGGGCGTACCCACGCCCACTCCTCAGCCTTCGTCGTCGGCCGAGGGCGGCAAGAAGTGAATGGCGGGCACTGGTCTCTGAGGGAGGATGAATGTCCTGTAGAAGTCCCGCATAGCAGTGAGGTGAGTACTCCACAATTCAAGCATTCCTTTTCACTACAAGTTTCATTTATTTTACTCGGCGTAAACAACTGAAGTGTTTAGATTAAGATCTTACAATTGACATCTTTTTTTTCTTATGAAATTTACTTATATTTAATAGCTTTTACTGTATGTTTCGTTAGAATAGTTTATTTGTTTATCCTTGCATATTAGACTATCGTATAAATTCAAGCACTGTTTCTGCTAAAGGTCTGATTTATACCAAGTTTTAAAACAGAACTGATCATATTTCAATACTTATATAATATATTTTCATACATATAATCGTGGACATTTGAAGTCACCAAATATTGTTTCTTGCCATTATTAATTTTTATAAATATTTGTAAATATCTCTCACAATGGGATTTCGGAAGTGTGCAGAAACATACGCGACCGAATTAGAGGAAAATGGAATAACGTTGAAAGTTCAACTTTGGGATCCTTCGCTCTTATTTTATCGACAGACGCGTTTTGGGTGTAAAAGATTTGTTTCAATTTTAATATCTTCGTCATATTAAAAAAAAAAAGCTGTAATCAAGGCTTTTGTGTAAAATTATACGAGGAATCATTTTGTTTGCCATGTATTTTATATAGCAACGATGAACGTTTTGATAACATTCAAGAGTCAGTTATTTAAGATTAGATAACACAGCTCCACTCACTGTTAAATGGAAAAATAAGAGGTTTTTAAAGCCAATAAAATACATCAAGCTAATAATCATTGCATTGGAAAAGGGCATCAAATCAATGCTTAACGGTTGTATTGGGTTTACATATTGCAAATTTTCTTCACGCTTCACGCACTTTTTAAAATAAATGTAAGAATCTTTTGGAAAATATTACGAATTTATACATTTTTTACATTTGTGCGTATTCCATAAACTTAAATAATATATTTAACACGATTTCACAATATATATTTTGCTATATTCGTGCGCTTTATACAATGTATACTCATTTTGGTAAAAAAATTTGGTATTAAGAAGATTGTGAATTGCTTTTTGTTACATGCTACTATATTATTCCTTTTTTTTCGAATATATCTACAATATTATGATTGTTTTCTTATGTATTTTATCAAACATTTTATCAAGCATATTATCTTTTTCACAACTGATATTTCGCAGTTGAAACGTACTATTTTGTTTCTTTCTCTTTTGTATCTTTTAGGTATGCCAATAAAATGCATTTCTTTCAGAATTGATGACAGGATGATGATGATGACGATGTGAGAATTAGATGATGTTTCTTAGAAGTGTTTGCCGGCGTTGAATTTCCTGACTTCTGATAGTCGATTGAAAACTATATTATGCCCCCATGAATTACATGAATGTAAGAAGCGTAGTAGTTCTCAATATATAATCTATGCATTCAATATCAATATATATATATATACTTACTTGATGGATATAAGTAAACAATTTTTATGACACGTGAAATATAATAAAAATATATGTATATTCCTACATAAGTCATATTTCACTAACAATTTATAATTAAAGAAACCATTAGTATACCTATTTTTCATTATAAATATTCGATTTTAAATATGGTTCTCACCATTTCTGAAATATATGATTAATATGTGAATCAAATCTTATATACTATACTTATTCATTTACTTTGACTTTCCTTTGCATATAAATATCAATGATTGTTATGTGTTCTTGTGGCAATCTGGTTTATTCGATTTATTTATCGGTAAAATTCTTAAGTCACTTTATGTTTAAGTTGTACTGATTTTTTTTCCTATATTATACAATAAATTAGAATTTACTACAATCACATTACGTAATGCGTGAACTGAAAAATTTTACTCAATTTTTTTCATTGGGATCAATTATAATATGTATTTAAGTATGTATACATATTCTCATTAGGATATCCTTTTGTTGATGTTTCATTGAAATTAAACAGCAGGAAAAGAGAATCCAAGCAAATTAGGAGAAAAGGCACATGCGTCGGTAGGTTTGGGTACTGATGAATGATATTAAATGCGATGTTTTGGCAAGTTAATTGAATAAATACTAAAATAAGTGGAAAATCTACATATTGGCAATTGTGTAACCTCTGGTTCTGGTGGTGTAAATATAGAATGTTTTTCTAATTTGCATTTTGCATGGCCAGAGAGTCTCTGTATCGATTATTTGCGCACATATTGAAACAAATGTTTAATAGAGAATATGTCATGTGTATTTATCCTGGAGTGCGAAGTATGAATAAGCACTCATAAATTTTTCAGCTCTGTGCACAGGAGTTGACAAAAGTTTTATCAAGCCGTATCAGCTTGCTATGCCCATTAAATTGAACGAAAATCATAAAACCATAAAATGTTAAAAGGCGTAAAAGGTAAATAAAAATGCAAGTGAACGATTTATTAGTTATCAAAACAATTCCTTTTTATATACATATTTACTTATATTTTCTACTTTTTTAAACACTGCATAGGTGAAATTGTTGCCAGAAATCGTCAACGACAATTTCGACATAATACTTTATGCAATATTTATTTGAATTCTAAGATAATTTTTTGCGTTCTTTACCCATTCAATAATCACATCCCAACCCCAAAGAAGTGAATTCCTGTTTGTTTAAAATATACTAATTTCCCAAATATACATATGTTTGACATTACAAATTCATGCTATCCAACCTTATTCAATCTATTTCCATCAATTTATATATCGTTCATACAATTTTAGGGCTCTGGTTATTTTTTGCAATTATGTTTTTACACATTTGTCAATTTTTTACACGTTTCATGCACACATATATTTTGATATGAATTAAACCTAAATAATAGAGAACTTGTTCTATATTTTCAATGATTAGGATTTTTCTAATGCAAAGAAATTCCCATCAAAATGTTTTAAGTACTAAAATATGAAACACATAATGTAATAACAAATGATTGCTGCGGTAGATTTTAGACATTGAATATAATGGAATAAAATTGTCTGCCATACAAATTTGATGAATTCATTGCCACTCAACTTATTATATACGTACGTATATGTATATGCATTATTCATGTATGTATATATCTTTATCAAATATTTAAGGGTTACTTTTGGTCGGGGTCTCTCTTTCTATTATTTACTTGCAGATACATTTGGCACACATAATATTCAAAAATTACGAAAAGTGAATATGAAATCTACTAATTGTGGTATGTACTATTTTTCAAATTTTATAGTCAATATATATTTCTTATTATTATTTTACACACCCCAATAAATTGTCTTATAAATAGGGCAAAAGCGTAACTTAATTGATTCATTTAAAAATGTCTCATGATATTTCACGTTTTTCATATATTTGTGATTCTTTTTTTGGTTTTGTAATTATGCACCACTATAATTTGTTCTCTATCTTTTCATATATCTTTCTTTTCTCTTGTCTTATATCTTTACTTACCTTGTTTTTTCAACAAATATATGTACTTCAGCATAATTTGTGATAAATACGCTTATTCGTTATATTTGATCTCCTTAGATTACCATGAATGCGTTATTTTCTTTCTCTTTTCCATGTATTCGTATGCAGGTGTAGAATTTTTACAACATTGCCTTTGATAACTCAGCACGACACAGATTATGTCCTTTATTGAATACATTTAAAAACAAATCAATACAATGATGTTCATTTTTCATATGTTTTTGAGCAATAAGATACCCTTGAACCATGTTTCTTCTCAATATGCAATTATATTATGACTATTTCGATATAGGAATTATTTTGATTTATCTGTTTTTATGTGTTATTTTCTTGCAAATAGGATTTGGCTGCTGGTCAAAAATACATTCCAAAAGATTTTATGCAAGTGCACTGAAATAATCAGACTTCTATCATATGAAGAATTTAGTGTTTAAATCCAAACAAGTGGTAAACATGAAAAAAAAGTATATAATGCGTTCACCTTGGAAGCATTTAAATGTGTAGATTTCTTCTTTCTTTGTTAGCTTCTTAATGTGTTGATGCAGACTTAAGGTAATTAATGTATGAGGACAATAGATCATCCATTTTATAGCCTTGCGATGTTTCACAAAGAAGTTTCGATGCTCCCATCATATTTCCAAAGCGAATGTGGAAATAGGTGTTTCCGGAACTCCAGTAATTTAACTCCGAGAAATTATAACTTTGAATAATGTCCTGAAAATAAAATTTGCATTTGTAAGAGAATAAGGAAATGCTTTCTAATTGTACGTTGCATGAAATGTTTACCTTTGTTCTCGGATCAATAATATGGAATCCTCTGCGATTGATGGCAATGAGGAGGGTGTTGGGCAAATTGACGTCTGTGGATTGCTTTACGACAAAGAACGTGGATCCAAATGTGGGGAGTTGCTTGACGATGTGCAGTACTTCCTCCCTTGCTGCGAATTCATCGAGTCCCTTGTGCCCATTGTACACGCTCATGATTGTCTTCTTCCAATCGTCAGGCTTGTGCAGCCGAATGAGGTCTTCTGGTATCAATTGAGGTAAGAGATCGGCAAATCCATGTTGGAAGCCTGAGATATCATCACCGTAGTATCCGCGATAGATAAGAGCTCCTACTTTAGTCGCTTCACTCTTGGACAATCTGTAGTATCCGTTAATGAATTTGGGCACTTCTTGTGGGAAATAGAAGATGTGATCAGCATTTCTGTCGTTCAAATTGTAATTTATCCACAATTTCTTCATGAAGAACAGTTGATACTGGCACAATATTTGGCTGTCTCCTGAGCGCGTGAGTGTGGCCTTTGTCCACTCCACGAGTTCATAGATGAAGTCAAAGATGAAGTATTCCTCGGGCACAGAGAATGCCTTGTCCAGAATCTTCACGAACAGACTGAAGCCATCATGAGAGTGCAATTCCAGTCGTTTCGCAATAATTTGGCAAACATCCTTGGCCTTCGTGCTGGACTCAATCTCAAAAGCCTCGTCAGTGTCATCAGGGAAATAGACTTTGTGGAAGATCTGCATACTTCTGCATCTTATCGCCTCAACCTCAATGATATACGGTGGATACTGCCGAGGTCCAGATTTGGTGATCTTCTGGATACGTGACAAGCACTCACTCGAGAGTGGATGAGATCGCGTTCGCAGGAACTCCATGAGCTCCTTCAGGACTAGCGGAGTGGGCAGCATAACACCGGTTGCGAGCCACATCAGATCCCAGCCTCTCTCCTCACTAATTTGAATGCGATTGTCTGTAAGCTGCCGCATAATTTGGCAAAATACCTCATCACGCAAGTGATCATCCTTAATTGCAACAGCGAAAATAGTGTCTGTATCAATAGGACCGCGTCCCTTCGGCAAGTCTCCCATGTAGCGCAGGATGGCTGTGAAGATCTCGATAGCTTGATCGAAACGAGTCTGATCTTTCTGCAATTTGGCCAGTAATGGAGCCTTGATGGGGTCTCTTGTGTGTCTCCAAAGGTCTTCCGAAGCATTGCGTCGAACCGAGGTGATGACATGCGAAGTGCTGGCAGGCCTGAGAAAATGCGAAAACAATCAGATGATGTTGAATGAAATTAGGCTGCAGAATATGCATTTTTTACCCCATATTTGATCTGAAATGTTCTGCTGCGAATTTCTGCAGTGTGTGCATTCTCATCCTTTGCGTTGTATTGTACTGAGGAGCACGATGACTTCTGCCCTTAACAATGGCACTCGTCTGCAAAAAGTACACTCAATTAAATAAATAATTATTGTAATAATATGTAAAGCATACCCTGAACAACTCTAGAACTTCACCAGGAGGTGGCTCAAGACATGGAAGTACGTAAACGGCTTCCGTTGGAAATTCACCAGTTTTTTTCCCACACTCGCCATAAGCCCAAGTAATTTCTCCACTCAGCAAACTCTGTCCACTGTAGCCCAGGCCTAATTTGATAAGATCGCCCTTGAGGAGTTTCAAATAAGTGTCCCCAGAATCATCAGGATGAGTGTAGCTCTGCACGCAAACCACGTAAGACGATCTCTCTTTGAGGCCTTGCATGAGGAATTGTACAAGATTCACAATAGTCGAAGCTTCGTAGCATTTGAAGATGAACTCAACTTTTTGCACAGTCGAAATGATAAGCTCATCAATAGTATCTTCACCTGACTCTCTGGACACTGAGAGTATTTCTGGGAAGGACAATTCAACGAGCACTTGCTCCTGATCGTTGAGGATGTAAACTCCTGAGGAATTAATAGCAATCACGAGGTTCTTCTCGAGCACATTTGGTCCTTCCACGAGGACAGCTTCGTAGAATTGTGAGAACATCATGGTGAAGTTCATCAGGGCAAATATGACCAAATCTTCCATTACAACGGCAACTGCAGCGCGTTCTTTGATGCGATTGCTGTACTTAAAGGCATTCGCTATGGACGTTTCCCACTTGGAAAGACTCTTATCATTCACGAGATCTTTGGGTAAAACACGTGGAATCATATCACGCAATTTTCCCATGCTCATTTCACCTCCAACTTCTACGTAGTACTGAAGTGCGGCCAGCATTGCGATCTCCTTCTCTGTTTTGCATCGCAATTCTCCAAAGCTCACACCACGGCAAATTTGCTTGTAGATCAACTCCGTGGAGATGGGATCGTCACTGGGATTGTGCCAGGGAGTGAAGATTTCCTTCCGCAGGAAAATTCGCCAAGGAGCGCTTCGCTCACTGCCACCTTGCTCTTTCATGTACTGCTCGCAATTGGAAATTGCATCCATAATGTGCTCCTTGCCGGAGCCAAGGGACATCACTTTGTCGTAGAGCGTGACAAAGATGGAGAAGCCGAAGGTGTCTTTCAAGCCTAAATTGGAGGATAATTGTTGACACACTTCCTGTGCAGTTGATGCAGAATCCACTTCCACACGGCGAGACGATCCGTCCATCAGAGCCACATTTAAGTGAATAGGAGAGCGGTTTTTAGTGGCTCGCAATTCAAGGAACGATGGAGGTTGACTTCTGGCTCCATTCTGAAAGATATAGAAGCATATTTACACTACTCCACTGATTTCCTCTTATCATTGTTTGATTTGATTGATTGATGTAGTTCTTGATGTTACTTGTTTACAAAGTGATTATTGATTATAGATATAACATGAGAATTCATACCTTAATTGTCCTGTTTAGTCTCTCTTCGCAATATGGAGCAAACAATTCCGGCCCATCGCGAATGAAGGCCCTTAGGTAGATTTCAAACTTCTCAGATGGCGGGAAGCATCCCACGCACAGACTCATCAGAATCCATCCCTTGGCGTGCGATGTGTGATGAGGATTGTTGGTCAGTTGCTTGCAAATCTGACAGAGAATCTCATCGCGAAGAATTGGCCTCAGAACGCCGTGGCCAATGATGAAGTGCAACTTGTCCAAGTTGCTACTTCTTGTGCTCAACCACTCCTGATAAATGCTCATCTCTTCACTGTTCTCAACCATTCTCCTCACTTCGGCAGGCATCTTGGACTTCCCTTTGAGGGTTTTATTGATCAACTTCTGGCGCTGACCTTCGGACAGATCGCTCATCATCTCGCGATACTCGCGGGTTTTTATGAAACTCTTGCTGAGAGTCGTGTGGAGTTTAGCCATCACAGGAACATGTCGCTCCTCCTCATCTTCATATCGCGCCTCGGCCATGTCGCCCATGAAGCGCAGAATCGTTATCCAAATGGCTTGAGCTGACACCTCATCCGTAGGCAGGGGAAGATCCAACAGAGATGATCGAAGCTGTCGCTTGCTATACTGCGAAGTGACATTGTTCACGAAATATGTGGCTGCGAATTTTTGGAAACTGAAGTGTGACAAATCTTCGCGAGCTTGTGTGGTTTTCGGTAAGCCAATGGATTCCTCGTTGTCCTAGAAATTACATTACGCTTTTGTTAAGATTGATTCTACAGCCAATTAGGTGTTTTATGAAATAGACATTGATTGATTTGTATAGTGTAATTATGGTGTTTGTCAGTATACCTACCGAAAAAAACCCACACAAAACGGGTAAGTTAGGTCAAATAGTTTGATTAAAATATCTTATCTTATTGACCTAGCTTTTCCGTCACTCTTGTGGATATTCACTCAAAGAATCCATGAAGTATTTGGGGGGAAACGAGTAAATCATCTTGTCAGGGTGAAAGAAAAATATTCACTTGCATTTTGCATTAAATGTGTATTCTGTTTCGAAAGTTCACTTACATGTATTTGTCGTGTTATAAAAATGTTTTTGTAGCTATCTTCCAAGGCATTCAACTCTGGGGAATCTTTGTGTAGTTAATGATGGATGTGTGGCGCTATGATGTGACTTCATAGGTAGGGAAATAGAGACGGAGGAGGAAATAGGAAAAAAGATCCCACAACTTTGCTATATAATACAAAATCATAATCGAGACTCATATGTGTAAAAGTTAACTGGATGAGAGAGTAATTTGGGTGGGACGATTTTCTTATTTCGACTCTTCTCCTCAAAGAACAACAACATTTTGCTTACGCCGAGCGCTGTTGGATGCTTTGGCTGGGGCTCAGGACTGGTGTCGGGCAGGAAATCAAACACAGCATCAACCACTTGATCGTCCTCATCACGATATGTGTGCTGTACATGCTTCACGGGCGCCTGTTCCTCCTCCAATGCCAACTCCTTCGACAATTCAGCCACGCGATTCCTGTAATTGATCTCCGCCAATTCATGCCATTGCGCTTGACCCAACTTTCGGAATTGCAGCTCTTCCTGCTTCCTCAGCAACATGAGATCCTGCATACGTTTGGCCTTTTCGGTGATCTTCCCGCGGATGTTGCGTCGCGTGAGGAAACCGCGACAGTGCGCCTGAAGAGCCACAACTACGCGGCGGTTCCGTGTGAATTGATGCACCATTTGACGAGATACAAGCACAGCTTGAAGTCGCTTGAATCCTGTCCTCATGGCGAGATACCGTGAACGATATCCTCGAGCTCTCCAGTGCTTCTGAATCGTAATAGCAGCCTCGCGGTATCGCCTGATAAAGCGTCTGAAGAGCACTCGACGGAATCCTCGTTGCAGGATCAATACGCTCCTAAAAAAACGATCGCACTTATTAGTTTTCAAGAAAAATACTTTTTTTTTTGGCTGTAAAGCGTACCTCAAGTAGACGGTTGTTCTCTTCTCTTCTAGCAAAATATCGTGTGAATCCTTTAGGAAGATTTTCGTGTGACCAAATTGATAATCTTCCTCCATGCCACTCAAAATCTTATCGCAGATCTTGTTCGAAGCTACTCGACAATCTGTCTTGTGGGCCGGCGCAATTCCGGTTCCCAGGATACGATATCGCTCAACGAACTCCCGATAAGTGTGCCTGATGGGATAACCAGCCCGGCGAATCCTTGCCGTCTCCATCATTCCGGAGTATCGCAATTGTCTGACACACAGCTCTCGATCGAAGAGGTGTGACTTCTTCAGCTCATTGGGCTTGATGCATCTCACAAAGGATGGCTGACACACCTCGAGTGTCCGCATGAGTGCATCGAGGGACGTTCTGAACTGTGATGATAGCGTTAGGAAGCGTCTGTTGGTGTCTATAGTTCCATTCTCCTGCGTGAATAGATCACAGAGGAACTTATTGCTCGACTTGTCGATCATCTCTCTGAGATCAGCACTGAAAGAGTCACGATTCTTTTCCAGAAAGCCAGGAACGCTGTAGAAAACCGCACCGGCAAAGTGCTGAATCCCAAAAGCTGTCGATTGATCGTATTTGGATTTGAGGTAGATTGTCTTGTTATCATGAGTTGATTGCAATTTCGCCAACATTGTCATATCTGTTCCCTTTGGGAATTTCGATTCCTCATCAATCAATGACATCAAGTTCATCGGCTTCATGCCGATCATATCGAGAATATTTTGATTGTCCACAAACTCAATGTGTTGCCAATTAATACCTTCTCGCGTGTAGTCGTCTTGCTCCATTTTGAAGATGTGCTTCACGAAGAATTGCTGCAAATTCTCATTAGCATAATTGATGCACAACTGTTCAAAGCTGTTCACATCGAAGTTCTCAAAACCAAAAATGTCCAGCACTCCAATTGATATTCTCTGCCTCATTTCAGATTTGTACAGAGTCTTGTTTATCTGGTCCACAATTTTCACGAAGATCTTCCCATAGATCGCCTTCACAAATGCATCGCGAGCATTGTGGGCAGCCTCTTTGGACAGACTCGACACCACCTTTTCGCCCTGAGCAGTGATGGTTTTCCTAGTGAGGGAGTCAATCAGGAGACTCTTCTGAACACCAAGAAGCGTTGCAACTCTTGCAGAATTCACGGGATCATTCACTTCTGTCGTGTCCAAGTTCTGCACAACAACGGCTTTGTACTTCATATTGCCGAGATGAAGAATTGCGCCGAGGAGACGAAAAATGTTCCAAATATCGTCGTCAGTGAATGAAAGGACCTTCATAGCTGCCTGAATATCGGCATATTCCTATAAAACAATCAATTTCCAACATTTAAAATAATCTAGTGTACAAAATTTCTTCAGAAACTCACGCTGGCATCATTGCGGCCATCAGTGGTCAGAGTTCCTCCTCCTGTTAGATATTGATACTTTGAGGCATCTTCCAAGTCCAGCTTCTTCTTCTCCTCCCGATTCATTCCCGCCAGCATGGCGTAGAAGATGTGATAATTCCTCTCGCCCTTGTTCTGGTGGACAATGCGCGACTTTTCCAACAAATACTGCTCAATCTTGGCACCACCAATTGTTCCATTTCCATCAAAATGTATGTCGATGTATTTTCCGAATCGCGATGAGTTATCATTGCGCACTGTTTTGGCATTGCCAAATGCCTCTAGAATGGGATTTGCATCAATTATCTGCTGCTCTATCCATGAGTGCTTTCCACTAATTGCTGCCAAATATTGCAAAATCAGCTTCGTGCTCTCAGTTTTGCCAGCTCCAGATTCGCCGCTTATTACAATGCACTGATCCCTCTGCTCCCTCTTCAACTCCTGAAAGGCTTTGTCGCCAATGGCGAAAATGTGTGGTGGGACGTCTCCAATCTTCTTCCCTTGGTAGAGTGTCACTTGATTGTTGGTGTAAATGGGAAGGATTTCGTAAGGATTGATGGCCACAAGCATACTCCCGATGTATGTCTGAAGTGAAAAGAGTGATTCATTTTACGATCGAATGGAGTGGGCACTTCTGCAAGCTCACAAGAATCGAACTTGGTCACTTGGTGTGGGAGTGTCGCGGCTGTAATCAATGTCACAACCACCAAGATCATAATGGCATTGTTTTACGTCGTATCAGTTACGATAGGGCGCTTTTAGCAAATTGATTTCCACTTACATAGATTTCTCGTTTCTTGTAGCGAAGGTGTAAGTTCCGCAGAATGGCATGCTCATGAAGATCCCCAAGAGTTATCATATCCTCAACTCCTTTCTGGGAACTGAGGTGCATTCCCTTGAGGACCTGATCGGAGTTAACCCAAGACTCCTGATCGTCATCATCGCAAACTAGTGTTTTTCCCCGATCAGTTCTCACAATTTTACATCCTATTGGTATGTCGAATTCTCCGTTGGATGGTGGTTTAATCCACACCCAATCACCCTAGAAAACAGAACAGATAAGATTTAGTCGATTTTGGGAAGTCATAATGGTATAGGATTGTTAATCTTTAGAGTCGTTCGCCCATAAAGAAGCTGGTAAGAATTCAAATGACTCATTCTTCAGGTGCGTTATCTGGAATATTTTCAGTGTGGATTAACATCCAAAAATACCCGTTAAGGAATCCTTTCCATTGACGAATTATTTCTAGCTCGTAGAGAAGTCGCTAGCAAGTCTAGTATGAGCTTAGTCATTTCCCAGAAGCACGTTATCACGAATGAGATTGTCGTAATCATAAAATTCACTTTCAAAAAGTGACTTGTTTTCAACTTACGTGTCTTTCTAGGCGAGCCATAGTCGCCACACATCAGCTAATCCTTTTTCCTTAAGTAATTTTGAAAGAAATTTCACAATTAATACTCATAAAAAAAATTATTTCAAGAAGCGCACAAAATTTCCTCACCTGTTCTTTAGACGGCACTCGAAAGACTGGCCAAATCGACAGTATATTTCAACTTAACAGGGGAAGTGAGATAACACCATCGATTTTTGCCGCTATCACAGCGTTATCAATGGAATGTGTGTTCGAAGAGGTAAAGTGAATTAACATCTTTGTCTTGCTCACTCCAATTTACAAATTTTTCTAGATAGCAAATCTTGGTTTCGCTCCTGAAACATCCTCAGACTTTCTATAGAAATGTCGCATGTTGAATAACACGTAATGTTTTGTTGGCAGGCGGTGAGATGCGTTTTTATTGGGTGTTTGAATCGTAAAATGACATTGCACACGAAGTGAAAACCTCCTTATTTTTGGTGTTGTTTCGTAACTGCAAATCCTTCCTAATACAATGGATGTATTTAAGAATGTAAGCCTATTCCTGATGAATGAAGAGTGCTACGATAAGTACTTCTTGGAGTTCGATTTCTTCGATGGTAAACAAAGCAGTGGTTAAGGTTACTGTGTTGCCATGTCACTATGCGGCATTCGTCCTTTATCAATTTCAGCGGACTGCTTCAGGAGTTTACTCAGTAAATGCTTGGGACTGGGCATCATTGCCGGCTCGGTTCTCGTGAAGGTGCCGCAGATCCTCAAAATACTCAGCAACCGCAGTGGAGAAGGAATCAGTGCGGCGAGTGTTCTGGTTGAAATTTGCGCTATTACCGCTCACATTTCCTACAGCTTCGTTAAGGGATTTCCCTTCAGTGCATGGGGAGATGGATCCTTTTTAGCCGTTCAGACTGCAGCCATCGCCGCTCTTGTCTTCTACTTCGGAGGCTCTCCAGGAAAGGCTGTGGCATTCCTCGTTGCATACGTTGGCGTCCTGTACGTCCTCATGGGTGGCCTGACACCGCTGGATGTCCTCTGGACAATGCAAGCCTGTAATGTACCTGTTATCTTCATGGGAAAGGTAATTCCTCAGCACTTCCACTTGTGCTTCACTTCTAATACTCCTCACTCTTCCAGATGATCCAAGCGGTCACGAATTACAAGAATCAGAGCACCGGACAATTGTCGGCTGCGACATGCTTCATGCTATTCTTCGGCGCCTTGGCACGCATCTTCACGTCCTATCAGGAGACTGGTGATCCTATGATGATTCTCACCTACTGTGTGTCCACAATTGCCAACGGAATCATCGTTTTCCAGCTGATCTACTACTCCAAAGGCAAGGGCAAGGCGCCAAAGAGTGCAAAGAAGCTGGAAAAGTCTGCACCAGCAAAAGCCGCACAAAAAGCAAAAAGCAAGAAAGCCGAATAAGTACTAATCAACTGAATAAAGCAATATCATGCGATGTAGCTGCTAAAGCCATGCTATTAATGGCAAGACTATTAGGTTTGGAGATTTTATTTGTAAGTCACTTTTGAGGACGGGTACTCAAAACAAATATGGATAAACTGCTAAACATAATTTTACTATGAAAATTCCAATAAATACCTTCGCCTGATTCAGTTGTTTCAATATTCAGAGTTGGAAAAACAGCTCAAATCTCGAGATAAATCCACTTCAGTTTAGCATGATTCCACGGTTTGAATCTCAACTTAAGTACACTCAGAAAAATCAATAGCGTTTAGTTAGAATCTAAACTTAAATTTATATTTATTAAGAAAAACACTTGCAGATAATATTCATAAATAAATAGAGGTTTGTAATAATTCTTCTAGTTTTGATTATATGTATGCACTTTCATATTATTTACATAAAGGTTACTCTTAAATGTTCTTAATACAATATTTCTTGAGTTCTTACGACTCTTTAGAATGTTTGTTGTGATAGGATAGTAAGAAACAAATATTAGTATATTTTGCCGAGGCTCTGTGTCCGCCTGAAGATATTCCAGCCGTTGCCACTCAAGTTGGGCAGGCGACTTTTTGTAGACTTGCTGCGGGATTTCGGCTTGGATGTTGTTCCATTTGGACTCGGCGCTCCCGATGAGACACCCGATGAACTGCCACCAGACAGAGTAGACACGGATCCCTTATTCAAACCCGGTGTGGGCTGTAGAAAGATTTCCATGAATTCTGCACTATAAATTTCGTAGTTATACAAATCATTCACCTTTAAGTAATTTCGATCCATTGGTGTGATGACTTTGATATCAAGACTGGAACCAGACGACTGGATAATGTTAACAACTTGCTCTTGAGTGTACCACTTGACATCAATGCCAGATAACTCAACAATAAAGTCTCCATCCTTGATTCCACCAAGCTGCAATTTAATCATAAAGAGTGCATTAGAGATAAGTCCTACCTTGCTTGATGAAATAAACTCACATCAGCCAATGAATTTAATTCCACGTAGGAAATTATAACTGGAGCGTCTCCTCGAACGTGGAATCCGAAACTCTCCACGTTGTCTTTAGAGGACTGATTCTTGCTGGAGGAATCTTCAGCTGTAAATGCGATGTACTTGGCACAGACCTCACAGCGTCCAGAGTCATACGTTGGGCTCTTCTTGCACTGGCACCTGCCAGCATTGCTGGTGGAAGTCTTCCTTGAACTCGGTGTTTTCACACCCTCAAGACTGGTGCCTTTCTGCAATCGTATACTTCGCGGTGCGGTCCAGTGTCGCCTCGCAGAGAATATGGCAATTGGGCCCAATTTCTTGAAAGGATCCTCAACTTTGTACGCCGTGAAATCTGGTCCGGTGAGCGATAAGGTGAATTTTGAGCAGGTGTCCAAGTGCGCCTCGACAAGATCGAACTCCTCATTGAGCACATCATCTTGATCCGTCTTCGAGCTGAATTTATCCATTTCATCCCTATTCTCAATGTATGCACGATGAAGGATCTTCGTGAGAGCACTCTTGTTCTTCAACTCTCTGCACATGCGTTGCAATCTCTGTGCCTCATCGTGACTAGCCAGTGCCTCATTGAGATGTGCTCTCTTCCTTGCAACTGGATTTATATCAGCGTCTATCGAGGACTCGTCGAATATGAAGGAATCACTGGCTTTCACCGACTTCTTCGACGACGCCGATGAGGATGGTGAGATTGAGGCGGACTTCTTGAATGGTTTTGTACTGATGCTTTTCGCGGCGTGATAGTGGGATAAGGCCTTATAGTATTCCGCTTTGAGAGGCACTAGACCGGCCCAGCATTCCGGTAGATAAGTGTGTGTCTCGCTCGATTGAATGCTCATGTGCATATCGTTGTACTCCATGGTCAGCTGCGCTGATTCTCCAGATAAATCGCGATGAAGCTGCCAATTGGAAGCACAATTAGTGTGATTCGAAATTTTACATTCAAATAATGTTACGAAAGAAATTGCAAAATTATATGTATTTACATGTTCAACGTCTTTGAATGACATGTTCTCCATTTGAAGGCGCAGCTTCTCAAATAAACACTCCCTAGCTTGGGCGAGCATCAGTGCGACTAGTATTTCTAGGACCTAAAGGCAAAGTAAAAAGCGTTATCTCTCAAATATGTGCGTGAAAGACATAAATTCCAGCGAACTCACTTGAGGCTTTAAGTCCATCGATGGCGCGTTGGTGAATGTATCGTAGATGTGCTTGAAAATGCCTGCAGCTCGCAAGAATGAATCAACAGCCGCATCCAAGCCCTTCTCTGAGCTGCGATCTTGACGTGTTCCAATTTGTGTGTATATGGCTCCGAGATTGAAAAGAACACACGCCTTTTCAAACGCTACAGTTCGCTGACAAGAAGGAACACCTAGAAGACAGAGGAAAATGCTAATTGCAGATATTTCACAGAGTCATGCTTGATCAGTACTCTAACCTGTTAATGAATCGTACCACTCGAAGTAAACACCTAAGCTGCGATCAGGCGGAAAAAAGCGCCTTTCCACGTAGTAAAGAAGATTGTAGTAACGGAACAACAGAGCCACGCCTGCGGAATCTCGTGTGGGTGTTCTGGCGCCCTGTCGTGTGTCTGTGATGTCTGCAATTGCGTCCTCGTAGCATGAGGAATCCTCGCTGTAGTGTTCAAGGATGAAATCCGCCAAGGGTTCCAAAAAATTCACCTCCTTCGTCTCTTTCAGGCCCAGTGGAATCATAGGAATTACAGCGTCCGCACTGCAGAGGGGGCAGTTTTTGAGAAGGGAAATAGGAGGACATATGCTTCATGTTAATTACCCATCATTTTGGTATATTTCCACAGACGAATTCAGCTCTGATAGTTGCTCCTTGAGCAATTGAAGATTGGAATTCACGAAGCTCAACTCCAGCGCCACTGTATCCTTCAGCTTTCTATTACTAGTCGCCTGAGAAGAAATATATTGACTCTTCTGGTCACAGTGATTATATGTATCGTAACTACCTTATAAAGGTTTTCAGCACCAGCCCTCAAACGAAGCTCCTTATTAATCTCCTGGTTGAGTTTACATCGTCGACTCTGCAATTTCCCTCTGCACGTCGCCACCCGAGGATCTGATCCCTGAAAGTGATAAAAATGCAGATAGAAACACTCATTTGTCATAATTACTATACAGCGGAGATTCGTGGCTGTGTTTGCAAAACAATTTTACGGCTCTCATAACGCTGAAGTCTTGTTTATCAAACATATTTAGATATGAAGGCAATGTTCAGGCATAATTTTCCGAATGGCTAACATTACAACTACTGCAGGAATTACTGTTGATTAATAGTTAGAATGCAATTCACAATGCAAAGGCAGAGATTGACCCAATTGCGCTATAACAGTACAAAATATAGGAGACAAATATGTAAATTCCTTTTATTCAGTGACACATATTTCCTCACTCTTGACCAAATACATAATGTCAGATTGCTTTTGCGTCTCTCCTCCTAACTGTACATACTCTTCAGCATGTATCTTTCATCCAAGTGATCTGTTAAGAACGCTGCTGGGATAAATATGTATATAAGAGAAAGCACAGTTGGATAGATGAGGTTTATCGGTAAATCGACACAAAATTGTCCTATTTTGCTTAATCTCACATAATATCGCGTAGATTTGAAAATTATTCAAGAATTTTCTGTCACAAAAGAATAGATTGATAAAGTGTTATTTTAATTTTCACCTATTTTCTCTTTTTTGTACAAAAAATACAATTTTCTCTCTGTCCCTCTTTCTCTATTCATCTCCCAAACAATTACAGATGCATGGCATGTTAAACACATCCACCGGAAGAGCTTTATGTACATAATGTATTCCTTCACCTGCCCAGACACACATCACTCAAGCCAAGAGCATTTCTTTGGAAGTTTTTCTTTAATGGCGCTTTAACTCTTGAGATGTTTATGCAGTGTGAGAAGCCCTTCACTGCATGAGAACTTCTAGCAGAGGGAAAACAGATCGATTCATACCTGACACGTAATATTAAGAGAGTATCCCATTGTAGTATGTATTATTTTTGCTGATACACTTCTCAGTATATAATTCAAAGTCTTTTCACTCTATATGTCGCAAGGTTACGTCAAGTCCATTTCGTCACTCTTCAATAAAACTTGATTTAAAACGCCAATGTAGTACGACTAATTGAAAGGTGCTTAACCATTTTATAGATACACTTTGTTCAGTTGTACATAACATATGAATATGTGTATTATGTACGTGTGTTTTACAAATTGAACAGGGCTTTTATGCATAGATTTGCTAATGGAATGTGCAAGACAAAACCAAAGTTCACTTTAAGGTTCACTAGCAAAGAAATATGTTAAGTCTTTTTTTTTCTGAACACTCAGCGCGACAAATGGCAGTTCTTTTGCGCGTTCGCAATCGACGAAGAACAAGCCTTGACTGAAATGATTCTGTGCGTTCACAAACGCTCAACTTCTCCAAGTTTCCCGTTCCAAGAGAGCGGCATTGTGAGAATGCGGTCTTCTCGCTCAATTCTTTCTCGACTAGCACCTATTTCCAGATGGCATCAATACATTGCATTATTCTAGGGTGAGAGTGTATAATCATATGCCAAAGAATATTTCATCAACGCCACAGTGAAAACCTGCGTGCTAATAATTTCAGAAATTTGGGATTGGAATTCAACTTCGCCTATGATGAGTAGGAGTAAACAATTGATAGGCACAACAAAAGAGAGAAAGAGTTGAATGCACATTTCTTCGCTAGACCCGCTCAATTAACTAACCGTTACAACTTTGTATTGCCCTGACTGAAATACATATACTTTCTGAATGTCATGAGCTAAAGATATTGTGTTGAATTATTTCATACGAGAGACGATTCACGTCCCGCATGAGAAAAAGTGTTTGTGTAGATAGAATTCTTTCGAGGGACTTAACCAGGGAAATACCCATTATCTAAAACGCTAGTGGGAGCTTAGCCCACGTTCACACATCACGACAGCACTGTGAATAATTTTTTTTAATCAAAATTGAGCGCTCTTCGCTGCCTTTTGCCTTCACTCTTTCCATGTATCATTAAATCCATTAAACGCGTCTTTGAATAGACTTTTGACTGTAGCGTGAAAGGACAGAATTAGCTAACCCTTTTGACAATATTATTATTACTTAAATTGTCACCCGCAATTTCAGGTGGTGACTCTGAAATTTCGAGGAGATGCGCGCGTATTCTCATACCTGAGCCATCATATGAAGTGTAAGGCAATATATGTAAAATTAGCCAGAGTAAATGCTGTGGGAGGCTCAGAGTTGAGACATGAGAAAAAAAACATGAGATAATAATCTCCACATTGATAGTATTTTTCACACAAACCACTATTGAGACAATGGAAATAAAAAAGAAGTCATCATCTTAGGTCTCTTTTTCACCTTCACATATTTCTTAAGGCTTCATGTATTTTATGTATGATAATATGGTTGTGCAAATGTTTCTTTCTGAAAGAGATCTTAAGTATGAAGCTATGTTGCTTTTTTTCTAAATGTTAGAGTCATTGTACACATATTGCTGCAAAGACGAATGCATTGCAAACCTTGTGGCATTTTGATTTCATGTCGCATCTTTCGCGCGTTGAAAGGTCGCGAAGGAGGCGATACGACAGTTATTGATGGAAGTGACAAGTGTACATAATTTCAGAGATTTCTCCGGCGGCCACACCTTCGCTACATAAGAGAAAGAGCGACCTGTGCAAGTGTACATTAAGAGATTCACGAAGCCAAATGTGCTAAATTATGGTAATTGCATATTACTAAGTGTGACAAATATGTGAAATAAATGCAAGAATAAATATAAGGAATAGTGAGAAGTGGTGAAATATAAATGGAGATACTTATATGTCATTAGGGATTATACATAGCATTGCATACTTTCATACATTCCTCGCTATATAAAACGAAATGTGTTTATTTACACATTTAAGTGACAGAGTGACCAACAAACTGGGATTTATTTTGTGTGCCAAGCTTTTCTCGTCAGCAATTTATGGGCTTTTCGGTATTTGAACAATTTTGCATACATTCATGTTTACATGGCCGCTATACATAATGTGTGGTAAATGAAATTCAATCTCATTGTGTGTGTGTGTGTGTGTAAAAACATAAATTATACTTTGGTAATTCTACCTCGAAGAAGTACGTGATCAGTTTTATTTATAATACGAATAAAAGCACTTTTTGTGCCTATTCATGTATTTTATACATAGACGATATAATGAGGAAAACATTCGACATTTGCAACCAGAAATTGTATACAAAAAGCTCTGTTACAAAAACAATCAATGGACGACTAACTTCCGATTATACCTTTTGGCTACTTATACAATTTTACTTACTCTGATAAACGAAAATGACCGATTATCAGTTTTCGATTCCATTTCCAAGCTGTTATTAGTTCGAATCCTTCACTTTTTCACTGGTATTCGCTTTTTCTTCACATATCACGTTATTCACATTTTTTTTGTCACGTTCTTATAAAAAATCATGAATATACGGAAATCTTTGATATGCACAGTGAAAAAACAACCACAAAATCACAATTGCATTTCTCTTTCGCTGTACTCTCTCCTCGTATCTGTTAATCCTAGGCTCTTTCTTAGTCACAATTCACCAGAGACAGTTTTATCTGCAAAGAAGAAAGAAAGAAGAAAAAATTCAACGATTAGTTGAAGATGAATTATATTCCTTTCGTGTTAGGGCAATGGAAGAATTTATGAGGAATAAAATCACGATCAACCGAAAAATTGCGTCACGCGTCGCTGATTTGGTTAACAATTTGAAAAGAGATGCAATTATTTTTCTTTTTATACTTTTAAACTGCAAAACACTTTTATGTGCATCCAGTGTAATTTTCTCAATGAGATGTACACAATATTTCATTTGATGAACAGGTGAGAAAGTTTTTCCATGATTTCACTTAATCTCAAGCAGTCGTTTTTCCAATCATATGGCTTTATTTGTTACTTGCCACTATAATTTACTTTGGAAAAATGAACGATATAATTTTCAACGCTAATTTCCTCTCAATTACATTTGAATAATTGTCGGGCGTTTTTTTTTATCGTGATTCGACAGGTGAACAAATAAAACTTAAGTGTGAACAGCCTTTTCAGTTTCTCTTGTAGTAACAAGAAAAATTCTCTTTACATCACTTTATATGACTTAGCAAAATGAAAAGAAAAACCCACTCGTGAGCTTGAAAGAGATACAAAGGAAATTAAAATAAATGAGAATGGATTATTAAAGAATATATCCACACATCTTATTGCAAATAACGCTAGAGTGAATCATTTGCACAAGTGGAAACTTCTGTATGGACAGAATTTTTCCTTCCCCCACAAATGTCGGAATTCATCTATTAACACGAATTATGGGCATTCCAAAAAGGTGAGCTATTAGAGCTGTACTAATGCATATTGCGTCTTTTCTTGTGACTCCATTAGGTCATGGTATTTCATAAAAACAACATAAAATGTGGTATCTTAGCGCTATCAGCAAGCCTTGCGGTGTTTATTTAGCGCAAAATATCAACTTCACCTATTCTCTTCAACACGCCCGTGTGATTAAAGATCTTACTTCCAAAAGAGAACACCTCCACTTTATCTGGTGTAAGTTGAGACAAGAATTAAGGCTAATGAGGTGAGCGAACCAAATTTTTGGATGGCAATTCTCTTTGTGAATTTCAAGGGATCCCCAATTTTGGTGAAAGACATTCTCGCGATACTTCGTGAGAACGCAGAGAGAATCGAAAGAGTGTGATCTACCAGGAATTCTCCTTTCTCTACCCTCTTTTCTCGGGCACGAAACGCGAAGAGAGCGAAATGACGCTTTTGCCCGTGATTGCGACGCTCTGTGGCTGTGTAAAGTAAAAGGTAAAATGCACAGGAAATGATTAATTACGCACTCCACGAACACGACCGGTTGCCATCTTTTTCATCATATGCGAACGTCGTCTCTCTCGACGACGGAGCATGTCTACATGGTTGCTCATTCACCTCCGATTAGTCGTCATTAGGAGGAAATGTTCCGAGCGCAGTGTCTCCTTGCCGTAATGCTGTGTGTACTTGTACATAAGCTCAGTAGAGAGTGCGCAATGGCATTCGTGATAAGTCAGCAAACGAGGAGAAAAATGCTGTGACAGTGTATTTCACGAGAGACGCGCACAGTGGGTTAGGGAGAGTGGAGTAAGTGACTAAGAAAGTCTATATCTTTCAAAACCCGCTCGAAACGAGATCACAACCGCGTCTCGCGAGCTGTGATTGCCAGAGAAGCCGAAAGCAATCGTGCTTTCGCGGTATCTGCGAAAACTTGATCTCCCTTGAGCTATACACGGATAAATCATATATGGCAGGGTTCGCACTTTGCAAATGTTCAGCACACGCAAAACACCTTGTCATACTGACTGTCTAAGTTGCTTGATGTGCAAACATTGCTGCTGTTGCAGCCACTCAAAATGTTATCAAATAGCAGAAGGAATTAATTGTGGAGGACAAACAGAATTAAAGTCAAAGATACTCGAGAATTCTGGAGTATTTCAATTAATTTCAGGGGACTTGCAAAATTTTAGTCCACGTGTAATGTTTTTTTGTAAAACATCCAAATAGTGATTAGCTCATTTTTTCAAGGATCAAATGTTTAGGATATTTGCCAAGTGAAACATGTAATTCTTTTCAGAATTCTTTATTCATTCTTTTTCTTGGATTCGCATGTTTTACAACATAACTCATGCATTAACCAAAGTACAAAATGAGTAAAGTCTTGAACTTCAAGAAAATACATATCTTTCCAGTTCACTGACAAAAATCTTCCGGCTCAAAAGTGAAGTGAATTTTAATAAATAACTATTTTAAAGAGCGTATAATGCTATTTTAATGAATTCAAATGATCTCATGAACAGACTAACCAGCCCTTTTCAGAGAGCATTAATTATAAGAGAAGTGCCAAAAAATGAGAAGCGCAGCGATTGCAAATGAGTAACTTCAAACACTTCAAATAAGAATTAAGCATTAAAATTTAAAATGTGATAAATTTTCCTTATCAAGATTTGTGATTCATAATAGACTTTCTCACGGTGATCTCAATGTTTTGCAGCTAAACGTTTTTCTCTTTTTCAAATGTCTTTGGGAAAGTATCACAAACGATTCGAAAACACAGAAAAAACATTGTAAAGCAGGCGCTTGTCGGAATTTAAATATCCCGCGCAATAATTAGCATTTAAAAGTTTTTTTTTCTGCCATGTGAGAAAAAAGGTGCGAACCCTTCTCTCTTCACATTTCAAGAAAGAGTATTTTGACTTTATAGAGTCAAAGTGAAGAAGACATACATACATGGTGAGTTTAGGTGTAATATCCTTTTGATAGTCGTATTTGTTCTGTGAGCAATTCACAGAAATCTCTCCGTCAACATGAAGGTTTCACATTCCTGCGATGATAAGAGAAGCACTGAGTCACGATTTTTCCATGAAATTTTTCTCCGCACTGAACCTCACTTCAGAGACTCTCGAGAGAAGTCAATTTTTACATTGGCAGGAATGGAACAAAGCTACACTCACATCCACGTACGCGTTTGTCTCAATGAATATCAAGCGACACAGCAATTTTGAACTTCAGGCGGATCGAGTCCTTGAAGGAATTGTAATTTGTATTCTAGACGACTCGAATTTCATTCAATGAGTAGTACATTTCACTTATATCGAGGAAAAAAACAAACTTCTAGCCGGAAAAGCGAGACGCTAGCGATCCACCGCGTACCAATGCTACCTCTCAACTGATTTGAGGTAGGCAAAACTGTGTGGAGCAAATGACTCCACTTCAGAGTGTTGGTAAAGGCTTGAGAGATGGGAGAGTCGCTGCAAGGTGTACCAAAAGTTAAGGGCCCTTTTCGATCTCAACCTGACGCAATGTTTTGAAATGTATACAGAAAAACGCAAGATAAGCAGTTTGGAAAAAAGAAAATAGATATAAAAAATCACCCTGTGTCCAATCATGCCGCCGAATTCATCCCTGTATTCTTGTACCTGTGGAGTATTAATTTATACACACACTGCAATAGCGTACCTGTCGCTCTTTTTTATTATTATTGTTTGCAGTCTCTTGCACGAACGTATGTGTAGATTTGCGTGAGATCAGAGCAATACATCCAAAGAAGAGTGTGTGGAAAACGTAGAAAAGCATCAGAAAAGTGCAAAGAATACATATTCCACATCGAGTGCTCGATGGTAAGCTTACATCTTGTACTATGACATCTGTCGTTGAATAGGTCACACTGAGTGAATGTTCAATGCGAAATGCTGAAACTTTTGCTCTCGCAAGTCCTAGTAAAAAAGATGTTATATAAACATATATCTGTATTTGTGGCATTTTTGTTCCTTGATACATTATATTTTCTCTTACTCAATGTAACTCTTACTGAAACTAATGAAACAAACTAAGAGCAAGACTTGTATTAACATTTCTTCTCAGAATTTATACGTCATACTCACTAAGCTGACATTCTATCAGATAAAACAGTTTATTCACTAATCACGACTACAATATTCAATGTTGCGTGCAATTGTGAACCCAGTCTTGTTACTGTTTCTTTTTTTTTTTAAATTTTTACACATGACTAAATTGTTTGCTTGCTACATCTGACTAATTTTGAGAGATATAACCAATCAATTTTAGCTCCAATTCCTTCAGAAAATCATAAAACTATTTTCATCCACAGAATTATAAGAGAAGATTCAATATCAAATAAAATGCTTAACAACTGTTATTGACATTTCCGTCGATGCATTGATGGGATGACCACGTGATCCTTAAAAGATAGGTTTCAATTTTCTCCAAAATTTAATGATAATTACAATCTTAGAATATTTTTTGGGCACACAAACGAAAGTTATTGAAAGAAAATTAAACACTGAAACACGACTAATATTCCTCTATTCATCAAACTTTCATTAAATATCGACTTCAACTTTTCTCAAACACGAAATAATCTAATTTTTCAATTTGTGTTATCGTTGAATATCAATTTTCTTAACAAATACCATCTTTAATTAGTTCATTTTGTGTGTAATGTAATAATGAGAAAACTTCCTTTCAAGGTATGTAATACTGAATATCAACATTCAGTCAATATTCAATGGCAGTCATTGTTATTTCTATGTTAGTCATTATATGTAGTTAGTTTTATCCCTAATATGTGTTAATCTGGTACTTATTAGTTTATTTCTTTTGATGAGAAGTGTTTATTCCCTTTTACACTGACACTAAATATGATATATTTGCCGTTCAACTTTCTGACTGACTCATACAATCTTAATGAAAAATTTACATTATTACAGTAAACAAACAATTAGTGTGAAATTGTGTATTCTTGGAAAAGAACGTGATACTTTAATAGACGATAATGTAAATATTTCACAATATTTCAAAAGATATTTTATACAATAAAAAAAAAAACACCCTTAAAGGTATGCTATCAATCCTGTCATTAAACTATACAATCATTCTGAATTATTCACGTATTTTTGCAATGGTTAATTCTTGTCCAATTTCAGAGCAAACATAGAGATATCTCATCTAATCAAATATGTGATCTTTATGATTAAATAATACTTAAAGTATTCTTTTTCTTTCACTTACAACACTAGCTTCTATTTCATAGTTTTTATCTCAGAATTTCTCTATTTGACAAACTAAAAGATACATGTATATTTCAAAAAACCAATACAAAAAACTATATATTACGCTTTTCCATTACATTTCATAAGTGTATGTACATGTATATAGACATTCAATATTTCATAAATATACAGGCTCAAGTTGTCCAGAGAAACCAGTTCAAAATTCCGAGTCTCAATGCCCCATGTCTCTCTTTCTAATCCACTCTGTTCAACTCTCAACTTTTTGGATAATAATTGGGGGAAATCGTCGAAAAAGAGAAAGAAAAGCAAACATGGTCAATTTGATTTACAAGCAAATCCACACACCATTTTTATCATATAACTAACGCTAAATGATAGTAAGAAAAAGAGTGTTAAATTGTAACGTAGTTAAATTTTAAAAGACTCACTGAAATTCTGAAATGAACAAGAAGAAATCATTGTATATTTATCAGAGTAGGAAATTGGGTTAACTCAGAAGTACATACCTTGATCGAAGCAGCTCGGATTGATGTAGCTTATAAGATCATGATCAGACATGGTTGCGATTTCTTGAGGTATTGTTGTAGTTCCGGTGGTCGGTTGTTGGTCATGGGGCGTTCCATCTGCGATGTTATTGGACACAATCGCCATGTCCACCTTTGCTGCTTGATTTGGCAGTTCATTCTGCACCAAACCCGCTGCTTGCATCATCGTCTCAGTCCTTCTGCTATTGCCAAAAAACAATCTTCTTTAGAGATTGGCTAATGTAGATGTTCATTTGCATAACTCACCCGATATCACTCTGCACCCTCTGCACATGGAGATCTCCATTCACACTCACGCGAATCTCGTGATTGTTTATTATGTGATTTGGGGGGCCGAGATTGTCCGTCACACTCGCACTCAGCATATTTGATCCCGCTGTCGTGGTCGTCGCTGACATATCTGACGCCCCAGCCATGATTGCCGCCGTGGCAACAACATGAGCCGCGGCCGCGGTCGCTTCTGAGAAGATGGTCGCATTCGGCGATATCTGCTGCGGTTGCTGCTGACCATCAGCTTCAGGTCCCCGACCCGCGTGAGTCGTCACTGGCGTTGGGTCTTGAAGCATCGACGTGGCGGAATTGAATGACATGAGAGCCTCCATGGATTCGGTGGTGATGGTGTTCTGTTGCGACGTCAGAATCTCATTGAGAATCATATTGTGAACAGTGTTCGATGTGGTCGTTGTGGGTGTCTGTGGTGACTTATGATCAGCCTGTGGACTAGCAAGAATTGGCGATATCATCGAGTTAATCATCGCCTCTGGGGCTGTTTGCGGGATGGTCAAGAGTGGAACCTGCAGAAAAGAATGCAAAACAATTAATAAATAAACCAGTTTCAACCCAATATCTGTTTTCACACTCACTTGACTCTCAAGCATGGGCGAATGCGCTCCAGTACTTCCTGTGCAAAGCATTGACGGAGACACAGTGGGATTCATAATAATATCGGGTGACATCGTGTGATCACTCTGCGTCGTCGCTGATGGGAGGTTCGGCGATGATAGCACATTCATTCCATTCACCTCTGACAGCGTCACCACCGACTGAGAATTGAGAATCACGTCCTGAGATAGTGGCGATCGACTTGTCGACGATGGAGATGAATTATTGCAGAGTATTTGATCGGTAGCAGAAGCGCCATCGCACTGAATCGCCAGCGGACCAGCAGACATGAAATTAGTCTCCATGGCAGTGTTTCGGTTTGCATTGATCCCACTTATCTGCAAAGCCAAAGGATTCTAATTAATATTAAATGCTTGCTTCTTCCATTGCTATTTCCTTTACCTGTGAAAATATTCCCGCACCAGTTGTGCTCGATGTGGACACATTTCCCACTGGTGCTGTTGTGAAAAGTCCGCCTGAGACATTGTTCTCCAAGAACTTCTGCACACTCTGCACCGTTTGTGCAGGTGAAATTTGCGTCTGTGCCTCTGTTGAGCCAGCATTCACGAATTGATGCAGTTGCACCGCTGCAACCTTAGCTGACAACTCATTGGCAGCGTGAACGGCAGGCATGAGCAGACTTCCGGCATGTCCAGTCGTTGGATAGACGCTCGACATATCCATTGAATTCTCATTCACAATCATGGATAAATTTGAGCTTTCGTCCATCAATTCAATGTTCGTGGCATGCATCTTCGTGCCATATAGAACGCCCGCATCTGGTGATCTACCATCGTAGTCATTGCTGTTGCAATCAGTGGCGCCCATCGAGTTCTGCGAGTTCTCATCCACAATCTCTGTCTTGAGACCAGCTACAACGCTGGACGGTGACAGTGTGTCCGGCAGAATTGCACCCGTCGACGAGGGCCGTCTCACACTCAACGGAAGGGTGGTTGGCGGTGGCATCATGCCCGAGTCAATCTCATTCTTCGGCTCAATTCCCGTCGCACTCCAGAGCATCACGGGACATACGGCATTCTTACTGTTCTGCTCGTCATATCGCACATCTAGACAGAAAAATATGTTAGACTAGACGAAAGTGGTAGGGATTTTGTATTTTTCTAAATAATAACAAAATATATTTATAATATAATCTGAAAATATGATATTTCCTATACTTTGGAATCTCTAGCTTTATGTAAATTCTTAGTAAAGAAGAAAAATATCATAATAGAAGATTTACTATCCAAACGAAAATTACGAAATTTATTTGACGAATGCCTGACTTTCATATGGTGATTCCATAATAAAACAATAAATTATCTAATATCTCAATGATATTACTTGTGTTTCAAATGTAAAATTTTATACTTTTTACAATGAATTTGAATCATGATGCGATAGTCTTCTATCAACGATTAAGCTTCATCAAGAAGCGCTTGTGTGAGCATGAAAAGTTAAAATCACTTTGAATTACATTGCCATCTACATCAGTCATATCATTTTCTCTTTCATCTCAAATTCATCTTGACACATCATTTATTACTTCCGTCGGAAAAACAAACTCTCGCTTTCTCACGCTTCTATCACCAAATTTACACATTCCCTCTTCAATTACTGCCATTCTTACAGATATTATTGTTAAGATTATTTCTTATTTTTATGCAAACTATGCTTAGGAATATAACCAAACGTTCTGTGCTTTTAAAAAAAATTATCTTTAAATACATTATTGCAATGCGAAACATTGGCATACCATATCTTCCACATAAAACACCCACCATGTTACATACTATTAAAACAAGAACACAAACTTTTCCTATGCCTCAATTTCCTGAACTTCAGCACAAGAGCTTTCTCAAGCAAAACATGTAAAATTTTATATCCTAATAGAGAAAAAAAACTGAGAACAGCAAAGTTTTCATACACAACAGACGAATTTCAGTTATTTGGTTTATAGTTGTTCTGTGCTCAAATGAAGGATGAAATAATGCAATAAGTAACCTCTAGAACAATACTTATGAAACTTGTTATTGAATTAATGTTTTAGGCTCTTGATTATACGCAAGCTTGTATGAAAATAGACACATAGAAATGATGATAAAATATGAATTTTTTAATTGACATTCTTTCAATATCACGAAAGCATGATAATTGTACAGAAATAGAAATTTTTTTTATTATAGGCAATTCAACTGATTAACCAAATAAAATGAAATTCCCCTGTATCATCAACTAGCAATCGTAATTTTAATACACAATCACACATTCACATGGCAGTTCTAAAATCATTCAACTCTTCTCATCATTTTCAAAAAAAAAAGTCATCCTCACGCGATCTTCACACATCCACACTTCTCCACATCCAACCTCGTCCTCATCGCACTCAAGCAAATCTTCAATGTGATTTCTCTCTTCAAAGCTCACTTCATCTACAAAAAGGCATCGTCAAACGAGATAAGTTTGTCTCCTATCTTCTTTTTCCACTGTGTGACGAAACATAAGAGACACACGTTTCAAAAGGTACGCAAAGAAGGAAAAATTGAAAAATAAATCAAGTATCAGCAGCAGCAGCAGCAACAGAGACCTAAAAAGGTGTATGTTTGGAAACTTGTCGTTGTTAATTTCAGTTTCTTTTATTTGTTGATGCTTCCGAACTGGGATGATGGTTGTTGATTTGAGGGATGAGATACGAGACAGCATCCGGACGGGCCACTGCTAATTTTTCAATTTCAAAATTTGCACAAAAATGATCAACAATAAAAAAGAAGAAAAGAACAAAACATAAAAAAGTTGTTAAGCATTAGATTTTTTTTATCTCATAACTCTGGAAAAGCCACTTTCAACGAGTGCAATTGAATCAATTAAATGTTAAAAAGTTTGAACAAAGATGCAGTCTAAAGTAGAAATCACTTGTTTGTTTGTTTTCACATTTCTTCAATAGTTCTTCAAAATAGTTTTACAATACATTTTAGTTCAATCTCTAAATTTGCCAAAATTATTAGGTTCGCTGTATTTCTATTCAAATGGCAAAAAATTAGTTTTTCGCGTTCTAAGAATACACTGGAAGTGTCTTTAGAATTTTAATCGAACAACAAGTACAACTCTATATGAAACAAGTGGCATTTTCCTTTGAATATGCATCAATAGTCAAGAAATTGATCAAATTTCAACTAATAAAAAGAGGAAGACGTCACTCTTGAATCTTGAGCTTGCTAAAAACATTAATCAACATCTAAATTTAATACTTTCTCTCATTAATTTGGCATAAAATTGAATTTATGTAATTGTGGATTTGATTTTGATTGTTGGTTTGTTTTTTTGGTATTTATCAGTACCCGTTATCTAAAGTCGCTTCTCGCATCCCACATCATCTGTTGGCTCATACTTCCGTTGGTGAACTGCGCGCCTCCACGTGCTGCCCGCGAATCGTGTGACGCTGTGGACGTCGCCGACGCTGACCCTCTGACCAGGAGGAGGCATCGCCGTCGCCGCCGCCGCCACTCTGTTGCCAATCGTTCCACATCCACGGAGGGATTCACGGAAAGACGGGGGGCGGATGGTTCAATCTTTGCTTTCATTTCATTCGTTCTATATTTTCTAATCCGCTCAATTTTCTTTCGCTCTCTTTTTCTCTCTCAGTGTTCTTTCTCGTCACGTCTTTATTTCTTCTTTTTCACATTCACCGTGCACATTTTATTGAACACGGAGAGCAATCATGTATTTGAAACGTTTTTTAACCGGTAATTCATTCATAAGGGAATATGTCGAATCCCTCACACCTATAATTTCTATATGAAGAAGGGAAAAAAATAGTTTCATGCAGACATTTTGTGATTTGTAATGATATAACTTTTGTTTTTATTACATTAATAAAATATGGATGCAACTGTGAGATGAATGAAAAAATAGAGAAACGATTGTGATTATTTTTCTTTCCAACATTTTCACTATGTGTGTGCGTGATGGCTCCTAATTAAATTCATTTCAAATTTTCTTTTTATTAGTAATCACAAAATATTTGCTTGCTGCTTTTCTCAATGTTGATATTAAAAAAAGGAACAAAAAAGAGAACAAAAAGATACAATTGTTGATCTTTTCTGGAAAAGAACAACAAGAGTTTAAAAATGAATACATATATGGGGAAAATATTTATATTCATTATTATTAATTTCTATTAATATTATAAAAATATAAATTATGTACTTTGAAAAATATCAAAAGAAAAAATTAGTAAAAATATCAGGAATGTGTTTTACCTGCATTTTGCTTTTAGAGGAAGAGCAAATAGAACTGGCTTTAAATCGTTTCTTATCTATCGTGAAATTTTAACCGTTTCAACTAGAATCAAGCATAATCTTTTTTAAATGTATATAATAAACGAAAATTCAATAAATCTTTTATACATTACTAGGAAAAACTAGTTATTTTTATCTCTTCAAATATCACTTGTTCATTTTTCCTAGTGCTGAGAAAACTGAAATTTTCACATTTAATCAATACACTTAATTTCGCTGAATTAATTATCAAAGAATTCCAGGAAAGAAAAATTTTTCAAATGGAACTTCTTTTTCATCTCATGTATTAGTGCTAAAAAAAAGTCTTCAGTGACCAAGAAAACCCTGAAATCTCACATTCAACGCAATCACACACATTCACACGACTTTCTACGTCACTTTCACATGTAAAAACAAAAAAAAATATTTTGGATAGCTTATTTTCTGGTTTTTCAAATCAAATTTTATTTCCACTTTTTTCTGTAAACTAATTCAGACAGCATTACAAAATTATACAATTTGCACCAATTTATTAATTGGTATCAATTTATAATAATCATAAACTGCACTGGAAATCAGTTCACAATTTTCTTTATTTTAAATTAAAAATTTGGTGAAAAGTAAAAGAAAATAAATATGTATACCCAAATGCACACAATTTCCACTCACAATCTCTCATTCAAACACACAATGTTAACTCTTCATGTGAGTTTTTTTCGATTTTAGCTATTTGTAAAAAATCGTTTTCCACGAGAGATATATCTTCTTTTCCAACAACATCGTTTAGGAATCGCTCCTAAACATAACTTCTCATTTTAACACAGATTGTTAAGTCTGGATAGAGTGAGATAATAGTCATTTCTAGAAAATTACATCTGAACAAATCATATATCTCCCATTTGTTACATCGACGAAGTAAAAAAGCGATATTTTAGATAGCTCACATTCTTCACATGTTCATTCATTCAAACATCAAACAGGCACAACGTTCAAGAATTGCGCGAGAAATTAAATATTCTTTGCTAACAAGGTAACAAATTGAAAAATAATATTTAGCTCGCCAAAAACTGACACTCAACAGAGTTGTTTTAATCACTGAAGACGATCATCACTTAAAAAAAACATTTCTTTTTGCGTTACTGTTAGTCTAACAACGAAGAAGCTTTTTTTAGTGTTATATGCATGCATTTCTTCTTGGATTTATTGGATTCTATTTAGTTTCATACCAGATTATATTATATATTATGCCCGTCAATAAAGAAAGACTTCAAGTTAGTTATTTTGCAATTATATATCGTCTCTGCAAATGTTCTTTACAAAAAAAGGATCACAAGTCGATATTTCACTTTGAAGGACAAATGAACAGTATCACAAATGAAACGAATGAGCATGATTTTATGCGTGACAATAATGAAACATGAAATACAAGTCCAATAAATCCATTTGATCATAAAAATATATGATCAACAATAACTTCCTTTTGTCTCTTTGACTTTGATTTTGCAAAAGGAGTTTAGAAAAAAAAACAAAAAATAGTGTAATTGAAATTTGTAAAATATACCTTGCTGCTGGGATAAAGAGCGTGTCGTGGCGGCTGCCAGAGCTCCGGCACTTGCATTATTCGGCGTGTATACGAAATTGTGGGATTCACTCTTTTTGCCACTTGCTGCAATAAACAAGTGAACATTCACCGGTTCTGGCAGTTCTGTTGTCATATACGGTGGCACAGTGCATATCAGATGAGTCTACAAACCAATAAAACACACAAGGTAAGCAATACATCTACAATTGTTAACGACGGAGAATCAAGCACGATTATGTACCTGCTGCAAATACTCCTTGTCCGGAATAACCATCTCTTGCCATATTACTTCGCCAGATGAGAGTTTCTGTGTCTGAAACACGACACGAGTATCTTTTGAGAAATTTTTACCAATAACGAACAACTCCAGTCCTCCAGATGCTGGGCACGATGTCAGCGATTTCCTACATATCTCCGGAACTCCAGGCGGTTGTGCTGAAACCATCCAAGAAAATCATTAGCGAAGTCCAGAAACAAGAGATGAAGTGAACTTACTGCAAATAATCTGCTGAGAGCAAACTTGTAGGGACTCAGTTGATCCATCGTCATTTGTTATTATTGTTCTGAAAACCATTCGACAGCGCGTGGACTTCTTCTTGCTCCTCGGTGTGGATTGATCTGGGAAGCGATGTTCCACATCCACATTTCGCTCCTTTAGAATCCCAACACAGTCACACGTCACTGTCATATCCTGTTCAGGCTTTAGCTCCAGCTCAATGACCATAGTGCCGTCCACCTTCTTCTCCACACACGGCGTGCTATTCTTTCCAGACACTTTGCACGCCTGGTAGAACATATGTGGCGCCACGCGATCCACATCTGTTCCAATAAACACCTGTAGAACAGTCGGCTTATTGTATCCCACCAACTTAACAATGGGAAAGCCATTTCCACTGCGATCCTTCACAGCTCCACGACTGCCCTCAGTCTGATAACGCGCACGATGCTGCTGTTCTGGCTGCGCCACTATTTGTAGCTGATACTGTCCGCTTTTGGACACACCACCAATTTGGGATTGTAGATTCACGGGACCCATCGCACGTCGCACGAGTGGTCGCGACAAGCTGTGACGAGGAGCTGCCATTATTCTACAATTGAAAAAAATACATTTGTGAAGAAATTTATCTCATTTCCGCGTGATATACAGAATCGAATTTTGTATCTTCATCTGCATTTAATAAGATAGTTTGGAGATAAAAGCGTTGTAATAGAGACAGTATGCACAGAACATCAAAACATGCTTAAGTACGGAAATTAAAGATTTCATGTGTAAATGGATAAATTAGATGATAAAAAACATATTAACTACAAAACTTAACTTATACAAGCGTCATTATGTAATAGATTTATGGTTTATGAGTTTCAAAATTAGTTTCGCGGGATCTCCTTGTAAGAATTAAGAATTCCAATTAATGTATGACATACAAATCATTATCAATTTTAAGTGTATGCACACACATTCATGTATGCATTCATGTGAATATTTACTCATAGATATCAATAACCTGGTTTTTCTTCACTTCTCCAATGAAACATACTCATGACTTCTGATAAGAATATATGGCACATAGAGAAACCATAAATCTATTATTCTCTTACAACCATTGCAACAGGCAAACGAGAACGTCTCTCTTTCTCATTACCAATGAAGAATGATGAAGATGCTTACTTATTGTTGGGAGGGAAAGGATTTGATGAATTTTGAACACATATTGCAGAAGATGTCGCTGATTTTCCTGCTTTGGGCGCCCGTTTCGAAAAAGTAAATGCATCGTTACTGCACGAATCATCGTCCACTTGAACCTTCTTTTTGTTTACTTTGCGTCGCTTTGTCGTTGCTTTACCAGCAATGTCTCTTTTCTCGCCATCATCATTTCCTTCCTCAGTCACACTCGATCTGTAGATTTTTGGACGCAAAGTTATCTTAAAAACTCCACATGCCACAATATGTACTCTCTTCGATATCCGTTTCGTGCATTTTTTTTTTTTTGAAATTGCAAGTCTTGACAAAAATTCATCATCCCCCGAAACTCCCGCTATAGAGTATTATAATGTATATGAAGCGGAAACACATAAAGAAACTAAAATAATAACATTTGAAGCAACAAATAATAACATTCTTTACTATCATTCTTAAAACAATAAAATGCAACATTGATATTGTAAAAACCCTGTAGAGATTCTCTCATCTACAGCGTTCAATTATAACAACTTTTAATATCAGCGAATCCAACAATGGAAAATGAATAAATTCAATTAGGAATGATTGAAGAATAATAGATAAATTGCAAAATGAGAAACGTGTAATTAAATAGAATGAAACAACAAACACTTTAGTAGCCATAAGTTCCAGATGATGATGAAGTCAAAAGGATAAAATGTGAATGGTTGCCAAATTAAAATGACTCAGTACATAATAAAGCCTACAGTTCTGAACTTTTCATTCACACCTTGTCTGGGTGTAATTTATCATCTTAATATGTGTATCTCCTCACCTTGAGTTTTGGGCATTTCTCGCACCGAGAGAATATTGCATTTCGAGGTGATGATCGAAGCCCAGTCCGCTATCATTTGAATTATCGCACGGCGGGGGCGTTGGCCTCTGCATGATTCTCTTGCCTGGATGACTCTTTATGATCTTGCCAGGTCCTATCTGTGAATTCAACAAGTAAAGTAACAATGATTCACAATTGAAAGAAACTCATATTAGTGTCAATTACTCACTCTTGTCATGGAGTGCAACTTTCCAGGTAGTGCTTTTCCAGGATGCCTCTTCGATGGTATTCTCAAAACTTTTCTGTGTGCTCTCTGTGTCATACCACCATTACCAACAGTCATTTTAACGCCTGCAAAGAAGAGAATAATTGCCCTTATTAGCGTACAAAAGCTACATCTGTGTAATCGGCCTTATATTGATTGAAGATTCGGTTGTATTTCCAATAATAAGCAACACAGGGATATATTTATCCCCTAAGTACGTCAATTTTCTTTTATTGTCAATCTCAAATCCACATGAAAAGCAAGTGAGTGATGTATCATCATTTCATGTTCGTGTGATTATTAATTGAAAAACATTTTCTGACATCTATTTATCCATGTGGTTTTACATCGCTCTCCCATCCAATATCGTTTAGAATGGACAATGACATTTTGCACAGTATTTGAGACTTTATTTTTAATTCTTTGGACTCGTCTTCCTACTGCCTTTCTAGAATAAACAATAATTCAGATGCAAAAAACATGAATATTTTTATATACGCCATGATAAAATGGGGCAATTATAGCACCAGACGTAAGCAAAAACTCGTTATCACATTTCTCTTGTAATAATCTCTGTTTCTCTCATTCGATTCACGTAATAATGCTTTTGATCCTTATTAGATTTGTTTTACAAGACATGATTAATTATTTAATTACATTAAATTAAAAAATTTTGATCAAGAGACATATTTGATGAAAATCAAATATTTTTAATTTAAATTTCACCCCTTTTCAAAAATGATTTTCCTTTTAAAGTACATCGACACTTTTAGTACATCACAAAATACCTTATAATTTTTATAAAATTTGCTGCGCGGTTAATTACTGTGTGAATTCACTGTTTTCTCGTAACAAACTGACTGTATATCTCAGAAAACGAAAGAATCAATTGAAGAGATTATAATCGGCGGCATACGAAGTAAAGCCGAGATGGAAAAACCTATGAGTATCGCAAATTACACTGCACATCACAACAACCGATCACACTATTCAATTCATTATAGCAGGGTATAATGCAACAATTCTGAGTCAATTTCCGAGAAGGTTGACGTTGTCCAACTGCACGCAAGGTACGATGTTAGAGGAAAAAAACCATATCTCTAAACCCATATCTTTAGTATTTACCATAATTTCTATGCTGTGTCATTGGATAAGTCCATCCGGAATTTGAGTATCTTCTTTGGAGATCAGTCTCTCCCCACTGAGGACATGTAAATCTCATTTCTCCTTGCTTATTTTCAAGTCTTATTGTAGCACTATTTCTATGTTAATGTATATTTTAAACAATTTCACTTCTGTTTAAATGCATGTCTTTGTACTATTTTAAAAGAAACACACAAAAATTATATTCTGGAAAAGAAATACAAATACTCGCAACTGATATTTTTGTCATGGCAAACATTGTCTTCTTTACACTCGAGACTAAAATCAATCCACTGCCACGAGTGTCTTAAATTATCACATAAGCAATAATTGTGTAAAATATTTGGTACCTCGTTTTATCGTCACAGTTTTAGCACATTTTACTTATATTCTACCCATAGCGTAATGGCCTCAAAGCGTCGGTATATTATAATCAATATAATCTTACAGATTAACTTGCATACGTATCTATTAAAACGCCGTGTAAATGAAAGAACAGGTGATTCAATAGGCGACAATATTGGTTATTAAATACGGCCACATATATTTTTCTTTTTTTAGATCACTTTGTGAACATGAAATGAAATGTTCATATATAATACATATTTGTAAAACTTATTTCACGAGTTCTTTTGTGATATTAATTGCCGTACACATTTCTCTGTCACCACTAACCACCCAATCACGTATTTCAACGTGCTTTCGTCATAAAAGCTCATCCAAAAATCAGTGATGCTTCACTTCCAAGAAAATTGTGTTAAAAGTTTTGTTTTCCGCCTTTTTTATATCTTTCTTTCCCTTGACAAGTTGAATTTTTAAACCAATATGAAAAGTATAAACAGGCCTAATTGGCGATAAGGTGTTGGAGAAATTGAATACTGAACCAATTTACACATGCCCACACGTATTTATCGCGCATTAATGAGAAATTTCAAAAGCAGAATATATACATTATATTTTGACAATATGGAAATAAAAAAAAATACTGTTTATCATTTAGACGTGTAGCACTGAAAAGGAATTATCATTCTCCATACAAGATATTTTCAATGAAATAAGTATGCGTGTAAAAATATATGAACAAAGGTGTATTTGGCAATTTTCGGAACATACAAAATTGTTTATTTTTAGAGTATATTGACATTGATCTGAAATCTATGAGACAAAAACATCAAAATCGTTGTATATTCAAATACTTCGAAAGTCAATTCTCTGCTATTTTCTCGCGTCACTCGCGAAGTGTGTATGAATATGTAAATAAATATGTATGTGCATATCATGTGACCAGAAAGTAAAATTGTCCTCTCATGTGTAAAAATTGGATGTTGCTCAATTCAGTTGGTTTTGTGTATGACTCTGTGATCATTGTGACAGAAATTTACTTTGACTCAACCAATTTATTATCATCATCATTGAGACAATTTGAATGAATGAACAACTACCCAAAGTCCAAAAACTGACCCACGCACAAATAAGAGCGGCTCATTTCAGCCCGGTTTACGTTTCACTATAGCATAAAATATGTGCGAGCAAGAAATATGTTACACATTTTCAATTGTACATTTTTCACGATTGTGGATTCCTACTTTATTATGAAAATTGACTTATAAATAGACGCTATTAGAAACTTCTTCATGTGTATATACGTAAAATGTCCACTGCTGTGCGGTATTTTTGACACAAATATGTTAACGAATTTTAGAGTGAAAATCCAGATTCTGAGGGCATTTTTCATGTATTCTTACAATTAAAACATGGAAATACCCACTATTTAGACGATTTTTGATATATTACACATTCGACCTAATGTGTTACTCAGATTGAATACATAGTAGAATAGTTTAGAAGAGATGTTCAAAGTTTATATCATAAGTCAGTTAATGGGTTTCTATAACAAGGCTTTTGTGGTTGCAATAAACCCAGTTGGACCTTTCCATGAAGTGACAAGAAGATTCTCTTTCAGAATAAATACTTGAGCAAACCGGATTAATGTAGAAAATTGGTCGAGATACCAAGATATTTTATATGAAAAATTGCTTAATGCAATATTATCATTTCATCTCTGTGTAATCACAATAAAACCTTCATAGAAATACCATTCAATACCACAATATTATTTGTCTTCTCTTCAAATGTAGTTTTCGAAGGTGAAAAACACAAAAATTTCGTGCGATCACTGAGAATTAAAACAACCACGAGATATACATAAGTAATTTACTTAAGATGATGTGTAAAATGGTTGACTTTTTAATCGCGTCTCGTATCAACTCAAAGTCTAATGCACGACTGAATTGTGAAGTCGACGAACATCTCAGCCAAATATCGTATTATATTATTCACACAATCTACTAATACATTTAATCTTGCATATATTGTAGAAAATGTATATTTTACTCTACACTGACTGTGTATACCATGACAAATTTCTCAGTGTTTCACTTTATCAACTCAAGCACACTGAATAATAAAGTGCTTAATTTTATTCACACCATCTACCAATTACATTTCAATTTCTATCATATACGCATGGACACTTCTCCATGATATTTTTCTCAAATATAATTCTTCTCATTTATCTTCCTTCCTTTTCCATTACACCAAGAGATCATGAGCTTCAATAAATGCAATATTATTCTGCTTTACTTTTCTTTATCACTTTAATTTTATATTCATCGCACTTCTTTTTAATGAAAAACTTGTTATTCCACTTTGTCCCACTAATAAGCAAAAATAATATTGAGTCGAACAAATGAAACAGCCGTAAAAAGGAAAGGGTAAATTTGTTGTAACACAAGGTATGAAAAATATATGAATATGCCAAAATGTTCATTACACTTCTGCTTCTCTAAACTCTACAGATGTGGCAAAAAACACTTTTTTTTCTAAATTCTGCTTGATATCTTTCATCCTCGATTTGGAAAACACACTAAATATATCTCGTGTGACACACTCTTAACTATTTTAATGTCTGCAAGAACCGTGATAATTTTGGGAAATCATTTTGCAACGATTCAACAGTTGAGTGTCAATCGGCAGTCGGATGTAAAAGGCAACTTCACTCCGAAACACCACACAGAGCACTGACCAATCATCAGACATTGAAAGTCTCTTCGAGCAAATATCATCAGTGTTGTGAGTGATCCCAGATTTCTACCAGAGCCGCAGTGAGAGCTCTTCTTAACTTGTCAATAAAATATAAAATGCATTTTGTAAATGTGTAATCAAGTGGCAATGAAATCTTCCTTTCTCCAGGGGTTTCATAAATATGTGCTGATATATGCATTGTATGTGAAATCATTGGAATATTCAAAAGACTATACAAAAATTCAACTCTGGTATTAATTGTATCGCTGCGTAAATTTTACATAAATACTTTATTTTATGCCTAGACAGCTACATGTTAAGTAGGATGCGACAATGATAAGAGTGTACGAGAAAAAAGAGCGACACAGTCTTGTTCAATTTTCATTGTGCAAATTGAATGTCTTCTTCACGCATTTATACACACATTCACGCACACACAATCAACTAAATTGGTCAGACTACATTTTATTGCTTCAAGTATCACACTCGACCCTATGCAAGGAACAATACTATAAAAGCTCGTGATTCTCGAAAAGAAATACCTATTATTTTATATGTTTTAAAGTTAAATTTTATCTATTTATACGATAAAGAAAACTCAATATATTCTTGGGATACAAAAGATGTTATTTTCAAGATCAAAAATACTGAACTCTCAGCATTTTTGTCTACGCGTAAAGCAAGTTGCGAAGTCGATTGGCTTTCTCTCTTAATTCGTATTGTTAGGATATAGAGTTTGTTTTTCAGACTCTTTCATATCCCACATATGTATCAACAACTGTATTATTATCAAAATTAGGTAACAACCAAATTATCACATAAAGTGGTCATAGAGATAAAAAATTGTACGAAAAACGAGTCATATTATCCGCTCATTGTAACTACATTCACATTAAAATCACTCGCGTTAATAAATAATCATTTTTACTTTATCTTTAAAGGATAACGCTACATTCCTTTAATACGCATGAAGTTATTTTATTCATGTGAAGCGACTGTAGAGAAGGGAAAAACCTAAATATAGAATTTAACATCGTCCTACGATACGACAGAAAAGAGAGAATTATAGTGATGAAAAAAATTAGAAGCCATTCAAAGGATTGAATTGAAATGAAACCAAAGCAGAATTTAATTTTCCACGTCTTCTTTCTTCCTTCAATCGATGTAACTTTTGTTATTCTACATCTATAATTTTTCTTACCAGTTGACTGACATGGAAAGAACTATTAATTATTATATCTGTGTTAGAATTTAGAATCTTGCAGAGTGTTGTTATTTTATGTATCAATGTTTCCTATCACATAATAAATAAATATGCGTCTTCTGCCATTGTGAATGTATGTATATTCACAGTTATACATCACGACTTATTAAATCAATACCCCAGGCTTTTCAATAAAAATATCGATTGAAGTCTATAAACTTGTACATACTAATTCTACGATAGTGGAGCGGAAAATATAGCGTTGACATATTCTTTAAACATTCTGTGACTACTTGAAAACCCGTACAAGACATTTGTGCATTGTTCAGTCGCTGCCAAATTGAAAATTCCTAACAAAATAGTTTTTTTTTCTATGACAAATTGCAACGATAACAGGAAAACACATTAAAATCGTCAAAAAACACGTTAAACTTTTGTGAATCACATGAATTATGTAGATACTTATGTACACATAAGTGTCGTCAGCACTTTTATTTACTCGTTTTTAGGGCAATCTCAACACTATTCATTTATATGGCTTTTGGTAAAGTCAATTATGTGATAGTCTATACACACAAATAAGAAAATTGATAAGATATCAATGTACAAAGAGATAAGAAATGTAATTTCGAAACCAGTCATGTTTACTCCGTTTCTTATGTAGCAATGTATTGTTGTATACATGCTGCATGTATTATCATTTAAAACGAATAATTTAATATAGAAAATCAAGAGGCGCTTCGCACCCCGCTTTCACAATTGAATGTGCTTTTGTGTAGGAATTCTAGTTAATGGGATTCAAGGACTCACACTTAAACTCATAATTTTTCATCCAGGGTGAGATGACCCTGCTCCACAAACTCAGACTTTTATGTATCTACATTTTTCTGTACATGTTTCTCATATCTCTAGCCGGTGTCGCCAAATCTTGATGTTGTGGCGGCGCTCCACAACGCTGGACGAAATGTGCGAATTTTCAAGTATCAACTGGCCACAGCGTGCTTCATTCCATCTCAGACCATCTCATTGTTTGACCCCCCGCTTAGTAACTATAATATTAACTCAGTGATAGCATTATCACCCATCTTGAGAAACTGTAAATGTAAATGACCATTGACTGCCTAAACTTATTTGATTACGAATTCACAGTTCACAGAAATGACATTCCCAGATTGCCGGTCAAGAATCACAGCTTCCCATAAACCTATGCAGAGCGCAAGTCTTATCATGCGTTCCTTTTTTGTAAATAATACATGCTTTTACGTCAGTCACAAAATTGATGAAAAAATTCTTGATTACTGAAACCAGTTCCTCCATTTCCTCATATTGCTGTCTACAATGTCGCACACCATGGCTTCGTGCACAATTTATTATATTAAGTAGCAATAATGTAACTTCTCATTAATGCACTATTATAAAAAAAAATCACATGAAACAATTTGTTGTAAGTTTACTAATTCTGAGAGACAAACACTTCTTATCCAATTCACTTTGGGGTCAATCGATCCCACCCAGTGTTATCGTTATCAGAGAGGTCTCCAAATACATAACCTTTTCTGTCGCACTTCAATATCTTCCCACAAAATAACAAGTCTTTAAATGTATGGAGCGCAGCTACAAGTATGGGCTAGGTCAAGATTTCACTCAGCTCATTGCAAAAGTAGCTAAGGGACCAAATACGATATGAATCACTGTTGTGAATGCTACAAAATATTTCTCAACTGAGTAGAATGGATAGAAAACTTTACAGCTTCTGTATTATAATCAAAATTACTATTTTATTGACTTGTCTTCTTTTCAACTTTGAACCTTTATATCTCTCACTATTCAATATATAATTAAATTTAACCCATTTTAACACAGTGTATTTTTGTAAACACTGCAGATTGTGCGTTTGCCATAATTAATTCTATCTTACTGAACCAATTAATTACTACCAAGTATTTTTTATAACAAATTATTATGTTTAAAACATGTTGAAGTGAAATCTCAGTAAATTTTAGATCATGTTAAAAATATATACTTGCCATGATATTTCTTTATGTTTTCCCGAATGGGTTAAATTAAGACAACACAAAATACCTTTTCAAAAGTGTTTTTGAGATTCCACAGTCAAATCTATCCTATACAGCGGCGCCATTCGTTTGTAAACTATCCATATTTCCAGTCAACTAATTGTCCTCCTGATAATACACGATACATTGTAATGATCGTGAAGGTAATCTTAAAATCACGCTATTCACAATTCCCATAACACAATACAAAAGGGCGCAGAAGGAAATCGATATTGAGCCAGACATTCTCATGGTCAAACACTATCAAAACATCAACTTTGCTGAAGTCCAGACTTGATGACAAGTTTCCAATCTTGATACTGGAGAATGATTTTGGAAATCTGTATTTGCACACAAATGATTGGAAGTGATTTCAGAGCGCTCTTTTGCTCTTTGATTGAATGCTCAATTGCGACGCAAATATCAATAAATCTTTAGTCACGCAGTCTCGATTCTTTTCCCAATAAGACGTCCAACTTTAAACTATTTTGATACTCCTTATCGTCTACGTACTTATCAGTGCGCCTCTCTGGCATTTTGTCTCATAGTTTTGTAGACATTGCCTAGTAGGCTATCTAATTATTATATTTTTATGTTGATAAACAAATGTTTTGAGTGTGTTGCGTAACACAAGCGCGCCTGACTTGGGTGCTGGTGTGTAAGTGGGGTTAGAGTGACTGTTTTTCACAGCTCGCAGTCGGATCCCCTTCTCACATCACTTATGGAGGTGGGAAGTGAAAAAATGGAACATACATTTCGAGTTGTGGCCAAATCTCGTCTATTGGGCCACACTGTGCGTCTCTTGCTGACGGTTACTGGCCAAAGGAACCGGGTTTTTGGACACACTCGAGGACAAATAGGAGTGTTTACTCACCGTTTGACCGAAGGTTTTCACTTTTCACCAGGACGGACGTCACGGAGCCGCCTTCGCTGGAGCTGCTCGCAATTGACGTCGTGGCATTCGGGCCACTTCCTACTCTGCCTCCCGAGCTGGCTGTTGTTGTCAGACACTTGAGCAGCATCGTGACTCCCTCACAGGCACTCTGATCCCAGGCGAATCTCCCTCCGAAGTCCTTCCGAGAATAACCCTAGTCCAGAGATACCACACTACCACTCGCAGATGCTCTCATAACTGTCCATCCAACTGGAGTCTTCACTCTGCGGCCCTCTCCAATCCACCGTATCAATCACAGAGTGTCTTTCTCTCGCTTTGCGTCCACCTTTCAGCGAAAAAATTGCTCGCAGTGCAAAACAACAATTTTTCACTCGTCTCTTCTCACTTCTCCGCCTTAATCCGGACGAGACTGAAATATGTTACAAATTTCTTCAGATGTGACGTCACAGTCAATACGAGAATTTCGCCTTTTCACCCACTTCACCAGTACAAAATGGCAGTTTTGGTAGTTTCCCTGAACACTAAATTCACAATTTATTGATCAAACACTCTCCTATTGTTGAAATATTTGCGAAAATATAGGAAAAAGCAAGGTAAAATGGGAGAATGCAATTTGCTCTTTTTTGACAACTTACTTTTTGGGCCACATTCGTGGTGTTGCCATACGTTTGGATCACATTCGCTCGTGTCACGTCGGACGCTTTCGCGGTGACCTCGGAAGTGATGGTGATTTCGGCATTGATTCGTGCTTTTCAAACAATTAACCGTTTGTTCTTGGATGGTGAGTTCTTGACTCTGCGGGAAAACCATCGAGAACCCGTTTGTTTAGTCATCGTCCACATTACAGTGAAAAGAAATGGAAGGAGGGTAATATTATATGCAAGAGCATTAGCATAAAAAAGTAATCAGTGTAGCTAAAAATATTCTTTCTCAGCCATTCTGACAACACACCTCAGCCAGTTTTCTCAGTCTCGACAGCGCATTGAAACTCGGAGCTATATTGTAATCTATTATCTCCATAGAAAAGCCAAAAACCTTGATAATGTACATACGTTATCTGTTTCCATGTTTAGGTTAATCTTATCTGAAAAAGAAATCTGTCGTAAATTTAACCCTTCACTTCATGAATGTTTTTAATTCATTGCTTACTATAAGTGTGCAGTACACCGCAATAAATAAACATATCAACAAAAGGTGTAAACACAATTTTTTTATGTAATATTAAAAAATTTGCTTAACCCATGAAATGTACATTCATTGCTTTAACTTGTTTTTCTTCGTCCAGTTTGGCTATGCAACGCAAGATGCAACGTTTTATTTCTTGATCATAACATAATTATGTAATATATAGAGAAAATGCCTTGAAAATGTTTCAAAAATTATTATCGCTTCGTGTGCTGAGCTTTCGTACATTTTCGTTTCATTTTCAGTGTGTTAGTCGACTTCCAATTCAACTAAAAGTTTTGGTGAACTCCAACACTAGCATTAAAAGTATTTCATTCGAGTCTCGTATGGTTTGCCACTGGAAAACAAGTCAGTATTTTCTGAGATACCGCGGGAGAAGGAATAAAAGCAATACTAACATATGATCTCAAGGGGAGTGAAAAGTCTATTTTGCAGTGTGTTTTCGATTATTTGCGGCAATCTTAAAATCGAGAGTCATCATAATTATACTTGATTACGTCACGCGAGTGGTATTAGATAGTGAAACTCTCGAGAATGACTGCCCTTGGAGAGGAATATTCCGCTGAGGAATGGCACAACATTTCCTGTGAATTTCAGCGAATAAAAGGTACATCATTGTATGTGGATAGGATGATTTTCTAAAAAGTATTTCTTTGCATTCCAGATGAACATTACTTGGATCATGCTGGAGCAACTCTCTATTCGGAGCATCAATTGCAGGCATGCTTCGAAGACTTACGTAGTAATCTCTATTGCAATCCACACACTAGTAAATCTACAGAGGATCTTATTGATCAAGTGAGATACAGAGTTTTGGAGCATTTCAACACAGATTCCTCCAAATATCATGTAATCTTCACGTCTGGAACCACAGCAGCACTGAAAATGGTAGCAGAAACCTTTGACTTTGATGGGGAGAAATCGCAATTCCGATATTTGAGAGACAGCCACACATCAGTGCTCGGAATGAGAGAATTGGTGAAAACACAGCAAATAATTCCCATGGAGAAAGAGGATCTTTTAGCCATATCAGAGAGAAGAACTCCTTGTCGTCTCCCTTCTAGCAACTCAAACTCTCTCATCGTGTTTCCCGCTCAATGTAATTTCAACGGCTTTAAATATCCTCTGGAAACAATTGAGTGTTTTCAGCATAGAAGTCTTCCCAGTGATATGAAGGACAGTGAGTGGTTTGTGTGTCTCGATGCTGCAAGTTTCGTCTCAACGAACTATCTTGATCTTCAGAAGTACAGTCCTGATTTTGTGTGCATCTCATTCTACAAAATTTTCGGTTATCCAACCGGATTGGGAGCTCTTTTGGCGAGCAAAAGGGTAGAGAATGCCCTCAAAAAGCGTTACTACGGCGGAGGAACTGTGAAAATTGCAATGAGTCAGATAAATTTCCACGAGAAACGTGATTGCCTGCATGAGAGATTCGAGGATGGCACAATATCCTTCATATCCATCATTTCTCTTCTGCACGGCTTCAATACTCTAAAGCGACTGATTCCTAGCAATGCAGAAGAAGGCACAATGCAAAGAATTTCTAGATATACTTTCAACCTTGCCAAATACCTCAGAGATCGTCTGGTGAATATGAAACATTCTTCTGGAGGAAGTGTCGTTAAATTATACAGTGACTCAGACTACAATTCATCCCAATCTCAAGGAGGAATTGTGAACTTTAACATCCTTCACAGCGATGGATCTTTCGTGGGTTTTGCGGAATTTGCCTGTATGGCTTCAATTTATAACATCATTATAAGGACTGGATGTTTCTGCAATCCTGGGGCGTGTCAAAGGCACATGAAGCTCACTAACGAGGATGTAAAGGAACACTATAAGGTACTTTGTGTTATATTCTAATATTGAATAACATTTTTATAGTGATTTTAACATTTCAGGCAGGTCACATTTGTGGCGATGCGTATGACTTGATCAACGGTATTCCAACTGGATCTATCAGAGTGTCTTTTGGCTATATGACTACGAAGACCAATGTCGATGCCCTCATAAACATGATCGAAAACTGCTACTGTCGTCCACATAAAAGATCTGTTGAACTGGGAATGATTTCGCACATGTACAAGAGATATCCAATGAAAGCTAATGATATCAAGCTGGAGATGATCTGTGTGTATCCTATAAAGTCCTGTGGAGCTTTCAAAGTATTCGACAAGTGGCCACTAACTCCTTGTGGCCTGAAATACGACAGAGAGTGGATGATCGTGACAGAGAAGGGTGTCGCTCTCACGCAGAAAAACAACACCAAAATGTGTCTCATAAGACCAGTAATTGACCAGGAGAGAGGCAAAATGACCCTCCACTTTCCCGAGATGGAATGCATTGATGTGGAGTTGAGCATTGACGAAGACAATAGTGAAATAATGCAAGATTCGAGTTTGTGTCAGAGTAAAGTGTGTGGTGATCGGATTAAGGGATACGATTGTGGTGAGAAAGTTGCTCAGTGGTTGGAAAATGCCCTCGATTTGCTTGGAGTGCGTCTCATTAGGAAGGTCAGTTCTGAAAAGCGCTTCTTTCGCAAAAATGGTACCACCAACGATCTTCCAGAGATATCACTAGCGAATCAAGCACAGTTCTTGCTCATCAATACCACATCAGTTTCCTGGTTGATGGACAAAGTGACTGATTGGGATGACCAAGTGGATAGAGAAGGTCTTCTGCCGAATGTCGTTGACCGCTTTCGCGGAAATATCGTGATAAAATCATCTAAAAGCATGGAAGAGGGAGCATGGAAAATGATTAGAATTGGTCCAAATCTCTTCAAAGTTGACGGTCAATGTACAAGATGCCAGATGATCTGCATTGACCAACAAACAGGAGAGAAGACAACTGAGCCACTGAGAACAATTGCCAGAGAATTCGAAGGAAAGATGAAATTCGGAATCTACCTATCGCAGATGAATGATTTTACTAAGAATTTACACGTCCTAAGCTGCAATGATAAAGTAGAAATTACTGAGTGAACTACTGCAGAACACAGTCTGTAATTGGCTGTTGCCGAACATTTCCTAGAGGCTCTCCTTCGGCTGCTTTCTGGACACTCTGCGCTACATCATTGAAGTCGGGAAAGGCCAGTGATGACAATTTTGAGTGCACGGGCTTCTCATTTATCTGCACTTCGAATGAACCTGAAACACAGAAGCTCTGCTTTAGGAATGAATTAAGCATTCCTATTTTATTTATCAATTACACCTTGTCTTCCCCTTTTGCACTGAAACTCAACTTCAGGGACCAACTTTAGGACTACGCCTCGTAATTCCTCGCATTGTGCTTCATAGTTGCAGTAGCCACTATAAATAAGTAGGGGAAAATATTGTGATTAGTGATAAAATGATAAATAAATAAAATTCTTTCTACCAATACTCCACATTAACTTGTACTTTGTCCATAAGAGTCTCGTATTGTTGAATGAATCCGTCAGAATGGGTAGAATGAGCAGTCAAATTCACGTGCGCATTGCGCCCATTAGCAATCATCTGTTAAATTTCATATGTATAGTAGTTGAAAATTCTACTGCGTCTACGGAGTTTCATGACAGAACTGTCCATTAAATAATTGCGCAAGAATTTATATTTTATTCTTCTGCTTTATTCACGCATTATAATTTGTCAAAATCATATCAATACATAACAAGGAATGCTATAATTTGTAAAATATGTATCAGTTATAAGATTTATTCCAATTTATTTCTATCGTTGTCATGATTGGATATGTAGGCCAAAAATTCAGATCTTGTGATGATTTTCTCTACTACTTCTTTTGGCTTCGAGCATTGCACTGGAACAGCTGTAAAATAAATAATAAATTTTCTATTTCACCTAAACCTGAACTGCAAGTTTTTCATTCACCTCTGGTTACAATGACGAAGGGCTCCTTTTCCAGAATGCTAGATAAAAGCCCCAAGTTGGTTTCATATGTAACTCTTCGGAAGGTTTTGTTGAGAGCTTTCGCAACAGGATCATCTTTAGCCACGCCAGCTCCAAGTTTCACAATCAGTGTTTCCAGAGTTACCATTCCCAGAAGATAGTCTTCGTCAGAAACTACAGGCAGTTGATCAAGTCCTTGCTCTTTCAGGACATTAATGGCTTCCTGGCAAGTTTGATTTGATTTCAGAGTGATCAAGTCATTTGTCGGCACTTCGTCCACATGGTTACTCCACCACCAGTGCTCGTGAGTGTTTTCTAGAGGAAGGAATCCTCTAACTTGCATCCAATTGTCAGACACGAACTTCGTCATGTAATTCCTGATGCCATCAGGCAAGATAACGACACACTTCTGCCCGGCCTGCAAGTTCTTTGCAGCTTTCAAAGCTACACTCATTGCGGATCCGCTGCTTCCGCCACAGAGAAGACCCTCTTCAGCAATGAGGCGTCTCGCCATCGGAAATGCGTCGGAATCATTGCTCTTGTACCATTCGTCGACGTGCTCATGCTTGAGAACCGTCGGAATGAAATCATAGCCAATCCCTTCGACCTCAAAGAAACTCACGTCGCTTTTGTTGAGACTTTCTGGTCGGGCAAGAATTGATCCTTCGGGATCGAAAGATACAATTTTGCACTTCGGGCAACCTTCCTTCATTGCCTTTCCGATGCCTGAAACCGTTCCTCCTGTTCCTGCTCCAGCGACAATCATATCAATATCGTTATCAAATTGCCAGAGAAGCTCAGATCCTGTGCCCTCTTTATGAGCTAGCCAATTGCTCGGATTTGAGTATTGTCCCATGATAACAGCATTGGGTATCTTCTTCTGTAGATCTTGAGACACCGCAAAAATTCCCTGTGGCGATAGATATCCAGCCTCAGTTGGAGTGCGAATGATTTCTGCGCCCAAGATTTTCAGCGTATCTACTTTTTCATTGGAATTCTTCTCTGCCATAACAATTATGCACTTGTAGCCTTTGACGGCACATGCTAGAGCTACACCGATTCCGGTATTTCCAGACGTTGGTTCAATGATTGTTGATCCTTCCTTCACAAGTCCCTTCTCTTCTGCATCCAGAACCATTCGGTAGCCAATGCGATCCTTCACGGATCCGCCAGGATTCAGAAATTCACATTTTGCATCTAAATGAAAAAAATATCAATGAAATTGTCAGCAAATTTTCCATTCTTCATATTACTTTTTAAACGGTCTAGTGAAGCTTATTCAGTTTATCTTTATAATTGGTGAATAAACATTAAAGCTTTATACACTCTATAATTACTTATGCAAAGTTTCACGTTATAGTGCAACATGACCTCTATCTAATATGTTCACTCACGATCTATCATACATACAGACTCGCAAATTATGCATCTGTACTTTATTCTAATGCGCGTTTCTTATAGTTCCTGATCCAGAATTAACACTTACACATGTCACATTTAATTCCCAGAGATTGTGGAATTTTATTGAGTTTGACCACAGGAGTAAGTCCAATAGCATGCAGAATATTCGGTAAGATCTTCTTGAGCTCAGGTTTTCTTTGCAATGTATGGAAAGGAGAAGAAACTAAATTGAAATATGTTTTGTTAAAAATAATTGCACATCACAAACGACATACAACGGGCGACTCGGAGGCTCAGCATTTGCCCACAATCGTGATTCTGTATCGGGGCTTTCGAAATTGGGATCAAGATCCCAAACTGTTTCCACATGAGGACACTTCTTTTCTGTATTCGCCATTGCTGAACACTTTCACTAGACCACTGCAGCAGTTACTTGAGATTTTTTCCTGGCGCTTGTTCTCAACTGACTGGAAATTCATGACACACACGGCTTTTATATGTGCAAACAGCACAGGAAATCCGACCAACTAGCCGCAAATGTAATAGACAATCACGTGGAAGATACCATTTTTGTAATGTGGTTTTCGAAAAAATTCAACTTCGCCCCTTTGTCACGGCGTAAGAATGTGCGTTTGTTGGGGAAGAGAATGGTCGTCCATTAGCATAATTGATATATGTATCCTTGACAGTCCTCACAACATCAATGGAAATGCATTTGAAATTGACTTTATTCATTAAATTCATATAAAATGCATGCGATCGCTTATTTCATTGGTAGGAAAACTCATTGAGAGGAGCTGGTAGTGTATGATAGCAGATCCATTCGAGTAACGATTCCAACAGGAAATTCTACACCGTCCGCATCTGAAATTTGATAAGACATTTCATGAGAATTTGATATTAAGCCAGCTGATGCAATAATATGAAGCATTGATAGTTACTCTCTACAATTACGGCGAAAGGATCGTTCTCGAGAATCCTTGAAACCAGTCCCAAATTGGTGGTTTTGCAAATCTTTCTGAACTGCTTGAAGACTGCACGATCGATTGTATCCTTGGCCTGAAGGTTAAAATTGCCCATCTTAATCATCAATTCACCAAGCGTTGCTGCTCCTTTAAGTATTCCCTTCTCATCCACGATCACGGCGTATTCAGTGTTGTTCTTCTTGAGAACTTGTACTACATCCTGAACCATATCAGTGATATTGACTTTGACTAATTCATTCAGTTTCAATCCGTCCACTCTTGTATTCCACCACCAGAAATTATGGACATTCTTTGCCTCTTTAAGTCCTCTTGCCTCGAGCCAATTGTCCGAGATAAACTTGGTCATGTAATTCCGGACACCATCTGGCAGGATGACCACGCATTTCTGACCCTTCTTCAGCTTCTTGGCAGCCTTGAGCGCCACTGCCAATGCTGTTCCACTCGATCCTCCGCAAAGCAGTCCCTCCTCGCAAATGAGCCTCCTTGCCAAAGGCATGCACTCCTTGTCATTGGACTTCATCCACAAATCCACGACGGAGCGATCCAAGACAGTGGGAACAAAGTCATATCCAATTCCTTCGACTTCGTAGAAGGACACATCCGACTTGTTCAGTTCTTCGGGCAATGATAGAATGGATCCTTCGGGATCAGCGGCAACAACAACGCAACTTGGGCATTCTTCCTTCATCTTACGCCCTATTCCGCACACCGTTCCTCCTGTTCCCGCACCGCAGACAACCATGTCCACATGACCGCCCATCTGATGGAGTATCTCAGTTGCTGTTCCATCTGAAAAGTGTACAAAGTAGCGAGTTAGAATTGAGAAGTGTGATTTCTATTTTGAGAGATAACTTTTTGCTTCATTTCTGCGTCTCTGACGAGCACAAGTGAAGCATGACATGCAAAATTGAGCATTAGTGTTTATTACACAAATAATAATATATTATTTGGCAACTGATTAACAGCTCTCTAGCACTCTCCGCGTTTGATAACAAAAAGTACTCTCTCGTCACAAAGTTATCTCTAAGCATTTCTCACCATAGTGGCTAACCGGATTGCTCGCATTGCGATACTGATCCAAGATGATTGAATCCGGAATTTCCTTTTGAAGCTTCTGTGCGACAGCAATGAGACCTTCTGGTGAATCAAAGCCTGCTTCCGTAGGCGTTCGGATGATCTTAGCTCCGAGCGCCTTCAGCGCATTCACTTTCTCATTGGACATCTTCTCCGGCATCACGATAAGGCACTTATACCCTTTAACAGCGCACGACATTGCCAAGCCTATGCCCGTATTCCCAGAAGTTGGCTCGATTATTGTGCATCCCGGCTTCAAGAGTCCCTTCTCCTCTGCATCTGCCACCATTCGGTAGCCAATGCGGTCCTTCACGGATCCGCCAGGATTAAGAAATTCACATTTCACGTCTGAAATCAAAATGCTAATGAGTTTCTTGTCGGCACGAAGAACAATTGGGTAAAACCTACACATATCGCATTCAATGCCCTCAGCTTTTGGGATATTATTCAGTTTCACGAGCGGCGTGTGTCCAATGGCATGTAGAATGTTTGGCATAATTTTGGGGCGCTCTCCACTGAAGTGATAAAAAATGTGGTGTGAGATGCATAAGAAACATGAGGTCAATATATTAAATACACTGACCTATTTTGAGCCAAAACTCAAAAAAAGTCCTCAGTGATAAATATTTTTAAGCGAAACTACGTTGGTTCTTATCACTGGAGGTGAGGTTATCGCAATATCGCGACTCTTGAACTTGATTTTGCATGCAAACTGTTCTACATATCATTGAAGATGACTTACAATTTCCATTGTGAATGAGGGCTCTCGGTTTTATCTTTGCCGACTGACCAGGTACATCTCGATGGAAGATCAGGGCGAACGAAGTCCGGCATCACCTTGTAAATGTCATTAGCTTCTTCACCGTTTATTGGCATCTTCACTTCGTGGTGTTCTGAAAAATTCCAACCAGTTTCAAAGAATTCTTACCAGTAAAGTTATATAATAATTTTAGAAATTTTAATGAGCAAGATAATGATTAAATTTCAAACGATTCTTCTGTTGATTGTAACTATTGAACGCAAAGTGTGCAAACATACGGCATCTGTCGCACAATATCTTTTTTTTTGTTGCCTCACCTTTGCAACAGCAACCAACCAATCAATCATACGCCGAATAAGAGTGATTTATGCTATACTGGGAATTTGTGGATAAGAACAACTTACAGTTGATTTGATCCAGAAATTGTAGTCACTTCCACTCTGTGTAGCACAAAGACGAAGACTAAATTTTTCCTCAAGTAAGTCTTTAGGGTTATTCGAGTTATTTAACTGGAAATAACAATTATTTTTCATCTCTCTTTCGCGTTCGTTGTATCACTCTCTTTTTGCTACATGCGCTTCGGCACAGTCACTGTATATTTGTCTCCCTTTAAAATACCATGGTGATAAATCGACCACTATATCGTCGAGACGGCATAAACTCATGGCACTCATACATAGAAAACATTCTTTATTTACTGCGCAAGTTACACATTTTAGTACAACAAGACTTAATATGAAATACTGCGTGTGAATTCATTTTTGATCCTCTAAAAGAATGCTTTCACGATAGAAAATCCCATATATGCGTTTACAAATACACCGACTAAAAATAAAATAAACCTCGTTGGTTGGGGCACCGGTGCAAAAGCGTACACGAGTGTATGAAGAATTCTTGTGATAGCAAATGCTTTTATCAGCGTCATTGCCAGCCACGGGAATGGATTTGTTAAAATGTAGGCAAAGCAGAGTGGAAGGAAGATCAGGATGTTTTCCATATCATTCATGTGAGCTCTGGAAAATAATTAAATTAATACAAAATAACGAATCGTTATTTGTGTTGAAGGAGTCATACCTTCTCATCCTCTCAATATCTTCATTAACATTAGAAACGGCTTTCGTTTGTGATTTTACGGCTTCTTTTTTGCTAAAGATCTAAAATATTCATTACACAAATGTTCATTTTTTATATAAAAGTATGAAGAGAAAATTATATACGCACCGCAAGCTTTCGTTGAAAGCCAGTCCCAATGCCAAGAAACAGCATCTTAACCATTAACACTGTTGACCAAAATGCATAAGTCCTGAAGACTGGATTAGTCGGGGAGAAAATAGTGAAGAAATCCTCCATCGCGATTACTCAAGAATCAACTATGCTCATTCGCAGACCAAGTGAAACTGACTTATCAAAGATAAAGCCGCCTTCTTCGAAATTTTATCAACACCTGATAGTCGATTACCCGAATATTTTTGCCATTCTCAAAGTTTTCTCTTCTAATATAGCATTTATTTTTTTCTCTTTACACCTTCACATTGCATCAAAATTTAACATGTATTTGCTGTGCGATTGATAAGATGTTATCAAGAACAATTGATCTTCTTAACCCCGAGTAAAGCCCGACACTTGCAAATGACGATAGCGGGATGGACCAAAAGAAGGATTTTCATGACTTTAGCTGAGCTTTTATGTTTTATATGAAAAATACAATTGTCTTGAAAGCCATGAAGAGTGTAGATCCCAGGCAGACGAAGAACGCCAATCCTCTGGCTGGTTGCGGGATCACCCAAACGGCGTAGACGAGAGTGTGCACGATCCTTGAAATCACTGCAGCCCTGAACAGATTGATGGCCAGATAAGCCTCAGGATTTGTCAAGACATAGAAAAATGCCACGAGGATGAAGGGGAAGACATTCTCCAGGTCATTGCGATGCGCCCTGAAAGCGTTGCCATAGAAAATTTATATTGTACACAAATGCGTAGTTGCAATTTTACCTTCGCACGCGTTCCACGTCAGGATCATCATACTTGACCTTCGCTTTCTGTGGACCTGCATCTTCAGGATTGGCGAAAACCTGCAAAATAAACCCCAAATACTCTATATTAAGGCGCATCCCCTCGTCAGCACTGCCATGTCATGGTTGTGATTATGATATTTCTTATCTTGATTCGTGTGTTGTGTAATATCAACTCGTCAATACATTTACCTTATTCTTGAAACGCTGACGTGCGGTCAAAAATGACATAGACAGAGTCTTCACAATAAGAATCGTGGACCAGAAAACGTAGGCTCGGAACACGTCATTGTCATAGGAAAGAAGTTCGGTGAAAGTAGCCATGATTTAACTCAAAAAATTGGGAAGAAAATTCACGAAACACACCCGGCACTTGACTATGTTTTCATACAACTGGCGTTTCCGTCAGATCTCTAAACAACATAAAGGCCAGAGCCCGTTTTATATACCATACTTGTTGAACATCACATTCGTGTTTGTGTTCATCACAGATTGTGTATTCGTGTAATAAGATGTGCTTGTGTTTCGAGATATCTTTTCTTGAATTTGAAAAGTGCAAATCATTCATTAGCTCCAAAATTGCTTGTGAAATAAATAACAATTTGTTGTAACTTCATATGATTCATATAATTGTCATGTATATATAATTCAACAATTAATGCATATATAGAATACATGCAATACATGCAATACATTTCATATCACTTTTACACTGCAAACACAATTCTAGAATTTGCATCTTATCATATAAATATTGAATATAAGATAAACATTAATTTCTTTAAATAAACATGATGAGCCGCACTTTTTATCGCACTCCAGATAATGATGTGCGATTATCAAGAAAATCATAAAGTCATGCTGTTATTGTAGGAAAGAAAAACCTTCAATGTGATAAGAGACAAGTTTTCCAATGACTTTTTATTCCACTCTAAATCCTTTTTATTCTGTGCATTAAAGGAAATACAGAATAATTTGTGTTGCCATGTACAGTGAAATTGCCAAGCATGTCCCGAATGCAATTGCACGAGTTGGCTGAGGAACGACATGAATGCTGTATACAATTGTAAATACAATCCTCGCAATTGCTCCTGTCCGGAAGAGGAGGGTTGCGAACCAGGGCGAGGGATCTGTCAAGAGATATCCGAATCCGAGCAGGATGTAAGGGTAAATATTCTCCATGTCATTACGATGAGCTCTTCTTGCACGTTCAACATCGGGGTCGTCGAATTTTATCTTAGATCCGGGTGGAGCAACAGATATGTCCTCTGGATTACTCATGGTCTGCAACATAAATGAATTTATGATGAATTTAAATGAAAGTAATCCATTTGTGACTATCTTACCCCGGTTTTCCTCCTTTGGTATGCAGTTATGATGACCATGGCAAACATTTTAACGATGAGCACCACAGACCAGAATGCAAATGTGCGGAAAAGCTCATTTTCCGGAGACAAAATATCCTTCAATTCAACCATTTCGAGAGCCTTCTCAACGGTAGCAGCTGTGATTTAATACTAACAGCACATTCCATATTTTGATTTTGCCGTCTAATAATCTTCTAACGCTTTTTGTGTATATGTTCAAGGTTATTTGATCAACTTGGGAAAAATCACCAACACACCAATGTTGAAAAATTATGCGTGTATTTTCTTATAAAACTCACTCTTCTTATACAGATAACACATGCGAGTTGTATAATCCGTTGTTTATCAAATCATACACACAACCATCCTCAGGCGAAGTGAATGAGTGTTTGTACCGCCATATAGAGAGTTATGAACAAGGGTACGCCGAAAGCTATGAATCTTGTTGGCTGAGGAACCGGACCAAAAGCGTACACCGCGGTGTGAGCAATTCTTGAGAGGGCTCCAACTCTCACGAGGTTGTTGGCGAGGAATGGAGTGGGATTGGTGAGGGTGTAGAAGAAGGCGGCCAGGATGAATGGCAGGATATTCTCCAAGTCATTTCGATGAGCCCTGTGAAGTATAAAAAGACAATTAACTACCAATAAGAGTGGAATGTATAGAAGTGTAAACAAACCTGCGCACTCTCTCCACACTTGGATCATCATACTTGGGAGCTTTGGCCTTTTTTCCTCCAAACATCAAATCCTCAGGACTGCTGAAAGCCTACAAAGTGAAAGTGTCTCATTAAATTTTCAAGAGACGTGGCTATTTCTTATCTAAACAGTGAGATCACTTACCCGGTTTTTGATTCTGAAGAATGCAGTGAGAGGAGACATCAAGAGCATTTTGAGCAGCAGAATCCCAGTCCAGAGAGCCACATTGCGGAAGACAGGATTTTCCAGGGACAGGAGATCAGCGACACTAGCCATTTTGTAATTAGAAATCTCTAAACGCTATTGATACGACAATCACACGTCTTGAGCGGAGCTGACAACCAGTGAAACTGAATGGTGTTTTCGATGCTATACACAAGGCAACACAACGATAAAGAAAATATGCTTCAACCTCTTGAGCAGATGTAGAAGTTGAAAAATACCGACCCAAATGGGTATTAGTAGAAAAGTGACACACACTGCAATTTTAGCAGAAGCTGTTTTTATTTTACAAAAATGACTTTCTTTTTGCAATGTGATTCTCTTACGTAACATTACTCTTTAGGGAATAAAATACTAACGTACAAGTCCCAGGAGAAAGCCAAATGAGTTCATTTGGTATTGAATAATACCACTAAAGCGTTACACATTACAAACACATCAAAGAGCCACTATGCTAATGTAAAATCAATGGCAATGTTGTTTCAAGTTCAAGATAGCTCACATAATTACGCACACGTAACCCATTCCATATCTCACATTTCACAAATAGTTTTACATTATATTTCGTACATAAAACAATTAAAGAACTGTGTCGGTTAATATTTTGCCACGCTATTTAACACATATTACACTTTACAGTCGTGTGAAATTTCATAATATTGAGAGTGCCAAAATTTAGGCAATATGACAGAACAGTAAATTGTGGTGGCAATTGAGCAACTTTGAAAATTAATAGCAATATTATTGGCTTTAAATAAACCAAAATCGGATAATGCACATAACTGCCATGTAAATGGTAATAAAAAAGCAAGTAAAGAAACAAATCGCACGAGCTGGCTGTCGGATCGGATAAATAGCATAAATGATAGTGTGGATAATCCTCACTGTTCCTGCAACTCTGAACAAAATGATGGCAATCATTGGGTTAGGGTTGGTGAGGACATAAATGAGTCCGATGGTGAGAAATGGCAAAATGTTTTCCATGTCATTTAAATGCGCACGACGAACTCTTTCCACCTGTTCGTCGGTTTTGAGCTCCGTCGTTTGCTTGGGCAAATCCTCGGGATTCGCAAAGGCCTTGAAGAGAATAATGGGTAAATGTGAGAATAATGTATTGAGATGAAAAGTGAAAGTGTGCCAAACACTGACCGCATTTTTCACACGAAATGTTCCTGTCAGCGGAGACATCAACAGCATCTTGATGCCTAAAATACAAGCCCACGTTACATAGGCTAAAAACACAGGATTCTCACCTGCAAGGAGGGCGTAAGGAGCTGTAGTGTTGCTCGACATTTTGGATAATTTTCACAAAGTCACGGCAGAGGAAAAGTAAGCGTCTTCACACGTTGGCTGCTCTGTAAAAACTGACCATTATTTTCAAAAGGGGAGAACTTCCACTCTGTACGACTACCCTTCGCATGAAAGCAATTGTGCGTTTCAATTATTTATTTTTCTCCATTTGCCTATTCATATTTGATATTACCTATGCCTTAACCCACATATTCATCTACGCTGTATATCAATAATCGCTCTCAAACTGTGATTTTGCAAAGGAAAAAAGTCTTCAAAAATGTTTAGAAGGTAAATTTAAATAATCTTACTCAAGTGCATTCGCACATCTTCCTACTCCACTGGTAAAGGTGGCAAATACCACACTAAAATACATATACATGCGTGAATCAATAAAAAGATATCAATTAATATTTGAGTTGATTTTAAAATACTTTCAATCACAGTCAGATATTGTACAGCAAGTGACTGTGCTAGTTTTCACTCTCAATCGAACATCATCAATCAATATGACCCGATGCATTATTTACATATGTGTGAAATATCACAGGTGATGTCCACTCTTCAGTAGAATTTATTATCGAACCATTGCCAAGTCTTGCTGTCTTCATCGTCCACGAGGTATGAATAGCAACGATTGCGATAGCGTTTGGCACATGTCACCACAGGATATTCCTCCCGGAAGCATTGCGGCCCTAGGATATTGAAGTACGTGTAACCAATTTTGTTGGAGATGAAGGTGTTGATCCTCTTCAAGCAGTAGTAAAACTCCCGGTCGCAATCACAGTGTGTTCTCGTGAAGAGACCGCCGTTTTTCAGGCCGTGCATTTGACTTCTAGCTTCAATGTAAAGCGGGCACAAGTCATGCATTTTGCAACAATTGTCCGTGGCGGCAAAGAGCCCCAACTCATTCGTTCCCTTCGCTATGTCTCCTCCTCCACACCACAGTGTCCCTATTGAGGTCATTAATAATACAGAATTAGAGCAATAATATATAGGGATTTGTGCAATGTCAAACATGCGAGACACACCTGGATAAATTGTCTTGATACGGTCTTTAAATTTATCTACAAATCCATTGGCAAATGGCAGGTTAACATCTAAACCAGTAGTTGTGGCTCTATGGGCAAAATATTTTGGCGAAATTGGCTTTGCTTTTGGTCGGAAGAAATTTGTGTTCTTTTTAATTTTGTGCAAAAATTCATCTGAAAATAATAAATTATGTACATACAAATCATTTGCAGCTGCACAGAGCAATATATTCTCACCAAAGGGATTTGGCTTTGGATAGGCGTACTGATAGATTGCTAAAGTATTTGAGGAATCCTGTAAGCAGAAGAGTATTGTGTCACATGTAAGAACGCAATAGAAATCGAAGAAAACCGGAAATGCAGAAGGTACTTAAGTATTGCTCTATGGAAATCAATGTATAACATTATGCAATTAGAACATGCCTTATAAACCCCAAAATACATTTTTGAGATGTCATATAAATTCCCATTAACCTGCCGACGCGTCATTTTCCTCGATAACAGTTTTCAAATATTAAAAAGTTACCAAGACCATGAATATGTAAAATGTTTTCCTCTTCTTTCCATAATTGTGTTGAAAGAATCACAAAGAAAACCCCCATAGTTAATGTAAAAGTATTCTTTGGCAACACTTCATTTACAGCCTTATTTACTCTATTTGGTCTTTGTGTGCTTTAGACTTAATGCAGAGAGTGGTAAAATCAATTGAGCAATAAGTATAGTGCTTCAAAAACAAATCACCTGAAGGAAAGTTGTTGAGTCGTCTGCTGACAAATTGGGAACAAAAAATGACGAGTCTTGAGTGTTCCCATTAATTTTGCGCGACACTCCAAATGGATTACTATTACTATATTGTGTAAAGTTTCTCTCATTGTCGTCACTGAAATATCCACCGCCATTCTTCGCCTCTATGATGTGCAGTAAATCAAAGAGCGTTGCTCTTATAATCGATGTACGTACAATCAACACAAGCCACACTGCACAAAATTCACTTTTCTTCGTCATTTCAGTTTGCAATCACAAAACGCTCCAACATAATTATACATCAGAGACGATTTTTTATTTGCAAAATCACTTTATGCAACCATTAACATTAATTATCAGTTGTGCAATGCTTAGCGCAAAAAAGCCGTGATAAGAGCGAGTATAAATGCTACTAAATTGCACTTTTGCAATTTTTAATGCTATTGAAGCGTTTAATCACTCCTCATGATACTTCCATATTTATTTTATTCAAAAACAAAATCACTGGAATAGAGCTGGTTTTTGTACTTTCTTCAGTATTTCACAACACCCTGAGATTGAAGATAAGAAAATAGCCGAATTTGTGTTCAGTGATCGCAAAGAAAGAAAATCACAAGATGTTTAATTGCCGAATTTTGGAACCTTTCTCTTTCACTTGAGAGCCAAGTTTCAGTTACAGTTCCCACCGAAAAACTCTTGAGAACTGACTGATGGCTAAAATGCAACTGAAGCTCACCTTGCCTTTTCTTTCGGAGCTAACTTTGAAACTCATTTTTGTACCTTTTTCCCTCTACATTGGATGGGGGAAATGCTAGCTGGTATATTAATTGTACGTGAGCGTTAAATACAATAATGTGGTGGAAAGGCATTATGCTATGCCGCATGTATTTTACAGTCGTGAAATATAATTGTCAGCTTCCCCTCAAAGCAAGTGTACTACCATCTTCCATCAGTGTATTTTCGCAGATAGAGAAGAACAGCAATTATGTTGTGCAATGTCGCACTTAGTTCATTTTGCAGTCATCTCCGTACCTCTGCAAAGCTTAGGAATTCAAGATAGTGAAATGTCAATTGATTTTTATCATCTGTATGAAGTGAACGAAAAGGATTTGCATACAAAACATACATAAATTGACTCTGATATATCAAGTTTCACCTGTCAGCAAAAACTCCTGCACAAGTAGGTTTATATGCCTACTTAAAATTGTTATGCAACATTTGCTCTTGCAGTTGAAATGTTGCTTCGGTAAAAGTTCAGGCACAAATACATATTTTCAACTACAAAAAAAGTGTTTTGGCGCCCAAAATTCCGTACATTCTTCATGTACTCAAAAAAAGTGTGAGGCAAATCCATAAGCGATTGAGGCAATATTCGATGAGAGAAATCTTGCACATACAAGAAGTTTGCATGAGCACATGTTAAATATTTATTATGTAATCCATAATTTGCCGTCTCTTAATTTCCCATCCAATGTCAGACTTTTTTCTGTACATAATATTTGCACAGAGCATTTTTTTTTACTTCACGTTCGTCATTCTTATCGCATGTGCGATGTCGGAATTCAAGGGTCATTACGATGTACATAGTATCTCATTTAAATACATAGCTATTCTTCGCGAATTCACAGATTTTGTACTCGCATCGGAAGTGTTAATAATACTTTTTTAACGACATTTTCTTGTACAATTTATACATAAATACACTCTAAGTTTGATACCTCCCAACAGCTTAATGCGAGCAAACGTCTGACTTATGTCTGTTTGATGACTGTTTATAAAATTTCCCAGTTTTTTATGGGACGGAAATTATTGAGATTCTCAGTTGAATCCAGGTATTCTTTACTTTAAATAACACCACGTTCTCTTCTCTTATTTGTACACATTCACGTTCTGCCGATCATGTATACTCAAGTGAATAATTTTATAGAGTGCGAGTAAAAGTAACGAAATCCGCGTGCTTCACTTCTGTGGTCAAAGTCCGTGTATGATTAAATTATTTTTTGTCACAAATCCCCGGTCTGAGAGTACCTAAGCAACTCATTGGGTGATACTTTTGAACTCTGGACTTAGAGAGACGCCAGTGTGGCGAGCACAAGTCATGAGTGGTGTTGGTTTGTTGTCATGCCAAGAATCTCTACTTGATGTGCGTGCTAATCGAATAACTTGCTATTTTAAGACGTCTTTGCTGGAAAAAAAACAATGATTTTAACACTCTGTGGGTACGTACTTTGGTACTGGGTAGCGTGATTGGGTGAAAAGTCACACAACTTGATAACATCAACAGGTGGAATTCCATTGTTCAGGTATTATGATGACTTTCTTCGGCGTGAATAATGTTTTGAAATGAATGTAAAGTCATGGGACACAGTCAAAAGAATCTATTTTTGGCATATTGCTCAATCATTAAATATACAAATTAATGGCGACAAATTATCAATCCATTAAATTAGAAATAATAAAAAAAAACGAAGTGCAAGAGGAACAATGTCAAGCCTAATGGTATAAATTAAAGCGTATGTTTTCGTTCGCATATTATGAAAGATTATTGCATGTATGAAGAGCTCTCGTGTTATTATTTCTGCGAGTGTTTCGATTTCTTCAGACAGTCGCGAATTGCGTCGTGTGAAACGGAAGAATTCTGGGCATTAAACCGCGGGAAAGAAGAGCCGAAGATAATGGTGTGGATTCATAAATTTGCCACATGAGAGATGATCAATTGTTTGGGGTTTTGTACGAAAGGAGACAAGAGAATTGGGACAAATGGGGAGTGCCAGTTTAGACTTTAGACTCTGGCGATAAAATTGAAAAATCCTTTGCCAGCGAATAGCCCCGATATCTCTTAATCGACACCAACACATTGGACTTTATCATTCTCCGGCCCGCCTAGACTTTTTTCTTGATCTTTTCATACAAAAGTACATAAGAGATATGGATGGGTATATATTCCATTTGAGTGGATGTAAATGGAGTTGAGTTTGAGCACACAACTTGCTATATAAACAGACTTGTTATTTTGAATTACTAATCAGTCTACGAGTCTTTTCAGTCAAGTCTGTCGTGTTGTATCGTGAGTGCAGTCACAGAGTGTTTAGAATCGTTCCCAGATGTGTGTTTGTTGAATCGCCACCTCACTTGAACAGTTGGTGTCGCCCAGTTGTGCTGAACGGTCAAACTTGGCAATTGTGTGCTATCGCGTACGAGGAACAATATAACTATCATCTCAACGGCAAATCAGTGAAAGTGATTGGAATATTACTTTGACCCCAATCGTAATTGGAAGTAATTTTGAGAGGGACAAAAGCCAAAATGAGTCAAAGCGCAGAAAATTCATCCACGAGCACCATCACCACCCAATCCAATGGAACATCGAAGCATCACCAGGACAAATCCGATGCATCATCGGAGACAGAGAGTTTAATGGCCATGAACGAGAATCAGAGTCTTCTGCCGCATTTGGAGTCATTTGATCGCATGATGAAACTTCCGGTTGTGGAAGCCGCATGGAATCAGAGTCAAGATGTCTATGGAAAGGTCAAAGGTATGATGAAATTAGATGAAACTTATGACAAATTCTCACCACTTTCCGAAAACAAATTGATATTATCAACTTTGTGACCCGTTTGATCCCAAGAGTTCAATTGATTACTTAAATAGAGTCCGATCACGAGAAAACAAGAGCTCATCGACAGTGAAATGTGCACAAAATGTTGCAAAATAGAATTCACACTGCTTTTGATTTTTTCCTTCAAATTGTGCTGGGAAAAAATAATGGTAGAAGTGCGTCCCAAAAAATGTTCTGGCGATAAAAATAACCTACATTTTGGACTTTGTATTCAGAAAACCTTTCCCCCTTGTGAATGTTCATCAAATGATAAGTGGATGGTAACACTTATCGCATTTCATACACTTTTTTCCACTGATCTATACAAGAAAGAATGTGTATATGTGTAGTCATAACTTTTTTGCGCTCTTCTCATTGTATTTTCCTTGAAATGACGATTATATACGCAAATATCACCACACAAATGCCAACCAGAGAGAGAACAGCTTTAACTTACTATCACGAGATATATAATTAAAGTACATTGAATGTAAATTTGTCTTAGGAAAGAAGGGGAAAAAATGAAGTCACTAAATCACAGTCTATTGTTGGCTTTTTTGCAGGTTCCAACGCAATGTTTAATTGGGCCTTTAATACGGCCGAGGATGCTCTTCGCGGTGCCATTCACATAACAGCTCCATTTGTACAGAAGTTCGATCGTCCAATTCATCTTGTTGACCAGACACTCGTCAGGGGAATTGACAAGCTCGAAGTGAAGGCACCAATCATCAAAGAGCCACCCCAGGAAATCTACAATCAGGCCAAGTCAAAGGTGATCGAACGAGTGCAGCCTCATCTCAATAAAGTGTGCTCACTTCGGAGTGCTGGTCAGCAAAAGGCAGCATCGCTCAAGGAGTTATCATGGGCCAAAGCCAACGAGGTTCTCGCCACGCAGTATGGAAGCATGGCAGTGTCAGGAGTTGATACCACAGCCACTCTAGCTGAGCGCCTCTTGGATTACTACTTCCCCAGGGCGGAAAGTGACGTTGAAGATGATAACGGTAGGTTTCCATCACAGCATGACAAACATGCACCAGACAAAAAATATTTGCTCGCCACTATTTGCTGGGTTAATGCGTGTGATTAACCTCTTATTGTTTTTTTCGCAATAGCTCCAATTGCGGCTACGGAAGATCCTGTACTCCACACCGTCCAGACAGTCGGACGTCTGTCGAACAAAATTGCCAGGAGAGTGTACCGCACTGTGTCCCGTCAGGTGAAGCAGCTGAAGAAGGAAGATGTCCATGAGTACGTGGCATCGCTCATTGCTGTGCTCCGCCTAACGCAGTATTTGAATTTCATCAACGAGAAGATGACATCGATACAGAATGCTGCGAGCACAAGTAAGGCCAGCAATGGCCAGCAAAAGATGATAAAAGATAAGGAGTAGGAAATGAAAAGAAGAGACATACGGAGTCACCTTTAGTACTAAGCATCACAGAAACTTATAATTTTGTCTGACAAACGTGATCTTAACTTGAAACAGTGAATAGATGTGAATAAGTATAATTTGCAACCAATGAGTTAGAGGGGGTATTCCACTAGATTGTTACATACTTTCAAGTATATAAATACATATACTATAGCGATAAGATTTTTTGTATTTGCTACAAACTAGCGTCAAAGTCATCATAGTTCCTAAGACTATTTGAATAAAATGTGAAAACATCTTTATAAGTTATTATAAATGGAAAATAAAAGTTTGAGATAAGCATTTAGAGCAAAGCAAGCACAATTATTCAGTTGTGTCATACATACCTACGGCTTACGCAACTCCTTGCCAACCTTTGGACTGTGTATAAGTACAGAAATTGACGATTAATTTTCATACACAAGCGCACAGCTCATTCTAAACAGACGATCATACTCAAATATCACCGATAGTGTGTAATCTCAAAGGAATAAGCTGTGTTTTCCTCTCAGTATTTGACGTTCTCATTTAATGTTAGTGCGATAAGGAATTCTCCGGATGAGCTTTCATAGACGACTCCAGTATTATCTAAATTACAGAATGATTAATTCAATGTATAACTGATTAGTCTGAGACTTTTTATTTCACTTTGTCTAATACCTCAAGCATATGTTCATAGCGTACCAACACTCATCAATTTGAGACTTGTATCTTTGCCTTTGCCATGACCGAATCACGCCACTCTGTTGAACTTTATATCGCGCTGCTTTGTAATGAACAATTCTGGCCGATAAGCTTGATAAGGCTGCGTTAAGTCATTTTAGAGAGGCTCATGTTCACACATCCAATCAGCACATTGCTAAAGTCACATTTCCAATCTTCAGTGTAATCTTGAGATCATTTCAGAAAGCACAATCCATATTCACCAAAATGTCTGTTGAAAGCGTTTAACTATGAATCTAAACCACAAAAATTCTGAATTCCAAATGCAATTTGAATGGAACTCCTTATTTCGCTACATATTATACATAGTAATTGATATCTCTGTCATTTCACATACTTTTAGGCGCACCGGAAAGAAAGATTGTTGTCTTGGCTCTAGCAAAAGCTCAAGAAGAAAGTGAAATGCTTGAGAAGTCATCATCCAGTCATATGCAACTTGATACATATTTAAAATCTCTCTATGTGACTTGTACATCAAATTAATTTGCATTCTAATTCAATACTTTTATATATATATATATAGATATAGTGAGAAAGTTCTCAGTATTGTGAAATTATTCTTGTTCCAGAACAATAAAATTCACCTTTTGTAAAATATTGAGATATTTAGAAGAGGAAAATAATTTTCTGACACATTTGTAATACCTTTAGGGTAGTAATTGCTATGAATTATGTATATTTTGTCGTTGCGAACGTTTTCTTCAAAAGAATTGCCTGCAGGATTTTCTCATTCTCCTTTGATGATGTCTTCTCCGCGCCTCGAAGAGGCGAAAATACTCTTGCTGGTGTGTGGCATTTTTCTTCCTTTTGTCCACACCGTCCACGCTCCTCAACTACACCTCTAATGTGGCCTTCCACCGATGTGCCACATTATAATTGAGCTCAAAATCAAAGAATACCAGACGGCATGAGGGAACTGAAAAGGCGAAGAAATGAATCGAGACTAATTTTTATAGATTCGACATGGATAGCTTTAAGATTTCAACTATGAAATTAAAGTGGCTTTATTGTGTTATTTCTGTGAAGATGAGTTGGGTTACGTGAGTAAAAACAGCCAAGTGTGAATGTGAGAGGGGCAACTGGTCTTGAAAATAGCAGGAAAGACCGTTTCTTTGGCTCCTTATTCAGGGAAATGTCTGAGCGGGAACGCAATGTATGATAACCGAAATTATTGAAATAAATCATAGAGAGTTCTTAGAATTATCCGTAAATACTTTGATTACCTTCTAGCGAAGAGATGAGGAGAAAAGCCAGACGAGAAGTGATACCGAAAGTAAAATGGACGGAGAAAATTAAAATCATCTGTATGAGATTAAATTTATATAGAGCCACAAACATTCTATTCTTGCTCTTCAGTTCATCACACTGAAAATAAAATTATGTGAAAAGTAACAAAGCCTATGATAGTCATTTGGCAGAGTGTGATAAAAGTCTTCTGTAATTAATTGATTCTCCGTGTTTCATAAATACGGATTTACTTTTTAATCTCGAAACCAGAGTAACCACTTAAGTTAAAATCCTTCGAGGGGGTTTCAATTTTGTGACTGAGATAAGAGAGTGATTCTTCAGTTGAAGTTACGGGCGAACTGGTTTATTCTGTCTCGAGTGTTATCATTCTTTGATGTAATTCGGTCGGAAATTCCTTTTTGCCAACAATGCGAATCACCTGTGTTGAGTGCAATCTTCGTTCGATTTTCAAACACTATTAAGTGGAAATTGAATCAATTTAATAGCGCTGCTGATTGCTAATCAATAGATTGCGAGGTTGAATATGCGAAACACCTTTCTTGAAGGGCCGCTGCGTCTGCTGGGAATTCCGCTGCAAATTCGCGAAGCAGCGAGAGAAAAAGACCCAGTGAAGGTGAAGTGTGTTCAGTGACTGGAATCGGACCCTTTGATTGATAAAAAGTCAGGCACATTTAGCCAATTTGTTTAATTATGCCAGATTTTTATCTTTAATACTTTTTAATGTAAATCGCTGCGTCTCTTCTTTTGATGTTTCACGATTTTACCGACGTACATAATAATTAATTGCTCCACACGGTATTAGTGCGCGCGAGTGAGTGTTATTCCTTTTTATACGCTGCTACTGCTGCGCCTCGAAGACCAGTTTTTATCTTTCTTTCATTCTTTCTTAAGAGATGAGTGAAGACACTAAAAGAGGATTATACCGGTCGCCCAGCACACAAAGTGGGGGATGTGGCAGAGTTGATTCAAGAAAACACTTTTTTCACCACATTCAATCCCTATATCGCTCTCCTCATTTCACATCCCATAAGCTATTATGCTGTAACATGTGAATATGGCATAAATGTATGATAGAATTAAAGCCTTAAAATGAATATGAGATTCTCTTGCCCACTGGCGGCGGAGGAAGTGGACAGCAATGAGTGAATAGCGGAGAATGAAAAAAAAATTCTAAAAATCAACACCCAAGATATTCAAATTTATTGGTCTGGTTGAGGAATTTTTATGGAAATTCCAATGGTTTTCCGGTAGATTGTGTCAATGAGCAATGAAATGACTTCTAATTTGTCAATAAAAATCTCAATCTTATACCATAAAATGTTGCACAGTAATTGCAAAATAATCATGTTTCACTGACCATCGCACAACACGACGTAATCCATATATTTGTAAAGGCGTGTGTGATTTTCTAAAGGGACAAGCTACCCGCTCCTAAACACACCCCAAAAAAATCCTCACAAGGTCCACTTTCTTCATTTTTCTTCCTCTTCTCTTACAATGTTGCACGCGGCTTTTACATGTATTTGGCCGTGTCTAACACGTTTTTTCTCTCTACTTCTGAATGCCTTTCATTCCTAAATGCATTTTTTTGTGTCCTACATTCGTTTCGCTGGAAGGATGAATAGTTTGAGGAAATGAATTATACAATTTTGTCAAGCGTATTTGAGATCGTTTGAGATTGGACGCAAAAATGCTTGAGTGAATCTCAAAAGGACTAAAGCTATATCAATGAAAATTGGATTGTTTTGCTAGCTCTCATAACGTTGTAATCCTTCTTTTCATCCTTCCTCGAAAAACATATAGGTAAAGAATACGTTTCTTGAGAATTATGTGGTCCTGGCATACTCAACATCCCATGAATTCAGTGGAAATATTGTAAGACATCGCTTGCGATGCTGTAGTTAAACCATAATTCTTGTTTTTTTGTTGCATTAAATTGTAATTGAGGCATGATGAAAAAATTAAAACAGTGAAATATGCAATTTGACCCAAATTTTTTAGTTAAATATTAAATAAAGAAAGTCTTTTGAAATCGCAAATCGTAATGAGACTAATTAGACTGAGAATATACAATTCTTTTTCGCTGCTCCGTACAAAATTGTGTGTGCGAGCTCTATGCGAAGGTCTGCTTGGCTCTTTTTCTGTGCACTTTAAGCTTAAAAATAAATGCTTTTTGTTGGTGTTGTACTCAGAAACTCACAATGATCTGGTTGTTTGTGTAAGTTATACTGCCACTTAAAAGATCTTGAGATACCTCCTCATGTCTTAAGAAGAGCTCCTTAAGGGAGATTTTAGATCAAATAGAGGCGTTTCAATTGTCTTTTTTCTTGCACCGTCAAATTGTGTTTAGACAATTTCTCTTTGCTCTTATCATTTTCTGTTCCACTTTATTTTATCTCACTGGGATGAATTCTAATCATCACCGAGGCGATGCTAGCTTTATTTCTCTTTTACACTCAGCCTCCGTCCGGATCAAATTAAACTCACCAGTTGATGCTTTGCGGCTCCTTCTATCGGATGGGTAAAAAGCGAGTGTTCTCTGAAGAAGCGGATTAAAAATCCAATGAATAACATTAATACCTTATCAAATCCATTTACGGACACCATATCTTAAGAAATTAATTACCATGCCAAGTTTTTTCCGAGGTAATTGGAAAACTGGTTATGCGTATTAGCGACATGCCGCTTTGGGTGTTCATTTGTAAATTCATCACAAAAATTTCTGTATGGCTCTTTTCATGATTTCTCCACTCTCCTAACTTCTCTATCGCACAAATGTAACACACATCTTCCTACTAGAATATGCAAACAGTGGCACTCTAAATGTAAATTCACTCCTCGGAAAATATTTGCGAAATATTTTTATTCACCTCCTTTTTATATTCAAATTATCTTTGCCATGTGGAATTTCGTAGTTGCTCTCTAACAATTAGTGGAAATCAAGTTTATATCTCTCAAGTCTCTTTCACATTCAATCTAATGGCTCTTAATTAATCTGTTTTGAAAAAACCATGGAGCCATGGAGCAAAATGTGTGTTTATCTTTATTGCAAAAGATTTTTACTCACGGTAATTGGAATGAATTGGTCTACACACTTAATTCGCGCCAAGATTTTTATATGCGCTCTCTGAGAAATTCTCAGTGCGGTGGTCAGAGAAGAACGCATCTTTGGAGTAGTGTGTAGAAATTACAGATTAATTGCTTTGAAATACATTAAATATTCTTAATATGTCAAGTCGAACGCATCAAAAGATTCTCTTTGGAGGAGAATCGAAACCGCTGTGTAATGCTCAGCGCGTTGAAAGGTTGGAGTACAAAAAATTTGTTTTATTTTTGCCGACATTCTGTGAGATTGCTTGTGGTTGTGTTACTTTTTTCCTCGGCCCATAGCTATATGGGCAAAATGTATAAAATTCGTTCTACCATCTCGTCTCAGCTGCCTTCATTCTCTGCTCACATGAGGAATTCTCATATTGTGGATGATTTTGTATTTCCACACACCGTCGTCCATCACTCGTACACGAATTTGAACTCAAAAGCGAGCCTTCCGAAAGACTCGGCGGTGTTGTTCAGTAATCGCGGAGACTCGAGCCGCAGTAAGGTTGAACACGTTGTTCGGATCGGTTGGAGATCTTGAGCTCTCTCTCTCTACACACAGTGAATTTCTCGAGTGATGTTGCATTCGCCAGCAGCACTCAAAAGAAAAACTCTCGTGAAGACAGGAGGTGAAATATAGTTTTCCCATAAAACAATTCAAGCGTTAATATTGCATTTCCTCAAGAAGAGCACGTCAATCAATACTCGCGAACAGGCTTGACGTATATGAAAAAAGTAAAATCTGTGTCGGTTTTCTGATAGGAAATAGCAAGCAGAATGTCTTGATAAGTGCGTTGATTTCAGAAAGTGACTGAAACATTGTGATATTGCTATGAATGAGGAGTGATTAATTTGTTTTCTGTACAAATCAGCAATTTTTTCATTGAGATAGAAAACATGATCGTTGGAAAAATGTCCAAACAATTACTATTTGGTGTCATTCTGACTGTTTGCCTGAGTCAATATTGCGCCACGGCAGTGCTTCAGTGCGAGAGAATTGCAGCTCCAATATGTCAGGGGCTAGGCTACAACCTCACTGCCATGCCAAATTTGGCGGGTCACACAGCTCAACACGAGGCCGAAGCTATGGTGAGAGCAAGAAAATATGCTATCTTATCGGAATTGTTAGCCTCTCTCTCTCTTCTATTTTCCTGTATTTCGTAATTATTATTTTATATACCCGCTTTATTCCCCTTCTTTATGCCGATCGCGCAAAAAGAGAGTAACAAGCCTTTTTTATTCCGCCGTTTTTATATCTCTGCCGAAAAAGTGCGGTTGATTTTCAAGCGATTGAACCTTGCGACAATCTCAAAATAAATTCCAAGATAATATATCAATTTAAAAGCAATCAAACTTGATAAGAGAAATTTTAGAGTGCTGTGCTTGATAATTTGAGAAATAAGCTTTTCCTCATGGCTAAAGTTGTCTCCTTAATTGCAAAGATCTTCTATATGTTTTGCGTCAATAGAATTGCAGAAGTTATGTTGATATTTGATTTCAAAGAAGATTGCGCCGATTCCAGTGGGTAAAAGGGATTTTCATTAATTTGATGTCATGCCATTGTATATTTACGGTGTCTTCAATACCAGATGCACAATCAATTTCTTTCAACTTGTGCTCAAAGCACCATTGCAGCAAATATGCATTTAATTGCATGACGGAGGAATCTCACTCAGTGTTTGTGCATTGAATGGATATCTCGAGAAGAGATTGGAGAATTGAAAAAGGGAAGACGAGAAGCATTGACCGTGTACATAAGAGAATGCAAAAAATATATAAACAAAATTTCAATGTTTGAAGGTAAAACTTTCGTACTACGTTAGGCAAAATAGGTGGTATGAGTTTTACCTAGAAATTCTACTGTTCTTAACTACTGAAAGAGACAAACACTATTCGATTATTTCACTGCACATGTGCAATTTTGCACCACTGTGATGCCTTCTTCTGACAATGCGCGGCAACTCGCGGGGAATGAATTAAATGCAATATATATTATTATGTATGTATATTTTATATTATTATGTGTTTGCACTCACATCGCTTTGCCTCCTTCACGATCACTCCTCTTCCTCTTCAAGTGCTGTTGGGCTCACTCATTCGGCACACCTTTGATCAAGTGTCTCTCCTTCCAAGTCGATATATGGCAAGAAAACGCTTGAAGCATCTCTCATGTGTCCATTGTCCGTCATTGAATGGCAATTAAATATGTTCTGGGATCAATTTAAAAATAGTATTCTTTAAACAATTTACTTCTGTCTTTTTTCCACCTTTTGTCACATATTTTCCGTTGTTTTTCAAGACATATGTACATTTGCTCTAATTAATGCCGCTTCTTAATTACTCCCTATTTACCTACTGAATAATCTCATTAATGAATTTAAAAACACTCTGTTTTCTCATCTGGCGCTCTACTTCATCATGTTTAGTTTAACTCCACACGACGCTATTTGTCACCATTCAAACGATACTGACAACTAGTTTTGTGTAAATGTCGCGATTATTTCAATTGATAAAAGAGTGCGGCTCTTTCGTTATCTATTTGCCATACAAAATGTAGGTACATTAGGTATAATGCATTATACCATATTGAAGGAGCGGTATTTCTTTGATATACACGACTCTGACTTTCGTGCAATTGAAAGAGGATGACATTGATTTGTGTATTTGTGTAAATACTTAAGTGAGGACAGGGGAGAAATTTTAATATTTGCTTTCAATTAAAATCGGACATTCAGTTCTATGCCATGAGCATACAAAACATGACTTCAGAAGTTCGCTGGCATTAAGTTGATTTTGCAATAAGGGGACGGCTATATTTGCCCAATGTGCCTTCATATTTTCGTTTACTAATACACGCTTTTCAGAATTCGAACTTTACTGCATCCCTCTGATGTGCGGTTACAATGCCGCCATAGATAAATTGTTTACAGTCTTACTCTTCAGTCACTTTTTATCCTCCGCCGTTTGATGATTGACCGCCACGGTAATCTCCGCGGTATTAAGAGTAGGGGAAAAAATTAGAATTAGGTAAAATACTCAGGAGTGTATGAATAGATAGAAGAATTGACTGATTTATGATTCATGACTTATCGCCCAAGAAATTTCATTCAGCTCGCTTAATTGTCTTTATAAATCGCAGACAGAAAAAATGCTGTGAATAAAACTTCAGGATTTGTGCCTCTGAGTGTCTTTTATGTTATCAAAAGATTGTTTCCTTCGTTTTACTTCGCTAATGCTGCACTTGTCTTTCAGTACGAATATTCTTAACGCCAAATACCACGAATAACTATCGCTAGGATGAATAATTTGGGTGTGGTGTATCATGCAGCTGTTGTTGAGTTTTTATACTTTTCATGCAAGTGCTTTGCATCTTTTCCAATAACATCAAGTTCATGCAGATTCCATTTTCACGTAAATACATATGATTAGCCCACTTTTAGTACTCATTGCCAGTCCGATCAACTGCTGCGAATATTGAAAATTCGCTTTGAAACATCCTCAAAATCAAGTGAACTTTTTTATTTCTTTCTCCTCGGGATTTTTCTTCTCATAATTCTATACACTATATGATCTCGGTGAAAAAAAAGTAATAATTTTTACGAAATACCGGCAACTTTATGTTTATTTACACACGAAAATTTCTTCCGAATGGATTTCAAAGGTTTTTCTCTTCGTCAGCCACCATGTTTACAGCACACTCAGCATAGATTTAAAAATTTATTTTGAGAATTATTATTGGTGTGTGTATATGGCATACAGTAGGTATAACTTGAAAATGAATCTCAAGTTTTTTTTTCACTCATAAAAGCTCTAATGCTTCCCAACACGCTAAAGCGAATAAAAGTGTATACTTGAGAACAAGAATCACTGATTTCTTTTTGATGAATACTTATATGTATTCACTGGCTTAACTTTCAATTCCCTCTTTCACCATTTGCTTACGAAATGCGAGATCATATGTTTATAGAGGATGTTTTATCCATTTACATGTAGTCTTGGAATCACTCTCATTGCCCTTGAAAATCTTTTTCGGTGACTTTAGGGCTCATGGCGCCCTTCTGGAGTAATTGCCATTTACAGTATTGACTTTTTTTTCTATCCCAATAAATATGCGAAGTGTTAGTACTGGGCAATAATCATAAATTGTATATTTACACTATCAATATATGTATTAATTTTTTCCGACTCGGAGACACCGACAAAGAGTTTTTATTACAACGCCTCGTCCCCATTATCAAAGTGTGAAGATAACAAATGCAAAGAAACACTCAGCATGTGAGAATTAAATTGAGTGACAAACATCGTAATGCACATAGGTGGGAATATGATACTGTATGCGAAACGTCTGTGAAGGTTGCCGTACATACATAACATACACGAATATATAGTATAGAGTGGTAAAAGATATACCAAAATGTGTGATAAATAACACATTTGCCATTTAGCACCATTATTGTTGCTCGTCATTTACAACGTTCTGTCCGTTTGACTTTCGCGGTGAAAAAAAGGCGACTTTCAACTGAGCTTCCCACTGTAAAAGATGAATACTGGCTGGATTTTTCTCTGCACTTCAATAGGCGGCATCGTCTTGTGACAAGATAATTAAATTTAAGTGTTAAAAGAGACCATCGCGTCACTCAAAGTGCTTGCCGAAGGCACACACGCATATTCCACAGCTCTTCTGCAATCGCGGCTCAAGAAAGTCGATGTCGCCAAACAGAGTTAGGCATACATAACTGAGAATAGCGCATGTCCTTAGCTATTCACTCATGCCCATATATTGGATTTTCACTCGGTGGCTTCTTGAATTGGGCGTGAAAATGTGGCGTGGAAAAACTTCCGCAATGCCCACATGTGCCATTTCTGCTCCGGGAAAAACATCAAAGAGCTTTTCCCTCCTTATTCATTCTCTTTCTGTACACAAAACGGCAGGGGAAGTTATTCTCTCCGTGGTATTACGGTACGGGTGAGAAAAAGGAATAATCGTATATTTAGGAGATGAATAACAACAAAAAGAGACAGACTTAATGGAGATGAGTTCAAAGACATCCGCGTTGTATTTTAATAACAAAACAGCACCGAAGAGACCTTTTTTTCTCTTTCCACTACCTCGAGGAAAGAGAGGAGAAAACCAACCGATTCTTAAGCCGCGGCACTTAATGTTTTGTGGTGTAATTTTAGTGCGTATGACTTCATTACCAGAAATTCATCCGGGTGTGTGTGGAAATTACAAATAAATAACGAAGAGGGGGGGAAAAGGAGAGGCGTCGTGCTTAGGGAGCATCTCGGGAAGATTATGTACAGGCATCTATGATTCTCTCATGCTAGCCCGAGATGAAAAGCCTTAATTTCGCGTAATTGACCGTCTGAGGTGATTTTAATGCCTTTATAATAATTTGTATCGAACACCATCGCCCATGCGGGCGTCATCATCATTATACGTAATCTTTGGCTTCTTCTTTGTCGTCTTCGGCAGTTGTGTCTTAGTCTCTCCACATATTCGCTGATGGAAGTCAGGCCCGTATTGGAGTCCACAAGAGCGCGTGTGAAATTTTGCAACAATAAATCGCATTTCTAAAGTTATGCCACAATTCTATTTGATATAAAAACTATTTTACACAGTGAAGCCAATTCGAGGTAAAGAAATGCTGTATGGGTTTTGATTACATTTCTGGCGTATTTTTAAGTTTCCCATCTTCTTTTTTCAACCTCGATTATCGTCATTATTGTTATTGACGGTGCCGTGAATACGTTCCTCGGCATTTTATGATAAAACCACCTCTCTCGTCCACCTTTTCTTGTCTCTCACTCTTCTGTATCACCTCAGCGAGAGCACCTCAAGTCGAGGAAGAAGCCAGAAGATATACACAGGTATATAAAGGTGCTGTTGTAATTTTCATTCCGAAACACAACTGAGAAGAAACCGGCTTCAAATAATACCTAATAACAAAATGCATATAAATTACATGTCTGTGTTCTGCGGCCAAGTCCGCCCATTAAGCCGTATCATCATCTTTCCGTGGTGCTTTGCGCGCCTCAAGAGAGAGTCACTCTCTCTGTACGCGGAGCAGGAATGAGCAAAATATCAAAGCACATGGATTATACGTGTACCTGTGGCATAGATACATGCACACATCTCGAGGTGATATAATGGTGTACATAATGTCAGGGATTAGGAACATTTTATTGCGGTTAATTGTGAAAAATTACATATTCCCTCATTATTTCCGATTACGCACAAACACCGCGAGGTGATCAAGGGATCTCGACTTGATGGGGCGCGCACGGTGGAAAGGAAAGAGCCGAGATGTGTGCGATATTTCGTATTTACTAATTGAATTTATCAGTGGCGAGGCGCAACAAAAAAGTCGGCAACATCTGAAAATGAAGTCAAAGAAGAGGAAAATATATTTATTTCATGGCGTCAATCGAAATATCTGCGCTTAAAATGCTTTTAACTGTAATTATCTAGTGTGTTGATACACACATTCGGCAGGAGAATTCTCTCTAGAGGACCATTAAGATTAGGAGAAAAAAGCAAGAAGAGGTTTTTGGTCAAAATGTTGTTTATCTTCATTATTCAACTTTTTCTCTCTTTTCCTCTTCACACAGCTTTAGAGGTGCTTCGAAAATATACATTTGCAAAAGCTTTTTTCCAACCATTTTCAGATGGGCTTCATAAATATGTATGATATTAATTACAGCATGTGTAATAGACAGTAAAATGCACTTTGTTGCAATTTATGAGACTCTTTAAGAGGCGTGTTTATAAAATCAAAAACACATAAAAGCACAAATGTATTTTTCATTAAAAATTTTAAGTGCAGTGTTTTCCTCTCAGCTTATTTAGATATGCTAAAGAATACAGTACTAAGTATAGCAGATGAAGTAAACAGTCATCGTGCGAAATGATATCCAGAAAGCAAAATCATGTCTTTCAAACTTTTGCCCAATGTCTCGTTTGTATCTCTTTTCCATTCTCCTTACTTTATTTTTCAGTTTGCTTTTTATCTCAAAACTGTGGTCACATCTTAAATAATTCCGTGCAAAATTTAATCGCGACTGAGCTCCATTTCTAGACATTGTGCTTCTCTTTTCCAAAAGTCGCCCCAGACAAAAAATCCATCAACTTGACATGAGTCCGTCGCCGATCCTCTGATTGTTTTTATGCTAACGTCTTCTTGACTTCTGCGCTGAGCATTAAAAAAACATGGAAAAGAGGATCAAGCACGGAGACTGAAACAAAGGAGTGACTTTGCGAAAATGCTCTTCGATTGCAATTTAAAGTGGAATGACAAAAAACAGTTGACGAAAATAAGGGGAAATTTTTCGAATAGCGCACTTTTCCCAGCAACTCCTTCTGATATAATTTTCGGCATGTCTTTATGATAAAAAATTGGTTTTTCTCTCTGACAACAATTAGAGAAGAATTCTTTGGGTCACCGCGCCAAATTATTGCCGACCAGCGCGGCGAATGAGATTTGTACGTGCCAAAAAAGATGAGAAAAATATTTGTCATAAAGCAAAAGAGAATGAACGGAGAATTGCGGGTAAAGAATGACGACAAGCGGTGAAGGAAAAAATTGTCAACCCCTTTTGAAATGCCATCAAAATAATTATGTGCATTTCATTGCACCGTGTCTTGTTGTGTCTGCCATAAGAAGACGATATCGCGCTTGGTCGTCCTCAAGCGGGAGCTCATATTGAGTTGGATGGTGGAAAAAAGTTGGTGATGGAACAAAAGAATTGGTGGAACAGGGACAATTTATAATCCACAAGATACCTCAACGTCGAAATATAAAAGAACGATAATTGCCAGCATTTATTGCTTCTTTTCCCCGGGAAAACACTCAAAATTGCAATCATCATTAGTATAAGTGCTTGTGCGTCTTCTTGTACATTTTAAGAATCCCGCTCCAGTTAGTTGAGATTCGCCAAATTGCTCTGATTGTCCTCGAATGTACGAAATTGTATGAAGACAAATAAATATGTGGTCGCTGCACCGGCCATCTGTCAATGAGAATGAATGAAGAAGCTGATTATTATTATTATTATTCAGCTACTTTGCACTCTGAACCTACAGTATACAGAAGTGTGTTGTCAATGGGAAAGAAATTGCTGGCTGAATAGTTATCGTCGTAGTGTTGCAATCTCAAGGAGAAATTTTCAACAATATCCATTGTGTCCTTATTATTCATTCCATCTATGAACAATAAGCGCTTGCATCTCTTCATTTCATTTGCCGTTGCATATCCAATGTTGGACACAATGATCAGTTTCAACATATTCGGCCCAAACCAGAGGATCATTCCGGCAATCTTAAACGCGGCCGTAGCCGCGTCCAATTCGCTCACAATCCAAATTACCATAAACAGTTGAGATGCTGTTAATGTGAAATCGTGTGTGGACGTGAATAGATTTACTGGACCGAAAATCACATTCAAAATTTCATTGCTTTTCTGCAGTTTCTTATAAATGTCCGTAATCAGTAAGTAGTGTTCTTCCGAATTGAAATACATGGAATTCTTGACCACGTACTGACGAAGGACTTCAAAACGCATTCTCACTATATTTGCATACTGCACAAATGCAAAATTAGCAAATCTCGCCACAGTCACTTGATAGTTGTACAGGAGAATTATCAAGAACTTCTGAAGATTTAGTTGATAACTGTAGGCGATAAACTGCGATCCGTACTCCAAACCGATGTGATAAAATAGGAAGATGAGCAGAAATGCTGCTCTTCTCCTTCTATACTTCTTATACTCCAGCGACAAGTTGAGTTTATCAATGATGATTTTGTCTATTGAATTTATGTTGTTCAAAAACTCTATTTGATTCTCTCGCTGGATGTACATTGTGAGAAGGACAGTAGCGAAGACGACAAGAGTAACTCCCATCTCGAAGACGCCAATCACTGTTGATAGTCGACTCTGACGAGCCAGAATCGGATTATTCATGGAAAACATGTTTTCCTTAATCAAAATATCAATTCCGGTGAAGTAGAGCACGCAGATGACCACAATTTGGATGATTCCGTAGAGCATGTACCACTTTGAGTGAGAGACACTCGAATCGTCATTAACTTTAAATGGTGAAACCAACATGATTCTCTGAATCAAGAAATTAACGCTCAGGGACTTGAAGAGATCCATCACTTCCCAAATGTTGATTGCGTAGTCTCTTCACGCTTGCAACCTTTACGTTCCCTTTTTATACGCGCCTCCGAATAATTTGTCTCTAACTAATGACAATGATCAAATTGATTGAGACCTGAGATTATACAGGAAAAAGATATTTCATCAGTGAATAATTTAAAATGTGAGTGTATCAATGAAATTGATTTAAATATTTCATGTCTGTCTTGTCACAATTCATTGATGAATCAATAAAACGTGAAAGTCCACTTCAAATTGACATAAAACGCTCATTAACCCAGTAAACGTCTTGGCGTGCAAAGGCCTAGCAATAAATAGCTAATAAAATGCCATATTGAACATGGGCGTAGCCTACGTTTTTTAACTGGGTCTAAAATGGTTTTCTTGAAGATTCTAAATATAAACTTATTGCTTTGAGGGTGTAGACAATTTATTCCAGCTACGCCTGTGCATTGAGACAAATTTTTGATAAGGCATGCTTCCACCAATTCTGATTCCATTCTCAAAATCTCGCACAGTTGAAGTGCAGAAACAATCTGCACGACTTGAGAAGAGGCAGAGGAAAGAATTCCGCGGAGAAACAACAATAAATGCGATAATTTAGTAGAGAAATGCGTTGCGATCAAAAGATTCTCGAAGCGAAGTCAGTCAAAATTTTTATAAAAGACATCAATCGCCAAGTCACCGCGCAAATAATTCATCGTGCTTTTTTCTCGATCGCCATCCGGCCGTATAGACGTCCATGCGAATCCCTTTGGCCACTTTTTGCTGGATTCTTCTTGTGCACATCTCAAGAATTATTCCTATACTCTCTATACCACACACTTCTTTCGCGAGACAAACGATGAAACGTGATGTGAGACTTGAAGACGGAGAATATGACATCGGTGAAAAGGCAACTCCGCAAACTCACAATATATATATATATATATATAAGCAACACCAATGTATTTCAGAAAAGACTATAAATGTATCAAGAGCATTTACAATGCCTACACATTGTTTGAGATTCGCTTGTCTTGAGCCATATCTCATGGCGATGAAACGAAAAAGTGGCTCTGATTTCTTTCCTTTTCAGCAGACCGATTTTCTTTTCTAATTATCTCCATCATTTTTTCCACTTGCAGATGACCGAATTGGAGCCAATATTGGAATCCAGATGCTCAAAGCAGGCAAAATTCCTCTTCTGTGCCACAATGTTTCCGCTCTGCTCACCGGAAGTGCCTCGTCCAGTTCCAGCTTGCAGGAATCTCTGTGAAACTGTGAGGAGCGACTGTTCCGAGATCCCTGGAGTGTGGCCAAAATTCCTGGACTGTGACAGTTTACCGCAGCCCGGAAACAACGAACTTTGCATGCAGGTAATGCAATCACTCTCAAAATCTGATCCTTCTTTATAACTTCTGGTGAAGCATTAGTGAAATTCCTGAGGCAATTTCAGGTGAAAACGCAAAGAATGCATTGAGTGCGGAATTACACTTAATGGTTCAACTCACAATCATCATTTAGTGGGCTTTCAGCCTCACAGCGATGATTCTTTCGATTCTTACACCTTATAAAATTACAGACAGTAAAAGCTATGTGCTTTTCTGATGCCCTTTGCAGATTCCGCAAGATCGTGATGTGGAGCAGCCACCGTCTTCGCACCAGGCACCAAATTTGTGGCCATGGCTGAATCTGAAGATGCCCAGCACTCATCTCTTCAAGTTGCCCTCAGTAGCGACATGTCCCGTGAACTTTACGCTCTCGTTGGACGAGTGCGTGCCACTCTGCCGTGCCGATGCCATGTTCACGACTCGCCAGAAGAAGGCGGCTGAGACATGGATTCTGGTTTTGGCGGCAATTTGCTTCCTCTTCACGCTGTTCTCTCTGGTCACTTTCTGGACGGAGACCACGAGATTCGGCTTCCCGGAGCGGCCGGTGCTCTTCCTCACGCTGTGCTACAACCTCCTCAGCATCTGCTACCTCGAGAGAATCGTCTTCCACAACCGCGGTCTCGAGATCTTCGACGGGGACGTGAGCAGCAGTGTGTGCGAGGTGAATCCGCCTTGTCTCGCCTCGTACATCACCACGAGTTACTTGACTCTGAGCGCTGCCTCGTGGTGGCTCATTTTCGGCCTGTGCTGGTATCTCAGCACGGAGAAACAGTGGTCTTCAGAGGCACTGGAGCGCAAGTCTGGCGTGTTCCATGTGCTGGCATGGGTACCACCCTTGGCTCCGCCGATTGCCGCTCTTCTCTGGGGCGCTGTGCGGCCGCACGAGCTCACAGGCATGTGCACGGCTCCGGGCTTCACGGAGATTCCCGCTCTCGTGCTCCTCCTCATGGGCACAGTGCTGATCATCCTATCGGCGGTGTCACTCCACAGGCTGCAACACTCGTGCCACTACGAGAAGCTGCAGCAAATGATGACACGCATCCTCATCTTCGGAGGCGTGTACTTCTTGCCCGCCACACTGGCCGTTGTGCTGGCATTCTTTGAGCAACGTGAGCCTCCTGTGAAAATCTGCCAGCCAGGCGACGCCTGCGCCCCACCCGAGAAGGCTTCGGCCGCCGTGAGCCTCACTCGGCTCTTCTTCATCCTGTTCGGCGGGTCACTGACTGGCATTTGGGTATGGTCGCGGAAGACGTGCAACTCATGCCGGAGTCGCATCTCAGCTACTCCGGCGCCCTCCTGCGTGGTCATCAAATCTACCACGGCATCGTCATTACCAAAATACAAGTCCAAGCACGGATCAATAGCATCGGCCAGTGTGACGGCACCTTTGTTCTCTGTGCCACACCAAACCGCCTCAATTAGTGTTCATTCGCGTGTTTAGAACGCCATCAAGGGGTGTCCGTTGATATATGGAGAACGTGAGAGAGAGAAATGTGTGAATTGCGCCCAATTGTGTAAATTGTTGTATGCCAATACTCTGAGGTTGAAGTGAATGCTCAGGAGATTTCTTATCACTTCATTAGAGTGGTGCATATGGACTACAAAAACAGTGATTTTTATATGTATAAATAAAGATGAACCGATAGTGAAGCAAGATGAAACTGACACAGAAGTGAAGGGAAATGTGAATATTAGTTATGTAGAGGGAAGAGAATCATGCAAATGAGACATTCATTTGTATTCTTTTCGACAGTACACTTAATAATATAAATTTGGTGAATATATAATATATTCTTGAAAGTCCCAAATAATATACTACAAAGTACAGTATTTGCGTACTTGCGAGAATACGAAATTTTTCGTCAGACGAAGCTTTAATTAATATTTATTTATTTGATGAATTATTGTTAATTTCTTTTATATATTCGCAACTGATGATACTTGATGTAAATATCGACACCATGTGAATTTTTGCTGTATAGTCTTTAAGTGAGAAATGGAGAGAAAAAATGATCGAGAAATTCTATGAATACAGAGAGTCATGCAAAATGAATGAAGCCCAGACTTTTCATTATATCGTCCTTTATGTTGCGAACACCCTGGCTGAATTCCATGGACTGCGAGACTCGAGAAATCATCTTCAGAGCCATGCGGTGTGGTAATTAGTGCCTCTCGAATAGGTGCCCTTTTATCCCACATCCGTAACGCCCCGATGATTTTTTCTAGGGAAATTGGAGATCACTTCTTTAGGTTAATAATCGAAAGAGATACGATGCCGATAGTGATTCAGCTCTTCTCAAAATGCTGTAATCTGAGTTGATGGCGTCATAGATCATCATCGGAAAGAGAACAGGTAAAATATCTGCGATAAAGACTTCACTTTGTTGTTTGGACTCGATGTTTATGAACTTTGTTTCCAAATAATAATAATGAAATTATTTGAAAATTCAAATTCCCATCAAGCTTAAAAAAAATGAAAATTAACGTAGGTTCCAATGTTATTTATCTATCGTCAGAACAAATCCAACTCAATCTATTCTGACTTTCGAGTGTATTTTCCATGGGTGAAGAAACACTTTTCGTACTTTGAGAATCTCTGGGTCAGGTGCTTCTCCTCTTCTCTCTCTCTCGCTCTGATGAATGGCCCACGATGAGGCCACTGAGAGAAGAATGGTACAAGAAGGAAACAAGAAATTTGCCTCACAGGCTCAACCGACACTTGTTTTATTTGTTCGCCTTTTTCTCATCTTTTCCACCGAACATAGATGTTTGATGCCTTTGTGTTGCACATCTCTTCTTCTCGCCACCATCAATTTCGGGCACACTCTTTTTTCCACTCGCACGTTATGCTCTCCCAGAATTATGCACGCATGAATTCTCACTTCATGGTTGATCCTCTCTGCTCATGTTCGCTATGATGCTGCAGAGTTGCCCTTCAATGTCAATTTTCACCGGAATAATGGCCAATGTGCCTCTCCTGATGAGAGATTTTGAGGCATGTCGTCTGTTGTGCGGCCAGAAGAATAGGAGGACAATAGTGTGCCGAGGCTTGCAGAAATCTGGAGGATCGGCTCTCTCTCTAGAGAGTGTGCATGTCATTTTGCCACCCACAATGAAGATCTCACGAGCCGCACTATCGCGATGGTTTTCATCAAAAGGAGCGCATCACTCTCACATAGGGAAAGATAAATACACCTCCCACGGACAAGATCGGCTCTTCAGTCGCCTCGCGCTTCTCCCGATTCATTATTGCTTATTTTCCCAACTCGCCGTGGTAAGAAAAACAAAACATAACATAATTGCGGTAGGTGTCCAACCAATTACTAAATAATTACCGCCGTAATTTCACCATAATTACAAGTTTCAGGCACAAAGATGCGATCAGTGCCTCATAGAGTGGCACAAGAACACGATGCATTAAGGTTTTATTGCTCACCACACCCTTTGCATCTCAAATGTTGCGCGTTCCTCAATCTCATTTGACCAAAGTGTATCATTTAGTAAAATAAATTTTGGGAACCTTATAGAAATTCTGTCTCACACACATCTTTTGATGTGCACACAAATTTATTCATGTACAACAGATTTGTTACAAATTGTCAAACATATTGGAAATTGCATGAGGATCGCCGCATTTCTCAGAAACTAAAAATAAATAGATTCAACATTCTTCCAGGAAAGAATTTGCAATAAAAATTATAAGTCAGGAATATGGGAATATAATGTTGGGCCTGCCTTCCACCTTCGGGTCTCTGCACAATGCCTCACAAGCGGCGTAGAGGTAAATTTTCGTCTATTTGGAATGTTGTCTAGAGGTGTGATTTTCGACAGATTCCTCTATAAATTATTTTTTTATCAACACCATAATATATGGATATAAAAGAAGACATGCGTATGAATATTTCAACATTGTTCCCGCGCGAGGAGAAGAAAGCACGAGAGAAAATAAAACGGAAAAATGTAGTTTATAATTTTTGCTGATGTGAGGTATAAAATTTTAGTTATTTGGCCGTGCATCTCGTGAGGCCTCTTCCAGCACCTAAACCCGTCTCCACTGGGCTCTGGTAAAATTACAGTAAATTCAGTTGAAAATGACGGAGCAAGAGGAACAAAAAAGCTGTGAAAATGAAACGTGAAAAAATATGAGTGGCGAGGCGAGATACATAATGAAATAATATGGATATAATACACCATGGCTACAAGAAAAACGAAGAGCACCATTATAAAAGACTGTAATGACTGCAAGATGAAAGGTGCCGCCGCTGATGATGTCTTATTGCCTTTATTTAATAAATACAAAAAAAGAGCGGAGGTAAGGGAAGAAACAAAAGAAATGCCTTTGGTATAGAAATAAATGAAGAGTGAATTAAATTGCATTAAAAAAACATTGGTGGGACGGACAGAAATTCAAAATTGTTTATTTTGTTTGCATCTCTCTCCTCTTATTGATTATTGCATGTACTGCAGTGTAATGTATATGGCCACAATCACATATCAAAATTACGTGCAATTTTGTGGACAGATTTTGTCATAGACTTTCTTAGACAGGAATAGAATAGAATTTTTCTAAAGTATAAATTTGATGTTTTTAAGATATTCAAGTGTCTCTACTTTAAAAAAAAGAGAATAGAAACTAGAATTGATTTTTTCAATTTCTTTTGGAACCAGAAAAATATTAGCTTAAATCTCTAAATATTTGATTTCAAAATGATAACATTAAAGAAAACAAAAGGAAAGTCTTTTAATATAATTTTACAGATTTGAAACAAGACACGACTTTTCAAATTTTTCTCATTATTCTGTGAATTTTCCAGGTTCTTCTGTACATGAAAAATACATTATCATATAATTTCTGTGACCCGATAAAGACCATTTAACAGCCTCTTTCGTGTCTCTCTCATTTCTCTCTCTTTCTCTCACTCTCCCAAAAGAGCCGCACGTAAACAAAAGCCGGCCATGTTTTTATTTGGCGATTGACAGTCGGGCGCGTCTGTAGATTCATCTGCAATTCGCGATGTCTGGGGCAGTAATTGAGAACCTGAGTGGCCGGAAGTTGACAGTGATTGTGGCCGGGCTGCTGGTGTGCCAAGTAGTGTGTTTCCTGATCGGCGGTTTGATTGCACCGCTACCTAGCAATGTGCAAAGTATCCTGGCCACGGTGTGCTTGGACGACGTGGACGCCTTCAATGACACCTCCAAGTGGCTCTGGACACAGAGTGAGGGCTCCTGTCGCACCGTAGCCAACAGCGAGAACGGCGTGAGCCTCCGGAATACCCAGAGAGCGGTGTTCGTCTTCCAGATGCCCATGTACGATTTCGACTTCTCGCGCTGGCAGCAGAGTCTGATCGGGATGCTTCAGCTGGATCTAAAACTCGCTCCCAATGCACTGCCCGTGGGAACTGTTCCTATTACGCTGGACGCCAGGCTGGCGTACTCCAACAAGGGCTCACCTGGATGGCATCGCCTCGCAACCGCGGTGGAAGTGAGGCACTTGGAGTGTGAGACAACGGCTCCGCACCTGGTTAATTGCCATCCGATGGCGCTCTTTGAGCTTGGGTCACTCCACCACGACTACTATCTTCTCAACCTGCGCCTGCCCGTGGACACCGCCCGACATTTGAATCTGGACGTTGAGGAAGTCATTGCGGCCTCACTGACGACGATCTTCCAGAATGGAGGTTTCACAAAGGTGTATTTCCCCCATTTTTCCTCACCAAAAGACCACTGAAGATGATATTATCTTACAGGTGTGGATCTCGCTGAAGTGTGCTTTCGCTCCCATCACTGCTGCTATGATGATTTGGTTTTGGCATCGTGTGGCGCTGCTGAAACGCCGTCCGGTGCTCCTGGAGTGGATGCTGTTGGCTCTGGCAGGAGCGATCACTTTCCTCAATCTTCCCGTTGAACTGCTGACTCTGTCCATCGATATGCCCTTCATGCTCTTGCTGGCGGACGTGCGACAGGGCGTTTTCTATGCCACCCTGCTCTGCTTCTGGCTCATCTTCGCCGGAGAGCACCTGATGATCCAGGAGACACAGCGCTCCACCCTTCGCACGTATTGGCGCCACCTGAGCGCTGTTCTTGTGGCGTGTGTGGCTCTCTTCGCCTTCGACATGTGCGAACGCGGCGTGAAGCTGCGGAACCCTTTCTACTCCGTCTGGACGGCTCCCTGGAGTTCTACCGTGGCGTCCGTTTGCATCACCGTGGCCGCCGTGTCGGCTGCCATTTACTTCCTCTTCCTCTGCTTCATGGTTTACCGCGTAATGCGCAATATTGGAGCCAAGCGGGGCAGCCTGTCCACCATGTCAGCAGCCAGGCGACTTCGCTACGCGGGCATCATTTATCGCTTCCAATTCCTCATGCTGGCCACCGTCGTTTGCGCCGCCCTGACCGTCATCGGCTTCATCATGGGCCAAGTGGACGAGCAGAAGCTCAAGTGGTCCGAAAACGGCTCGACCATCGAAGTGAACTCGGCCTTCCTCACCGGAGTCTACGGCATGTGGAATGTGTACATTATCGCTCTGCTGGCTCTCTATGCGCCCAGCCACAAAAAGACACCCGAGGAGCGTCCGGCGCCGCAGGAGGAGATCGAGTTCAGCAACTTCCCCGCTGAATCCAATCCCAGCGAAATCTCCTCACTCACTTCCTTCTCTCGCAAGGCGGCCTTTGACTAGGCCATCCGCAGACTCTCTCAGCTTTTCAATGTACTTCAGTATTGATGTCAGCATTTAGTAATTTATGTCTCAGTATTTTACACTATACTAATAAATGTGCCAAATAATTGAATTTCATCTCGTCACATTACTTTCTGCTGCTGCAAAATCAACGCAAAATGTGAATGAAATAAAAATGATTAAAAATTCTCAGTCAAAAGACTGAGCGATTTGCTGTGCTGTTTCCGCTGAAAATATTAAGATTCTGCATTTTTCAATGAAAATCTATGTAAGAAATATAAAAAAAATTTCTTCAATTTGCAAGAAAATGTACCAAATAGTCGGATTTCTTCACGATACAATATATTTTGCTGCAGATAAAATAGATAATGACATAACTATGTGGTCCTGAGCTGATAGTCGCCGTTCTGAGTGATGTAGCGCACCCAGGGCAGCGCCTGATAGCCACTCTTCTCGATGATCTTCAGATACCTCACTTGAATGCCGCTCGTCGTGAAGTAGGGTATCTCGAATTTCACCTGGATCGGAGGCCTTCCCTCGCTATCCTCACACTCCACACTCGGCAGGCCAAAGTGGGCGCGCATGAGATACTCCTTGCCGCCCGGAAAGCACTTCACCGTCCAGATGATGGCGCTCTGCTCCGGCGCGTACCGCACACTGCCGATGGTAGTCTTGAACTTTGGCGAGTCCGCATCGCCAGGCACTGGAATGATGATCTCCACGTTGTTGGCCGTGCTGCGACGCTTGAACTGCGACTTGGCCTTTATCATGTACTCCACCCGGCTGTGAGCGTGTCTCTCAATCACCGACTCGATCCAGATCAGCGGCTTCACGTGCGTGTTCAGCCGATAGGACATCAACTCAAATTCGCCATCTGGCGGGATGAAGGAAATCGTGCGATCGTTCTCGAAGCGCGACAGTCGGACGCACTGATGGAACTTCACGTCTTCCAGCTCAACCGACTTGGATTTGCCGCGTCCAGTGCTCTCGAAGAGGACCTTGTCATTCAGCCCCAGACGAAGCTCAGGCATTCCCGACAGGTACACCCTCATCTTGATGGCTCCCACAATTTCACTGCGCAGCACATTGCCGTTGGCATTGGCCAGGAGGTTCACGCTCTCAATGACATCCAGGAAGACCTCGTTCTTGCGATATTTGATGCCCTCCGAGCGCCACGACACAGCATTCGTCACTGCCATGGGGATTCGCGGCTGGATCTCCAGCTTGTGACCTTCCTGTGTGATGTACTCCTGCAGGATCTTGCTGTCCGTCGTCTGCGGATACCCAAAGTCGATGAGCTCATCCAGCAGTTCGTATATCACGACGAAATTATCCCGGATGCTCTCCTCTTCGAGCTCTTTGAAGTACTCCACAAACACCTGGACAATCTTGTGCAGGAACACAAAAACCAGGGCAATATTGGCATTCTTCCGTGTCGTGGACACAATGTACAGATTGTTGGTCTTGATGAAGGCGAATGTGCACTCTTGTGTCTGGATGATGGGCGAGATGAGGCCCTCCTCCTCCTTCTCCATCAGCAGTGGCATGAATTTATCAATAACCCCCATATCGATATCGCCCCGGTAGTTCCGGGAGATCAACACCTTTCCCTTCACGTCCAAGATGAAGATGGCTGATGACGACATGACGGGGGCGCTATTATTCACCTTTTTCCAACGTCCCAGAGAATTCACAAAACAAACACGTCACTGCACGAAGGTTATGTTGCGATGTCAGGTGAAAACTCACAGCATATGCTGTCAGGTGTGATTAATCATTCTTCCAAAATCACGCTAAATATTTTTTCTAGTCCTCTTCCATTGTACTGAAAGTCAATTTACAGATTTTTGGCCTTCCTTAGCAAATAAAAATATACATTTGTGTGGAAAAAATATTTATTGCACTTTGAAAATCGGCCAGAGTGAAGTTGATCACGAATATTTTATAGCACTCGCGAATGGTTGTCAAATGCCAATCCATCAGTTCTTGTGTGTGAATCTTGCTGTTCGCATTTTCTTTGCTTTTCTCTACGGAATTTACCCAAAATAAGCATTTGCAAACGTATAAATTGTGTATGAATAAATTCCACTTGCGATAAAGAAGGTAAATAGTGTGGATATCGTGGAAAATAGTGGTTTGGGCGTGTTTTACCTGGGATGCACAAGTCATCGTGGGCATTCGCCATGATCTGAGAATTTTATGCAAATATTTAGCAAATTAATGCATTTCGCTGCGTGAGCACCTGAAATTACTGCTCCCGAGACATTTTTCACGCGATGCACAATTGCAAAGTTGCATTTGTGTACGGGTGAAAAGTGAAAATGGGTGGTTTTCATTGTACTTAATCCATAACCTCAATACCATTATTCCCCTTTGTTTTTGCCCTACTTTTTTGTACTTTTTCCTACACTTTTCATTTATCTCGCTATTTTTGTAACTCTGCTGCGCCTTCATGGTGAATTTCAGTAGTCTTTTGTGCAGCTTGACGTCGTCTAATGTGTTGTTTGTTGCTTCCTTTTGCAGTGCTTCATTATCCGTGGAAATGGTGAAGAACAAAAGACAAGCTGACCCTGTGGTGGAGAATGACGGATCTACAACGGAGTCGTGCGATGAGAAGCAGATCAATAGCAACCAGAGTGGATCATCGTGTCCGCATGCAAACAAATCTGTTGATCAAAATCGCCTGCGGAAGTTGCTGAAGAGCAGCGGTCTGTCAGAGGATTGCAGCGAGTGCAGCAAGACGTCCAGTGCGAATTCCACTGCAGAGAATGAGCTCGAGTCTTGCTTTGAGTACGACTCGTCGCTCTGGATGTGTCTCAAGTGCGGCAGCCACTTGTGCGGTCGATCGCGGCGACAGCACGCCCTGAATCACTACACAACGCCCAGGTCTGACCAGCACGCTCTTGTGGTCAACACCACCACTTTTGTGGTGTGGTGTTATCTGTGCGATAACGAAGTGAATCCTTCCTGTCCAAAGAAGCTGTTCGATTGCGTGGACTTCCTGAAGAAGGAAACGGCAAAGGTGCAGAGCGCCAAGTTGAACAACATCGAGGACAAGATTGTCGCTGCCCTGGATCCAGTAAAGCCGCTGCTGAGTGAATTTGCCGACAACACCGTCACTTCGACTGCTTCCTCTTCGCCACAGAGCAAAGTGCCGTCCGGAACGAATTGCACTGTCAACGTAAACGACCTTCCGCGTGTTCGTGGTCTCAAGAATCTTGGGAACACTTGCTTCTTCAATGCCGTTCTCCAATGCCTCGCTCAAACGCCCTACTTAGCTGAAATACTCAAGGAATCCGCCGAACCTGGAGAACAGTAAGTAATCCAAACTAATAGCTGCCTTCAATGCAATTAAACTGATGATGTCTTTCAGATTCCAGCTCCCTGGCGGCCAGCTCAAGCTTACAGATGGAACTGAGGTGAATCTATTACCAATTTCGGGCACTCTCAATGCATGGGGCAATCTCACCTCCACTCTGGCCGAGACCATTGACGAACTGCGCGCTGGCGGCGGTGTTTACACGCCGCGGAAGCTTCTCAGTCAATTGATAGCCAAGTGGCCTCAATTCTCCGGCGGAGATCAGCACGATTCGCACGAGTTGCTGCGTCACCTGCTCGAGAGTGTTCGCAGCGAGGACTTGCGACGCTATCAATCGGTCATACTGCGTTCTCTCGGCTACAGCAGCAAAGTGGATCCGCAAACAGTGGAGGGTGATATGAAGCAGAAGATAAAATTCTACGGACAACAGGCGGCAGATCGGATTCTGAAGCCTGAGCGTGTCTTCCGAGGCTTCCTCGTGTCGACCCTCATGTGCCAAGACTGCTATCACACGTCATCGCGTCACGAGTATTTCCTCGACATTTCACTGCCGGTGAGCATGGAGAAGCCGCAGCCACCGATCAGGCGGAAGACCAGCCCTGAGCCTGAGCGCGTCCCCGCAATGTCCAAGAGTCGGGCGAAGAAGGAGCGCGAGAAGGAGCAGAAAGCGAAGCGTCAGAAGCGGAAGAAAGCGCAATCCTCCAGTCAAGAAGCTCCAGCAAATGACGATTCGAATGCAGAATCATCTTCCAATGAGCAATCTGATGCTGATGTCGAGGACAATTGTCAGGAGGATGTGCCGAAAGCATCCAATCAAGCATCACTTTATGATACGAATGGCAATGACACGGCAAAGAGTCCTGTGGATCCGGAAAAGTGTGATGACGCCCCGGAGAATCCCAACAAGGAGGAGACGGAGTCTGGGGATGTGACGAGGAGTGTTCTGGTGGAGGTGGGCATAAGTGAGGACGGCGCAAATAATCTGGTGAGGCAGAACAGCAAGACTGGCGCTGCGCCTGTGAATGAGATGAAGAACCTGTCCATCAATGCCAAGTGGAAGTACGAGGATGGCGATGAGGACGCCGAGGCGGACGGTGAGGATGAGAGTGTGTCGCTGAAGAGGAGACAAACACGCACGCGAACGTACAGTCATGCGGACTGGAACACGACACTGGCCACGAGATATCAATGCGAAGACGGGGAGTGTTCTGTGCAATCGTGCATGAATAATTTCACGGCACTGGAATTGATGACGGGCAACAACAAGGTGGGATGCGATGCGTGCACTGAGCGACTGAATGGGAAGGGTGGCAAGACCATCAACACGAATGCAACGAAGCAATTCCTCATCTCCAGTCCGCCGGCAGTGATGATTCTTCACCTCAAGCGCTTCCAAATTGGACCACGATACATGTCTCGCAAGCTGTGCAAGCCCGTCACCTTCCCCACTGTCCTGGACATCGCTCCTTTCTGCGGATCGAAGGTGAAGAACCTGCCGAACGTGGACAGGCGGCAGAAGAAGCTCATGTACTCCCTGTACGGCATCGTGGAGCACTCGGGCGGCATGCGCGAGGGGCACTACATTGCCTACGTGAAGGTGAGGCCCCAGATGACGCTCGAAGACTACCGCTGGAAATTCCCGCCGCAGGGCAGCAAGGCGGAACTGGACCAGGAGGACGAGGAGAGAGTGCGCCTGGAGGAGTCGCTGGAGAAGAGCAAATTCGGTCTGGATGACAGTGACGACTCGTCGTCAACATCGGCTGACACGGGCATTGGCGAGGAGGAGGGAGCTGTGGGCGGCAGCGAAGAGCCGGACGTGGAGCCACCGCCCGGAAAGTGGTACTTCGTGTCTGATAGTTGCGTTAAGGAAGTGTCTGAAGATGTCGCCCTCAAATCCCAAGCCTATTTATTATTCTACGAGCGCATCTATTAAGCTGTAATATTTCCATCTCTATATAATAATGCAATGGCAAATCTTCAAGATCTTTGATGATTTTGTGTACAATTTAATCACACCTTCGATTCAACTCCTGTTTGAGAATGTTTCGCCAACAAGATTCGCGCTGTTGAAAATTTTATTGCGTGTATGCAAATGAAAATAAAAATTATGCTGATAAAAATAAAGCGTGATTGAAGAACCCTAAAATCAATTTATGCATTTATGATCTTCGATACCGAAATCCATGATGATTTTCTTTATAGCTAAATCTCTGATTCCGTTGGACTCCCAGATTTGAATTGCCTCAATTGACATTTCAACCAACGCCATGTTGGTATAGATTTTTTCCAACAAACTTTTACTACAAATTTCACTATTTATTTTTGGAGGGATTTCGCAGAGCCCAAAGTTTCAGTTGCTGCTCCAATTACCCGTGAGAATGTTGACCATAAGAATTGATATGGAAATGTGTCGAGTGTGTCTCAGAGCGGGCATTGGAACGACGCCCTTATTCGGGAGCATTACTGAGAAATTCCAGGAAGTCACTGGACTGTCGGTGAGTGGATTTCCTCTTAATGGCACACTTTTCCTGACTATTGTCACTCTCTCTCTCTTCCAGGCCAATTCAGAGAATGGTCTGCCAAACGCATTGTGCGCAAAATGCCTAGGAAGACTCAAGTTGGCTCACAACTTCCGGAAGCAGAGCATTGAGTCTGAGAATCACCTGCATGACTTCATTGCTCAGGTCAATAGGGAGTTTCAGTACAAAATACCAGCGCCTGAGGAGGAGAACTCAAACAAGAGCACGGACATTGGGATGGAAATGTTAATAGAAAGTGAATCTGAGACTGAAGAGGTGGAAAGTGGATCGAACAACGTGGAAGAGTGTGAAAAAGACACTGTAGAATTGGTGGAATACGAGTTTTCCATCAAGGATATCATCCAGGACAATCTGCAAGAATCACAAATCTCGATGAAGGATGAATGTATGGAGATTGAAGAGTTGGACGAGGAGATCATAGAGAAGATCATCGAAGAAGATCCCGTTTCAAGTTATGATGAAGTTGACGACGCCAACAGCCAAGAAAGCAATCTGACTCCCACAAAGCTGAAGAGACGAGACAACTTCAGTCTGGAAAGTCACTATTGCGTGCAGTGTGACAAAGATTTCAGCACGAGAACTAATCTTCATCGTCACGTGCAGACGCACAATGGCCAAAAGCCTTTTGTCTGCTCCGTCTGCGGCAATGGATTCACACAGAAAGGCTCCCTGAAGCAGCACATGCACCTGCACACCGGCGAGCGACCCTTCAAGTGCTCCCACTGCGACCGATCCTTCACACAGGCCAAGACCCTAGTCAATCACACCAGGCGCCACACCGGCGAGAAGCCCTTCACCTGCACCGAATGCGGAGTGAACTTCCGCCAGAAGGACGGCCTCAAGCGACACATGCTGCGCCACCTGGACACGCCGCAGAAGGTCTTCCAGTGCACCGTGTGCGAACGGCAGCTCCTCTCCAAGTACAGCTTTGAAAATCACATGCGCAAACATCTGGACAGTGACCAGAAAGTCATCACTGGCGGACAGAAGTTCAACTGCACCGAATGCTCACGCAGCTTCTTCTCTCAGAAGACCCTGGAAGCCCACCAGCGCGCCCACGCTGGCGAGGCTCCCTTCAAGTGCACCTATGACGACTGCGAAGCAGCCTTCGTGCGCCACTCCGGCCTCAAAACACATCTCAAGCGACACGAGATCGTCGCCAAGAGCACTGCGGAAATCCCTGCAGAAGCTGAAGACAATGCCATTTCCTACGTAGAGGAATGCGTTGACTTTCCCAACAAATTCCCCTGCAATCGATGTTCCAAAGTCTTCACCCTAAAGTGAGTTGGGCAAATCATAGCGAATTTCCAATCTAATCAGTCTCTCTATTCAACAGACGAAGTCTTCTCACGCACCTGAAGAATCACAATTTGGCCAATTCGTATGTCTTCAAGTGCGACGACTGCAAGATTGGTTTCACCTCCAAACGAAGTCTGAAGCTTCACCGCAAGAATCACCACCAAGAAGTGGTTCTGGATCTCAACACTTGCGAATGCGGTGTGGACTTTGTGAGTTACGTGGATCTTGTCAATCACATCAACCAAACCCACGACGAAATAGACGACAATTGCTTCTTCTGCGGCGAACACTTCCAATCCAAAATTGCCATGAGTGAACACATCCTGGAGCATGAGTACCACGAGGATGTAGCAGCAGGGAGTGCTGAATAGTCAAATAAATCTTGCCTGTCCACACTTTATTGCCAGGGCTTCTAGTGTGGTTCCCACCCTCATTTACTTGAGCGGAATGAACCGGGAACTGTGGGTAGCACCGATACCGGGTCTTCCGTGCTTCACGGGCTTGTACGTCACGGAGAACTCTCCCAGATAGTGTCCAATCATGTCGGGTCTCACTTCAATCTGAAAAAGTGAGTCCAAGAACACATCATTAGCACACAAACTCTCTCGCTTTCTCAAAGAAAAGAATTCCTCTTTAAAGAATAGATCAGAATGCTAAAATATAATCCTCGGTATTGAAGTGCATTTACCTCTGCCACTGCAAAACGCAATAGCAGAAGAAATCCCTCCAACATCAGACTCGTCATCATTCATCATTTCATTGCAAGAGGAACAAAACAAAATATCTTTATAAGTTTCAGTTTCAACACACCTGATTGAAAGCCTTGCCGTTGTACACGCCAATGATGGAGCCCACCATTTCAGGCACGACAATCATATTCCGGAGATGAGTCTTCACGATGGCCGGCTTCTCAAGTGGCGGTGCGTCCTTCTTCGCCTTCCTCAGCTTCTTGATCAGGGCCATTGGCTTGCGCTTCAGCCCTCTGGAGAATCGTCGGCGGGCACGGCTGTGCATCAGCTCAACCACTTGGTCACTGGAAGCAAGAGAAAACCATTGGAAATGCCATCTGGAAAGACGAAATTTAGGTTATGTTTGACTCTACTCACTTTGGCATGTCCAGAAGCTGATCCAAGTCCACTCCACGATAAGTGAACTTCTTGAAGATACGCTTCTTCAGAACAGTCGCTCCTTCCTCTTGCTGGAAAGGTAAATAAGAGAAATTCACATTATTCCATGATGCCAAATGGTCAAGAGATGCTTCACGAGTTTTCACATTTTTCTCACAGAAAACCCAACTTTCTCCATGTAATTTCTACATCAATCTCATCTACACAAAGTCTTGTGCTAAATTCTATAGAGAAGAGTGTGATTTTCTGGCTAAAATCATCAAAATTCACCTCAGCCATCTCGATTAATCCACGTTTCTTCACACTACAATGTTGAAAAGACAGAAAAATGGCTGCCGGAAGTTAACGATGACAGCGCCTCCACACACTGCTGCCAATCTCTAAATATCAATATTTACATTTTATGGTCCAATAAGTAAATATTTTTATTTTCAATCAGACAAGCAGAACGAGTAAATATTAAGGCGATTTCTCACTGGATGCAAGAGACGTCTTGTAGATCGTGGCCAGGGACTTGGCAGCATTCAGGATCATGTCAGTGCGACTCACTCCCGTGTACGTTTTGTGCCATTCCGAGTGATGAACACCCAGATTATTGGCCATCACCTGGCCAACAGTCACAGCGAATCCCGTGTCCTGGAATTGGTACTCCTTCGGCGTGTCTTCCCGAATGGCTGTGATCACTGACAGCGGAATGGCAGTCATCTGGGTCACCGTCTTCAGGGTCACACTGCGAAGAGGGTCAGTGAGAAGTAGAAGCCCAGCGTCGAACCACTGATCCGGAAAGGCTTCAACTGCGAAATTCTCCACTGCCACCACCGGCAGCTTGTCTCCGATGCGAGAGTTTGTCCGCAAGTCAGCTGTTCGCTCCTGAGCACCACGCAGAGCAGCTTCAAATCCCACTGGCTGAGATGCAATGTTGTTAGGCTGTGCTTGAAGTCCACTGCAAAGAAAAAGAGACTTGTAGCAGTGCTTTTCACTATTTCGAACTAACTTACATCACTGTCGCCTTGCCGAAGATGGTCTGGAAAGCCTCTCGGCAAGGTTTCACCTTGTCATCCTTATCAGAGGCCACGACAATCTCTATGTCTCCTCCGGAATCTGCAGAAAATTCACATTAATACAGCGCTCTTCACACTACTAATGACTATTGATGAAAAAAACTCACAAATATATTCCTTCATCTGCGGGTCAAGAGTCGTGACGATCGTATCAACTGAATTTTTTGCCCTTTCCGCAACTTTTGACAAAATTCCACCTCCACTCGAGGCGGCATCTTTCACCCAGCCAAATAGAGATGCCCCAGACTGTGTTAGGGGTCCCAGGGCGGCGGTGATGGGTTCCGGATTCAGGTTCAAGTGCCCCAAATTCGCCCCCTCAGTCGATGTATCCATTGCCGGAGTTTGCTCAGCGGATGTGTTCTTATTGGGCGGGATCGCAGGACTGAATGTCGTAGAAATGTGGGAATCGACAGCAGTAGGAGCCTCAGCAGGTGGACTTGGGTCCTGCGGTACGGGCGTTACGGGCGGAGCCGCCGGAGCGAGGATCAGATTCGCTGGCAAGGCAGACGGTGGACTCACATTGGACAGCAAGTTTCCCACGCTATTTCCACTCGGATCTGACATTTTTCCAACACTTCCGTAAATTACGTGCGTCGAACAACAATAATTATCTATTCAATTGGTCTTCCTGCGTTTTGCAGACTGAGAAATTTAGACACAGAAACGACAAAACACTTTTCTTCTGCGAAACTCTCTTGTTTTGTGTGACACACACACACTTGTATATTAAGTGGTTGCCTGCCATGGAGTCGTGACATAACCTCAGAAAGAGTGTGTTGGGAAAATTTATTTTAAGGGTTTCTGGGTCCTCCAATGTATCTCTTCCGTAGAAGTGCGTAATTGTACAGAAAGGAATCACGATGATACGTTTCAAGCAATATCAGTGGAATAAGCATCAGTATTTTGTGTGTGGTCTGGTTTTTGGGATTCTCTTGAGTCTCTACGTGCCAAACTATGATCCCCAGGACGAGGATCTCTCTTGCTTGGGCAGCAATGGGGACGGGGAGCACCTGGACGATAAGTACGGAGATGACTTTGAGCCACAGCTGAATTTCGCCCAGAAACCCATGTCGGCGAAGAAGGCCACGAAGAATATCGTGCGTCCGCGTTACTATTCCTCTGAGCTGGGCATCCGGGAAAAGGTGTTTATTGGCGTGATGTCAGCGCAGAATGAGATTGACAGCCTGGCCACAGCCTTCAACAAGACTGTGGCACATCTCGTGAACAAGATAAAGTTCTTCATCAACGCGGACAACGTAAAATCCAACTTCAAGCTGAAGAACATTGTGGGCTTCACGGACACTCGGGAGCATTTGAGGCCTTTTCACATCTTGAAGTACATCGCTGATAACTACCTGGACGACTATGACTACTTTGTTCTCGTCCCGGACACGAGTTACATCGATGCGCGCGTCTTGAGGGACAAACTCTCCCACATTAGCATCAGCTTTGATATCTATCTGGGATCGAAGATGCGCATTGAGGACGTTGAGAGCGAATCTGATGCCAATTACTGCGATCTCGATGCTGGAATCGTGCTGAGCAGCAGTGTCATTCGCAAGATTCGCTCGAATTTGGACTGGTGTGTCCGAAATGCAGCCACTCAATTGCACAGTCTCAACATTGGCCGTTGCGTGAAGTACTCAACGAAGATTGACCAGTGCCAGCCTGCGTGGCAGGGAATCAACGTCACCAGTTACAGACTCAGTACACAGAAGATCTACAGAGACTTGCACATCCTCAGAGATGATCCCAAGTTCAATGATGCCACTGCCATCTTTCCCGTCACAATACCGGATGACTTCTACCGTCTCCACGTCTACTTTTCCCGGGTATTTTTTGCCCCTCTGAGATTCTAGATGATCAGAATATCAACTAACATCTCCCATTTGTTTCAGCTGCATTTGGAGTCTGCAATTGCGCACTTGGCGAGTCTGGAGAAGGAAACCTCGGAGATCTCCAATGGCAGCATCAGCAATGACATCCTGGAGATTCGCTGGCCACTCGGCGTGCCCCCATCGAGCACACCAGACACACGACACGATCTTCTGTCGTGGACAATGCTGAATGAGACACACTCATTCCTCGTGGACTCGGAGACGAATGTGAAACCACTTTCCGACTTGGATGCCCTGGATTTTTCCAAAATACTCAATCACACTCTTGAGCGCGTGGCCACGACGTACGGTGGCTTGGAGTTTTTGTCTGTCCACACGGCCTATCGGCGATTTGATCCCGTCCGTGGAATGGATTACAAGCTCTTGCTCAAGTTTGCCGATAAGGCGACACGAAGGGTCACACTGAAGGCCTACGAGGCAATGAAGCCCCTGGGAATGGTGGAGATTATTCCCTCGCCCTATGTCACCGAGAGCACGCGAATTGCTATTCTACTGCCCACATTTGAACACCAGATTGACGAGTCACTGAACTTTGTCGCTCGCTATGAGAAGATTTGCATGGAGAATCTCGACAACACATTCCTCATGCTTGTGTTTATGTACGGCTCAGAGACGCCAAGCAAGGGTGATCAGGACGTCTTCAATCGTTTGAAGACGCGCGCCCTGAATCTCTCAGAGAAGTTTAAGGGCGACGGATCGCGAATTGCCTGGGTTTCCATTCGATTGCCAGTGGAATACACAAGAGTTCACACTGTTGACGATCTCGCGCTGAGCAGTGTTTACGGACAGGATGAGATTCTCAGCTTAGCCGTCACGGATTTGGCTCTGAGGAAAATCGGACTAGACAGCCTCGTGATGGTGGCATCGAATTCTATGACCTTCAAGCCAGACTTCCTCAATCGCGTATGCACAAGCTTGAAAATGTAATCATTCTTGATCACCCAGTTCAAAATTCTTTCCATTGCAGGTGAGAATGAATACAATCCAGGGATTTCAGATCTACAGTGCCATCGGATTCATGCTCTATCCTTGTCGTTGGACAGGACTTTGCAAGGAATGCCCAACTTGCGATGTGAGCCAGAGTTTGGGATACTTCGATAGGGAGAACTTCGACGTGATTTCCTTCTACAGTCGAGATTATGTTGAAGGTGAGTTGTGAATTGAGATGGGCTAAGCAGGCTTAGAGCAATGATTTTCACGATGTTCTCTATTTTCACCACAGCGCGAAAGAAGCTTGAGTCTTCTGTGCCCATCGTAAGGACGGATCGTGATATTCCGCAGCTTCTGGAGCGTCCTGACAAGACAGTGAATACCATCGTGGACATGTTCATCAAGTCCCAGACACCTGTTCATCTCTTGCGCGCCGTGGAGCCCAACTTGAAGTTCGGCGGCGCCCTAATTGAGCACCTGGCCAAAGGTGCGTCTTCGCCACAGTGCGCCTATCGCGAGAACCTCGAAAGCCACGGCAAGTGCATTCGCATGGGATCGAAGAAGCAACTCGGCGAGTGGCTTGTGCGACAAAATTGAGACCATTTCCCGAAATGTTGGTGATCTTTTTTTTTCTACGTATAGTTAAAGCAAGAATTAGGAATATTTTCCGCCAGTGCAGACAAAGTTGTTGACTAAGGTTGTTTGTAACTCACAAGTGCCAAAGTATTCTTGTAAAATGTGTTTTTTGTCAGTAGTGTTGTGTAGAGACTTTCTAATTTAGAGAACACGCGAGGGAGAAATTGAGATTCATAGCGAAAATATGTCTCGAAACGTATATTTTTACAATAGTTGCTCGTCTCGGAGTCTGTGGTTGTAATTTTTGTTGAATAAACTGCAGAAGAAGTACTCACTCTGCATCATCATCGTTGTTCTGGCTCATCAGCTTCAACATGCGATGGTATCTCTCGTAATCTCTACCTTTTGCCTCGTAGGGATCATCGTAGTCTTCGTAGTAATCAGTGTGAGTGTTATCCTCGTCATCTGTGGACAGAGAATCGTCGTCCAGATTGAAATTCTTCACAGCTCGCCGCATGTCGCGCTCATCAATGCTGGAGTCGTCGTCTGGATCTGTGTCCGGATAGTCGTTTCTCCAGTTATTCTCATCGTTGGAGTCATCGCTGGACTCCTCGTCGTCACTGTCGCGACCCGCGAGGCCGTTGTCGAGGCGACTTCCGTACGCGAGGCAGTCAAAGGGACGAATGCTAAGCGGTCAGGAGAGAAGACTCCATGTAAATTCAATCCTACAGATTTGCTGTAAGTTTGAATGTGTGATTTGGTGGGAGTAAAAGAGATGATTCTCTATTTATTTGTAATCTCATTTCATTAGAATTCATCTTGCTTCTTCAAGTACAACTTCTTCTAGTTACAGCAAATTTTCGTCTTTGCGCACCTCTCAATTTTCACATAAGAATTTCCTACTGCAAATTCACTTGCAAGATTACACAGAGCCTGTTGTGAGGTGGAATGTGCGAGTGACTCGAATGAATTGGTGAGGGAACGTGGGTGGGCATTCGGTCGGGGAGAGAGACTCAAAAGTAAATGTACTGATGGATGAGATGAACCTCATCGAGGGATACGAACCTCAGCTGATTCTCCAGCATGCCATCATCGATGTCTGTCTCCAGGTCACCAAGTTCCGACACATACAGATCATAGACGAAGTCCAGACGGAACCCTTGCCTGTTCTCTGGCTCCGCCTGCCTGGACGGACTCTGTGCAGTCTCCTCGGCAGCCGGCAGTGTGCTTTGCTTCTCGATATCCAGAATCGTGATGGGCTTCTCCTCGCCACTGCCCGAAGAGTCCACGGCTCTCGAGCAGTTCACGATCCGGAATCTCTCCTCCTGCGTCTTCAGTCTGTGACTGTCCCTGGCTCTGGCCACGGGCTGTGGAATCCTCGTCTTGCCCATCAGCTCCTTAGCCTCCTCCTTTGTCATCTTCGTAATATGGCTTTCATCCTGCAACACAGCACAAAGTGAGTCTCCGCCATACTCCTGCTCAACCTCCCAACTCACCTGACTCTCCACCGTTCCCGCAAACTTGAGGATCGTCGACTTTTCCTCTCCGGACGACAGCAGCCCCACATCGTTGCTTTTGGACGAGGACGCCACAGCTTCACGTGCATTTTCCGGACTCACTTTTCGTCTTTTGCAGTTCAGAACAAATGCATTCAGTGGCTCCTCATCTATTCTTCGCTTTACGCGTATCACTGCTGCCATATCTCTGAGTTTTAATGTGAAAAATATGCGAAAACCACGAAGAAAAACAAAGAAAACACGTTCCTATACGTTCACGCGTTTGACGGCTCAACAGCCCTTCAAAACTGCTATTGGGAACTGACGAGGACATTCCGTGGACATATCTTAGAGAGAAATATTCCTGATTCAAAACCTGATTTTTAGACCAGATTCGGACCTCTTGTAAATTTCAATGAGTTTTCTGGACAAAATCGCATAAGTGAAATAAATACGGACTTAAATATTTTCTCATATCGCCAACCATGCCAAAGATGTACAGTGAAATTATGAATGAGTGAAATCATTGTCCTGGATCAGTTGGTGAAAAATACAACCGTTGGATAAAGCTCGATACCAGTGTGTATTAAATGATTTCACTTGATCTCAAGTGCACAGAGAGGATCAAGGAAAGCTGTATACCAATTGTAGAAGTGGAGAGAATCTAGAGTCGCGCAAAATGAGAAGAAAATTGTTGGTAGAATCTGTATTGATCGTGAAAAGTCCATGGGGAACAGGAAATCTCGGGGGCGCGAAAGATGAGCATTGAAAAATTAAGCACTGAAGAAGTTCCAGTCTTTATCTTGTCACACAAACAACGCACTCTCCATAGTGACCGGGTCAATCTCTCAATGAACGGATGATGTGCTGAGATGCTCTGAGAATCGAGATGATGTCTAATCATCGGATCCAGCGGTGCGCTTCGCCTTGCGCTGCTTTGGACTCTGTTGATTGTGGTGCTTTCCGGAGGCCTTCTTCGGTGACAGCTTGGAGTTGGGTGACTTTTCTGCAAAAGCCAAGAAAGAGAATTATTTGGATGGAAGAGAAAGGTTTTGAGAGCGCAGTACTTACGGAGAGCCCTCAGAGTCTCCTCTGGAAGCCAATCGTAATCGACGTCGTTGCTATTTGTGCCCGTCTCGATGGTCTTCCTCTGCACATTTCCCCTCTTCCGCTTGCCCACGGATCCCGCGAGGAATTGCTGTCCAACCACCAGCAAGAGCACCACAATTCCGGCCAGGAACACGTACAGGAAGAACGTTTCGCCATCTAGGCCCTCATCCACCTCGAAGATCTGCACAGTCTCGTTGAAGACAGCCTCGGAGAACTGCTGCCCACTGGCGTCTCTGTAGCTCAGGGCAATGTTCAGCCCGAAAGGCCGTCCGCCGAAGTGTTCTGAGGGGATAAATGTGTACAAAACTGTGGCCTCGCTGCGCGGTTTCACTTCGCGATTGTACGCGATGGCAGAGAAATTCTGGATGAAGTAGTTGAAGTCCATTGGATACCGGAAAGATGCCTCCACGGTCTCGATCACAAAGTCCTCGCTGCCCTTGTTCAGGAAGCCTACCAGGAAGTCAACGGGATGTCCGGCCGGCAGCTCAAGTTGATTCCCTGGACTGTGTGTGGGCTGAGTGAACAGGAGGTAAGTGTCTGCGTCTGGAGAGGCTGTAGAATCGCCCTCCTCCTCGGGTTCCACGTCCTCCCCCACCATGGCAGCGTCCTCGCCCTCAACGTCCACCACCTCGTCCTCAATCTCATCCTCCGCCCATGCAACCAATTTGTTTCCTTCAAGGAGAAGTGAAGAGATTAATATTCCGCCACGTTGTGACTTTGCGCCCCACGCTAATTTCTCTCCCTTTTATCGATTTTCTTACCACTGTTCGCGGTGAAGAGAATCGCCGGCAGAACTAGCAACACCACAAGGAGTATATTCTTCATTTTGTCACACTATTTCTATGTCAATCTCGGCACACAGTAACTCGCTGAAGCACTTTTGCAATGTGGCGCGCGGCAATGAGAATGAGCCGTGTTTTCTTTTCACTCACTCCAACTCATTTGACGTGGCCGGCCCGCGACGGTGCGCACCCTGGGCGCAGATTTCGCAACTCCACGCAGTGTGCGCCTCTGGTGGCAGGGATTTTCGGAATGCCATGCCATAAATAACCACAATAAATTATTATCAATCCTCTCGAGTTTTGAACAATGGTGTTCAAGTGTCAGGAGGACAGTTTCCTGCGAGAAGTATATTATCATTTGTCCCGGGATCATAAGGAATACTTCAGAGATTGTCTCTCCCTTCCAGTTCTCTTCTCGAGTGCTTCATTGCGAGGAGGCTGAGCTGCCGGCACCGTCCGGAAAGGGCGCCAACTTGCGGGGCTACAGTGTAGTGTGTGAGGACACCATCCTCTTCCCGGAAGGTGGTGGGCAGCCGTGTGATTTTGGCTATTTGGCCGGAAAACGTGTCCTCAATGTCGTCCGGAAAGGAGACACGGCAATTCACTTTGTGGAGTCCGCCGAACCGCTGAATCCCGGCCAGGAAGTGCGCCAAGAAATCGATTGGGAACGCAGGAAGGATCACATGCAGCAGCACTCCGGCCAGCACCTCGTCACGGCGCTCTTCGAGAGGGAGTACAACATGGAGACGAAGGCTTGGTGGCTGGGAAGTGACACCACGTACATCGAACTAGGGGCCAAGGATGTTTCTCAGGAGCAACTGGATTGCGTTGAGCGCATGGCGAATAATTTAATAGCGTCCGCGAAGAATGTCTCCGTTTCTGTGTTCAAGAGTGTGGACAATCTCTCAGATGAAGTCACGAGGGCGACTCGTGGACTGCCGAAAGATCATGTGGGGCCCATTCGCGTGGTCACTATTGAAGACGTCGAGGGGAATATGTGCTGTGGGACTCACGTGACTAATCTGTCCCAGCTTCAAGTCATCAAGATGCTAAATGTGGAGAAGACGAAGAACAAACTCCTGGTGCACTTTCTCGTCGGCGACAGAGTCGTCAAGAAACTAGCCACGAGCTTCAAGCGGGAACTCGAGATGAATATCGTACTTAAGTGAGTCATTTTAGTGTAATACCTACATGAATATTCTCTATCCTCTCTATTCTTGCAGTGGAGGTCCGTCTTCTCATCTGGAATTACTGGGAAAATTGCAGACAAATTTGAAAAAGTACCAGAGACAGGTGAAATCCCTGCTTAAAGACATCGCTATCAATGAGGGAGAGAAGCTCAAGAGCGCCTCGCTGAAACCCAAGTATTTCTTCATCCACCGCACTGACGGGAGTGACGCAGAGTTTCTCACAAACTTCCTCAGAGCAGCTGGTGATCTGCCCGATACATTTGTCTTTGCCACGTCAGTTGACGACTCGTCCAATGGCCAGATGATTCTCCAAGGCAATCCCGAAGTCATCGGCAAGCTCGGCGGAGAAGTCTGTGAACTCCTCGGCGGCAAGGGAAATGGCAAAGGCAGCACTTACCGAGCAAAGATCACAAATACCAAGAATATCAAGAAAGCAGAAGCCTTAATTGTCCAGCACTTTGGGGAAATTGAGCAGTAAATCACTCAGCATCACATCCAGATGATGTTTATTCTTTATCTTTTGGCATTGGATGCAACGGATATTTCCAATTGGTTTCCCATCGTTCAGAAGTCATCATCGGCCAGCAACATCATCCGGAGGTTATAACCTACAAATCAAAACAAATGGTGTTAGTGCTGTATTAGCAACTCCAGAGTCTCCAGGATGGTGGAATAGACTGCAGGACACTCACTTAGATACAGGGCGACATGAGGATCCTATCTCAATCTCCTTGCTTCTCGCTCAGACTCCAGGAGAGTGAGGATGTCACCTTCGCGAACAGGCCCTTTGACGTTCCTGATGATTTGTCGGTTCACCTCGCCGATAAACTCCACTTTTACTTGTGTACACTGTCCCTGGGAGCCGGTGCGACCCAGTACCTTGATGACACGCGCCAAAACCACAGGTTTTTCCATGATATCCCTGAAAAATCAGCGAGATTTTCACACGTGCGGCTGTCCACAACAGAAACGCCGGAAGAAAGGAGGTCCAAGATGGCCGCAGCTCACAGCATTGTCAAGCAGAGCAGCCAACAATCGGATAGCAAAAGACTTTGACAGCGCGTGGGAAAACCAAAACAAACAGACTCGCGGTGCAAAAGTGGCAAAAGTAGAGATGTGAAGGAAGAATATTGCGTTAAGGAAAGAATAGGCATGGGGAAATTCACTAAGGTAGCGTCTTCTGATGAGGCATGGAGTACGGAAGAGGCGAAGTCATTGGATGCCGCGAAAGCTGTAGTATTGATGATAGAGAAACATGAATCTTTTCTGAGAGGTTCCAAGGAAGATCTGAAATTATGCTCCAGGCTGAAGGATCTCAAGATTCGATGGGATATTATCAAAGAGTGAGATCACTAATACCTATCATTATGATAAAATGCTAATAATCTTTATTTTCAGGTACAATCCAAGTGATGACATTTTTCCCGCCAATGTCAATTCCCATATTCGGGAGAGTCTGCAATGTGAGATTGCTCAAAAGGAGAGCAAAGTGGGAGAGATTTTGTAAGCATGTCCTAAAACTGATCAGGATAGGTTCTCAAGAATTTGCACATTTGCAGGGAAAACCTTAACCAGTCTCTGAAATGCGTGGAAGAAGCTGTAAATGCTGTTGAAATGAGCCTGCAGAATATTGTAGTTACTGAAAATCCATCACATCAGCGGCAGGAACTTATGAGATTCCTCAGCTACATTCTCGACACCTCACTGAGCATATTGGCATATTACACTAAACTGCAGACGGATATTGAGTTGCTGACAATTACAAATTTCGCAGCTTTGGGCAATTTCGAGGGGGTGGAGAAGAACTCGAAGAATTTCGCCCAGTTTGTCAATGAATTTCTCAGTCGGTGCCACATGGAGACTCTGCTGAAGTAATTGAATTTGACTGGCGGAGGGGAAAAGAAATGGGGAGAGGAATACAGGAGAGAGCGCATGATTTATCGATCCACAGGAGCTTTTATGCGCGGCCATTTCCAAGCTCGCACCGTGAATATCGTCCGACTCTCACGCATTTTTTCCAGAAATATTTTGACCTCCGTACCTGTTGGTTCTTTAAAATAATTTCACTTTACAATCACGCAATAAAGTCACTGAAAACTCATAGTGTTTGTAGTTGATAAAAGTGCTCTCTTGTGGATGATTTTTCTCTCTGGTGCTCGTGCGACTGTAGCCAGAGTCCCAATTGTGCTAGTGATTAGGGAAATGTAGGGACATTAGGATGATTTGGCGAAAATGAAGGGGAAAAGTGTGGAAATTTCCATGAGATTGCCAATTTGAAGATTGTGTGGGAGTTGCGAAAGAACAACGACGAAGAGGTGGCGAGAAAAGTAGGGAGCTTTCTCCATGCTTTTTGAGCTTTCCCCCATAAATTCATTACATAACTAACTCTCAGCCTCTGAAAATGTGCTTCGAGTGATGCCTGTGAATTCAATGTGAAAAGGAAACTCTTTCCGAGAACAATTAACATAGTGAATAAAGTGCTTTTCGTGTAATGTGAAATTATAAAAAATATACCGTCTTCTTTTCAATGTGCTATGAAAGGATAAGCAATGTCCCTAAAGGCTTCTATCTAAAAGCGTGCACGAGTGAATGAAGTAATAAAGAGTTTATTGCAGCGTCCCATGGGAAATTACAGAATACCGCGTGAAATGAGGACAAAGTTCTCTTTTTCTGCTCACACAAAATGTACATATTTTCAAAGTTCTGTTTTTCTTTCCACTTGACAAAACATTAACTGTTGTAATGTGACTTTATTGATTTTTCCACACCATAATTCGATTTTTCCTCCTGCGCGATACTTTCTTTCCTGCTAACGATCCGTCCTCTCACTTGAATTTCTTTACATGTAGCAAATATTTCTAAAATGTTCTCTTCTCTGTCTCTCTCAATCGCAACAGCACACGAAAGCTCTCGCGGCAGGACATAGAATTCACATTAGATCACCCTCAGAGCACGGGGTGAGATGAGACTAGTGGCAAAAACCCACCTCATTTAGAGCACAAGACGACACACAATGTTGTGAAAGCTGATGAAAAAGCACCATTGCACGCTGTTCTCACTTGCACAAGAGACTTTCTTGCACCGCCTTTAACGGATCACGGCGACAAATTGTGGCATCTCCCCTTTTATCGCTCCTGTCTCGTCTCGAGAGCAACAAAACTAGGATTACCATTTGCAAAGAGAATTTAAAGTAGCGCTAGAGAATGGCCAACACAGCACACTTGTTCCGTAGACAAAGCTCACGAGATCTGGTGCCATCGTCGCCTAGAACTCTGGACAATTTAGAGCTGAAGGTATGATTTTTGGGCAGCTTCTTATGCAATGCTTTACATTAGACACGCTTTGATGAAGTTGTATTAACTACAGAATAACAGCAATCCATTTTCTGATGGATGCTCCGAATTTTTTCTGTTTGTAACGTAAAATCCTTAGATTGATATTTATAGCGATGTTTTGGAGAATTTATAGTGACATTTTACAACGTTTCTCTCAATAAATTGATCTAAAATTCGACATAGATTTATTTTTAAATTAATTTTTATGGTCAAACATGTTTAGCAAAGTGAATTTGGTAATTGAAATAAAAAGATCAAGTTGAATCTAACATTGAATCTAGAAGACTGAAAATAACTCTCTAATATCCATTGATATCTTCTTCAAGGAGATGTTGAAAGAAAATACCATCCATTCAAGCATTATATCGCTTCCAGATTTGGTCCACGAATATTCTATCTATAATGTTCGATATTGTTATGATAGAATTACTCAATCGCCTCGTGTGAAGTTAAGTACCTGCATCGTTAAAATGCATGCTGGATCCACACTGTGGTGACATATAAAAATTTTCCAGCACATAACATTCGTGAAATGCTTCATCTTTAAACTTAAAGAGTGGAAATATTTGATTTTCTCATATTGCCCACGCTCTGCTGATATGACTGAAATATCAAAAGGAAATTGATTTCATGCTTTCGGGTGGGAAATCCCTCGTGGGATCCTTTGAATGTTCCCCCAACTCTTGTGCGGCTTCATTTGAAATTTCTCGCCTTTTTCGCTGGTGGAATCCCAAAGCTCTGTTGAATTCTTTAAACACCCAACTATTCTCATTTGTGTTCTTTGCCACACTAACACAATTTCTCTGCTCGTAGGAGTTGCGTGGGAGGCTCGTGAGGGCGGAAAATGGCTCGAGAATTTCCATGTATGGCGCCACAAATCAGGCATTTCAGTCTGACACAAATGACCCGCAGCCAATTTTGCCAGAGATTAAGGAGGCGACAAATGAGGCGCCCGCTGACCAGGACATCTGCCCAGAACGGCCAGAGGATGAGCGCGAGAGTTGGGACAGCAAACTCACTTTCCTCCTCGCCACCATCGGCTACGCCGTGGGCCTGGGAAATGTATGGCGCTTCCCGTACTTGGCGCAGAAGAACGGCGGCGGTGCCTTTCTCGTGCCCTACTTCATCATGCTCGCCATCCAGGGCATTCCCATCTTCTACCTGGAACTCGCGATCGGCCAGCGCCTCCGCAAGGGCGCCATCGGTGTGTGGCAGCAAGTGTCCCCCTTCTTGGGCGGCATCGGCATCTCCTCGGCTGTGGTGAGCTACGTTGTGGCGCTCTATTACAACACAATCATCGCCTGGTGCCTCATCTACTTCCTGCACAGCTTCGAGTCGCCACTGCCATGGGCTGAATGTCCCAAGCGCCTCTACAAGAACTTCACGTACGATCTCGAGCCCGAATGTGTGGTGAGTATTATTGATTTTTCCTCACTTTTTCATCCGACTGACCTAAAAATCCTCGCAATATTTCAGAGCTCCTCACCGACTCAGTACTACTGGTACCGCTCAACTCTGATGTCCTCACCGAGCGTGAATGAACCGGAAGTGTTCAACTACAACGTAGCGATTGCCCTCATCCTGGCCTGGTTTCTCGTGTACATGTGCATGGTGCAGGGAATTACCGAGTCCTCAAAGGTCGTCTACATCACCGCAATTTTCCCCTATGTCGTTCTCATCATCTTCTTCTTCCGCGGCATCACGCTGAAAGGTGCCGGCGACGGATTAAAACACCTCTTCACGCCCCGCTGGGAAACCCTCGCTGATCCTGTGGTGTGGTTAGAAGCGGGAACGCAAATATTCTTCTCTCTTGGACTCGCTTTCGGCGGACTGATTGCCTTCAGTTCATACAATCCGGCCAAGTGAGTGCTTTTCCCGTGCAATTTTCATCAAGCATACTCAAATTGACATTTTTCCAGCAACAACTGCTATCGCGATGCTCTGCTCGTGTCCATGACAAATTGCTGCACATCAATGTTTGCCGGCGTGGTTGTGTTCTCGGTGATTGGCTTCAAAGCCACAGCCACATTCGACAAATGCATGGATGAGAAGAACAGTCTCATTGCCCTCAATAAGACATCAGATCTGCCCATATGTGACCTGCAAAAGGAATTGGATAATGTGAGTGCAATTCACTTTCTTTCCTATTCACTATATAACAGTGTCGTTAAAATATCATTGCAGAGTGCATCGGGAACTGGCTTGGCTTTTATTATCTTCACGGAGGCCATCAATCAATTCCCAGGAGCACAGCTGTGGGCAGTTCTCTTCTTCCTCATGCTATTCACCCTGGGCATTGACTCGCAATTTGGCACACTCGAGGGCGTTGCCACATCCCTCGTGGACATGAAGCTCTTCCCCAATGCCTCCAAGGAAGTCATCGTTGGGGTAAGAATTGAAAATCAATGGAATTTGCATCTTCCTACTTTACACCATTCCGTCTTGCAGGCACTCTGCTTCACGTGCAGCGTTTTCTCAATGGTGTTCGCACACGGTGCTGGAAGTTACATCTTCCAGCTCATGGACAGCTTCGCCGGCAATTTTCCCCTCCTCATCATTGCTTTCTTCGAGTGTCTATCCGTGAGCTATGTGTATGGGATAAAGCGATTTGCGGATGATATTGAATTGATGACAGGATCTCGGCCGGGGCTATACTGGATGATATGCTGGAAGTATCTCTCGCCCTTGGCCATGCTCACCATTCTCACGGCGTCCTTCTTCGATCTGGCACTGCGCGGGAGCAGCTATCCCGCCTGGAACAGCCTCAAGGGGGCCACAGAGACCTTCGAGTGGCCCCACTGGTGTATTGCCATTGCCATATTCCTCATCCTCTCGTCAGTCCTCTGGATACCAGGAGTGGCGATTTGTCGGTGAGTCAGAAATAAGCTCATACATAATTAAATACCAATTTCGTGCATATGTGTCACCACTCAACCCGATAAATCAATACTCTTCCACTACGTTTTAGGCTTCTGGGAATAAACATAATTGAGGACACCGATCCCGCCTGGTTTCCTGTCAATGAACTCCGCGAGGTGCACGGAATAGTGCCTGTGGAGCCCACAGAAGTGGAAAGAACGCTGTTCTGCATTCAACCGGATGGCTCCGAAGGATTATGTTGTCCCACATATTCTCTGCGAGAGGAAGCTCTCGAGGAAGAGGAGTAAACGTAATTACTCTCTAGTTCTCCTATTACAGCAATTTTTCCTGTGATTCTGTCGAGATTGATGTGAAGTTTGAACAAGAAATTCGTGGGGAAAAATGTGTCACTTGTCAGGCGAAAGAAAAAACACAGAGAAAGGAGCAATGAGTTCATATATATGAAGAGATAAAGAAACAGCAACCATATCAAAAAATTCCATATCTAGCACTTTTCTTGTGACTCTTTTTTTGGGGAAAAACTCTTGTCAACACTTCCTCTTTGAAGACTGAAACAGTGTTAATAGTAAGAGCGACAAAAACCTCACCGAAAGTGTGCTGAAGGAGGCCAAAGAAGCCACTCTTTCTCCAGCACACCCGCCAACTTTCCTCCCAACGTCAATATTCCACAAGAGTAATAATTTAATTTTGCTGAAAATTAATTAAATTGATTCCGTCTCGATGAAAATTGTTTATGGGCAGCAGAAGTGCTTGATAAATTGATTAGGCAGGGCACAAAAACAGTGCACACAAAAGGGCATGATTAATTTTTTTTTTTCTTCAAATGTGATGAGAACAAATATATTAATTATACTAATAGGGTTTACTGGAACGTGTATTGGGATACAAAACTCATCTAAAGACAAAAAATGTGCCGTTAACATATTGTGGCAACAAGTAAGAATCTAAGACCTAAAAAATACTATTTCATATGAGGAAAGTAACCTAATGGTGCCCACTCATCTTTACGATCCAACATATTTCGTATTTGGTCTCTCTTTTTGTCATTTCCGCATCTCGCCATGGTGGCTTTCGAGATGTATCTGTGGCAGAAAGACACCAAATTAGACAGATTGAAAAGGTGTATGGACAGCAAAAGATGATATATGTGTGTGTTATAATAGACATCATTTAGCAAAAATTAAATCTAACATATATTTCAATCATGAAGTCAAATATCTGTCCTTAATTGTACGTCTTTGGTTGACTCTCAGAAATATTGTAAATCACAGAAGGAAGGCTGATAAGTGGTCTATAGCCGGCAGACATAAAAATTACGTTAAACATGAATTTCTTTCATTGTTAAAAAAAAAAATCTAGCAATAAACCGAGTAATAATTTATGTAAAAAATCAGATTAATTTAATAAAATAGTCATTTTAGTGCGACTCTATGCCTTTTGCAAGGAGTAAAAATGTAATGATTTGCCTAAGTAGCGTGAGATATGAAATATCTCAACCACCGATTAACTAATGAAACCAAAAAGAGAATATTACGAAAAATCATCTTTAGTCAGTGAATGTATGTGTATTATAGGTATTATATAATTATCAAAGCATAAAAAATGAGAAATATCCTATTTAAAATGTTGTTAATGGTTCAATTGTGCGTATTAAGAAATTTAAAGAGAAAATTCATGTTCTTATAAAATGACAATAAAATGTTGCTTCTGTATATCCTTGTTCGAAAATTGAGAACATGCATTATTTACAGAAAGAAACGACATTAGGAAAATATATTATTGAAAAAAAAAAACCGAAAAGACAATAACAAATATTGCATTGCGATAATGATTCTGAAACGAGAATGGAAATTGAACGAAAATATTTACTGTAATATATCGTGAAGATTGAGGATAAAAGTGAAATAAATGAAAAATCTACAGAAATAGAACAATAATTTTGTGTAGGACAAAAATATTCGTTTCAAGCCTAAAATGAACTTTCAAGGAACCCTTCAGAAAGTCACTTAAACCGTTCAGTTTGCAACTTACGGGTGTTTTTCTCCTTTTTTTCAGAAGATATATTTAAAATGTTTCACTCATGTACATAACCATTACATAACTCTATATATTGCGAAAAGAAAAAAAATATACATAAAGAAAAACATGGAAAACTATAATTGTTGTTGGATTACTTTCATTGAGAAGAAACTGAACTTAAAAAATGTTATAACTGTAAAAAAAAGTTTTAGTATTAACCACAATGTAAATTACGCAAACAAAAAGGAAAAGACATAAGAAAAATAAAGAGAAATTTACCACGAGTAATGTAAAATCCACTTTTATTTGTCTGTTCTTGCCTTCTTCTTCGCCATCCTCTTGTGCTTGTTGGATTTCAGATGAATTTCCCACTGAAATTCACCGACGAAAACCCTGTCGCAAGTTTCACAAAAATTGCTGACCTGCATAACAGTGAAACATTACGAGTTGCAGTTTAGGATAGAAGTAGAAAATTTTGCCAAAATTAAATTGTACCTCTTCATTGAGTCCCTCTCTAAGTCCCGGAAATCGTTTTTCTGGCTCAATTTTTGGTATTCTATCAGCCATGAAGGCCTCAATTACTTCTTCCGCTCGCTCATAGACAACTTCTTGCCATTTTGACGGGTCTGTTGTGTCCAATTTATACAGCGCTGGTACCTTTCATAAATCACAGACAAAAGATTCGATGTTGAATCAATGAAGACACACACTCAACATGACTTTCTTTCATCCCAGCCCATGACAACACCCCAAAAGAGAAGATGAGCCATCTAATGATGAGAAAATATTACTCTCTCAACTTACATCGCGACTGAGATTTCCAAGAAATCGATTTCGAACCCATTTTGCTTGCCTCTTCGAGTACCGCCTCGTGACCATTTTCAATTCTTCTAGGCACTTGGTTAGGATTTCGAGTCCTTGCGGCACATTTTCTGAGGAGGTTGGGAAAATTTAGGAAATGAAAATACTTAAGGCAGTAAGTAATATCAAAACAACAAATAAAATATGAAAGATTCTTACTTTCTTCCTCCTTTTTGTCTTCTTTGCAGTAATGAAGAATCCTTTTGTCCTCTTCATTAGAGAATTTCTCCAGGTATGGAATAAATTCTTTAAATCCTATCGTCTGCAGAATTCCTTTCGTATATTTTGTATCACTGAAGTATATAGAATTTTGCAATTAAACGGTGAAAGTGTGTTAATTATGTGACACTCACTTGAATGGCTTCACGAAATTCTCATGAAATTCTCTTATTTCTGCCAAAAGACCAGCTTCCAGCATTGAGTCAACTCGCGAATCGAGACGTCTATTCAGAGCTTCCTGAAAGAAAAAAAAAATCAACAACATTCCCTAATCTTCATCAAGACAATGTAACGTTTACTCCAAAAAAAAGTAAGAAACTACACTGATATATCTCAGGAATTTCTCATTTTCCCTACATTTTGCCATCTCTTAGCATGTCACGATTGGTCTGTGAGTGTGTCTAAGCGGAAAAAGAAAAACCAAGATGATGTTGCAATTCTGAGTGAAAAAGAAATGCGCCTCTTTAGCACCAAGTCACACATAACAAAAATAATGAAATTAAAATAGACATCTCTAAAGTCACACACATTTTTCACAATTTCACCCAACCATTTTTAGTTTCTCATCTGCATTGGAAGGAAAACAGGAATAAAAACAACGCAAATGCTTGTGAGAAGAAAATCTTCCTCTGGCATTTTCCAACTTGAGCTAATTTTACTAACAGTCTTGTCCCCATTTTAGTTTATTTCTCCTCTCACTCTCTATTCATGGAAAATTTTTCTGACGCGCGCTTTTGTAATGAAAGTGTGAATAAACATGTCCAGGAGGAAAGGATGCTCCACGACCGAGCGATTCAGGAGAGATTGCAGGAGAAAGCTGTATGATAAATTGCCATGAAAAAGCGAGCAAAGGGCAGATCTGTATAGTAAAAGCTTTTTAGTGTAGCACACAATACACGTTTTTCACTATTATATTTGTAACAAATTGCGACGCGATGTGTTCGAAGGTGGATTTATGTGTGGGCCGATGATACTTTTATGAATGGACTCTGAATGAATGAATCATTCACACTGGCAACTAAACAACCAAATGCTGGATTATTAATTCGTCTATGCTGTGTCATTGCGTCACATGAATTAGTGGCTCAACTTCAGACCACAGCGCCTGCAAATTGAACAATTAATTGGCTCTCAAGTCACATCTTCTCCACTCACTATATATTTATATCGTTAGACATTTGTACATGTTATGAAAAGGGGAAAAGAGCGTGAGAGAGAAAAGTACTCATTGTCACGAAAATGATCGCATTGATAAAATAAAATTGCAAACTATGTGTATAGCTAACTATGTATTCACCATCTGGATGACACTAAGAAATGAATTTCATTGCTATATAGGGAATGAATCACACAATTTATAATTGGGCAACGTGATTCATACTTTCGATTACTTGCATCTTCTTCGACATACGAAAAGAAGCTGATGAATTTATTTAGCCAACTAAATGTCACGAAAACTGAAAGGAATAAACTTTTTATATAATTTGAGAGACAATCATTCACGACTTGAAAATCCCTGTTGTTATGTTGCTTCATCGGGAGACAAAAAGTAAACAGATATTTGAATCAAATCGATATTCATCAGAAGATTCAATATATTTTCCTAAGAATTGAATTAAGAGTAGTTTTTCGTGTGAAAAATACAATGCCGAATGAGCAACCATTCAAGAGAATACGATTAGGAAATGGCAAGAAGCACACACACACATACATTGGCAATACCGCCGATTTATTGGCATTGGCAGTGACCGATTTGCTCGTGGGTTCAAGGAAATTCGTCACAATTTGAAAAAGAAACTCCGCGAAGAGGATGTTCTTTCATGCACTCTAAAATTAAGTGCGATAGTAAAAAGATGCCAAAGAACTTTATTATTATGCTTGGGAGAAACCGTTGAAGTGACATTAAATTCCTCTGCTACTTTTACTCACACGTCACTTGACATTTAAATTAATGTTGGAAAGGTGTTTTCGTTAAATTCGGTGCATCGAATACAAAATAAAGCAAAAAAGGGTACCGAGAATTATATTACATCATAAAACTAATTCAACGGTGAAAATCACACACCAAACTGTTTAATGCCCACCACACGAAATAAAATTGACTCATTTACCAAAGAGATTGTAACTTCAAATCCACGGTGATAAATTTACCTGTTCGCATTGCATCCAGAAGAGAATCACATTCTTGTATCTCAGCGGTCCACCAAGATTCGATCCACCGTCTTGACTTCTTTGCTCATCCAACAGAAAACTCATGGCCTTTCCGCTCATATTGAATATCTCAATAGCTCTGGAAGTATGATAAAAAAAAAGCAAAAGCAGAGTGAGTACCAAGTAATCTGCAGCTTCTGGTGAATAGTCCGAAATATGACTAATGCAAAAATCTCTTAAGAATAATATCACAGGGAATTTCTTGGAAACCCTATCTCGAAGATTGCGAAAGAATTCAAGTTTTATCCGAGACTCTCGTGGAAATTTCCTTCCAGGAAAAAAAACCACTGATGGTCTCTTCCTTTATGACGATCTCTTACTGTGACACCCATTGACTTTATTATACGTTTTCACTTTTCCGCATCGAACCAGATCAAAAGTATTTTATCGTGAAGTATCTCAGCTTCTGCTTTAATCACCTCTTTCGTCTCTCTTCCTGTCTCGTTGATCTGAGAAAAATTCCACGATAATTCCGCCAGAGAAGACACAAAAAAGCGTCTCGCGAGATAAGATTTTGGGATCGGTTGCTGAGCCAAAAGAGAAAGATCGTCACAGAATGTTGTCATCAAGTTTATTGTGATGAGCAAATTGCGCATTCTCACATTTACTCCCATTTACCCTGATTTCCACAATCCAATTCAATCATTTGCTCATGAAGATCCTCTCTGTGCGAGATGAATCTCCCAAATGGGAGAATAAACATTTTTTCCAGACTCTCGCCAAACATTTTGGGATAATTCTCCACGATTCTTCATCTCTTCTTTGCCTGTGTTCGTGCCATATCACTTCTCTCGCTCTTTTCAATCACACACTATGGCATGAAATACTTTCCGTGTGGGATTTTTTCAGTAAAGCTGTATGAGAGAGAGCGTTGTAAGCCGTTTTGGCGCCAATTCCGTCGCGGAGCATTACATATCCCGGCTTAAGATCATCTAATCCAAAATTGCTCCTCGACAAAGGAGTATAAATGTCCTGCAAACGTTTTCACCGCACAATATCTATCTTTCCATAATTTTTATAAACTAATTTATGAGCGTATTTGAATACAAATTTATGATAATGCACGGGTTTCACATACTTATTTGATAAAGAATCTTTTGACCACCCAAATAGAGACAATGGCAAGTGTGACACAGCAGAAAAGCCTAAATAGAGACACTAATAAAATAATTTGGGAACTTATCCTACCTTCTGTGCTCTCCTACGCTCAAGATTCATGACAAAATGGTTCGAGATCGGAGCTCTAAAAAATGGGACAAAGCAGTTTATCATGGATATCGAAGATCCACTGTATTTCATCCGCGTCCACCACATTTAAATGAAAGTGAAAATTTCATTGTATTTGTGGATGAGTTTCGAAGAAGGTGAACATTTTGTCTGAAGGTCGCAATGGCCATTAAACACTTCAGTAAAACCACCCAAAATTGAAAAGTCTGCGCGAAATGACACAGAATTTCTAGACGTGCTCGTGTAGAAAAAATTAAGAAAATTGGCCAATAAATTATCTTGAATTAATTTATCTTGCGCTCTTGAATATGTATAAAGCCACCTAATGTGCGGTCCTACAGATGAAAAAAAGCGCCTAATTCACGCATAATGTCTCCAGCATCTTTTCAGCATTACTTTAAGAGCAAACTAGACTGTCTTGGCCGCGCGTCTTTGCCGTAAAGAGGTCGCAATGTCTCATGTTCCTTCTGTGTGGGGGTAACAGTGTGAATCTGCAGCGTCTGATTCCTCATCTTTGACCGACAGCGAGTGATGTCAGTCGAATTTCCTGGAAGTGCCATCTTAATGTAATCTAACCATCGCTGCCGCTACACTTTCATTCATGTTATAGCGATAGTATCACGTGACGCTACTACCATTCCTGCACTATCACTATGTACAGTCGCTGAGTTGTACATTTGCAAAAACGCCGAAGCGGCAGAAAATGTGTGCAGACATATAATTTTTTTGGGACTTACATATAGTCTTTATCATGTCGCCACTCAATCGAGCTAGCGACAGTTGTCGTCATGATAGCACTAAGGCTTTCATCTCGGCATTCTTTAGCCCAACTTTTAATTTATACAATGATGATAGACCGATACATTTGCACGCGTAATTGACCTTGGCTAACAATTTATTTGAGAAATAAAAATCCCACGAAAATTTATGTGACATGTGATACGCACACAGGCATTTTCCACTCTCGAATGTACCTGTTGAGAGTGTTATAAATTCGCGCAACAAACTTGCGTAGCATCGTAGATTATGTCAAGCACACATACGCATTTTATGTGACGATACTTGTGCGAATTTAAAGAGCTGCTACGCGTGGAATACAAGCGGAGGGAATATAATGTCATCAATTTTACAAATAAAGAAGCTAGAAAAGTGGCGAGACTTAACACTTAACTGCACAATCTGGTAGGAAATGCGACAGCGTTCATCTGTGCGATTTTCTCTACACTTCTCGCATACTTCAAGTACTGCATTTGATGTTTATATTGTACGTATAATCATTACAACTTAGGTGCAGGACTTTGTGCAAACTTTTCGGCTCTAAAGGGTTAACACATGTTCCTATCTTTCGCTGCTGACAATTCGTAATTGGCACGTGCAGAATTCGTATATGAGAGAAGATCGCTTATGGCGCCTGAGAGCAAACTTGAGCAATTTTTCCGTGAAAAAGACAAGTGAAAAAATTAATATGTTCCATGATAAGGATTATCCAATTTATTCTACGACGAAAATCACACGAGTGTGCGCGCCATTGCGAATTAAGCGCAATCAAAGGTTAATCAATATTTGTAATCTTGGGCAATTTTTTGACACGTTCCACGCGATAGCCACCTTATCACTCACCCAACTTACAGTTGCGCCAAAAGGACTATAATTTTTCTGCACGTCAGCAGTGGTGCCGTAAAAAGTGCCCATGAGATAATTTGCCAGTGCGTGTTTAAATTGTAAAAAAAAAGAATGTGAAAATTCTCTGGTGGCCAAATTGAACCCCGAATAACTCCTCTTCTAATTACAAAATTTAATTTATTGTTTGCAAAAATATTTATGTGCCTCTACAGCCTTGTGATGCCCACTATGCGTCGTCCTGGGCGCAAGTTATTTCTGTATCTTTTCTTCTTACATCGCGCGCTTCCTCAACATCGGGAGATCAATGATGTGGAAAAAAATCTAATCGACGCCCAAAGACGCAATTAAGCAATCTTATTAATCGGTCCCAGGTTCTAGAGACGAATGTGAAAGATACGGCACAAGACACTGCGCTGAAGACGTAATAAGGCTTGTGGCGTTGTGGGAATTTTCACGAGGCAAGTCATAGCTCTATCGCTTCGTCTATAACTTTTCCCAACACAAAAGTGTGGGAGAACTTTCAATTGATTGTGGGGGCAGCCTTCCCCGCATATATACATGTGCAGAGAGACTTAAACAAATGCCCCAGTGCTCGTGTGGGATGGAAATGAAGCAGAGAAAGTGTTTATGAAATTCGACATGATTGTCATATCTCATTATTATTCAAAATCATTAGCTTGTCTTCACAGTTTTTTCACGTTCTTTCTTCTATTATTTCTCTCCTAATATTCAGCACAAGACACTTTTTTGACAGACTCTTTTTATCCCATATTCTTTCTCTTTTGGCACAGATAAATATTCATTAGAATTAGTGGTTTGAATAACAGTCTCAAAATTGATGTTAAAGTATTTCGATTGAAGAAACTCCTCGGGTTTTTTTCTGGCTCGAGTGCAGCAAAAATTGCACTGAATTATGTACTAGTAATTTGAAATTAATATTTTCGGTCACACAAACGAGGGGACCTTCAGAAGTTTATTTGTATAATCTAAACACATTAGATGTGTGATCAATTTCCACCTGATCAAACCATTTTCATCTATCGCTCGAGATAGATGGGAAAGATATTTAAATGCTGAGAGAAGCACAATTAAATAGACACGCTGAGTGGGAAAATATTTAATATAAAGCTTATACAGAAAAAAAAACTCCTTGGAGATATGAGAAAACGCTTGTCACTAATAAGAGAGAATGAAAGTGTGTGCGGGATTATGGTAAATTTTCATAAATTAATTAAACCCCAACTAACGAGCGACACTCTCTATTTGTAAAATATTCTATGTGTCTACATAGTAGTGGTTAATGATTACATATTATGGTAATTGGGTCAGTAACTTCATATTAAAAATTCTTCCATTCATATCACAAATATCGGTCCATGGCAACAATTTCAACTTGATTTCATATAGTAGAGAAAAAAGCACCGGTTTATTATCATAAACGCGATTCTGGCCAACAGTTTGATCATAAATTCGGATGGTGATCATTTGGACAAATTTGGGTATTTGCCACTCGACGGTAGCACAATGGCAAGAGAGGGAGGAAATTCAAGGAATATAGGTATACAGAAAAAAACTAAACATGCGTGTCATTGCGACAGAGCATTATGAAATTTTATCAGTTTTACCGGTTTTGGCGGCAACAACTATTTCCATTCGGAAATTCTTTATTGTAATAAGATTACCAACAACTGTGTAAATCATGATAATGATGATGTAAGTCAAAGATGCTCATGAAACCGGCTTTAGTGATATGTCTGCGCTCAATATGAATGAACACCTCATGCAATACACTATATTCCTTATACACAGATATACCTTCAGAGGAGCAGCCATCGAAGAGAGAAAGGTAATGTAGAGAGAATGGATATCTCACTTCGCACCCGCAAAGAGCGCTCAGCAGAAATGGGTCACGAATACACACCGCGATGGAATTGAGCCAAGCAATATTATAGGAGTTATCGAACAATTCACATTTTTACTCGAACATGTGCGCTTGATTTTACATTTTTCACACTATTCTCTTGCCTTGATTATATTATTTCCGACAAAGGTTTTCAGTATTTTATTAAATGGTGTTTCAAGGAGTTTCTCTGGGATGAATATTCAATTTATACAGCATCGAACAGTGCTAGAAATGAGATGACGTTGTACTTTTCCACAAAACTACTATCTCCTGGCCATTAGAAAGACAAAATGTATAGCTTCAAGCATATACCCAATGCCATAAGA